TTCCATCTCTATATAAAGACCTCCTCGCCGTGCCCTTTGATCCCGTCTGATCAGATCAAGCGATCCAAGCTCAACAGTCTTCCATCTCACATAACATCCACTTCCTTCTTTTGAACAGGAAGATCCCAGACTTCGTCTCTTCTCCAGACTTTTCACAACCCCAACCTCAACCATCACAATGGCCGCTGAAGTCCCATCTGAGCAGTGGGCTCAAGTTATTGAGCAGACCGGAGGCCGTACGTCATCTCCAAAGCCGTATCCCCCTCCCACTCCGTCACTAACACAACCCAGCCGCCGTCTACAAGAAGATTCCCGTCCAGAAGCCCGGCCCCGATGAGGTTCTCATCAACGTCAAGTACTCTGGTGTCTGCCACACCGACCTGCACGCCATGATGGGTGACTGGCCCCTCGACACCAAGATGCCCCTCGTCGGTGGCCACGAGGGTGCCGGTGTCGTCGTCGCCCGCGGCGAGCTCGTCAAGGACGTCGAGATCGGCGACCACGCTGGTATCAAGTGGCTCAACGGCTCCTGCTTGTCCTGCACCTTCTGCCAGTCCGCCGACGAGCCCCTCTGCCCCCACGCTCTGCTCTCAGGCTACACAGTCGACGGCAGCTTCCAGCAGTACGCCATCGCCAAGGCCGCGCACGTTGCCCGCATCCCCAAGGACGTCAGCCTCGAGGCCGTCGCCCCAGTTCTCTGTGCCGGTATCACCGTCTACAAGGGCCTTAAGGAGTCCGGCGTCCGCGCCGGCCAATGGGTCGCCATCGTCGGTGCTGGCGGTGGTCTCGGCTCCCTCGCCCTCCAGTACGCCAAGGCCATGGGCATCCACACCGTCGCCATCGACGGCGGCGCAGAGAAGGCCGAGATGTGCAAGAAGCTCGGCGCCACCCACTTCGTCGACTTCACCACCTCCAGCAACCTCGTCGAGGACGTCAAGAAGGCCACCCCCGAGGGCCTCGGCCCCCACGCCGTCATCCTCCTGGCCGTCAGCGAGAAGCCCTTCCAACAGGCGTCCGAGTACGTCCGCTCCCGCGGCTCCGTCGTCTGCATCGGTCTGCCCGCCAACGCCTACCTCAAGGCCCCCGTCTTCGACACCGTCATCCGCATGATCAACATCAAGGGTTCCTACGTCGGAAACCGCAAGGACACCGCCGAGGCTCTCGACTTCTTCCAGCGCGGCCTCATCAACGCCCCTTACAAGGTCGTAGGCTTGAGCCAGCTGAACGAGGTCTACGAGATGATGAAGAAGGGCGCCATTGCGGGCCGCTACGTCGTGGACAACAGCAAATAGAGGACATCACTGTCTCTGATTGCGTCTTAAACTCCCAAAAGGGGAAGCAAAAAAAAGTCTCAGAGGAGTAAACTGAACTCTCACAAAAGGAGGTGTTGGTCGGTGGCGGGGGTTGGTTGTGTTTACAAAGGCGGGCGGGGGTGGTGGTGATGAAATTCGTTGGTCTTTTTAAGGATACCTACTTGGGAGGGAGTTCAGCGTGTATGATATGAATCTCGTTTATACTCTATTACATACGAGTAATGATCAATTTGGATACAAAAAGAAAGCTCAACGGTGATTGCTCGTGAGGTCTGGAAAAAGAGGCCTGAAAAGCTCACCAAAGACAGTTCAACTACTCGTATCTGAGGTACCATCTGCTGCAATGTGCTTCTCAGCGAGGACGGAACTGACACTTGAGGAAGCAGCAAAAGAACAACTCAATTTGACAGTCTGCGATCTGCTGAAACGCCGCACTCTATGGAAGGATCCTGTTCGGATGGCTTGAAGTCTACGGCGAAACTCAAAAAAAGACGAACAGACACGTAGCTACACGCTTGCGCTTAAAAAAGGGACATGACTGAAGGTCATGATTTGGATTTTCGTTAAGTAGTAGGAGTGCTGGGGGCAGCTTTTGTGTGGACATTTGAATCATCTCTACGGTGTGAACCCAACATTTATGAGCCGCCAGGACCGCCCAGGAGCGCAAACCGTCTAACAATGCTGGGGCCGTACTCTTGGTACTGGAAATAGGGTTAGCAATTGACGTGGTAAAGACAGATATCGATAGACATACCTCAGCCTTGGTGTGGCAGTAGGATCGGAATTCAGGGGTCTGACCCAACAAGCTACCACCGAACCATGGGCCGTGTCTCTGTCTCTTGTGGGTGATAACTTGGACCTCCAAGCCGCCAGACTTGGCACCGCCACTACGGACCTCGCTGGCTCGGATGCGCGCGTCGACCAGCTGCTTGATGTCTCTCTGCAGACGGCGGCCGAAGTCCTTGTACAGGGTGGAGCCACCAGAAAGGACAATGTTCTTGTAAAGACCACGACGAACGTCGATGGGCGAGGACTGGATGACGTTGTCGACAACGGTGGGAAGGGGCGTCAGGAAGTCGGAACTGTAGATCTCGGGGTTGAAGAAAATCTCGGGGGCGAGGAAACGCTCGTATCCGACGTCGACGGAGACCTGGCGGCCGCCGGGCTGGAGCACGGGGTGCTTGACGAAGCGGGTAGGGTCGCGGTCGTAGCGGGAGAATTCCTTGACGATATCGGGGCACACGTAGCAGTGCTCCTCCTTGATCTCCTGCGCCGTCTTCAACGACGAGTCAGGCTCGCCTCTGTCACGCAGCAGCGACTGCACGAAGTAGGTCAGGTCGCGGCCAGCGATAGGGATCGACTTGATGGAAGATCCAATAACATAACCCTCAGCGACAGGGATGACGTGGGTAACACCGTCTCCGGAATCGATGACTGTACCAGTCAAAGATCGATCGTGGACCTTGGAGGACGTCCACGAAGCGGCGAGGGCGAGGACGGCCTGGACGGCGATATAGAGACCGGCGCAGTTGAAGGACTCGAAGAAGATCTCGGCAGTGTTCTCGCGGTTCTCGGGAGGGTTCAGGGGCTATAATAGGGTTAGTTTGACTCGCTCAAGGTCAAGATGGGGTGTTTGGATCGCTTCGTACCGGTTCTGTGAGAAGGAAGAAGTGATCTTCGGGCTCTACGCGGAGGTACTTGAAGATGGAGTTGGACCAGAAGCGCTCCATGTGATCCTACACCGCATTAGCATCCCAGTCGAAGAGGCTCCCAGACGAAAACTCATACCCAGTTCTCTATTTGACCGTGGCGGATGGGGTAGTGAAGACCGTAGCCTAAGGTGTCGGTCAGCATTCCGCTATCCATTCCTGCCGTTGCGTCTACTGACCAGGACCTCCTGAAGCAGCAATGGCCTCATCACCAATGAAGAAGTCCAGATCTTCAGTTCCTCGCTTCGAGTTCAAGTGTCCGCCGGGTCCCGCGCCTCCAGTCAGGAAGGAAGGCTTGTTTGCAACAGCTGGGCGTCCGGAACCGGTTCCTCCACTGCCGGCAGCGGGACCTTTCGTCGCAATGGCGGTCGGGAAGACGAAGGATGGGGAGTCGTTGCCGGCGAAACCTAGACGATAATGTTAGACGTATCTATCGGAAACTGATGAAGTGAGCTTCGCAATTGGCGTACCGAGCTTCGAGAATCCCGTGCCGCTGTTAATGGCTCGTTAGCTGGTGATGGCCTTACTGACGTCTGCCTCGGGGGATGCGGGGCAGGGTGACATTGGTTGACTTACTTGTCCATGACAACGGCAGGCGTTTGGTTCGCCATGATGGGTGTATTTGGGGGTGAAACTCGGACAAACTCTAGCTTGTGTGCAGCATCAAGTGGTGGGCGGGATGGACGGCGAGATTGTCGAAGCTGTCGTGATGCTGACGACGTATGTCCAAGGTGGTCGGAAATGTGTGCCTTGTCACCGATCGAGCTCCCAACCTGCGGCTGTGCATCAGAGTGGGTGGATTCTCCAGCCAGACATGGAGAGGTCGGTGCCCCACCACCAAGCCCCACCACGTACCTCCACGTCCAGTGAAGTCAGGACTGTGCTAGCATACTATCTGTGACTGTACCAGTGCACTGTTCGTTGACCTTAGGTAAGCAGCTTTTTTGGTTAACAATCTTGAATTCGACGACATCGATTTGATCCGACAACAAGTTTGGAATACGACCTCGTACAGGTGCATGTGAGGTGATGACCAGAGGTTTTTGGGACGCACAGAACACAGGCAAAACACTCTACTGTGTTGTTAGCTGCTTCCTCCTCCCTAGGCACCATCGGTTGAGTCTCAACTTCCAGATCAGGGCAACTGTTTGGTCTTGGGGCAACCTACCTACCCTACCTACTTTACCGCACTTGTCTCTCTGTACATAAGCACTCAAGCCAGGAGCGTCCTGTCGGTTTCCAGTCTCGACCGCACTCCAGACGCTCCAGGTACCTTGAACTTCCACTACTTACACATTGGTACTGGGAAGGAGGCCTTGTGAAGGCTCATTCTGCATCGCCACTTCCCGATTCAAAGACTCCGACCTGGCTTAGCAAGTTGAAGTCGTTAATCCGCAGTCAGGAAGCTTCCTCCACACAGGGCAATTGCAACTACCTACCTGCGTACTTGCCATCTAACTCCAGTCAAACCCATCCACTGGTTACTTTTTCCTAGGCGTTCCTCTTCTCCTACAATTCATCACATCATCGTCTCGTCTTGCTAGGATGGCCGGTAGCCGGTCATAGCTAGCCCACCGCCAATTTTACGCTTTATCCTACCTTTTATCTTCTTGAACCGTCGTTTTCTGACCCATCGGATACCATATTCTATCATTTCATCTCTTGGCTACCTTTCGCTTGTACCAACGACGACCCGGACCAACTCGCTCAACAACTCGCTACGGCCCCATATCTGGCCGAGCTCACTACCATTTTCCCACGGTCTTCGACTGGTGACTCCTTCGGCAAACATTTGGCAACATCGCCACTCGATCATTCCTAAGAAACGTCACATGTCTACCAGCCCAGACGACCAAGCTCTCGCATACGAAGGAGACCTGCCTTACAGCCTACCGTACAAGACTGGCTGATTCCATAGACACCTGCCTGGATTCTGCATGCGAACCAAGCCTAACGAGTTGGGCCCGCCTGCTGTGGAATGGAATCACTCAATCTTGGTGTCGAGCGAGAGTCGCTGGACACCAACGTACCTTCTGAGGTTCCAAAGATTGATCAGCTCAGTGATCCGGCACACTCCCAGGGAGAGGCTATTGGAGGTACTAATGGCACCGTTGACCGAGTTCTAAAGCGAATACACAAGGAGAAGTTCACCGGTGCTATTTTCATTCACGCAGGTGCTGGCTTCCACAGTCATCAGAACGAGAAGGTTCACCTCGAAGCTTGCAGCGAGTAAGTCTTGCCTACCAAAGTTGACGCTTTTTTCTGACCGCAACAGTGCCGCGAACATGGGAATGAGGTTTCTCAAGTCGGGTGCCTCGGCAACTCACGCTGTCGAGATGGCTCTAAAGGTCCTTGAAGACAAAGAGATCACGAATGCTGGCTACGGTTCGAATCTGTCTATGGACGGAACCGTAGAATGTGATGCGACTGTCGTCGACCATCTGGGACGGAGTGGTGCTTGTGGAGCTGTTCCAAGTGAGTCTTGACGTGTTATATCGCGCTTTCCCTTGCTGTAACTAACAATGTTTTAGACATCCGGAATCCCATTTGTCTTGCAAAACTGATTCTTAACAAGAGCCATCAACCTCTATCTTTGAGACGAGTTCCGCCAAACATCCTAGTAGGAGAAGGCGCGAAGAACTTCGCCATGGAGCACGGCATGCAAACCGTTCCGAACGACCGCTTGATCTCCAAGAACGCTAGGGATCGGTTTCTTCGATGGCAAGAAGACCTCAAGCGAGCCGAAGAGAAATTAAGGCAGGGAGCATCTCGCAGAAGTCCCGGAGAGACCCCCGATGTCTCCCGCCAGTACGAACCCGTGCCTGGCTCAGCAAGAATAGCCCCAGGCCAGCGAGATCATGCCAGTGCCATTCTCACAGGAACTTGGAACGAGGGTCAGCCGGATTCTCCGCACCGAAGCTCACCTGCATTGGATAACCAGGCTCAAGGCCAATCTCAAAGCAGTTCTGCAATGTCGTACTTTCGAACTTCGCCGCAACAAGGAATGGACAGGTCAGCCCTGAGCTATATCGGTGCCTCGTTACCCTCTGCGAATAAGTCTCGAGCCCAGCTTTGGCAGGAAAGAGCCTCTCCACCTCCTGATTCCAGTCACTTGGCAAACCAGGCGAATCGCGATGGCACATTTTCGCCCCCTTCGTCGGACGGAGCCAAGCACGCCAGCACAATTGCACAGCTACAGGCGTGTAGTCCTCGTGGTATTAAGAGACCATTCTCTGCTACCGGTATTGAGGAGGAGGAGGATATTATCACCGACACCGTTGGAGCCATTGCCATTGACGACAAGGGACACATTGCGGCAGGCTCGTCATCTGGAGGCATTGGTATGAAGCATCGAGGGCGCATAGGGCCCGCCGCTTTGGTGGGCATCGGATCAGCAGTTGTGCCCTGCGACCCGGACGACCCTGACCAAGTCAGCGTGGCTACTGTGACCAGCGGTACTGGAGAGCACATGGCCACCACGATGGCGTCTCAGCGATGCGCGGAGCGAATCTATGGCAACACTCGCAGGGGGCCGAACGGAAGAGACGTCGAGGAGTGGGATGAAGATACTATCATGGAATCATTCATCACGAACGACTTCATGGGCCACCCCGGCGTCAAGAACTGCAATTCGGTCGGAGCGATTGGCGTGATGACGGTCAAGAAGACGCGGACGGGGTACTATTTATACTTCGCGCACAACACTGACTCCTTCGCGCTCGCTTCGATGGGTGGCTCCGACAGGCAGCCTGTGTGCGTCATGTCTCGTCTGGGAGAGTCGGCTCAAGTCACACGGGGTGCTCGGCGCATACGGGTCGATCTAGGGTCTTGACAGGAGCCTCGGTGTGCTGAAAATTTTGGACTGGCCACCAGCGACGTGGCTAGGAATACTGGGAAAGTTGCGTTGAAATGGTTTGGCGTCGAGCGTTCCAGGCAAGTTTGGGTCTGGTGAATGGGTTTCCGGGCCACAGAATGATTGGGAGGTGCAGGCTCGTATATTAATAGTTATTAGTGATACCCCTCCTCGCAGCATACATTTCACCTAGAGCAGCATTGGCAGACAAATCACATAGACAACCAGACAGGTTTGCTTGCCTTGGTTTACTTCGCGCGAATAGTGGGGTCCGTGAACGAGCCATGAAGCTGGCATTAAATTCAAAGGCTGATGGCCAACCGCTCAGCCCAACCGTCTTTCCAAACGCCAAATCTATTTGACCTCAGTTCTTAGAGTCTGTCCCTGCTCAGCTTAAACCGGGCCTGAGCGACCCTTTTCGATCTTTGCGTGCCTCATTTGGGCCTTTATCGTACTTCGTTATCCTGGACGCGGAGTGCCTCCAGGGGTGCCTGTCTCCTCCCTGATGTTGCCATTAGCCAGCACCTTCTTCTTCTTTTTCTTCTTCCTCGGAACGACAGCGGGCTTAGCGCCGTAGCTTCCAAGAGCGAGTTTGGTACCACACGTGAGACATTCCGAGTTTTCGGGCACGTCGCAAAATATGCTAAGACAGATGCTGCAGACGAAGCCCGTGTCGACGACTCGGCCGTGGCAGAAGCAGGCGGCGCGGAAGTCGACCGTGTGGTGTGTGGGCGGGATTAATGACGATCGAGCCTCAGCGTCGGCGGAGTAGGCGAACATAAGGTAGCTCAGCAATCCCCTAGGGCTGGTCGCCTGCATGAACGTTCCGTCTGTGATGTAGCTCGCTTGTTGAAGAAATGTTGCGTCGCCTGACAAGGCGAGGGTATCGATGGGGATTTGGGAGTGGGCGGCCGCGAAAACCGCGTTCATTGTAGATATGTACTGAACCGGCTCCGAGTCGGATACGGAGAGGATGAAGATGCGGGCCCGTAGACGGCTGAGGGCGGAAGAGGTTGTGCGAGTGCCCTCTGGCGCCTTTTTCGTCTCGTTTAGTGCCATGGAGGTCTTGTTGATGTGCGACAGCGCAAGCGTGAGCGCGCCTGAGAGCTGCGTTGTCGTACAGGCCAGATCAGCTTCGGTGGTAGCGTTGACGAGTGCTCGCACTGCTGCCAGGACAGCCGTTTCGATCTGTGCGAACTGGGGAAACTTGTTCGCTGAAGCTTTGTTGGGGGTCGGCGCGTAGGCGTCCGTCATGTCGACGTCTTCAGACGTGCCGTTCGAGGCGCCCGAGGGCTCGGGTTTCGTGGGGTAGAGCCATACTGCGCGGTTGCTGTGCGAGGCTATGATGGCGACCTGGTTCGCATTGCTGAAGGCGAGGTGTGCGTTAACGAAGACGAGGATGTTCGCGATCGCCTTGGAGAGCGGGAGGACGTCGTTGAGAGCAGCCCAGGCTCGGGGGTTCGTGTCGATGACGATGGAAAGGAGGGAAGGCGTGGTCTCGTGCGAGGAGACCTCGTAGTGGTCCGAGGCGTCGACGTTGTTCATGGTGAAGTGCGGCGATGGCCTCGTAGGCGGGCGGCCGAGTCGCGGGAGGTTGTCACCTGTGGGGCATATGTGGTGAGTTGCTTGGGTATGGCGATCGACGCTCCGTCAATTGGACCACCCCTTGATCCTACGTCCTCGAGACCAAGCGGTGCACAATGGACCTCTTGGCGCGGTATCAAACAATCAAAGAGAGAAAAAAGTAGGGCGGTTTGTGGTAGGGGCTTGTGTGAGGTGAAGTCATGCAACGAGCTTGCTTCACTTTCAGAAATAACTTGACGGCCGAGCTTACGGCTGGTCTGTGCGCACAGAGGACGGCGGGAAAGAGCGACGGAAGTCATTGGATGGCGGGCACCTTCAGGCCAGGGCCCCGGGGATGACGGGGAACAGGCTCCGAAGGGTCCAACACTGCACCTAGCACTGCAAGATGCGTCACTGGGAATCTCACAATACCTTAGGTAGGTAGGCAGATGATGGCATTCGTTGCTGGGGTATTATTAGTACCGATTCTGGCGAGATCTTCTAGGTCATTTGCGTGGAACTCGACAGAAGCGGTTGGTGATGACCAAGTGTTTGTTTGGTCTTGCGTTGTTCTCAGTCATCTGCCCCTTCATTTCGCCTCTTCTAGAGCCATCTTTCCCAGGTTGTCCGGCGTCCGTCGTCCCTACGTTCCGCCATCTCGCTGAAATACCAGGGAATATACCAAACGCATAAGGCGCGGTCTGGCGTGGGGGCGCGTTAAGTGGTGACGGAGTACGGAACGTGACGGCCGGCTGAGGCAGTGGTGCTTGGTGCATTCAAGCATTCCGCCCCGCCCCTACAGACAGCGTGCATCTTGTTGGCCGAGCCCGATTGGGATGTGCCTTCTTAACTAGTCAGCAGGCCATGAGGGGCTAGAAGGCTCAGTCGACTTTGGGTTTATGCATTGAGATGACCTTCTGCAGTGGAGTGTTGTTTGTTTGGATGGATGGATGGGGTGCAGAAGTACTCCAGTACCATGTGAGGCCGGGCGGTGTAACTGTTGGGTTTGGGTTCCAGGCGGTTGAGAGAGTTTTGGTCCCTGTGATGCAACCTGGGCGCGCAGGAAGTGAGAGGTTGTTTTTGGTGTCTGAAGTCCAGTGTGCCCTGCATGTCGGTTTGCAAATGGGGGCCAGGGAGGGGCACCCGTGGCACCTAAAAAAAGGAAAGTCGGGCCTTTCGCCCACTGCCACATCCCAAGAAGACGAGGATAAGACCTGACGTTGAACACGGAGCTGGAACCTGGACCTGGTAATTTGGAAGTAATGAGGTGCCGAAAGCCATTGGTTGTTGGTAGCTTGATAGGCAGGAGGTACGGACCTAACCTAAGGTAACGTCTAGTTGTTCAACACTCCAGGTCTGACCTCACTTTTCATGTACGTACCGCGTTACCTGTGGCTGAATTTCGCCCATCAACTCATCCGCCAGTGACAAGTCTCACTTGTGAAACCCTTTGGGCTCATCTTGTTGTCTTTTTTCTTATCTCAGCAAACTGACCGACCAAACCTCCTCCACGCATCTGTCATCGCCGCAGCACCTTGTGACCATCAGACCGCAGCACAGTCCGCCGTCGCACCCTAAGGTCCAGAGTAAAAGTACTTATATCGACTTCCGCCCCGTCCCGTCTCCTTCTAGACTGTTCTTCCGTCCCAGGTCTGTCCTCACCCACCACCAAAAACAACGTTTACACCGAAAATATACATATCCAGACCTCGTTCAAGCAATTTTTCACAGCCATACGCAACCCCAAATGGCTGCTGTCACTCAAGCCACCGCTCCCAAGACGGAGCCCTCGAGAGAGGATGAGACCCTCCTTGTCCTTGCGCGATTAATGGAGGGCGGAAAAGAGGACGACGAGACCATTCGCGATTTGGACCAGCTCACCAAATTGCTCAATGACGACGCCCAGCTTATCCAGGCCAAGACCTCTGCACCGACGATATGCAAACTCATCGATAGCGACTGTGTCGACACAATCTTGGCATACCTCGATATGAGACAGTCAGAGATCGTCCGCGCACACGCTATCGTGGCCACCTCTGCCTATCTCAAGGCTGCCGGTGACGACGGCGCCAAGAAGCTTTCCGGCTTCTTCTTCTCCAAGCTCAAGAGGGGCACTTACGATGACTACATCGTCGCCTTCTGTGTGGCTGCTGCCACCTTCCCCATCGTCCCTGACCTCGCCTCCGACCTGTTTCTCAGCGAGGGCTTTCTGAGCTCCCTAGGTCCGCTGATGAGGAGGAAGTGGAAGAGCCGCAAGGTCGAGACTGCTTGCTTGGAGATGCTCAACGCTGCTTGTATGAACTCGCAGTGCCGAGATGCCGTCAACAAGTACTGCACCGAGTGGCTGGAGGAGGTTGTCGACCAGGACCCCGACGAGATTGCGAAAGAGATGCAGCAGGACCCCGAATACGCCGTTCAAGAAGGCTCCGTCGCCATGCGCAGACATTCCGAGCAGGTCCAGAACTTGGCGGCCGTCATCCTAGCGAAACTGAGGGTATGGTATTCAGACCTTTCAACAACCGGACTTGGAGCCGTCCAATCTAGATCTGACTGACTTCAGAACGAAGGCGGTGCCCTCGGCAGCGGCGCAGAATGAGGAGGGGCAATCAAAGATTTCACCAGCAATCACAACCATCGATGACCTATCAACGAGATTTACGTCCATGCTCCTGTCCGACGACGACCATGGAGACAAACATTCCATCGAAGGACTGGCGTACGCATCGATTCAGCCAGCCATCAAGGAGAAGCTTGCATCGAATCCGGATTTCCTGAAAAAGCTGGTCAAGAAGCTCGCAGACGCCCCGCCGAAGTCGCCCTTGACCTACGGAGCGCTTAGTATCCTGGTGAATCTTACCAGATACCAACCTAGTCTGTCCGAGGAGGAAAAGAAGATGAACCAGCTGAAGGCGTATGCTGCCGCAGCTGGCAAGGGGGCTGGGCCTGATCCTCTCAACGACAATGAACACGTCACGGAACGATGCAAGCGCGTGTTCGAGGCGGGCGTCACCCCAGTATTGGTTACTCACAGCAAGGGCGGTTCAACTGCGTCACTTTCTCTTACTGTCGCTATCATTTATTCCTTATCAGTTACGGCATCTTTGCGCGGAAAACTGGCACAGCAGGGTGCCGTGAAGCTTCTCCTGACGGCTTGGGCAACCCTGCCGGAGACGGAGGCATCAGGACGTCGGACAGCCGCACAGGCTCTGGCTCGCATTCTCATTAGCACGAACCCGGCTCTCGTGTTTGGCGGAAGTCGTTCCAACCCGCAAGTCTCTGCCATTCGGCCCCTGGCGTCCATCATCCCCACGGACCCGGCAGCTGAACACCGAGATCTCCTGCCAACTTTCGAAGCGCTCATGGCACTTACTAACCTAGCATCGACTGATGATCTCGATACGAGGCGAACCATCATCCGGGTAGCCTGGCCACAGATTGAAGACCAGTTACTTTGCTCGAACGCGCGTGTGTCCAAGGCCGCCGTGGAGCTCATCTGTAACCTGGTGCAAGCAGTCGAAGGTATGGCTCTATACGCCGACGGAAGCGATCAGGCCAAGCAACGAATGCACATTCTTCTGGCTTTGGCGGATGCAGAGGATGAGGGCACACGAAGCGCGGCTGGCGGTGCGTTGGCGGCTCTCACAGGTCACGAGAATGTCGTACAGGCCATCGTAGATCGCGAGCGGGGCGTCAAGGTCGTTCTCGACATGTGCGCGGATGACAACGAGGACCTGAGGCACCGCGCAGGCTTCATCATTTACAACATGGTGGCTGCTGAGGGCGTCCCCGGTGCCAATGCGCGAAAGAAGATCATCGAGGAGGGCGGTTTGGAGGTTCTCAAGGAGGCGGCCAAGAAGAGCAGGCGAGCGGAGGTGCTCGAGGTCCTTGTGCAGTCGCTGAAGATCCTTCTCGATGACACAAACAACAGAGCGTTGGAGGGTTAGAAGTCTGCATCTCTTTTGTACAAGATCCTGATACACGGGTACATAGACAGAGACCAAGACCATAAGAAACGAGGAACTAGAATCCTAGAAACAAATTGGGCCACCTTCCATTGCTGTGTCCCTGGTACTTTTTGATAATTACGATGGTATCATATACTTTTTGTCTATCCTGATAGCCTCCCCCCTTTTTATTTCTGAACCCTTTTTCAAGCATCCTTCTCCACCCTGTTCAAAACCGCCACACCCTCCACATGTCCCGTCTGCGGGAAGAAGTCGAATCCCACGAGACTCTCAATCTCGTACTTGGTGCCATCACCACCGTCCCCGCGAACGAGCACACCGACATCCCGCGCCTGCGTGTGCACGTTGCAGCTCACATACACGACCCTCCGCGGGCCGTGCCTCAACAGCTGGCTCAGGAAGTCGTTGTCGCAGCCCTTGCGCGGCGGGTCAATCACCACGACCGTCTCGTCCGGCGGGTACGTGACGTGCTTGAACAGCTCCGGCGCGTCCGCGGCCATGAAGTTGCACTGCTCCTCGGGCAGGTTGTTCAGGCGCGCGTTCTTCCGCGCGTACTCTATGGAGTCCTTGGCGATGTCGATGCCCGTGCTGCCCTTGAACAGCGAGGCGAGCGTGATGGTGAAGAGGCCAGAACCAGAGTACGCGTCGATGAGGTACTTGATGCGGTCCCTGTTGGGGCCCTTGGGCGGCATGACGTGCTGGCGGATGTAGTCGGTGAACTTTGGCAGGATGGAGTTGTTGTTCTGGAAGAAAGAGTTGGCCGGGTTGGTGAAGATGAAGGAGTCGATGTACTCGCTCGACATGGCACCCGTGGCTTCCGAGATGCACGTCTTGATGTCGACGTGGGTGTCCGTCTCCACACGGACGGCGTCCTCCGGGAGCTCGGCGGGCGGCTGTTCCTCGCCGTCTTTGGGGTACCGTTTCGTGTTCTCGCGCAGCAGGATGGTCGCGCCCTTGGTGTAGTTGCCGAAGTCGCGCGCGATCCTCGCCCTCTCGCGCTTCATGCCCAGCCGCACGGCATCTGTTCCAATCGGGCAGTCTTCGATGTCGAGGACGATGCGTCGGCCCTTGGCGTTGAAGCCCACTTCCGGCACCTTATCCAGCGCCTTCCTGGGCTTGCCCTTTCTGTGGAAACCCGGGGGACCGTCGAAGTGAGGGGTGAGCTTGGTGCGGTAGTTGTACTGCAGGGGACTGCCGATGGTGTCCCTGATGGTAGGGACGAGCTCGGGGGGAAGTTGCGAAAAGTTCTTGTAGGCCTTCTCGACAATGGTGCGCTTGTGCGCGAGCTGGGTGTCGTAGTCGAGCATCTGGAACTGGCAGCCGGAGCAGGTGGAGAAGTATTTGCAGTTGATCCTGGAGTCGTCGCGCAGGGGGCCGGGCTTGATGACCGACAAGAAGTCGGCGACAGAGTAGTTCTCCTCACGGACGTGGCGGACGACTTTGATCTTTGCGATGTCGCCAGGGGCCACGAAGGGAACGACATAGACTTGCGGGGAGTCGGGCTGGACGGCCAAGCCGTCGCCCGTGGATGAGAGCTCGAGGACTTCCACCTCGATCTCGGTGAACAGCTCGGGGAGAACCGCCTTTGGCTTCTCGACCGTTTCACTCTCGCCCACCTTGGCTTCCACCTCCATCGGTTCGGGGAAGAGGTCCTTCCTCGAGGCGATGACCGCTTGCACATCCGCCGCCAAGACCTCCTCCGAAGAACCCTCCGTGATATTTCTTTCGCGCTTAGATTTCCTCTGCTTAGGATCCCTCCTACCGCCCTGGCCTTGGAATTGGCGCTTGCCGTTCTGTTTCCCATTCTTGTTCTGCCATTTCTGTCCCTGGGGTTTTGAGGGAGCGTCCTGGGAAGGTGGCGCTGCAGACTGAGAGGGGGCCTGTGGCGGCGCCGCCTCTGTTGTTGATGACATTTTGCGGCGTGTGACGAACGTCGAAGTGCGACGACTGGTTGCGTATGAAAAGCTACCGATAAACGGGCGAAGTGTAGATGAATTGAGTCTCGGGAGGAACCGCAGGGGCAAGCCCATGAGACGGTGTCAGTGAAGGTTCTTGGGGACTTTGCTGCAACGGTTGGGGCTTAATTCTGCGACGGCCGGATGTGAAGTGAAGGCGTAAATGGAATGATCGAAACCGTCGTTCGTAGCTATCACACCATCAAAAGCTATCGTCGTTGGTGCACCTCTTAAAGCCAAAAGAGATGTGCCTCCAAATTCAATAAGTGGAAGCTTGTGACTTGCGAGAAAAAAGTTATCACCGTCTGAAGTTGCTGAGAATTACTTAATTCGCCCGTCGCTGATTGGGTGTTGCTGTAGTCGGTGTGGGGCCGCGCCAGGTGATCGTTATCATGCGCCCCCCAGCTTCCCTTATCAGTAAGCCCGGGGGTGTGGATCCCACGGCGGCGTCCCGAGACCTTGTGAGTAAGTTGCTGGGGCATATTCGCAATCGACATAAGTCATGGCGCTTCCCCCGAATACGGAAGCCGGTTGAGCTCGCCATCACCCCCATCTTTTTCTGGTAGAGACCCGGCTGGAGTTGTGGTAGAAACACTATCGTTTTTTTCTGTGTTTCGAGGAAAATAAGACACGGCAGGACGACGGCATAGACTCGGAGGATACATAGACCATTCCCTTTTTCGGCTTATCAATCGACGGCGTTTGCGCCGATAGGGTCTCGACGTTCCGTCTGGTGTCGAAGGGGGCTCAACCACCGCTCGTGCTCTCGTTAAGCTCTTCAAGATGAGTGAGTTCGTCCCATCCCGCGGGATGAGCAGTGTTCGAACGAACGCTTCATACTAACAACACAAATAGAGACTTTTACCACTTCTACATGGCGCTGCTACGCCTCTTTGCTGGCTCTGACCGAGTTACGGCTGGTTACGACCGCTGCGATACCGGAATTTATCTTCAACCCTTCTGGCGGGACCAACGGCGCCGTTGCAAGTGAATCTGTGGAATGCAGCAGGATAGGACGCGATCTGATCGCGCGAGGCGTACGTTTGTTCTAAAATATCATCCAGAAGGTGATTTGAAAGTTTGCATGCTGACTGAATCCATAGGGCAATGCAGTAGATGCTTTGGTCGGTACGACTTTCTGCGTAGGAACAGTTGGCATGTACCACTCTGGCATCGGCGGTGGCGGATTTGTTGTTATTAGGGACTCAGACGGGAACTATGAGTCTGTTGATTTCAGAGAATCGGCGCCGGCGGCAGCCTTCCAGGACATGTACAAGGGCAACGTCGCGGGAAGCGTTTATGGCGGTTTGGCCGTAGGCGTGCCGAGTGAAGTTCGTGGATTGGAATATATCCACAAAAAGTACGGGGTAAGATCGATCTTTCCATGATTAAGACAACCTCAGCTGACATGTGCTTCAGTCACTGCCGTGGAAAACCGTTGTCACCCCAGCGTCTTTATTGGCAAAGGCTGGGTTCAGAGTCTCTGAGGATTTGGTCCGTTATATGGCCTCAGCCGTTGAAAATCAGAAGAACTTTCTTGTTGAAGATCCCGTTTGGGCCGAGGAGTTTGCCCCTCACGGTAAGACTCAAGTTCCTCCATCTCGACTATCCGTTGGCTAACGAGCGAAAGGCACGCTTCTCAAGCTTGGTGACACCATTTATCGCAAGAGATATGGGGCAACTCTCGCCAAGATCGCCGAAGAAGGCCCCGAAGCCTTCTACTCAGGCCCAATCGCCGAGTCAATGGTGGCCACGGTCCGCGCCACAAACGGCACAATGACACTGGAAGACCTACAATCTTACAAAGTCATCACCCGACCCTCTCTCAACATCACCTACCGCGGCTACCGCCTCACATCCGTCGGGTCCCCCGCCAGTGGCGCCGTCGCCCTCAACACCCTCAAGATCATGGAGCAGTTCGACCCCTCCGAGAGCGACGACGTCAACCTTGGGGTCCACCGCTTCGACGAGGCCCTGCGCTTCGCCTACGGCGCTCGATCGCTGCTTGGTGACCCGGACTTCGTGGCCGGCATTGGCCCCTACGAAGACACTCTCATCGACGAGGCCAAGGCCAAGGACATCCGCGGCCGGATTCTTGACAACCAGACGCAGCCGGTTGAAAAGTACGACCCGCACGCCATGTACACGAGCGAGGGCTTCGGAACATCGCACATCGTCACGGCTGACAAGTCAGGCATGGCTACCTCCCTGACCACGACGGTCAACCTTCTCTTCGGAGCTCAAATCATGGACCCGTTGTCCGGTGTCATTCTGTAAGGCCCAAAGTTTACTGCTCTCCCAATGTCACGCTAACACACATCTCCTAGGAACAACGAGATGAACGACTTCTCGATCCCCGGCGTCCGCAACGCGTTCGGCTTCGAGCCGTCCCCCGCAAACTTTGTCCGCGCAAACAAGCGCCCCCTGTCCTCGATCACGCCCATCATCGTCGAAGACGCCAATGGCAAGCTCTACGTCACCGTCGGCGCTGCCGGCGGCTCCCGTATCATCAGCTCAACGGCACAAGTCACTTGGCATGTCCTCGAGCACGGACAGACCATGAAGGAAGCTCTTCGTGAGCCGCGGCTGCATGATCAACTCATGCCCAACACCGTCACCTTCGAGTACCCCTTTGACAACGGCACTGTCGCGAGCATGCTTGAGAAGGGCCACAACGTCACATGGGTTCCCGAGGGCCGAAGCGCGGTGCAGGGAATCGTATTCAGCGGAGGAGTGTTTGAAGCAGCGAGCGAGCCGCGTCAGAAGAACAGTGGCGCGTTTACCGTGTAAATGTATGAACATAAAAGGCATGATCTAGAAACCTTGTCCATGGTTTATTGAGGGTGTCTGAAGGAAAGGGGTATCCTCGAGTCTATGAAGTACATATAGAGATACAAGTAAGAGCAATGCATTTAAAGCGTCATAGCCACCAGCTTTTCCATCTGAGCGATCCACTTCACATCAAATTCTGTCTCGCTGAACCGCTTGGCTGACTGCCGTGCTCTTAAGCGAATGGGAAGCGCATCCTTAATAGAAAGGGCCTTCTCATAGCCCTCTGCGAATTCTTTGACGTTGGTAGCGTGGAAGCCTGTCTTTTTGTTAGTGAATATCCCCTTTTGTTTTACTGGCCTCAACTCACCTGTGGGTTGGCCGTCGACCTCAACAACAATGTCCAGCTTGGGACCACCGCTGTTGTGAACAACAGAGATCAGACCAGCAGCCTGGTATTCCACAACACCAATGCCAAAGTGCTCATTCCACATGCCGTTCACACCCACAGAAGCCCTGCGCAGCCAGTCCAAGATCTCAGGCCACGACGCATCCAGGTGAAACTCAACCCTATCCTTAATGCTGAGTTCATTGACAAGGAGGCGCAGCGTATAGACACGCTTGGAGTCATGATCATCTCTCACACTACCAATGAGAACCAGCTTTGCCTCCTTGGCAGCTTCAGTGTTCGTCTTCAAGAACTCAGCGAAGGATTGAACGATGAGCTGATGGTTCTTCTCAGGGCGAAACTGTGCAATGTAAACCATGGCCTTCTCGCGCTTCTTTTCGCTAGCTTCAGACACCTCCACAGCTTGCTCGAGCTCCTCGACAGCACAAGGAGGGTAGTTGACGGCAATCGGGTTGGTTCGGGATCTAGCCTGACGGTACGGTCCCCAGAGCCTCTGGACGTGGCCCTGCGTCCAAGTCGAGTTTGTCATGACGATGTCGACAGTAGATCCGACCCGGGAGTACAGGGCGGCAAACAATTGCCAATACATCTTCTTGACCTTGCCCCGAAAGCCAACCCCCTTGCCGGCGTTGACACCCTGAGACCCAGTGGCAGCCTTGGGGTCGAGTGACTCCAGCATATCGGTCGAGATTGTCGGGTAGTGCACATAAGCGCAAGTAGGAAGTTTGTGGAAAAGGATCTTGGACAGTCCCAAAGCGAATGCGTAGCCCACAGTGTCAATGAAGATGTCGGGAACCAGCAGTTGAAAAGCGTCCCACGCAAGTACCATAGATCCGAGAGACTGTCCGAGAAGCGTGAAATGAGGCCATGTCGAGGCCAGAACGAGGTGTCGCGTGCTCAGGTAGAGGAAGTTGATAGTCGGGGGGTGAAGATCGATATTGAACCGGGTCTGAGACAGGGTGTGAGTGCGTGGAAAGAGGGGTATCATGTTCGAGGTACAAACCTTGACGCGCGCGAGCATAGACTGCTTGTTCATTTCATGATCGCCGGTGTAAACTACGCAGAGAGCGTTTGGGTATCTTTCTTGGGTGGTTTTAATCGCAGCCCAGAGAACTCTTTCACCTCCGCCTCCAGAGTTACTGCGTACTGTTAGTTGTTGCAATTTGCCCTTGTGAACGAGAAACCGTACCAGAATGGGTGGAAGAAGGCGATGATTCCGGTCCAATTGACGTCCTTTTCGCCGTTTCCAGAAATTCCAGCAGCATGTGATTTCGTATTACCCTTTCCACCAGAGCTTTTGCTGGATGTCGACTGAGACCGCTTGAACTCCTGTTGTTCTGCGGTCATCAGCTCGAGAAGCTGCGCTCGTCTTCCCTCCGTCTTCTTTCGGAGGTACCATCCCAACATCGAGCCGAAGGTTCGGATCAGAAAAGGGAGCATGATGTACGTTGCTAGCGGAGTGATGGCGACGATCGGCACGACGACGTAGGCGAGGGTCCAAGGATCGAGGCCGAAAGAGAAGGGCTTCTGCCCAGACGGCGCTGAGCAGGTTTCCGGCATCGGGGCCGATTGACAGGGAGATAGTTATGTGCGAGTCGAGCTTTTATGCTGCGCAGAGACCGTGGGGTGTTTGAAAGAAAAGGCAGTCGAAGCCGAAGAGGGCGGCGGTCAAGTCCAGCAGCATCAGCATGCCCGTTGACGTCTGCGTGGGATGTTTGAAGGACGGAGATGGATCTTGACGGCAAGTGGCCAGGTGGTACGGACGGGATGTTGCAAGCTAGAAATGGGGCGGGGGGAGCTGCAGCGCTGCACATGGGTTAGGGCGGCACACCTGCCGTGCCGTACGTACCTCGTAGTGGAGCCCCACCAGGGTTCACAGGTGGAACCGGCCGGGATGGACGGGGGACAACGACGCGGGCGGCGTTAGGTAAGGATTCGACGGCCCACCAAAGACAGCTATTGACCATTGAGTTTCTTGTTGGCTTCTCTCAAGTTCTCATCCTCGGTCTCACCCAGATCCTCGACTCCCGACATGACCATTTGAGCGAGCTCAATCCGACTGGTACCTTCACCCTCTACGCTTCGTCTTGACACAAGCCACGACAATTGCCACCAACCTAGGAGTTGCCTGTTATGGCTTCTTTGAGAGGAGCGCGTTACGCTCTGGCTTCAAAATGGCACCAGCCCGTTGCCGGCTTCTCAGCAAACCCCTTGCACGCCTCTCTTCGACCGCAGCTGCGCAACACCGCACGTTGTCTTGCTCAACCCAGGCTGGGTGCTAGAAACTTCTCGATTGCGGCCATTGCAGACGCAGGTGTTGAACAAGCTCTCGCGTTCCTGATCAATGGCCAGGTCGCGGGCGGTGGTTGGGTAGTACCCATTCTCACACTGTCCTTGGTTACATCAATGATGCGACTGCCACTCCAAAAGTACTCGGAAACAATTCTCATCCGCCAAGCCTCAGTGAGCCATTACATCAACCTCTGGCAATTCTTTGGCAAAAATGCGCCTCAGACTGCTATCAGAGCAGCACGCGAAAGGAGAAGGATCTTGAAAGAACACAAGGCCCAAGACTGGAAAACATATGCGCCTTTTCTCGGCTTTCCCATATGGCTGGTCAGTTCGGAAGCCATCAGACGGCTGTGCGGTGTTCAAGGCGGTATCTTATCCGTGTTGACCGGCCGGTACAGGGACACTGCGAAAGCGACATCTGAAGGAGCAACCTCAATTTCGGATCAGACTACAACAACTCTCGTGGCGGCAACCGATGACGTCTCCAACGGAGCTCAATCTCTGTCTACGGTTCTAGATCTGGGTGTGTACACTGACACCGGCCGGCTCATATTCGACCTTGCAGCACCGGATCCTTGGTTCATCGGACCTGCAGCCCTCGGCATCACCATGATCATAACATCTCTTCCATCCACTGCCGGTATGAAAAGAATGGTTCTTGACATCCCTGGCACGGATATGACCCAGCTACCTTCCCACACAAAGTGGAAGGTCCGTTTGTCAAGAGCTATGCTCGCCGCCTCCGTTGTATTACCATTCGCCATCTGCCAGCTGCCTTCGGGCTTATTTCTCTACTGGGTTTCTTCTATGTGGTGGACGAAACTTATCAACCAGATCAGGCGTTCCGCAGGATATGATCCCGATGAGTTGGTCAGGAAGTACACGTACAAACCCGGTCGACATGAGGACTGGTTGCTGCGACGAACAATGTGATCAAGCAGGAAAGGTCATACGACATAAGGAATCAGTTCAATCCTACTTTCAGTGGCTACAGAGAAGACCCAATGATGTACAGTAGCGGCACTACGCCCCGCCGAACGCCTTTGTAATATCAATCTACAAAAAGAAACTTCCTAGCCATCCCACGCTAATCAAGGAAAATCGCAAGAAGGATGATGGTCAGAATGACCGCAAGAATCAGCAAAAGACAGCATCCTTTGTTGCGTGCTGCTTTCTGATGCTTCGCCGCCTGTCTGAGCTCGACCTGGGCGCCCCGGGTGTCATCCCGGACGTCTTCCACGTTGTCCGCGATCGAAGTGAGCTGCTCGCCTTGCTCAGACACGATCTGCGCTACTTGTCTGAATAAGACATTCAAGTCGCCAACGCCTTGCTCAATGTTGCGAATCTCCTCCTCGCGCTCGACAATCAGTGCCTCCTGGAAATCCACCTCGTCCTGGGACGCTAATCGCACGGCTTCCTGTTGCTGCTGCTGCTGTTGTTCAAGATGACCCTCGGTACCTGCCGAGGCGTCGGCTCCTTCACCGTCATGCGCCGCGCGTGCGGCTGTGACGGAGGCTCGCTGCTTCTCGAGCGCCTTGCGCTGGATGTCTTGGAACTCTTGGAGTGCGTTCTGGAAGTCCGTCGACACTCTGGACTGGTCATACTTTTGTTGTTTCTGGGTTGCAAGTTAGCAGGGAAACTCGCACAAAGTATCTACACCACTAACCGTCAAGTCATCCCAGGTCTGAAGCTTCTTGACCCCGTCTCCAATCTCCTTGCATAGATCCCGCGTCTTGTCGAGGTGATCGTGTACTCTTTCTCTGACTCGAGCGGTATCGCGCTTGGTTCCGAGAATGTTGACGTCGGATGTCAATTGTTGAATGTTGCGCCTCAGGTTGAAGATCTTGTTCGTCAACTGCGACTGGAGCTGCTTGAACTCGGGGTCGTCGGAGTAGTTGCCTTGACGACCCGATCGGCCCGCTTCGAGCGAGGATAGCTGGTCGTATGACATGGTGAGAATGGCGGATGCAAAAACACGGGAGTAAAGCAATCAAAGGAATGGCGGTTCGGTCACACGAGAACGATGAATTACTTGAAGCGATGGAAAGTTAAGACGATGGAGGAAGTTGGTTCGTGACGTCGTCGTTGAATGTGGCTGGAACCTACGTAAGTGCCTACCATGACCCAATCACGTCCCGTTCGCATTGGCGGTGCCTGTTCTGCTTATCTTATCGGCCCAGCACGTGATACTAACGGAGGTAGCTACGCCGGGTAAGGTACTCTTTTTTCGAGTGGGCCCGGGCGTCAGGCAGCCCGAGCTCGACCCGTACCTGCAGTGTTGTTGCATGGGAGATTTTTACATTATTTACTTACTTCCAGATCCCGGCACATGCTCGAGTGCAGCCTCGCCAACATCGCCCAAACACACGGTCGACTGACCATGCGCTGTCAACATGGCACCGGCTACAGTCAGAAGGGCGCCTTACAAGGACTTCCTGCAACCCGCGCTGCATAGGCGATTTTCTTCCACCGCAACGATTTTGTTGGCGCTGTCTTATTTCCAGGCCATCTTGCTCTCTGGCTGGAGCTCCTGTGAGTTCACATTGTAGCCAAACCTCGCGAATCTACTGACTGACATCGCATAGACTTCTGGTCCTGGTTTCCCATTGGCCCCGCTGGCATTCGAGCCGTCTTTCTATTCATCTGCGGCCTAGCGATTATAGTCCTTCGCATATCCCAATACCACGTCGGCTCCCGCGCCTCCAACTCCACCTTCCACGCATTCACCAAGTCCTTCGCCAGCCTCCAGACGATCGAAACATGGATGTTCTATGGGTTCTCGAGCACTCTGTTCTCCTATATCTACCTCTGGGCTCTTCCGGATACGGCGAACCTGGGACTGGTCACGTACTACAGCGGCGACCGCGCCCGGGCGAATGAGCGAACGATCTACTTCTTTTGCTACATGGGCATCAGCGCCGCTGTGCAGGCGCTATTTCACTTCTACCACGACGATGACAAGATCTTGATCGATGTGTCGAGGTCCACGGCCAAGGTTTCTAGCGACAGCTCTGCGACTTTGAAAAATGTGGTGGGTGAAATTCCTGCGATCCTCGCCCAGGCAAGCCAGAGAGCAATGGGCAATCTCTTCGCCTCGATCTTTATTTACTTCATCATCCTGAGATCATGGGTCTGGGGCTGGGCGCTTTTCTTCTTGCGACCGTTTTACAACCTTCCGAAGACCAATATGTTGCCTCCGACCCACCCCCTCGACATCTGGCTCTTCCTCCGTTGCTTTATTGCAGGCTTTCTCATCACCAGCATGTGGAAGACGGCGAACCATGCTTTTTCAACCTTCATGGTCAAGGAGCCGCTGAAGAACGGCAGGCCCCTGACTAGCGAGTCCAAAGACCCCAATGGTTCTCTCCTGAACGGACTCAAAAGCAAGAAGTCGCAGATTCGTGTAGGTTTCTTCTTCCCCATGGATACTATCATGTGACTTACCATCGCAGTGCTTTGCTCTCTGGGAGCTGGCTTATATTGCCAGGAACGTCAATGTGAGACGCAAGGCTATTTACGAGGACATTGATCGTAAGGACGGTCCTATGTGGTCTCAAATCTTTGTACTCTGCATGGATGTCGTCAAGAGCATCGAGAAAAGAATAGACGAGTACGGGAAGCCGTTGGCTGCTCCGGCTCCTCCGGCTCAACCCGAAGAAGTGCGAGCTCGCTCGGCGGCACCTCTGAAAGAGGACCCCATCTTTCAGAGCAAGCCGGCAAACAAGAGCATGCGCGGCGAGGTGGAGAAGGCTCTGACCTCAGTCGGGCGACATCCTGGCCATTCGCCAGTGTCCCAGCTCAGCCCTATTGCGAAGAAGACCCTTCGGAGCGCGCGGGACAAGGTCTTGAGCAAGGAGCAGCAGGAGGCCCTGTCTTCGCCTCAGTTGAAAAGCCAGATCCAGATTTGGGCTCTGACAGTGGTGAGAAATGAGTACGTTGGCTGGATCTTCCGCCAAGAGTTCCGCAACCGCCTCACCGCTGTCATTCTCGGAACCCCATACTCGGAGTTGAGCCAGTACATCAACGCTATCGATGTGCTCAGCCTGTTCTTGGTGAACAGTCTCCAGGAGGACAAATTCGGCAACGTTCATAGGGACGTCGCTACCGTCATTCGATCTTTCACCGTCATTATCAACAAAATCGAAACATTCAAGGCCAACTTCCCAGTCCACTGGACAGACATCCAGCAGAACAAGGCTACGCCCGAGGTGGACGCGGTCATCTCTGCGCTGAAGACGGGCCTGGCCCAAGTCGTTGCGGAATTTGAACCCTACGCCAGCGACTTGAAGCTGAGTCGCACGGATATCAGACTGGCCAAGGAAGCTTCGACCGAAGTGCCTCAGGAGGACAGATCACGACTCCCCGAAATGCAGCAGGCCCGTTAGAGACGGCTTTTATCACAGCTGCGTGCTTGGTGGGGGTTGACGAGGCGTTGGTCGAGTCGGTGAGAAGCGTTTGGTGGGCGAAATTACACGTGTATGCAAAATGAAATGTACGTAGTAGCTCAGAACAAAAGAACGTAAAACACAATGCTAATGGTGAGCCTCAAAGTCTATCACATGTAACTGCAGGAGTCCGTCCCATCTGGGTCAGAAGGAGAATGAACATGAGACGATTGGATGCTGGCGATTGGGCACAGTCACACATGTAAGACAAGTTCTAGGCGCTAGTCATGCCTTCTCACGAGTCGACCGACGGAGCAGCGGCAACGAAAGAAAGGTAATCCTGCCGAGGGTTCCCCCCAATGTCAACCCGTTGTGATCTATCTTTGAGACTGGAATTCATTATGGCTAGTGCCCGTTGGCCGCTCACCCGCCTGGGCCGCTAAACCAGATTTTGGCGCACACTAGAGAGCCTGGAAGGCGGAAGCTACCAGGGTTCGCATTGGGTGCCCCCACCTGAGCTTCGGGGGATTGCCAGTGGGACTCCAGCGAAATAAAACAAAACCTATGACCCAGCCTCCCGCTCACACCTTTACATGTTCGTGTTCGCCGTGTTCGTCACCATCACGCTACCTGCGGCAACTTCCCGCCTTCTCGACCAACCTCCATTCTCTCACTCTCTCCCATGCCTTTCTTCTATTCCCTATGTAATGTCTAGCCATTCTTCATCTTCTTCTCCTTCGTACTAGCCGAGCCACTACTCTTGACACTATTCGCATTGGCATCCTTTCACCCAGCCATGCTTTTCCGCTATACACCATTACCTCCCCATGCACTGTTCTGCCAGTCCATGATTCCTATCCTGAAAACTCGACACCTCCCGGGTTGATACCCTCGAGACGCAACCTCTCCTACCAGTCCCAATGTTCTCCCCACGCGCAATCTTCCGTTTCATATACGGTAGTTTTTACTTCGTCCTATGCTTCCTCCTCGCCGTCCTCCTCCTCGTCACTCCGGGCGACACCATCTACCAGGCATACTCCAACCAGCAGCCATATAACATATGGATCATCGCCGCAACTCTCACCCTTGTCCTCCTGATCGTATCATTCATATACGCGACGCGGCTGTATCTCAACAAGACAATCCTCGCATCGATACCGAAACCATGGGTTCCCATCGAGAAGGGCGACGTGAACAAAAAGGTTCACGAGATGATCACGGCGGATTTGATGCGCAGCGCCGCAATCGCATATGACGCCAGGCCGCGCATCGAGACGAACACTGCAGGCAGCGAGGCGGGCGAAGCGGCCGCCGAAAAAACGTACACTGGGGGCAGCGAGGGGAAGAAGCGCTTCCAGCTCGTCAGTCTGAAAAAACCCGCGACTACGGAGAAAGAAACGGGCATAGCTCTACCGCCCCGACGGCCGGTTTGGGGCGAAATCGAACACTACGGCTGGTCATCCCCGAACTCCGTCGATCTACCCGACCTTCAGTATAGCACTGTCCTCTCCGAACTCCCGAACCTCATCGAAGCCAAGGCGCTGACCTCAGCACCACCCGATCCGAAGTCCTCGTCACGTTCACCGATGCTCGATCCAGATGCCGTAGCTCTGCTTCAGCGACCTCCGCAAATGGGGTTGCGCGACTACTTCGGACATCTGGCTGAGCTGGGTGTCATTTCGCTTACTGCGACGGCCGCGGACTTCCTTGCCGCTTATGAATACGCACGATTCTCCACCCGGCCGATATCCAATGCACGGTTTCGCGAGCTGATGCATTTATTCGCGGCAATCTTGCGCGGCATGCGCCCCCTGGACCCGACTGTCCTGGGCCCTCTGGACGAGCCCAGCGAAGAGAGCGATATCGATAACGACGCGCCCATGGGCACGAATCCAACAACTCCCCGAAGCAACCTATCCCGTTCCGCGACACAAAGCACACAAGGCTCTGTTAATAAGAAAAGAGTGCCCGCAATGAATGCGCGCAACTCCTCGGCACATACTTGGCTTCAATATCGTACAGCACCAGCAACACCAAATATAGGCATCTTGGGTGGGCCAATATCAAGGTCCTCAAGTTTGAACAGTTTCGCCCAGACCCGGCCAGCATATGGGCCGAGTCACTCCTCATCAAGCGCAAGCATGAGATCGAGGGCATCCGGAAGCTCGGCATCGGGCTCAGTCATCCGTCTAGCAACCCGAACAGACTCGACCGATTTGCCGTACGTGCTCACTTTGCGGGAGACCGCCTGAGCAGCCAACATATGAAACATTACGATTGAATGACACTGGGCGGACATTGGGCTTAACATGATATCCACGGCGTTCGGGGTGTAAGGTCAGTTATATGTATTATTTAATCGTTAATTGCGCAACTGTTGCCGCGTCTTCTCTGCAAATGAACAAAAGCCGTTCACTATCATGCCCTTCTCCGAATCGGCCAACTCGAGCCAACTGCAGGCGTGACACCTGCACCTGCGGTCTGACGTTGTTTGGATCGCCGCATGCATCTTTGCGCTTGTGGTAAATGAGGCGCGCTTTGACAGGCTGGTCGCCAGCGGCAACCCGTCGCGGTGGCTTCAACCCAAGCACGAGTCTAGCGCGGAAACCTCCCGGAAAACGTGGCTTGTGAGATCTTCTAGGAATGGGCGAGATGTTTCAAGAGGGAGGGAAGAGTAAACGAACACCCCGCGGGTTTTTCGGAGGGTGGGTAAGGGGAGCGTATGAGGAGGACGTCCCTGGTCGCCTTAAGACGAGGCAACCTGTGAACGACACCCCATCCTCGCATCTACCCGCATCTTTGCTGCCGGCCTGTAAGCACCCAGCTGATTGGCCAGTTACACGCAGCTGCGCAGCTTTGCCGAGAGATGTCGCACTGGTCGACGTCACCGGCGGGAAATATGCCTTTGAACAATCTGCAAGTGCAAGGTACACTTTGGAAGATAATCGTGGTCTCCGCAAGGTTTTGACTTCCAGGTTCTTTCAACTCTGTGTCTCCACATCCGTGCCGTGGGCCCGGATCCGAGACGACGTCGCCGCACAACCACGGACCGGTTGTGGGGCCGTTTTTTGGTCAAGTGCTAAAGCGGCGAGCCACTTGATGAATAGAAGTCGGTCAAACAATCGATCGAGGTGATATTTGTGGCGCTTGGCTGTGCTGGTTAAGACGATGTACGGGCCAGAATGCGACGGAATGGTTCGCGTGATAGATCGGTCTCTTGTCGAGGTTAGTCGCCCCTATTCCCTGAATGTGAGCTGTTGACTTACTGATGATGTGTCTTAGGCTGGGCGAGTATTTCCGAAGCCAGATTTGTTGCTCCGTGTACCTATCTATCGGCATTGGCGACGACTTCGTTGATCATGGCAGCCTTTTCGGCATGACGCTGGCCGACAGTTGTGGCGTCCTGGCCGAATAGAGGTACGGGCCCGTTGTTGTCTTCCAAAAAGGATTCGACGCGGCCGTTCTCACGTTCTCGGGCTTCTTGATCTTCTGCGGCAGTGCCGTCACGCGGTATGTCACTGCGACGCGTGTTAGTACCGGCGGTCAAACTCGACAGTAATGTCTTGCGCACCCGTTGATTATGGCCTTGTCTGAGACGCCACTCATTTTGATGGCGATAATTTCGACGATGTCTTGTGTGATAGGGCGGTGTGTCGATGTTGTCGATGGCGATGAGGGCTCTGTGGCACGAACAGACACCGATACGGTAGAGTCGGGATGAATATCAAGAAACTCGAGAGAGGAGCCGACGTGACTGAGGGTTGACTGAGATACTGCCTGTCATCCATCACCTCCTCCCCGGAGTTTTGGTCGGGGGATGTCGCGGTTTTTGTACGACTCTCGCTTTCGAACACATCTCGACGGTCGCGTGGTGCCGCCGAGGGGCACGTCACCCCCCAGCAGACCCGGGCAGCGATACGGTCCATACCAAGCCAAAGACTGGCGGGCTAGCGTGGGCTATTTCGGAGTCGGTCTGGGATTGTACCCCCAAGATTGTCGTTGGTATGTGATATATCCCCAATCGAACTCTGAAAAGAAGAAACGAGCGAGGCGAGATCTGTGCGGCTGGCAGATTCGTAACGGTTGGAGAATGTCGGGAGTGGAATCAGAACACTCAATGACGGGGTGCGGGTGCTGGTGCGTGGTCACTCTCCGCGTGGTAATGTTCTGCAATCTCACATTGGATTCACACCGCATGAGGGACCGGGGGCGAACCACGCCGCGGTTCGCCATTTTCAATTTCGACCGTTCGGATACAGCCTACGCCTAGGGAATCTTCAGCCACATTTGTGTCTTCCAGAAGTTGTGGGCCTGTGTTACCATCGCGGTTAAGTGACAGGAGGACAAGCAAGTCCGGAATGGAAGCTTCAGCGTGTCTGGGCCTATCAATGGTCTCTCCACAGTCAGGTCCTGTCCGAAAGGGAGCATGAGCGAGGGTGATAACGCTCCCGTCCTGACGAGCCATGACTTGGGGTGAAGTTCAACTTGGCGTGGTTGCCTCGCAGCAGAGCCTCCATTTTGCGAACCATTCTCGCTTCAGCCGCCACATCGATTTTGGGGGTTACCTGAATCCCCACCACATCTGAGCTCGTTCTCCAGCAGTCGCAGCCTCTCTTTCATCTCGCCATGCTAGAGGCCATGAGTGGGTATGCAAAGCGTCCTATATATAGCTGGCCCTCCCCCGCATCGTTCCCCTCCTTTCTCTAATCTCCCAGGCTTCTTCTTTTGCCAAAAGCGCCAGCTAAATACTGGCGATTCTGCCGGAATGTCGAGTCATCAACCACCGGTATTTGTTTTCTTTGCAATAACGATGCGTCCTGGAAATGGCTTGGTTTCCCAAGGAACTGTTGGACATGCTTCTACTTGAGAGCGATACATGCGCCTCTGCAACTCCAACATCTCCTATGAAGCTCAAACATTGAAATATTGAACCTCCCATAAAATCTGAAGCCTCTCCACGGACGGACTTCAAACGAAATCGCTGTCAGACGAGATGACCATCGACTTTACGAAAAGAAGTCGACACAATGATTTACACTCAACTCCGTTCAAACCAGAAGAGCAGCTTTTTGGGTCTTCTACAAGAAATACGCGAAAGCCAATTCCGATATCGAAACTCCATACTATTTGTCGCCAAATGAATATATGTCAAAGGAATATACGAAGGAAAATACGCCAAGGGAATACACGCCAAGGAGTGACGCATACCAAACACAACAGCAACAACAACAATAACAACAGCCACACTTCCTTGCTTACAGGATCCCGGACTTGACGGTTGACGCATTTCCAAACCACCTACTTCAACAATCTTGCGAAAAGGTTGAAGTTCTTTATCAGCTTCGCTTGTTTTGGTCAGATCTGAATTCATTCTGCCGATGAGCCACGGGATTATTCAGGTGCCATTCATTGGACGACTTTACATTTCATTTCGTCTCGTTGACGACAACCACCTTTCCATCAAACGGCAAAGCTCTCCCTATGGCACTTGATTTCGACCAGAATCTGCCTCATACAGATGCATATCTCCCTTTGTACCCGCTTGAATACTGGATGCGTAAACCGTAAACTGACCTTCAGTCTCTTATTGGCATTGATTTCTTATTGACCGTTTACCTCCAGTTTGTGTTTCCCTTCCCCTTCTCTGAAGAGAAAGGGCAGGTGAAGCCGCAACAGTTGAGCTAGTATCTTTTGCTCTCAAAAAGTGCTTTGCGGTTCACGACCATTTACAAACTACGTTGAACGATCTTTCTCTGAGTCGCGCTAATTTGAAGTAACCGTGGCATGCTGAGATCAACTGCGCTGAATGAGTCGTTCGCTCTTTCTCAGGTCTTCTTCCCATGCTCCTATATCACTATCGAAATACTATCGTCCTCAAATCATCAAGGTTGTATCTCGTACTAAGGTTCTCTTCTCAGCTGTATTGGTTGGCCATGAGCATGTATAAGTGGTGGTATATCCGAGGCTATCTCGTCAACGTCCATTCGGATGAGAGTAGGATATCGTCTTTCACTCGCATCTTCTCGCTCTGGATTCTTCTTGGAGTTTATTCGCATCTTTCGCAGCCCATATAAAGGTGCTCAGTGAAGACAACAGAGTCATTTGGGTCTAAATGTATTGCTATACCAACGTGGCTGTATATGTAGAAAAGTGCTTATGAGTTTTAGTTCCCTTTCTCGTCCCAAGTTCTCGTACCATATGGCAACAATATCGACTTTTCCTATTGCTCTCTCATCAAGACCTTTATAGCCCGTCGATGATGACCTAACGATATACTTTTTAGACCTCCATGGAGATAAAGCATCGTGATTAGACCCGGTATCCTTGCCGTTGCTTTCCCTCATCCTGTGGTTGTTACATCTGTATAATCTATCATCAGTCAACTTATTCAAAAGTAGATGTTTACTTCTTACCGGCGCGGTTCTTGTACTAATCATGATGTTTGGGTATCGCTTGGTGACACGCCCTCGAAGGTAAACGCAAAGTGATCGATTTGGCAGTTTGCTCCGGTACAGTGTTCAGCCACGGAGTCCTTCGCAGTGACAGTATGATACGATAATGCATGCAGCCGACTTCCACTGGCCGAAGCGTCTCTCAAGAATGACTCCAGTCGTTGGCGTCTAAGTTGTCTCGCTTCATCTGCTTGGGCAGCTGTTCGGGGAGCCGATGTATCGCTGTAGTAGATGGTGAGTTAGCAAGACTTCAGGTACAAGACAGGAATCGAAGCAAGAAGCTAAGGGAGACTGGGGAACACACCCGTTTATCACTGCTTTGCTCGAGGAAGTATCCATCTGACGGCTGTGGAGTTGTGGAAGAGTCAACTTGCCGGGGAAGAGAACAGGAAGAAGTTGGAGGTAGAACTGAGCGGCTTTACCTGTAGGGAAAGAGATCACCCTCAAATATCGCTAGCATTCAGCAATACGGGAGAAGTAAGAGGCCTCATCTCGCAGAAGTCCCGCCGGACGACGTAACACGCTATATAGGGTCCGTCCAAGTCTCATCGTTGCAATGAAGGATTCAGCCCAAGACGAAGTTATTGGAGGGCTTTCTCGGGGCGGTGGTATCACTTGACAAATCTGAGCTGCCTAGAGATACTATTACGATGCAAAAAGTACCTCCCTTGCGTTCCAGTATCGGCCATTTTTGTATGGCTTCCAGGTATCAATTTTTCTCCCTAAGTCGGGCAGATAACCGGAGTGCACGATATATGCGGGCATATGTCAAATAGGGAGCCATTGAAACCCCAGCCAATGAGCAGCTACTAGCCCGTGGCCATAATTGAGGCTTTGATACTTGAAGTCGAGCTTGAGGCGGACAAGGCAAATGGTCGCCTACGGGCTGAAGTCGTTCTATCATTCATGATTGGACGGCGTTCACCTGATGGTTCGCCAGTCCCCGGATTCTGACGTTTTTGGCGGCGGGTGTGGCCGATGGAGTGAAGGATGCGGCGCCTCTAGTCCGCCATGGTTGTGTGGTTCGCCGCGGTTGATGTTGGGGTAGTAAGGTCTCCCCCCCTCTCCCGATCTCATTTGTGATCCAGCCAGCCCGTTTCTTAGCCAGGGAAGCAACTTGCAGGTTCTACCTCCAGTCATGTGATTTCTTCAATAGTTGGTCCTCGCTTTCTGAGGAATGCTTGCAGTAGCAGGTGCGTCGCTTAAAATGACGCTCCTAATCCTGATTTTGCCGACGCCGATGTTGCTGTTTATCAAACACGCGGCAAAAGTAGATAAAAGAACGAACACATCGTATTTATATGAGCTGTCTATTATATACTACTCTTGTATTTGACCGGTAAGTACCTGGCGTGGCAAGGTATCAATGACGCTCAATGGTTTTCTTCGCCGCATTCTGGGTGAGAGAGACAACCGAGATCAGAGGTCGTCCGGCCCCGTCCCGTGTTTCGGCATCCGCGCGGCGCCGGTTTCATGTTAAGTGGGACCGGCTTCTACAGACATCTTCCGGGCCGATGGTTCGGATGGGGGATGGACACTGCCGCGAATTCACGCTCAGTCATCGTCCGTACAGCGGGTGAATAATCAACCTCGACATTGCATGAAGAAAGTCTATCTGCCCCCAAATGCCTACTTCGTCTATTCAATACCCATAGAACTCTGCTCGGTAACTATGAGATCAAACCAAATGAGCCAAACCCAAGAGCCAAAGAAACAGGCAGTGGAGATTGTATGAGCCAGCTATTACTGTGGTCCCTCTGAAGCCTCCTTCTCCGGCTTCCTGCCCCAAACGGAGTACCTGTGCAAGCCATTAGCCTCTGGAGACTGAGAAAACAGGGTTGTACACTTACACCGGGAAGTAACCGTGAATCTTGCCCTTTCTCACCTCATTCCGCACCTGAGAGCAGAACACGATGACCTCCTCCTTCGTCCATCCAAGGACGCGGGTGAAGTAGGCAAGACAGATGCCGTCCAGGCCCTGCATAAAGCTGGTCCGACACCATTTTCCAATTTCCGCAAGCTTGGGGTCCTTCGGCCATGCACTTGTCGGCCAGACCACGTGGCGTACCTCAACGTCCACGAAGCCGGCGTCTTCTACAAGTTTCTGAAACGAGGTCGCCACGTTGATAGGCTGGCCGATTTTGTCGGTGGCTTCAATGAGGTACTGCGTCCACTTCAGCATGTACGAGTCTTCGGTGAGGGTGTCGTCGTCGCAGACGACAGGGAAGTGATTGTCTTGGATCTCGAAGTATCCGCCTGGCTCCAAATTCTCGTATGCCTGAGCAAGGACCTTGGGCCAGTCGCGGAAACTTCCAATCATGGCTCTCATAAAGACGAAGTCGAACGGCTGTGAGAAAGTCCATTCTTTGTCCACGTCATCAATCTCGAAATGACAGTTGGGAGGGACGCTGATGTACGGGTTAGCTATGCCAGACTGCTGGGGTCACAAAGTACTCACAAACCCGGCTGGATTGGGCTCAGATCGACTCCATAAACCTGACTAGGTGCATTAGTAGAATGTCAACAGCACATCCGAGAATCGAAACGCACCGTTGCCTCGGGATGAGCATCGGCTGTGAACCAGTCAGCTAAAAGATTGCAGAATAGCCAAAAATAACTTACCGTAGTCCATGGCCCAGATTCCGGTTCCCGTTCCGACGTCTAGGACCCTCTTGGCCCCGTCCTTTTTCGGGCAGTTGCACAACTCACCGTCCCAAGTCAAGAGCCACAATTGATGGGCGAAATCTTCCATCGGTTGTTAGTCTCAGGGCTGCGATTATCCCTTGAATGACATACCCAATCGATCTTGCTCCTCCTACATATGAAAAGTGTCAGAAACCCCCGAAAACAGAGCCACAAATTGCGACGCACCTCATCATTGGGACCGTGATACTCTGTGGGTTGTTGGTTAGGTAAAGTCTCACCAAGGAAACTTCAGGGAATCACGCACTTCCGTCACTAACTCTATGGTAAGTGCGACCATTTTCTCTTCGGTAGTCCATGATGCTAGATCTCAGGGAAGCTACCGAGTCATCCAACGACTCATCATGACCGTCAGCTATGAGAGCTATGCTGTTCCATGGCAGCTGTAACTCACTTCGCCGCCGATAGATGAGGTATCATCGTCAGCTTCGGGTCCCTAGTCCATGTCAGCTTCACGCGCACCCGTCGACCCTGAGCCAAGGGTTCAGGAGCAATACCACGTTCGCTGGGGGTGATGTAGACATCTTTGTCGTCTGTCAGTTGATTAATCAAGTCGATGAGAGATTGAGAGGAGGGGGGAAAGAGCCAACAGAGAGAGGGGTGGGAATGAACGGGGATTAAATGTGGTCTCGTCCTGACCCTTGCTCGCAACCCTCAAGCCTACATCTGTTGGCAACCCCGCTCCGTTGGTTCTTCGAGGCCAGGAGCCGAGTTTGTCCAACTCCTATTGGACTGCACCCAGTTTTATCATTTCACTCTCGCAGATGTGGACAATCGACCAGTCCGGTCCAGATGAGAGTTCCGGGGGGATTCTGAGGGGATGGTCCACTCGGCGCCTGTACCCGGGGCGATTTGAGGTAGCAACATTCGTGGACACATCTACACCTTCCTGAGATGGAAGTCGCCAAGTGTTTCTGGCGTCCCATTGTGGATTGTCTTTCGTTTCTATTTTCCTGGGCAGCCTTACTACCGCAGAGAGAGGTGAGCCGTCATTGGCTGGTTTCATTTCACTTCAAGCTCAAACCACACAATATAGAATGTAGATCCCACCAAGTAGTGGGAAGAGGCAGCTTTCAATATAGAGGCGAATTATTGTCGGCAGCTGCCTGTAAGAATAAACCCAAATCAAATCAATAGCAGTCAATCAAACATATACATGCTCCAGTGATATCTTTACATTACATGACAATAGTATCTTTACATAGTCGTACAGGCATACGTCGCACCCTTCCCTGCAACTCATTAGGTATGCGCAGCCCAAGAGAGGCTAAGTATTATTTGGGTGTCCCGTGAACCAATTAGACACGAGCCGTAGGGTTCGACTCCTTCTCCCTGGAGAACTGGTTCTTGTGATACTGAACCTCATTGTTGTGAGGCACAGCGGGCGGCGCCACATTCTGTCTGAAAACAAAGCGCTTCCAGAAGTAGAAGAACTGCGAGAGGCCGTAGCGAGCAAACTTCCTCAACGGCACGCTGAAGACAGCGTCCAACTCTTCGAGCGTCTTCTCCTTGGTTTCGGGGAGGAAGAAGAGGACCAGGAAGAAACCAATGATGTTCCAGCAAGCGTACCAACTGAAAGCCCCCTGAGGCGTGAAGGCACGCTGGAGCGAGGGCCAGGTAACAGCCAAGATGAAGTTGAAGAACCAGGTGGTCGCTGTGGCGAGAGACATGCCGATGGGGCGGATGTACAACGGATACGCCTCGGCTGAGTAGGTGAACGGCACTGGGCCCTCACCCGGTGAGTACACCATGCCAAACAGGTAGATGCCCGTAGCAATACAAGCTACCCTGGCGGGGTTCGTGGGAATGAAAAAAGAGAATCCGGTGAAGAAGAGACAGATGGACATCAATGGAAATGTTGTCAGAAGCAGGTTCCTCCGGCCAAATGTATCGATAGTGTAGAATGCCGGAATAGCAAAGAGGAAGTTGACAACTCCAAAACCAAGGGATGCTGAGAGAGCATTGAGTTCGGAGAAGTTTGCAGAGAGGAATATCTCAGTGCTGTAGTAGGCTGAAAGAGATTAGTAAGAAGATGTGTGAAAGTTGTGAAAATAAAAACATCTTTACACTTACCGATTAAATTGACACCACAGAATTGTTGCATAAACATAACAATTTGCGACGCTAACATAGCGTTTCTGTTACGCCTTATAGTAAATAACTCCTTAAAGCGGTTAGACTTGCCAATAGCTTGTGTGTCCTTCTCAGCTTCAAGTAGAGAGTTGGCATAGAAGAGGTCTCGAGCAGCCTGGAGCTTCTCAAATCGAAGTTGGCACATTGCCTTGTATGCGTCGAGGTGGCGGCCTTTGGTCAAGTACCACCGAGGTGACTCGGGGATCAGATAGCAGCATCCGCAGACAATGATTGCTGGAACTCCAGCAGAGCCCATCATCAACCTCCAGTTGAGTCCAGTGATACCGCTTTGATCTGGCACGTAGTATAGCGCCAAATCGGCAACATACCCGATGGCAATTCCAACAGCTGTCCAGAATTGCCAGGACATCACTAGGCCTTGTGTAAGCTTGTGTTTGTATCAAAGGATTTAGGTTACTTGAACCAAAGTCTCCGAGAGATACTTACCCAACGCTCCTCTAATCCGAGGCACAGCGCACTCAGCAGAGAATATAGGCGCAGTAGCTGACTTGGGGCCGATGCCAAAGCCGAGGGCAAATCTGTAGATGTATATGAGCCTAAGAGCATAGCAGGCAGTGAGGATGTGGGCACCAACCTAGCAATGAACATGTGCCACCAGGTGTTGGTGAAAGCTTGCCAAAAGCAGGTGATCGCACTGATAGCGCAAGACAAGAACACTGTGCCACGACGACCAAACTTCTTGTTCAGGGGCTCTGTGAGCCAGCAGCTTGCCACGGCACATGCCAAGTACGGGGCCGAGTTGACAAGGCCGACGAGCCAGGTGTCGCGTTCGGTTTCGCCGTCGATTTCGAACTGCTTCTTGTAGAAGGACTGAGCACCATTGACGACAGTTTCGTCCATTCCCTGGACAACAGCACATCCTGAGCAGACTGTGCATCAAGTTTGTCAGCACTTGCGGAATAGTGTTGTGGAAGAAGATCAAAGAGAAGATCTCGAATAGAGATACCGTATAGTGAGAAACGGTAATTGGAAGGGAAACTAACTCGCGACAACAGCGAACAGCATTTTCGGGTTCCGCCACTTGTGCGTCGTTTCGGCGTCAAGGACAGCCCGCTCTTGAGCAGTCAACTCGGTCATGGTGTCATACTTGTTCATGTTGCCAGCAATCATGGCCCCGAGGCGGAAGGCGCGAACGTCTTCCTCTTCGGTGATGCCATGTTTCCCGCAATACTCCTCACCCAATCGACCGAGTTGATCCGGAGTGAAGCCAGCAAGAGGGTTCTCCAACTTATGAGAAGCCTCCATTCGTCGCTTCTCTTCCGGTTCGACAGCCGTGGCCTCGGAGAATCGTCCAGGATGGTCCATATGAGCGACTTCGGCTTCGGACCGGTCTGAGGACAACCGGTCGGGGGCCTTTTCTCGTTTCGGATCCGAGGCCATGCTGGCGACAGTACAGAACTTGACCCGTTGGAGGGGCTCGTAGACTGATGTGCGGGTAGTGGTGTGCCAAGTGAGGATGAACACTGGACTCCTGGGGCAACGAATACGCTAGCAGACACTTCCGCGATCCAACAATGAACAATATGAGAAAACTGGGAATATGTAGAAGAGGGGTGTTGAGTGGATTGTTGTTCCAAGATAGCCAAGTGCGCCTCCCGCCTTGGGGATAGCTTGGCTTCTTATATCCAGATGCGACGCCAAGAAGGGTTCAGATCAAGAACAGCTCCAAAGGCACCAAGCGGAGACTTCTCTGCCTGGGTATGAGCTTGAGCGAACCCAGAACTCGGGACGCTTAAACGGTGGTTATTGTGGAAGGTCTGGGGATGAGGGGAAGGTCGATCGCGGGGGTGGGCCAGAGGCCACGGGTAACGTCGACGAAGACTGGATAACACACAAGGAAATGGGGTTCATTCGGCAGGGGATAGTTCGCGAGACCGTCAGGCTGCGTAGGAAGGATTCCGGACGACGTCATGACCATGTGAAATCTGCGCTCGCAGAAGACAGGAGGTCTCCATGATGCCGGCGATGAGGCTCGTTCGTCGGTTCCGCGAGAAAATGAACACTATGGATTGGTCGGGACGTGTGGTTGACCGCGTAAATGGAGGTGGGAAGGAACCGGGGTATCGAAGTCGGGAGGCAGCGTGGGCTTGAAGGCTTCCTCGTTCGAGCGCCTGTCTTGTGCGCGTTTGGCAGAAAAGATGGATGGGATCGACACTGGATCGGTCAGAGATTGCGATTGTGTTGGTGGTCGAGGTGGTGTTGTGGTGAGAGAGAGAAGGGGCGGCTGGTCGAGATGACGTTGAATTTGCATGAGTAAAAATGGGTCTGCTGCTGTGGTGAATGGAATGCTTCAGCAGTCGCGGTTCCCTGTCCTCGATTTTAGCGCGGGGTGCAAATTGGATGGTGAATGCGTGGGTGACCTTGCTTGGTCTTGGTGTAAGTGGAAAGAGCGACCCTAAGTTAAGGTGAGGTGAGATGAACCAGGCTACCTAGGTAACGGTGCCACCGCTTCGAGTGGCAGTGGCACTGCGAGGGCATCTTCTTCAGGGCTGCCAAGGGCATCTTGATCGCCCAGAGAAGTCAAGAATCGTGTCGGCCGGGTTCTCGCAGTGCCCAGGAAGCGCTAAGTGATCCCGTCGCGGCTTGAATTGTGCCGCATCTCTTGGCCGCCAATGGGGGTTTTTGACATCATCCTCCAGATCTCACCACCTTCGGCAAAGATGCAAGTTGGAGAAATAATTTCGAATCAGAAGACGGACTCGAGGTTCGTCGAGGTCAAATCAAACTTTCAATTCACATCAATCTTCTTTCCCACGTGGTTGAAAACTAATAGTGAGGTGCCCATTGAAAAAGGTTGGCGGCCCCGTTCAACGGCGTCGATGTTCACCCACCTTTTCGCGCCGCAGTGGGGAACCAGTACTTTTTCTTTCTTTCTCTCAGGCAATGCTACCTGCATCATAGAGCCAGCTTTTCACGAAAGCCTGGAGATACTGGCAAGCTACGTTGTTGGTTTCTCTCAAAAGGTCCCGAACCCCTTACGTCATATCACAGCACCTGCTCCGGGGGTTGCAGCTGCGGTGGATTCACCCCATGCACCTCCTCCAGGGTCGTCACCACCACACGACCAAATACCCCAGGAAATTCATACCCTGCCCGCCTCAGTTGCGTTCGCCTTCGTCATGGCTCGTCAACTTGAAGCTTCAAAGAGGCACAGCTCATCTCGAAACGGTCAAATAACTAACTTTCAGAAGCTAGCGTCTTGAACGGCAGACCCTACAGCGACCCTGGCCTTCGGACGTCATAATGAGGAGCATTTAGTACGAGCCTCAGATCCTTCGCGTCCGACAACAGCCCCTTTGGCCATAATGCATGGTACTCACTGGAGGATTGCACGGAGCTAATCAGGTGCTCAAGGTAATCGCAGTGAGTGAGAACGCCTCGGATGGGAGGTTTCCGACGATGTGGGGCCGCTTACCGGAAATACGGGGCCGAGCGTCCGCCGAACTTCCCGGACCTCGTCGGTACTGCAGGCGCCCCATACTTTCTAGACTTCCAACGCGACGGTAGCCCGGCCCAGTCCGATATCGTTCTGCCCGCGGTCGGGATACTCTATCTCACGGGAAACCTCGGGCCGTAGTAGACATTCTGAGGCGGGGCCGACATCGTTGGTAATGAAACAGATGGCGTGAGAGAACCTTCGGCATCAAGCTGACAAATAAACCCGCTTTTCACAGCTTCTTTTCTTTGGCTCAAGAATGCCAGTAAACCTTCTTCCGCTTTTTCCGAAACAGAAACGTACCCGTTTCGCGGGCCCGCTAGACGTCGGCAGGTCATCGGCTAGTGGACGCTTGGGGGAGGGGTAATCCGGGGCCATCCGGCGTGGGCAGCCGACGGGATGGAGCCGGCCGGCAATCGGAATCGGGATGAAAGCCGGTCTTTCTTACAGCATCACGATTTGACTCCTCTCTTATAAGTCATCCAACTACCATCACTAAACGCACAAAGTCTAACCTCCAAAGTCTAACTCGGTAAATCTAACTAATTTGAATGCCCACGAAGTCGATCGCATAAAAATGGCACCCAAACACATCAAGAAACCTTCTCCCAAAGCCTCAAACACAACCAATGGCGCCTCAATCGACGTTCCTCAAATCGTAAAGGGCGTCATCAACGACATTCAAACCCAAGGCGACGCCGCCGTTCGCTCATACAGCCAAAAATTCGACAATTGGACCCCGGACTCATTCAAGCTTTCTGACACCCAAATCCAAGAAATCATCGCCAAGGTCGACCCCCAGACCATCGAGGACATCAGAACAGCACAGCGCAATGTACGACGCTTCGCACAGGCCCAGCGCGAGAGCATCCGCGACTTCGAGATCGAGAGCGAGCCCGGCGTCTTCCTCGGCCAGAAGAACATCCCCATCCAGAGGGTCGGCGCTTACATCCCCGGCGGCCGCTACCCGCTCCTCGCATCGGCGCACATGACCATCGTGACCGCGAAGGTCGCTGGTGTTCCACACGTCATAGGCTGCACTCCTCCCATCTCTGGCGAGATCCCCAGCGCGACGGTGGCGGCCATGCATCTGGCCGGGTGCGACGAGATCTTCATCTTGGGCGGTGTCCAGGCCGTGGCTGCCATGGCTGTGGGCACGGAGACGGTGGCCAAGGTGGACTTCATCGCCGGGCCGGGAAACGCGTTTGTTGCGGAGGCGAAGCGGCAGTTGTATGGTACCGTTGGTATCGATCTCGTAGCCGGGCCCACTGAGACGCTCATCGTGGCCGATGAGCATGCTGACCCGTTGACCGTTGCGACTGATCTCGTTTCTCAGGCGGAGCATGGTCCGGACACTCCCGCGGTTCTCATTACACCTTCCCAGGATCTCGCGGAGAAGACGATACAGTATGTGGATGCTTGTCTGGAACATCTTTCCACGAAAGCTGTCGCTGCCGTCAGTTGGAGGGACCACGGCGAGGTCATCGTAGTTGATGACCTCGACGAAGCGTACCGGGTAGCCGATACGTTTGCTTCCGAGCACGTGCAAATATTGACCCGGGAGCCCAGAGAGGCGCTGTCGAAGATGAAACAGTTTGGCGCCCTGTTCCTTGGGGAGAAGACTTGCGTTAGCTACGGCGACAAGGTATGTTCAGGAATCCGTTCTGCAAGAGCACGTTGTAACGTCAGACAGGTCATTGGCACAAACCACGTTCTTCCCACCAGAAAGGGAGCGCGGTATAGCGGCGGCCTTTGGGTCGGGAAGTATCTGAAAACATGCACTTACCAGGAGGTTGTGAGCGAGCAGGCGAGTGGTGAGCTAGGACGACTGTGCGGCCGGGCATCTCGAGCGGAGAATTTTGAGGCGCATGCTCGGTCCGGAGATCTCAGGGCGGCCAACTATCTGAAGGATTCTGTATCCTGGATTGATGTTGCCAAGCAAGATGTGAAATTGTGATATAGCGAGGCAAAGTTTCTAGAAGCGGAAGAAGTATAGTATCGATGTTCATAACAAGAGGATAATCTTCTCAGCAGTAGCGCACCCGGGAAAAGTGGGACTATTCCAACGTCGATCGGCTTGAGCCCGGTCTGTAGGGTAATACCTTGATGCTTGGAGGTGGTGACCTTCCTATTTCATGCAGCAGCTCACCAGAATCGACACCAGCCAGCCGCATGTATAGATAACGCAATTAGACCGGCACCCAGTAGAGATCCAAGTGGAACACACCAAGATCGACAACATAATCTTAGATTTGCTTGTCGCCGAGAAACTCATCGCGCTAGGTTTTGGAAATCATTTGATCTCCAAGCAGGCTTGGACAGGGATTGCATGTCAGACTAAATGCGGGAGCATGCAAGACTCATCCCAGCCCTTCCTCGGCCGTGTAAGTCGTCGACGACTGGATTTGACGTATCACATATTTCAACAACATGAAGACAAGACATGGTTAGAGTTGAGATTGGCTCGAAACGCTAGAGCCAATGAATAGGAAACTGAATTCATGACTTTGGTATCCGAAATATGCTGTGATAAGAGACCCTAAAGAAATGCGAGATTTCATGCTTGCTTGCTTGACAGGGTATCCGTTGTTCCCCAAACACCATGCTATGCTCAGTCCGTAACCGTACTCGATGCTTTTATGGCTTCATCACTCGTTCATGTCTCTTAAGTCATCACGCTTGGAATGCAGAGGGATAAAAACAAGTCTGGGAAAGGAGAAGGGTCATCGCGCCGGTCGAATGGGCGTGCCGACGGGGGTGCTGTAAGCCGAGCGGTCGAAACTCTTGTGTTTGGCGCGTTTTCGTTTGAGGGCGGTCCAGTCTGCCTTCCAGTTCTGAATGCTCTGGGCGAGATCTGAGTCGATGTCGGCAGGGCATTGAACTTCGATGGCCTTGAGACCCAGACGAAGGTAAGTGAGCTCCGAGTCGTTTTCTTGAAGCTCTTCTTCCCTGCGATGAGTCAGTAACGGCGCCGGATGGCCGGACCTTGAACTACATACAAATTCTGGACTCTGGACTGAAGAAAGATGATCCGTTGTGCTGCACGTTCGGCGCGGGTGACAAGAAGTTGATGAATATGCTTGGAGTTGTCAGTTGCGGTCGTGCAAGTCAGTTACACGCATATCTTACTTCTGATTCTTCTTGCCGAGCCTTGAGATTCGTGACGAGGGTTTCCAATTCGATATTCAACTTTGCCGCCTCAGACGCGATGCGGAAAGTGTCAACAGCGGGTTTCTTTTCGATGGTAGGTTCGGGAGTAGGCGTGTCTCGTCTGAATGAGCTCCGACAGGACGGTGAGATATCCGACAACCCGGAGCGAAACCACGAAGGAGATGGTGATGTCCAAAGAGACTCATGCTCTTGTTCCTCCTGTTCGATCTGTTCGACCGCGGGCCACGTCTTAGGCTTGCCCTGGGGCGTCTCTTGAGACACATGAACCTCACCAGTCATGACGGATTCTATCTCGTCAAGCTTCCCGTGCATGGCGCTAACGTTGGTGTCCGGGACGTCTTCGCCCGACAGCAGCTTTTCCGCTAATTCATTGAGTCGCTGGACTAACCCAAGCGTATCTCTGGTGGTCTGAGTCGCATTTTCGTCTGAATGAACCGAAGCCGTGAGGTCGTCCTCGGTCCAGGAGCGCGCCAATGGGCTCTTAGCCACTGGCGTTGAGAATTGCTGACCGACGGTGGAAAATTGCTTGCGAGGGGGTGACAGCGGTGAGAAGCCGCGGAAGCTCAAGGTCGAGGGCAGAGATGGCGATGAGGCTTGCGGTGAAGAAGCTTGAGGTGTAGCGGCATGGGGCGTAGAGGGCACAGGCGCAGACGCAGGCGCAGGCAGTCTGACGGGACGGTCGTGGCTTCTAAGACGACGCAGGCCTTTGCACGGGCTGTTGTCGTCCTCATGATCGTTCAAGTCGAGAAAACGTAGGCCCAGCCCCGAATCCGACCTGACGTCCGGCATAGCTGTGCATCGAGTGTGGTTTGGGAGTGCTTGGGCGGCGACACTGGAGGGGCCAACCAAAAAACCGGGTCTTTAGCCTGACTCCCGTGTTCCTCTTTTGGGAGGTTGATCAAAGGAGTAGGTCGACGCGATTAGATCGAGACAATGCGAGTCCCGAGTCGGGTGACAAAGTAACCAAAGGTGGGAGCGTCAGAAACTAGTCGGACGTAGTATTTCCGAAAGGGATCCGAGAGGCCGAGTTGTGTGCGCGCGCGGTTGGGGAATTGGAAATTTTTGGGTGATAGACAGCTGCAGGATACCTGCAGTAAGGTGTGATGAGGTGTGTCGGTCAAGAAGCCAACCAATGTGTTGGAGACTTTACTCCTTTGTCTTTGGCGCGCTCGACGCGGTGTGAGGCGTCGATTTCGTGTCGGGGGCTGGTGAGGGGCCGGGGGGCTGGAGGCGCAGCGCAGCGCAACCTAATGTAATGCATGGAATGGAAGCGAGGCTTGAAGAATTGTGGCGCCTTGCATGTGACCACAGGGGGAAACCTGGGCTGAGCTGGCGACGACCTGAAGCTGCTGAAGGGGACATCGAGGAAGAGGGTTGGAGGGGACGGGAGGGCAGGAAAGGACCGGGATTCTTCGGCGGGCGGGGGCGGCCTGAGCGGCTGCTGCATCGCAGTTGCAGTGAGACGTGGGGGAAGAACCGCCGCAACGCAGCTTTTTCGGAGAGCAGGAAGCACACGGGAAACACAGCTGCTGAAGGAGAACCCCCCCCGCCGCGGTCGTCGGTTCAGGCAGTCCACGGGTGGTGGTCGCGTGCGACCGAAATTGATAGTGCGATACATAAGCGGTCAGCTTCCTTTCTGCCGGTCACATGTTTTACAGCACTTGTATCAGATCCAGGCTTTGATGATTCAGGTCTGCAAATCAAGCCACAGAACACTCTTGGCCTGTTCGGGTGCTACCACAAGATAAACATTTGACAGTTCAGCTCGAGGACACTCGTGAAGCGATTGAAAATAATAGAAACTCTGAAACAAAACGAACTCTTCACTGCAAAGACTTCGGAGTGCTCTCGGTCTAAACACTCGCGAGCGGCCAACGCCGGCACCTCTCCTGTCGGCTAACCGCCAAAGTATCGCGCTATCATCGAATGACCTCCGCAGGGGCCTATGACGCCGAGTCGGGGAAAGTACCAGCGTCCAGCGTACCTTTGCCGGGCCAGACTCCTCAGTGGGGAGACAGACTTCCTGGCCCGGCCGCGGCTTCGTTCCTGCTTCCGGCGCTCCAAAGCTCTCACCTTCTCAAAAGTCCTACTCCATCTCTATTGCCAGAAATAACCTACACGAAACACCTCTCGAGCACGCTGGCTTGCACGCGACCTCCGTCTTCATTCCCATTGACCATGCAGAACTAGACCCGTCCTTCTCGACTTCCTCTCGCGATTCCCCTCGCCTTTCCATGTTGCCCTGCGTCATACCAAAGCCTCGGTAAAGGCCCTACCAGCTCGCTCCCGCGGGGTTGCCTCGACTTGAAAACGCCAACAACAGTAGACTGCCGGATCCCAGAATAGTCGCCCAACATGTCGTGGAAGAAGACGGATAGGTTGATGGACACCATCAGGCATTACGCCAGTTTCCCGGCAACTGGCGTGAGCTTGAGGCAGATGGTTCAGTTCGGAGAGAGACCGTCAGTTGGTTCGTCTATCCCTCCAGTCCCGGTCGCCCGAATAACCTCACGGTCTGCCTTGCAGTTCTCCTGCATGCGCCTTGTGCCTGATGCTGAGATGCTCGTGCTTGATGATATTCATCTGCTGTTGTTTGACTTTTTGGCTGACTTGTAACCTTTGTTCAGGAACCCTCTTCCGTGCCTCCCAATTCCTCGCCGAAGAACTGCCAATTCGTCTCGCCCACCGCGTCCAAGAACTCGATGAGCTGCCTGACGGTCTCAACGACATGCCCTCCGTAAGGCGGGTGCAAGATTGGTACGCACAGTCGTTCGAGGTACGTCGACGCTCTACTATCGCATGACGCATGATGGGACATGACTCACTGACGTCCGGTCGTTCGCGTAGGAACTTACACAACTCCCACGACCTGATCTGGACAGGAGCACAAAGGAAAGGCTCATGAGGCCAAGCAAGTCATACGGCAAGGCTATGCTGTCCGAGGCGACAAGAAATCCGAGCATCGAAGAGGGGCAATACGCATCCCTCCCGCAATCTAACGGCAATGGCCACAACAAGCAGAAGGCCGTTGCCGCAAGGAGATACTTCGCCATGGTCGACGACACAGGAGACTGGCCCGCCGATCTGCGACTCTACAATGAAAGATTTGCAAAGGCTCTTCACGGCATCAAGAGGCGCCACGACGGTGTCGTAACGACGATGGCCCAGGGCATTCTGGAGTACAAGCGCAAGAGGCAGCGCATGCAGATCGACAACAACATACAGTCGTTCCTTGACCGATTCTACATGTCACGTATAGGTATCCGTATGCTTATCGGTCAGCACATCGCCTTGACCGACCAAAGCCACCACCGCGACCCCACCTACGTTGGTATCATTTGTACCAAGACGAACGTCCAGGACCTCGCGCAGGAGGCAATCGAGAACGCGCGCTTTGTATGCGAGGACCACTACGGACTTTTCGAGGCACCCAAGATTCAGCTTGTGTGCAACCCAAACATCAACTTCATGTACGTTCCTGGGCATTTGTCGCATATGCTTTTCGAGACGTTGAAGAACTCTCTTCGCGCCGTCGTCGAAACCCATGGCCAAGACAAGCAGGAGTTCCCGGTGACGAAGGTCATTGTCGCCGAAGGAAAAGAGGACATCACCATCAAAATCTCAGACGAAGGTGGCGGCATCCCGAGAAGCGCCATCCCGCTCGTCTGGACTTATATGTACACCACTGTCGACAGGACGCCGAACCTGGACCCGGACTTTGATAAGAGCGATTTCAAGGCGCCTATGGCTGGATTTGGATACGGGTTGCCCATCTCCCGTCTGTATGCGCGGTACTTTGGCGGCGACCTGAAGTTGATCAGCATGGAGGGGTGAGTTGCTGACATCATACATCTCACATGCGACAATGCTAACATCTCGGTCAGATACGGCACAGACGTGTACCTCCATCTCAACCGCCTATCCAGCTCATCAGAACCTTTGCAATAGGGACCAGCAGTCATGAGAGACAGAAACGCTCGAGGACTGACGCTGGGGCTGAGATATAGTTTGCACAAGAGGCTGAAGGATCGCGAGATCACGGAGCGTCGGCAGGTTGGCGACGCCCAGGAGATGATGAACCGGGGCGGCGACGCCAATCCAGGTTATTACAAGCGCGACAGCGACTTGTAAGACATACTGGACAGCTTATTAATGACTGCGCCTGGCCTGGGCTACTGCGACCATGTGCTCTGCCCCAATCTGTGAGCTCGTTCTCGCGCTCTGTCTATCGCAGTGTAACGGGATGGAAGGTCTGGCTTGGCATGTGGTCGGAGTAGCTGGCGCCGGGACGGTCAAACCAATGTAAACCAAACCATGAGCTTGGTTTGGAAGTTTTTTTTTTTTTCTGCTCATGATCAACGCCCGCCTGTGCCGCGGGATGGGTACGTTACGCACAATACATTGTTTGGGTATGGTTGGGAGGGCATTTTCAAAAAGAAATCCCCGGCTGGGAAGGTCTTGGGGTAAATATGGACAGGCCGCATTCACGCAACATCAAGACTGGATGGCGGTGGCGTCTTTTGTATGTTTCTTATGCCGCCACTTCTGTCGTTGAGCTTATTGGAATAAATGACGCGTTTAAGAGAATCACCTGGATCGGATGCCACGTGTATGAAATTTTCTCCATCCTCGTCGTCTTCGCTCTTCCCATTATCACGCGAATTGAGACTCATCATTTCGCAACGCTTCTGTACTATTAACTGACTGTTAAGCTGTCTACCTAGAGAGCAAAGCACTTCTACCTTGCCCGCTGTCGGCGTTCAATGCGTCCCAAAAAGCAAATGTTGACCAGAACCGTAGACCTTCCTGTTTTCCGCAGCTGAGCTCGAGAAAAAGCTCAATAGAAATCCTGTGCCACGCCTGAAAACGAAAGAAAGAGAGGGGGCAAAGAAAACACACGGTCGCACAGAGGCAGGCGTTCTTCAGTCAGACTCCTCGTCAACGCCATCATCATCCTGGTAAGGCATGATGATACGACGCTGGGGCAGCGTTCTCTGCATCTGTTGATGCTCCTTGTTCGTCAGCTGCCTTCGGCTGGACTGTCGCTCCTATCAACTGGTCAGCACCTTATCGTTCACTTCGAAGGCGTTGCGAGTGGTTACTTACCGGAGCAGATCCGAAGCCGCTTCTGCCGGTGCTGGGGAAAGGGTTGTTCTTCAGAAAGGGGTCGCTCTGCTCGCCGCACTTCTCTCCTTGAACCTCATTGCTAGATCTGGTCTCGAGAGGCTTCTGATACTGGCTGACCACAGATGCCAAGCTGCCAGAAACAACAGACGGGGTCTTGTTGCGGGTGTGCTTCTGGCCAGTGGAATCCCACGCGTTGTAAGGGATCTTCTTCTCTGTGGCCTGCGCTCGCGTCTTTACTTGGGCCTGGCTCTTGTTGTTGCCGATGTTGAGATCGTTCAGGCTGCTCGTGATGGTGTCATCAGACACAACGGAGCTTGCAGCGCGACGCATGGGAGCGGTGCTGTGGGAGCTGACAGAGACGGAGGGAGCGATCACCCGGCGGGTATTATCCTCGATACGCAAGGAGCGACCAGCAACATCGCTTCCGGTACGAGAGGTGCCACCGTAGGCGATGGTGACTGGGGCAAGAGGCTAGCACGAGCAGTCAGCGAATGAAACAATAGTTATTCCACCAAAACTTGCCTTGTCGTTGCCGGTGTGAAAGTCGAAGATTTCCGAGGGCTCTGTCGCCATGCGTCCCTCAAAATCGTCCATCTCCTCTAGCGGGTCGAGCTTGTTCTTCGGAGCAGCCCACGGAGCGTATCCAGGCTCTTGGACGTTTGTCCAATGCTGACAGTGCTTGCAGATCTTAGGAAGGAGTCAGTCAGCCGTGCGAGGTTCTGAGGAGGTCCAAAAGCTCACGTAGACGCCGTTGGTGCGGTTGTTCTTGGCGAAGTCGTCCAAGACACGAACCTCATTGCAGGGTCCCTCGCAGAGTATCTCTTTGAGCGGCTCGCCAGAGTGCACACGGCAAATCATGCCAGTGTTTGCGGGATCGATGCGAGAGCGGTTCTTGAACTTGTCCTGGAGGATCTTCTGCTGACGCTTGGAGAAGCCCTGAAGCGGCTTCCACTCGCCACCAAGGCTGCAACGGTATCTGCGAGATCGATGTCAGTCTTGCTGGGGGTGGAGATGCCATCCCACTCATTGACTTCGCCATGGGGCGTCTTACTTGGCAGGGACGTTCTGGCCGAGGTTGGCAGGGCTATACCGATTAGCAAGGAAGAAAAAAAAGCAGCAAGTGAGATGAGTGGCAGCTTACCCGTTGGGGCGAGAAGATTGGGAAGACATGATTGCTGGTTGGGATTATCGATGTTGAGTAGTTGTGTGTCGAAGTGAGAGAGCGACGGCAGGTTGCGAGGATAGCCTGGTGTGGTGATTTCGCTGTTTGTGACTGAAAAGAAGAAGGGTTGCCAGCCCTGCGAGCAAAAAGTCGAAATATATAGCAGCTGCTGAGGAGAGGGAATCGGGAAGAAAGGCTTGATTGACGTGAAGAAGGTACGTCCAGTAGGTGCCTAGGTAGGGTAGGCACGGAAAAAGGCAAGGCCTCAAGAAACAAAGGAAGGATCGTTCAAAAGAAGGGAAGGAGCGTTCCTGCCTGCCTCACATCACCCTATGTTCCATAGCCTTTGGACTGGATTTGTTAAGGCATCTTAGTGACTGGCTGTTCCATTGACACTTGCTGCTGTCTACCTTGGGTAGGCAGGATACACATGTATAAAATATCAAGTGCCTCAGTGGAGCAGACAAACAGACTGAAAATGGATAGTGAAGGTCAATACCAGTGAAACTTATCAGCCTTCATCAAATCTACACAATCCATGTCAAGGAGACAACCATAACAACCATGGCGACAAAAGCGATGACCACGGCGACAACAAGAGTAAAGGCGACAAGGAATCCAACAAAAATACCATTGCTATCATATGAAGGACGAGAATCATCTTTCCGAGCCTCTCTGCAGTTTGCCGTGATGACGAACGTCCTTGAATTTCCAGTGTTTGCCTTCATGGGCTTCGACTTGACCGACACGATGTTTGGCATCAGCAATTGTCGGAGCGAATAGCGGCATTTTTTACTTATATATATATATGAGAGAGGGCATGTTTTCGCATCTGATCATTTGCAGTGTGAAGTGTCTGCTTGGAACCAGCATCTCACTCTCGGACGGCATCATTGCTCCCCTCGTTCCTTTTTTCCAGAACAGTCACGAATTTTTGAGGAACAGAGAGGCACGTCAGCAATGCACTGATATGAAGTCCGAAGAGAAACCGCCGATAAGCATGTCGTCTAGTACGGCGGCTGTGACGGGAGAGGTATGTAGTTGGCACCTGCTTGAGCCCCATCCCCGCCCGTCGGCCCGGGGCACATCGGCTTACGGTCCCGGAGCGGACCGGTCACGACGGGTCTGCGGGTACATACCAGTCTGGACAAAAACAGGACACTTATGCAAACCACAGCAATGCCGGACATGATGCCCCCGTTGTCCAGTCGACGATGGTGGATGCGGCGTACGTCCATAAAAGCACATTGCTGCCCGACCTCGTTAACCGCATGGGGCTCGATGACCGCCCTGAAGAAATTCCAGAAGAGGGAACCCCACGTCCATCAACGCTAGAACGCACCAGGCAGGAAAGAACCACCAGTACACATCTCTTGCGTCCTCGACATTTCAACCTGCGGCGAAGGCGATCACAAACGAGATCAGCTCATCTCGTGTGCTTCTGCACGCGGGGACATGCGAAGAACAGCTCACATGCGTCGAATCCGAGCTGTGGGATACCGCGGCAAGCGCCATGTGGCCCGTTGTCGTCGTCGTCGCCGGGGAGAAAGAGAAAGGGTCTCGAGGATCCTACCTACCAACTACCCCCGGCCCCGCGGATCAGAAACAAAAGAAGAAGAATACCCACCCGGAGACCTCGCGGCGGCTCCGGACGATGGGTTTCTGGATCGGCGGTTTCCCTTTCCCAACCTCGTGGTAAACTCTGACAACCACCCCATCGACCCGGAGATCACAGAGATGAACGGGCACGCGGAAGACAGGCTGAGGTGGTCACTCCCCCTGGTCGCACCAAGAATCCTTCCAACCTCTCTTGCGTGGTTGCGACAGCTCGAACTCGATGGAAAATTTCCGTCGAAACTTCCATGACCAGGGGTCTTGTCGAAATATGCAATTCTCTGCATGCGCAGAAGGGGCGAAGCAGCCCGGTCAGAACTCTGTTTCTTAGCAGTGCAGATATGCACATGGCATCAGCACGACATTCGTGATCTCCGTCGAGTCAGCAGCTTGATTGAACCCATGGATATTTTGGCCAACATACCCACAACTCACGAGACGACATCGACATCTCTTCAAACTCCGAAATTGCACAATGTCACTCGTCTCAGCCGTGCCAGACCAAGATCGGCAGGACGAGAGGCGCGCCTGTCTCTCCCTCTAGTCTGATCCGAAGGGACGCGACGTCTGGCTCCCATCGTCTCAGCAGAACATAGCCTTGCAGAATCTCACAGTGACACATCCGCTCGAGCAATGGATTCAAGCTGTCAGCAAGCGGACCAAAGGAGGGGGTCCCGAGGCACGGAACAAGATTTCACGGGAGTGACTTGAGACGGCCATGGGTCCGCTTCAATCACCCCCCGGCCGCAGAAGCTTAGCCAAGACCTTCTGGAAGAACTCGTTTAATGGTACGCGTCGCAGCCCATGCACAACTCGATGATCCGTCGTTTCCACGAGACAGAAGAGCCGGGAACGCACGTGCCCCTTGGTCATCACGGAAGAAAAAGGGGGTGGAAACCGAGCCGTACCAGATTTAACACCACCGAACCGTGAAGAAGGGGGCCATAGCTCTAAACACTCCCCTTCCCCGGCATGATAATATTCGAAGGCCGCATCAAACCAGCCCCCAAAATATTTCGTTCGAGAAGGAACAGCTGCAGCTCAGCGGAGCAAACTCCCGTCGAGGCGAAGGGGGGGTAGAGGGGCGGCGAAGTGGTGTTCAAGTCGCCGTGATGATGCGGCCACAACTCCGGCATTCTCGTTTGACATGGACAACATCATAATCCCCTGGAACACGGTCCAAAACACGATCAATTCCACTGAGCATAGCGCGAGAGGCAGAAAACGCCGTCCTGAACCTTAGCAGGTTCATGCCACATTTGCCCGCCGGAATTTGGTCCTAACGCGGGAAATTTGCCAGCATGTTTTGTGCACGAAACGCGGCGCGGGGAAAAAAACAGCAATCACCGTTAGGAAAACCCAAGGGACCTGCCTACGCTAACGACGGCTTTATCCAAGGGTCTCCGGCCTGACAAGAGAAGCATAAATCTCGGTCCTGAGTCTTGACGAGCATCGCATAGGCCCCGGTCAGCCATGATCCCGGCGCAGCTCAACGCCATGCCTATGCCTCACCTGCCAGGCATCTCAACAAGTTACAAAGCCCGGCGCCGCCACGAACAAGCATCCAAGACGACCGGCCGGCCCCTCGACGATACTTCTCCCAAAGTGGTGAATTATTGATCTTGGCTGGACGGAGGAGGGGGCCCGTGGACCAGGTGACGGGGGGCGTCAATCGCCTAGGGTGGAAGGAAGGATGGAATGGCAGGCAGAGAAAAGATCCCGACGCCGGTCATCTTCCTCCTGCATGCCTGATGATATCCCCATGTTCATGCACACGAAACCTCACAAATCACCACAGGAATTCCCCAATCTCAGGAGACGACGGGCCCTGTCGAAAAAGAACGAGAAAAAACGGGATACCTGCCCTCTGGCACGGACATTTCGGCTCCACCTTCAGCTGTCATTCCAAATGGACTCGCACCGCGGATGTGCCGGTTGGCTGACGGCCCCCCGGTTGTTGATATTTTTCCCAACGGCCGGGGGGGAAGGGGAGCCACTGGGATGAGGGCTGAAATATGAATCGCGGGAGAGCCGTGCGACGCTACCTTCGCGGCTTGCGACGCTGGGCTCAGCAGTGGGAACGAGAGGGGATTGAGGACGGCCAAAACGCTCCGATCTTGGTTGGGAACGTAACCAACCCTTCGACTCGACGGCTTGTTGTGTCGTTTCGACCGGATAGAATTCCCACCGTTCAGCGCCGTCTCGGCCGTTGCGGCGTTGTCTCGAAAGGCGGCTGGGCGGCGGGCGGCGAGCATAAATGTCCATGCTCGGTGAGGGGTGCACCCTCCTACGGATCGAGAAGTGAAGGCGAGGTCTGCCAGCATATGGACTTAAGCGAGTCTTGGGTAGTTTATGCAAACCCGTTTCTCGACTTGGATGCCGTTATCCGGACGTCAACGTTGTCGACAAAGACGTGTGGGGCAAACGACGAGATGGACAATTCTCGTGAGTATCTATGGGCTATGTGCAAGACGTTGTTCATGTACATCTTGAATGATGTCGCACACCTCGAACCAAGCTGGAGTAGGTTCTATGCAGAAAGTACCCAACTCCATATGTCAGTATGTGTCGGAGACACCAAAAAAACCTCGCAGTCGAGAAATGCCAATCGATGAATTCCAACCTCCCAACGCCTCTCTCCTTTTTTGGTTTATTCCCCCTGTGTATCTCTGAAAGGTTGTATGCGTGAGCATCTTCTTTTACGTCTAGTTTTCCTCGTCGCCTGCGATGTTGTGAAGCCTATTCTTCGGTCAGCAACACCACCAACAGCTCACGGTCCTGGTCAAGGCTCACCCAATATCTCCCGGGGATCGAGGCTCATGGCGCACCCGCGCTGCCAGTCCGTTAATGTTGGCCGACTTCGCGGTGGGGCTCGCAGCGTCCAGTGTGGGACCGCTGTTGCCCACAAGTGTTCCGTGGGCCTTGCGCTTCTTGCTGCCGTTGCGGATCTCGTTCAGGTGCTCGATGTAGCCCTCGGGGACGGGGGTGATGTAGCATCCGTTGAAGACGCCCACCTCGAAGTTCTGATGCGAAGGGTCACGAGGAGAAAGCTCGGCACAGGCCGCAACCAAGTCGCTGAGTTCTTGGTAGATCACCTTATCGGCGCCGATGTGCTCTGCGATCTCGTCGGTTGTCCGTCCGTGGGCGATCAGGTCCTTTCTGCTTGCCAGATCAATACCGTAGATGTGCTCGTGGGTCTGGAGATATGTTAGGAATTTTTGACAAGCTTGTTGGGGATCACCAAACTCACAATCTCTGGACTTGAGCTGGAGAAGATGACCTTCTTGGCACCCGCTTCGCGGGCCATGAGAACAATCTCCCGGCTGGTTGTTCCTCGAACCTGGAACTGTCAGTATGGTATCGACGGATTGTGGTGGATTCTGCAACTCACAATACTGTCGTCAACCAGCAACACACACTTGCCCTTGAACTCAGACTCGATAGTGCTTAGCTTACGACGAACACTCTTTTGACGGACCTACTCCAGTCAGCTTTCATGTAACTTTGATATCATAGGGCTTACGTACGCTTTGTCCCGGCATGATAAAGGTCCTTGAAGTCCTTTTGTTAGCTGCAATCATGCCGCCTGTGTCTTTGCTACTTAACTAACCTGAAGACGTATCTGTCGCGCATGTTAGCTTGTAATCTCATATATACTCAACACTTTACTTGCCTGTTCTTCACGAATCCACTTGAAAATGGCTTGTTAAGCCGTGTTGCCAAAGCTGCAGCCGCAGTGTTCGATGTCTCCGGGATTGGAATCACAACGTCAACCTCCTTCAAGGCTTCTTCGCCAAGGGTTCGCGTGATCTTGTCTGCGAGCTTGATTCCCTGGTTCTCGCGCGACTTGTGCACTGAGATTCCATCGATCGTACTGTCTGGGCGAGCGAAGTAGCTATGGCTTGATTAGCTTCATCTGGTTTAAACATACCCAGCTAAGGTCATGAGGTCCTCGAGAGGAGTCATATTGCTGGGATTACAGTGTAAACAGTACTCACACATATTCAAACACGTCAGGTGTGTACGAAGCAGCTTCCTGGATTTGCTTGAACACAGGAGCCTCCCCCTTTCTAAAGAGAACTGCCTGTCCGGGGAGAATATCCTTAATATCCCGGAAACCAAGCTGGCGAAGAGCAACGGATTCGGATGCCAGCATGTAGTCGTAAGCACCAGAAAGAGTTGCGGAGGGTCGGCGACCCCAGACCAAGGGCCTGATGCCGTTGGGGTCTCTGAAGCCACAGATGCCGTAACCGGCGACCATGAGAGCGGCGGCCCAGGCACCGCGGCAGCGCTTGTAAGTGCGCTCCAGGGCGCTGAAGAGGTCGACCTCGTTGACACGCGCCTTTCCAGTCTCGTTAAGCTCGTTGGCGAAGACGGACAGCATCAGTTCGGAGTCAGAGCCAGTGTTGATGTGACGGTGCGCGGTCTGGTCGAGGAACTCGCTTCAGCGATGTTAGCAAAGCCGACGAACTAATGTGTAACGTAATCCTTACCGGAGCTCTTCGGCGTTGATCAGGTTGCCGTTGTGGCTCAACAGAATACCATACGCTTCCTTGATGTTAGCATAAACTCGTGTGTTGGGCAGCTCTATACGAACGGCTGTTGAGATAGAAAGGCTGAGCTTCTGCGCGGGCAGAGCTGCCGGCCGTGGGATACCGCAGATGTCAATTAGAAGGTCAGCTTCGTTCGAATTACGGCGAAGAGATGTTCTCACCCCAGGCCCATGAAACCGGGGAGGTCCACGACCTTCTTTCCGTCGTTGAACACCTTCGAGGCCATTCCGTTGTCTTTACAGCTGTAGATTCTTCCGCCCTGCGAGCAGACGGCAATTCCTGCGGCATCCTGACCACCTGTTTCCAAAAAGTGTAAGCCTCTTGGAGCCTGACTGTTGTCGCGGGGTGCCCGGGCCTAGCAACTCACGGTGCTGGAGGTAGTACAGAGACTCATGGAGATCCTGCGCAGCGTCGCAATTGTCGTCGTCGCGGTCATAGTGACCCATGCAAATGGCAGTGATTCCGCTAGAGCATGTCAGCCAGACCGCGCATGCTTGGAATTGGGAGTGTGTATACACACCACATCTTGGGTGTTGGCGATAGCTTCGGTTGTCGCGGGGTAGCGGGGTACTGGCAACAGGGTCCACGCTGGGGCTGCGCTGGCTCGAGGAAACGCGGGGAATCGGTCGGGCGACGTTCGGAACTTCGACTCGGAGGTTTTACGGTCGAGGGGAGCTCGCGAGGATATTTCCTTCGAAATAACTCTTGCGAGGGAACGATACAGCTCCAAGAAGGAAGGAAGAAGGAAAAAGCGAACGTCGTCGGCCGAAGAGATCGAAAATTCGTGCGCGGCACACGCAGAGAAAAATTTGTGGGGCCGGTTATCGGCGTTCCCAAACAGCTGGCGTCAGGCAAGGTACAGTACGGATAAGGGTCCGGTGCTCCAGCTCCAGGTCCTCAACGCTGGCTGGGCTTATCGGTCAGCTAAAACCCCGCCCTATCGGGCCCGGGCTGCTGGCAGGCGGCCGGCTACCTTATCTGCACCTCTACAAAACCGATGCATTCCGGAGGCCGAACGAGAGGGATAGGCGGGAGAGAACAGGTCCCAGTGACGGCTGCCACGTGGTGCATCCGGGCTAGCTCTGAAAAACTCCCAGCTCAAGGGTCCTGCCTCTGATGGCTGCATGCGGCATGCGTTGGAGTTACTGGCTACGGAGTTGAAGATATGTAAGTGGCTGAGGGTGTGGAGGGACGACAAAGGAGCGTTTAAAGCGGCCTCGTGACGCTTCTGTCTGCAGATAAGAATAAGAAGTACGCCGAGATTTCTCCCACCATCTTACCGCGGTTGAAGTGTGACTGAAGGGCCGCCCTGATGACCTGCAAGGTTCATGCAAGTCTCAGATCAGTTGGCCTTCGGACTAGATCGCGGGAATAGGGTAACATCGAGGCAACAGGCAGTGTTGTCGACGATAATCTAGATATCCCCGTAAGGCTACCAATATTCCTGGTGACACTATGATGCGGGCGTTGGTCAGGAACCAGAGCCAGGAAGGCTGAGTAAAGGCAAGTTTGACAGCTTTCATAGCAAATTTCCGAGACTGCAGGATGTTCTGAAAGGAGGCATTCGGAACTCGCAGCCAAGTCACAGGCGCTCACTTACAACAACTGAACGAGCTGTCGGGAGAAGCAATAACCTACGAAATGCCGTCCAATCCCATAGTTGAATATTTTCGGTTATTGCGATACGTAATTGTGCATCGCAGATTATGCATCAAGTGGGCCCGTGAGCCAACGAGGCACAGGTCTATGGCTCCCAAATTGCCCGGCGCGGGTGCCCAACTTGCCAACGTCTCGTGGCGCGTCGATCATCGTTTCTCTTCATCAAAGTTCCATCTCAAGGATGACGGATCCTATTTGGCCCCTAATCTAATGGAAGGCCCGTGGGATAAGAGGAGGGGGAGGGGGAGGGGAAACGGATGGAAAAGGACATTCGGTGGGCAAGGGTCAGCAAACATCATTTCCCTGGGATAGAGGGCAAGCCGTGCCCGTGTGAGGCAGAGGCGATGAGGTATGATGACAGCGCCTGGTTTTCTGTCACGTCGTTGTCGCTTGGCATCCAACTGATATTGACGACGTAAGGTATCCGCAAGTGATAGCCGTCGACGCATTGGCGTATAGGTAGGTAGCGGCGGCAAACTGGAAATCGTCGCAAGCGACTGCTAGCAGAGCTCCAAGCGCTGACGTCCTGCCCTGAGATCGATGGCTGTCTCTCGAACCTATGAATTGCGCAAATGTCGAGGGGATGGAGACAGAGGTGGGGGCCAATTGCAAAGGAAGCATTCCACCACACGTTCCAGACGTCTTCTGTTGATGGACCCGGGCAGAACCGATCATATTTTCGGTATGTTGCGGCGGATTGCAATGTATCATTCGGCTTGGACAACTCCACTGATTGTCACGTTGCGACAAGCTGCTGGTTTGGACTTTTTGTCATCGCAGCGAGATGGGCGCGGGAGCAGGTCCGTCTTTGCTCCTCTGCCCCGTCGGTTGGCGCGGTCACCGGTGAGCCTTCCCAAAGCATCACGAATCCTCCGTGTTCCAGAAAATTACAATCCCAGCAGACGAGAGGCTGGCGGCGAGGCGAGGGGCGGGATGGTGAGGGCTCCATCATCAGTTCCGGCTCCCCGTGTTCGGGACGAGCTTGATTAGGCCCCTGAGAGCTTCGAGCTTCGAGCTTCGAGCTTCAGCCTTGGAAGTTTGACGCAGAGAGGCACAAGCTGCGGCACAGGGCTGCTTCCTCTCAGTGCTGCGGAGACCCCTTGCTGCCTCGACTGATTTCACAGGTGCTGCCCGTGTTCGGGAGAACTCCCTTTTGGCTCAGGTGCGGCAGTTTGGTAATTGGAGAAAAGAAACCAAAAGAAGCCATACCATGTCGTTCGTCCTTGCATAAGACCGGCTTTGATTAGGGAAAAGGCGCAAGTTCAGTTTGCTGCTGCACTGCAACGGCAGCTCAAACTTCGATATAGCAGTTGCATCGACGTGATGGTGCGGCAGTCTTTTGGTGGTTGATGGTTGGTGGTTGATGGTTGGTGGTTGGTTGGTGATGGAAAATTTCCAAGTGCCAGGACCCCAGGAGGAGGACGGCGTCAAAGGCTAAGGTACCTACCTACCTACCTACCTAGGCAGCCCAGAGCCCAACGTCCCGGAGGCAGGTACACCGGCACGCAGGTACAAAATGGAAGGCGCTTTCTTGGATGCCAGGAAGGGCAAGCACCTTCCCGCGGTAGCTCATTGCCATTCCCGGCTAGGACGAATAGTAGCGCCTACCTACGGTAGCTACCGCAACTTCCCATCTTTCGTGCCCAACTTTACAGGTTACTTTTTACCTCGCACATGAAATCCAATGTCATCATCCAGTCTCTCATCGGCATCCTCCTCCCCCCTCCTCTGCCACTTTCCCATCCTGCTGCACGCCTTTCGGCCGCGTTTCATCATGACCCTGGGTCATCAAGTCAACACCAAGCAGCTGGAAAAGCTGGGCTCATCCGCGTCCCGCGTCGGGAACCGCAAATCAGCGACCTGGGATGGTCTGCAAGGTGGGCGAGGAACGGAACCATTGTGCGCATGGGGCTGGCTACCTCCACGTTTCTGAACCCCTGGCCCGGTTATTATGCCTGCTTTCTTGTTCCCCTCTGATTTCTGACTTATGCTTGTGCCCACCATGACACGCCTCTCTGCCCGGTGGCCACAGATGATACCGCACCGACAATCCCGACTGTCCGCTGGCTACCGGAGAGGGAATCAAGGAGGGAGGAACCAGCCAGAAAAGACACCGGCGCCCACCGTTTCGGCTGATGTCACTACCTTCCGTCTGCCCTGGAATGCGGACGTCGATACGTCTGCTCATGACGAAGTTGGGGCTGGAAGCCGGAGATGATCTGCTTCCTCGCAGGATGAGACAGAAGGCTGATTGACTCGATGGCCTTGGACCGGATTCTCTCCCCGGCACTACGAACTATCCCTCCACGCTACGGCGTCACTGGTCTTCACAGCAATTCACCTCTGACGAACGGCGAAAACCTCCCCAGGCAAGGCTCATCAGGGCCGTTCCGCATGCCCCGAGGTAAGGTAACACTGGGCTAGGTACTACGAGCAGACAAGGGCATGCAGCGGATACCAATCAAGTAGGTTGCTCCGCACCGAGGCCTTGAGGACGTTTGAATTTTTCTTACTGATAAAGTGTGTGCAGGTTCATGTGAGAATTCGGGCAATCCTGAGGTCCAATCTAGGGCCTGATGGCGGGACATGAAACGATGGAAACGACCATGAACGCTAATACAATATACTGCGGCGCCTGCAGGGTGGTGGGCTTCCACGTTTCCCCCAGCGAAGAAATGGGATTCGCAGGCCACATACGTACGGAGATTCGACCAGTATTTGCACCGAGTACTTGTGTCGTAGCCGCGCCAGCCGTGCCTCGGAGTGCGATGTTGCGATGTCTGCTGGCCTTGCGGCTGTCCTGCTCCCGCGGCAGCTATCACGCTTGTCGAATCTCGTCTGGGTCCTGGTGGCTGGTAGGATCCTCTTGTTTGCCCCCACCATTCGGATGCTTCCATTCGTCTTCTGTGCCCCTGGCATACGGCATCCAATAATGTCGACTTCGCTGATGAGGCAGCTTCTCCTCAAGGCGCCCAATGCAGGGCGGCCAGGTACCGAATACCTCCTCATGCACCGAAGAGGAAAGAATTGGCTCGGTACCTGAACATCCCAGCACTAGTCGGACACACGGGCCCGGCATAAACGGCCTCGGTGGGTGAGCGTTTGCTGCGGTTTTATGGCGGCTTGTGCGAGCACATCTAAAGCTGCCGGTACACCACTTCATTATCCATCGTCGCCCTCCGACGTGCCATGCGATGCCTTGAGGACGATCGAACAACCAGGATTTTGGTCGCCAGACTGGATCCGATGGCAGCTCAAACCCTCAAGCAGACCTGAAGTGGCCGTTGCTTCCAAGACTCAAGTTGGCCTCAGCCTTTAGGCTTTGAGGTGGCGTCTCCCGAGCCCCCGGTTGATCGACTGGCTGGCGTGGCGTGGACAATTTCCATTCTCCCCTGGTTTCTTCCCGTTTTCGCCTTCGTCTTGCCAGCCGGCTCTCAACTAAGAAGCTGCCACAGGGACGTGCCACATGTTGCGCCCTCCCAAGCTTCAGCAACAACAGCTACAGGAAGAGGGCGGAGAGCAAACTATTGCTACTTTAGCTCTAGCCAACTCCCAAGTTTTGGAAGTGCAACTGTGACTGCAACAGCACAAATCCGAATTTGGTTCTCGAGCTCCTGAGCACTGAGCGTGGCTTCATCGCGTCGATGGCGCGTTGAGATGAGCAAGCCATGAAATACGTACCGGTGGAACGATACCCTGGCCGAGCTCACAAGCACCAAACGGACGGACATGAGCAGCATCCACTTTCCACCTTCCCCGAGCCCTCGTCCCCCCTTTTTTAATCTTTTTGGCCTTCACTGATGTGATGGTGATGCCGTGTCCATCAATCATCAGAAAGACCGTCTCGAGCTCGGCTTTATGGCTTGAATGGACAATTAGCTGGATGGAGACGCTGAAAGATGCACATTGACACCGGCTAACAATTCAGACCAAAGAGAACTCTGGAACTCGGACGGGACCCCTCTAATCATTCCCGCCGTCAACGTCTTCCCCGGCCCGGCGCATTGGGGATTAGCATCAAGCTCGCTGCATCTCGCTGGGTTCCCCTTTTCTCCTGGCCTTCGTGTTGTGTGAGGTGGAAACGGGGCCTTCATGCGCTGAACAGCGACCAACCTAACACTCACAGCCTTTCTGCAGTCTCTGCGAAGACCTCACTGACTGGCCATTTGCCGCTCTCGACATGGGAAGACGTCCTGTCTTGTCTCTCTTCATCTGGGTCAAGCTGGAAAGACGTTTCTCTCCCGTTCAAGTGGCCCGTCACCGTTATGCCCGCCCGCATTGTTCCCCTCCTGGTCCCCGACTTTGAGCGGCCAGTCCCAAGGGTCTCCCTCTCGTACCCATCAATCAAAAAAAAAGGACGGACTGGCGGCGTGCCAGCTCCAGAAGCAAGATCAGTACGTGCCGCGACGAGACACCACTGTATGCAGAGCACGAGTATCCGTCCACAAAATACCAGCCGTTTCCTGGAGCGCATCATTCACCCGGCGACAACCCCCATCCCAATCGGCCCCCAGCCATTATCCTCGAATAAGGCTGCAGGATTCCCATGACGGAGCCCCATTTCTGGACTCGTTGCGCCCTGCTAGGCCTTGTGTCCGTCCAGTACGTCTGCACACCGTCAGGAACGTACCGCGCCTGCATTTCGAACCAGAGACTCAGTTCCTGGTTGAGGTACGCGGTGGCGGCGCGGATAAGGGTCTGAATACCACCTCAGGTAGCTTGCACTTGCCTGGCACGGCTGTTGTGCTGGCATATCACGTCGAGCCAAACACAACAAAACACACAAGACAACACAACACCGCTCACTGCGCACATATTCTTGCTGCACGCACCTCGCCCAAATATACACCAATCCTGGCTTGCGTAATACCCCCAGCACGCCGGTCAGAAGCCTCGTCCAACGGCGTCGGCAGCTCATTCCCCCTTCCCTGGTCGCGTCGTGTTCCGCCGTCTGTTCGTTGCCCCTCGTCTAGGCTGGGAGTCTTTTGGCGGCGCATCATGTCATTCCTGGTGCTGATGCAGCACTGATGTTGATGTTGATGGTGCTGACATGCCGTCTTGCACAGGTGCATCCGCGGCGCACTGTCTGGTGTATTTTCTGCTTGGTGTATCTTCTATGGTGTTGATGCGCGTGGCAATCTGCAGCGCGTTGTCCCATGTCGATGGATATGCGGTACATTACATGGTAAACAGGTACGTGACGATGGACGACTGACTGATGCGGACTGAACCAGCCTCCATTGGGAAGTCGAAGCAGCGTTTCTGGGCCATCACTGCCGACCGCCCCGGACGTCGATGCTCAGTCGGGCTGTGCCAGTTCATCAAGCAGCTGCGCTGCCCCATCAACTCGAGTCGCATCAGCCTGGATTGGACTGATATCGGGGAGAGGAGCTGCGCGGGTGCAGAATGCATGAGCACCCTCGTCTTCCCGTCCAACCGGCCGTCAATCAAGAGCCAAAGAGACGGTCTGAAGTGGGCACGATGCGTCAACGAAGGAACAGACACAACAGACAGCTCGATGACGGCGGGACACGAGCAGAATTATAATTTCAATAAATCCAATCCATGCCGCAGCGATCCCAAGATTGAATTTGTTCTTGTTGCATTATTAGCCAAAAAAAAACGAGAGAGCAAAGCGCACTACGAGAGACGGACGGCGCCTGAACCAACGTCCGAACGTTTACGGTAATCAAACCAAGCTCGTCCCTGCAGGCCACCATCATCTTTATTTATTTTATCCAGTCTACCTTTACGCGGTACGGATACCTTACATTGCGACGCAAGAAAAAAGGTACTTCCCTTCTGGATTTGCTGCCATCTCAGAGTGCGTACCTTGTCTCGCCGCAGGTGAGGAAGAGGTACCTTCTCGCGCACACACGCACACGCACACTTACTAGTATTCGTACCTACTTTTGCCGTACCGTACCTTACCTTCATCACCCTCACCACAAGACAGACATCCTGACCCTTGTTTCTTCCTAGGCTTGCCAGGTCCCAGACTCCCAGACCACCACCCCCTCCCCTGGAACAAGACTCGCCCACCATCCACCCACCCCCGGCGCGAATTGGCCTTCTCGTCTTCTCTCACCAGAGAGCAGCCAGCAAAAGAAAAAACGCGAGAGAGAGAGAGAGAGAGTGAGTGAGTGCCCCCCCGAATCAATTAGCGAGATTGGGCCCCTATCGACTCAACTGCTCCGTCCAGTACGGATACCTTACTCTCTTTTCTGCTTTCTCACACCCCCCAGATTCATTCATTCATGCTAAGAACGGGCCCCCGGCCACCTTCGAGTCGTCGACGGCATAGTGGCCGACTCCTCGCTCCATTTTATCAGTCGTTCAGTCAATCAATCTCTCTCTGCTTCTTCGCCCTCGACCCTCGCACATCCCGACGCGGCCCACGGTGAATCACCTTTGCTGGATCGTATGTGGGTTTTTTTTTTCTCACTTTCTCTCTTTCGTCCCTCGTTCTCTACCGACCTCTTTCGTTTCTCTCCCAGCACACACCTGTCCCCATCGCCGCCCGGTACCCAATCTATCCTCGTCTACCCTCACCCTCACCCTCTCTCCCTCGTCCTCCCTTCTCGCTTCACCTCCCCCCTCTCACACTTTCCCTGGCCCTGCCTCTCTTGGTCTGCCCGTGTCTGTCGTCCCTCATTTTTTAATTATTAACGCTCTTCTGCGACGCAGTTCATCCCCGCCAGCTACGGATACCTCAGTACAAGCATCTTTTTTGCTGCTTAACGCTCTGGTCACTGCGTGGAGTCTCCATATATGCACCTGCACCAGCACCGCATGCACCCAAGCACAAGCATCGTACATCGCACATACACAACGCCTACATCGCCTGGCTTGATGCTCAATCTCAATCTATCAATCTCAATCTCAATCTCAAGTCAACCTCAAGGATACCGCGCTCCCAAAGGACGACCAACGGCCAAAGAGACGTCGACCCCGTCGCCAATCCCTCCCCTCCTAGGGTCGCTTCCTCATCATCGCAATCTCGACCCACGCACCCGAGAATATCGTACCCTCTGAACATCCACGCCTGAGGATCCATCCCCGATCGACTGGTTCTAGCTCCATTCCCACCCCTGGACCCTTACCTGGCCCTTTTAATAATATCGACCACCTCCTGACTTGCTCGTCCCTCCCGAGTCTCCTCTTCTTCATCTGGTTTCGCTCTCTTGGTTTATCCCAGTCACTTCTCTTCGCGCCTTTTCTATATCCAACTTCTACCGTTCCGACCATCATCCACAACAACGCTCGCACACCATTTCCTTACCTCTACAACCAACTACTACAACATACAATACCAACTGCCTCACACACACACGCACAAGCACACAACGAACAATCGAATATCAGACCGGTCTGAATGCCACAGAATTCGCATTCGGCTCTTGCTCAGAGCTTCTAAGCAGGCACAGCATTGGTACGGTCCAGGCTTACACGCCTGCGAAGCGGCCTTGACCAGCTGACTCCCCTCAGAAACACCGTCATCACGAGGATCTTGACTGGACTCAACGATCACATCCCAAATCCACATCACACAAAATGACGGTTGCACACGATTTGACCCATCGAGGGTCCTCATCCCACTCTGCCAGCAACATGGCTCTCGAAGACCGATTCGAGGTTCTTAAGGAGATTGGCGATGGTAGTTTTGGCAGTGTCGTTCTCGCCCGGGTCCGTAGCGCAGGTGCTAGTGTGGCTCGTCGCGGTACGGTGGTAAGTACCCGCAGATCGCTTCTTGTGCGTCACAAGTGGTAACAATTGCGTTTCTAGGTTGCCATCAAAACTATGAAGAAGACTTTCGAGTCCCTCTCTCCGTGCTTAGAGCTTCGCGAGGTCGTCTTCCTCAAGACCCTTCCCAACCACGCTCACCTCGTCCCCGCCCTTGACATCTTCCTCGACCCTTACAGCAAAAAGCTTCACATTGCCATGGAGTACATGGAGGGCAACCTGTACCAACTGATGAAGGCTCGCGACCACAAGTGCCTCGACAACGCCAGCGTCAAGAGCATTCTTTTCCAAATCATGCAGGGTCTCGAACACATCCACGCCCACCACTTCTTCCACCGCGACATCAAGCCCGAAAACATCCTCGTATCTACATCCTCTCACCAAGATACTGTCGGTTCCTTCCGCAGATATTCCGCCCTCGTAACGCCCCCTTCTACTCCCCCGAACTACACCGTCAAGATTGCCGACTTCGGTCTCGCCCGCGAAACCCACTCCAAGTTGCCCTACACGACGTACGTTTCGACGAGATGGTACAGAGCACCCGAGGTGCTTCTGCGTGCTGGCGAGTACTCCGCGCCCGTCGACATCTGGGCGGTAGGCGCGATGGCAGTCGAGATTGCCACTTTGAAGCCGCTTTTCCCGGGCGGCAACGAGGTCGACCAAGTTTGGAGAGTCTGCGAAATCATGGGAAGCCCCGGAAACTGGTACAACAAGGCAGGTGCCCGCGTTGGCGGCGGTGAATGGAGAGAGGGCACCAGACTGGCCGGCAAACTCGGTTTCTCCTTCCCCAAGATGGCTCCCCACGCCATGGACACGATTTTGCAAGCACCTCAATGGCCCGCCGCGCTGAGCCACTTCGTTACCTGGTGCTTGATGTGGGACCCCAAGACGCGCCCGACCTCGACGCAGGCCATTGCCCACGAGTACTTCGTCGATGCCGTCGATCCCCTCAGACCCAAGTCTTCAGCCTCGAGAATCCTCGGTCGCAAACAATCAGACATCAGCCGCGGCAAGGACTCGAACTCGTCCACCCCGACATCATCCAAGCCGTCATGGTTCAGGAAGTCTCTCATCGGTCGCTCGGAGAGCGCCGAAGTCGCCGTCGCTCAACCAGTCTCAAAGGACACGACGCCGAGGCCTTCTCCCGTTCCCTCGCACACGACCAACGAGGTGCCTGTGGCGAAGACACGCCCTGCCCAGTCCAAGCGTACGACCTGGACAAATGGCCCTTCCAATGTCGCCCCCATGCCGATACTCCCCACGATCCGCCCCATCTCGCCCCTGTCGGATACCGTTACTGCCCAGGCAAGCAACGGCTACAACGACTCGTACGCCAACGGTAACAACCGTGCTGCTCAGATGGATGAGAAGAAGAAGATTGGCAGGCAATTATCGGTCGCCTCGAGCACTAACCACTATGCGGAAATCCATCGTCAGCAGGCAGAGCGGGCTCTGAACGGAAACGGCGGTCTCGCATCTCCTCCCAGCGGTCACAAGGAGAGCTTTTTCTCCCACCTCAGGAAACGCGCCCGTCGCTTCTCTGGCCGCCACCAAGCACCAATGTCCCCGAACTCGGACGACGTGGAGGCTCAGGCAGGCTGCGGTCCCTGGAACAGCAACCGGTCGTCAATGGTGATTGACAACGCTCCTACGCCCCCGCCGAAGCCCGCGGAAATCTACGAGCCGCTCGACAAGGCACTGAGAGAAGTTCAACAGAACCGTGACAACGCTCCCGTCCCGCCCGCGCATCTGATTACCCCTAACAGCACGTTGAAGAGGCATCACTCGCTGCCGCAACACCAGCCGCGTTCTGTCGACAACCTCATGGGAGCTGGCCGTGGAACTGGGCCGATTTCAAGTCGCACCCGCAGATCCCAGGCAGTTCAGGGTGTTCAGCACTACGACGCACCCGATGAGGAGGATGAACTGCTCGACGAGGTTCTCAACTCTACCCACCGAGCCATGAAGCGCCTCGAGAACCCTCCCAACGCAAAGCCTGGTCTGCGTCAACCGGTCAGCAATGTGCCGATGATGAACCCTTACCCCACTCCGTCACCTTCAGCCAACGGCAACGGCGTCCTCTTCGGTGAGAACCATGAGGCAGTCACTCCCAAGCCTTTGGATCTCAAGAAGCCGAACGGCGCTGAAAGCCAGTACAAGTGGCCCACGCCACCGTATGAGGAGAGCGAGTGGGCTGCGTCAGCATCAGCAAGCATATGGGCTGCCAGCAATCGGTTCTAGGACGACAGTCGCTGAGGCTTTCTGAGAGGGCCGCAAAGACTTCACAAAAGTTTCTTGCGTATTTACATGCATGGGCCTGGTGTTTGGCGTTAGCCGGCGTACCAATGTCGTCGTCCTGACGGAGACGATATGCATTCCGGATCTCGATTTTCTTTACCCATATCTTGGGAGCAGGGCGGCATTTCGATTATTGCACGATATCTTCGATACCAAAGGGCGGCACACAATTCCGCCATCGCGCACATCTTATTTTCCTTCTGCTGTTTATCAACTTATCTGTTTTGAAATACCCGACACTATAGACTGGCAAGGTGGCCAAATGGCGCCTTCAACCAAAGACAACATTTCATTTGTTTTTCAGGGGCTCACGCGGGCAATGGAGTGGCAATCTCCCAATCTGGTACAAAGAGAATTCGGTCCTAGTTATTGGGAGGGAAAAAGATATACGGATAGGGTATTTCCAACAACGGTCACACACAATCTTTCTGCACAAGGGATACAAACAAGGCACAATCGTTGTTTTCTAGATTCTCTGCGGGCTGGACACGTCAGAAGACTCGGAGAAAGGCACAGCCATGTGGCCAGAAGGGATTGCCCAGACGGGATAGTTTGTCACATACGCGGGACCGACGCAGAAGGGTATACATATGGGACATCATTGTCTTAGCTACTCGGAAACGGCGGCATTGAGTCCAGCAGCATTCTGTTCGAAGCTGCGTGGAAAACAATATTCTTTTTTTGGTTTCATTTGATATTATCTATCGTGGATGAGGTGGGGGAAAACAAAATCAAACCCAAGTCAGAAGGGCGAAGGGAACTTGTACGTAGGCGGATGGTCTCGATTTCGAGATCCCGCGCAACACAACTTATTTACATAATAGGTGGCCATCCAAGAGATGATCCACTGTCATGACCCTACTCAAAACGTTTCCTCAATCGCTTTCGTGACACGTACAGACCTGAGAGGTTTGGTCCTGGGGACGGATGCCCGGACGATTCACGACGGAGGACGCTCCGCTGGTTGTCAGGTCCGGCCGGGTGCCTGCATAGAGCGAGGAGAGGACGGCATAGTTCAGACGAAATTAGTACCGGTGGATGCTTTCCCCCTCGGTTTCTGTATTTAGAGCGCGCTGCATGGACTTGCATACGGCGCGGACAGGGAAGTGAAGTGCAGGAGAGGGAAAGGATGGACGCACATTGCATGGTCCAAGGTACCGACCGTACCGTACCGCCTTAGCTCGGTTTTGATCCGTCGTAACGTGGCGGAGGGGGGAACGGGGTCACGGCGGCGGCTGCGGGAGGATCGGGCTTGGGTCGGTTTTTGGGGCCGGACGGAGGATGCTCAGGAGTTTGTACCTTGGGCCGGCGTTTGGTGTCGGGACCTGATGGGATGATTGGGACTTTCGGGTGGCTGTGTCTTTTGGACATTCACGAATTGGGAGGTTTCAACGATGAGAGGTTTTGATTTTCTTTTTCTTTTTTCTCTGGATGTGGAGAGATGAAGTATTAATGGATGGATGCTTACAGGAAGGAACTGACTGAAGTGAGGCGAGGCGACTTGTTGTCGTCTAACGGCCTCAGCCACTACGGCGGGTGAACCCCAGAATCATCCTTTACTTTTCACTGAGAGAAGTGTCTTGTTATGTTGATTTTCATCTTCCGAGGTGAGAGATGGGGGAAATCAGTGACGTTATGCTTGTCTAAGTCGTCTCGATCCGAATCTGAACCATACGAGAGGCGTTGCAGCTGGGACCTATGTCGCCAATGTGCAATGTACCTGGGGATTAAGACGATTCCGCGGTAACAATGACGCTCTGTGTTTCTTTTCGCGAGTACCTAGGAGAAGAGGAAAAGGAAACCCCAAAAAGGAATCACGATACTGTCTTGCCCTTCCGAGACGTCTCGAGCTGGACGCCTCGGTCGCTTGGACTGGAACTGTGAGCCACAACGGTTTATATGGAGACATTGTTTGCTTTTCTTTTGGCACGGTAAATTCGAGAGACATGCTTCTTTTCTCGGGCGTTTTGTGTCTGGGTGTTGTTTCTCGGACTTTGTGCGTGTCATCCCGTCATCCGTCAGCCCTCTGCGGTTCTGACGTGATCGGTGGAGCGTTGGGCGTATTCGGAGTTTGATCTCTCTGAAGTCAGCTTTTGATCTTGTGTGAAATAATTCGAGGTCGAAAGACCTGGTTGGCTAAGCCACGATGCATACACGCCCTTGGATGGGAGGCTGAAGTCGCACAGCTGACGGGTGGTGGATGAAAGACGGGCTTGTTTGGTGGTACGTTGCACGGCGAGGAGCGGGAATCTGGCGGTGGTTCGAGTCTTGCGTTTTTCTTCCGATGGGCAATTTTAAACGTTCGGGACCTTGCAGATGGAGATGAGGGGAGAGGACTCGAGACCATTGGATGTCTTCAAGCCTTGAGGGGTTATGTTATGGTTTGTTCGGCTCAGTGCCAAGATTTGGACCCGAATGATGTCTTCTGATGAAGACCGAATGGCAGGTCATTCGTATGTAGAACTTGTTATGGCTCATGTATGTGCTCTTGAAGGTTTAACCGTAAGTTGAGCCTATCAGTCAACCTCAGCTTTTGAGGCTGACCAATGCGGCTCTCTGCTACTGATTATCATACTGGCATGCTTCCAAAATAGCTCCGCTAGCTTCTTGTATAGGACTTTCAGACTTGTTCGCGGAGACTCGCGTCAATAAGTATGCCCGTGCTGGTGTTGACCGTCTTAGTTGCTTTGAGCCCAACTTCAGATCATTTCCGATGAATGAGTGTAGTCACTTAAAGGTCCACTTGGACGAGTCGTCTCTCGCAGACCCATCTGAGCCCTGTGATAGTGGATTGCACAACTTGTGGCCCTCGACTGAACCCAACCAAGTCTATCTCCCACAATGAGTCCAAACCATGATATCAATAAGCGACTGTAGTTTAACGGTCAGAATAGCTCGTTGTGGCCTCTCAACTGGTTCCGAGCAGATGGAAGTTCGATTCCTCCCAGTCGCAACTATTTTTGTTGACCAAGTGGTTATTGCAAGTCGACTTTGGCGATAGGAAGTCCGACCCAGCCCGCTTGGACTCTCAGTGTTGTCGATCAACGTTGCAGATTAGCAACTCAACAAGGTGAGCCGCGTGTTGACCTGATGAAACCGCTCTCGCCAGGATCCTTTGCTCGTTCCCTTTTGCCGCGTTAGACAGTTGCGTAAGGCTTGAGAACTGCGAGGTTGGTGGATGAAGCCCTGCCTTGGCAACGAGATGACATTTCTCCACCAGTATTACGCGACTGAACCACTTGGGAGCTCCATCAAGTTGACGGCATTGCAGCCCGAGCTACGAGCTGCGAAAGCTGCGGGCTCCACTGTATAGACTCCTCTTCCTTCGCGCTTTCTGTATGAAGACGCCACAGGCGCTGTGTGCCGGGAATAGGAGCACCTGTCATGCATCTGCAGACATCTTGGCATCGAATACGAGAGTGTTGCTCGTCACTGCCTACGCGTTCGTCAAGGAGGATCATGAAGAGAAAAAGACGCATAGGAGAGATGGGTGACCTTTTTGAGATGAATGACGAAGACGGGTACGTCGACCTTTTACAAGCGAGGCCTGGGCGGCGCCAAGGGAGTTCTCCGGCCTTCGGTGCATTTTCCCGGGCGTGTCCCGTCCCGTCACGTGTTAGAGCGGGATGGATGTTCTTATCCTTCCTAGGTGGGCTGGAAAGGAGGGGAGGAGCACGCCCTGCTGCGCTGCGCTGCACTGCAGCTTCCTTCCACCAGCGAGCCTTCGCATTGGTCATCAGGGGCTTACCTCAGCCATTTATCGGCACGGTACTTTGCCCAACTGACCATCCCAACCTTCCCTGCCGCCCTGCGCCTCAAGAGCACTGCGCCAGTACGGATACGGCAAGCATCTGGACTGGATATTTCCAGCCCTTCCAGCTCACTGGAAATAGGTTGATGGTTCAAGCAAGCCTGTCTTCTAACGGCGTAGTGTCTTTGTAGATATCATAAGGTACCTTACCTACCTTACCTAGGTACGTGGGGCAGTGTTTGCCTGCCTGTTCGAGGTCCTGGGCTGCCTGGGCGCCCTGTCGCGAACCACCACCACCACCTTCCCAGGTAGAGACGAGCGGCGTCAGGGTACATTGCTGGTACCTTAGCTCGCGCTCCTGTCGACCAGCCTGCACTGCTTTTCTGTCCTCATTCCTTCATCGAGGGAAACCCAGGAAATCGAATTAGGCAGCAGAATACTTTGCTCAATCAACCGCGTTTCCAAACATCAGACGTGGCTCAAGCCAGCTTGGTTCCTGATCTTTGATCGCAACCTGTCGTCATTGTCGGACCTCCTCCGCTCCTCTCCTGGTGAAGCCGTCTTCAACAAGTCACTTGTCCCTCCTTTTTTCTGCCACCAACCCGCCGCCCACTGCCACTGCCACTACCACTGCACCTGAAGGACAGAACCCCTCCTCCACCATCTTTCCCCCACGATCATGGTCCCATAGCCTTGCCTTACCTTCAGTCCTGAACAGACGACCCGCGCGATTCCCTCTCTGCGCACCGCGAACCGACGACGTTCCCTGCCTTATCGTCTGCAGATCGCCCTTTCCGTGACACTTCATCAAACGCCGCATGCGAGGGCCTCTGCCGCTCGCGTTGTTCCCACCGCTGCTGCATCAGTTGTGCGGATTATGGGTTTGAGCAGATATCCCGACCTGGTATTGCCACCATGAGCTTCAATCTCCCTCTTCGGCCGAGCTCCAGCAGTACACGGAATCAGGCGAGCCGGAGCAGCTACTTCACAAACTTCACGCCCAATTCCTCCACCGAAGCCGTCAACGGCCCTCCTCAGCGCCAAACACAACCAACTCGGGAACTATTCGGCACCACCGATCGACTCATCGTCGGTGTCGATTTTGGAACCACGTTTTCAGGGTGAGTCGCATGCCCACCATAACATCAGTCGTAATGTTCATGAGACACGTTGGTCTCGTATCTGCGCTGCCTGCCCTGCCCCTCATTCTTGATGACCCATGCGCAACTGTCACTGCACTGACGGTTTCGCCCGACCCTGTTCACATGGGCTGACAGTAGCTAGTGTCGCCGCCGTCTACACCTCAACACCAGACGATGTCGAAATCATCAAGACATGGCCCGGCGGCAACGGCATCACTTCGGACAAGGTGCCAACCGAGATCGGCTATGACTTTCCGCAGAACGCTCCAGAGGGCACAAAACCCACGGTGAAATGGGGTTTCCAGTTCAAGCCCGAAGAGTCGAGGCTTCGGTGTATCAAGCTGTTCTTAGACCGCTCACAGAAGCTTCCCTTCTACGTAAGCCCGCTGGAAACAGCGGCTCAGCTAAAACGCTATAACAAGAATGTCCTGGACGCCGTGAGCGACTACCTCACCCAAATCTACAAGCACACCATGGACACCCTGACCCGGAGGTACGGCGAGTCCTTCATGACGTCTACGAAAGTCGAGTTCGTTTTGACCTGTCCGGCTGTATGGTCAGACGCCGCAAAGAACACAACGCTTCAGGCGGCTGAACGCGCGGGTATGGGGTCCATGTCGGAGATCCAGATGATTAGCGAGCCCGAAGCTGCGGCTGTCTACACGTTGAAGGCGATTCAACCGAACCATCTGAATGTTGGTGACAACTTCATTGTCTGTGATGCCGGTGGTGGAACTGTCGAGTAAGTTTTATGTGCAGTCGTCAAGACGTCGCTAACAACCCTAGTCTCATCGCGTACAAAATTATCTCACTTAAACCGCTGAAAGTCGAGGAGTCTGCCGTGGGAACCGGGGGCTTGTGCGGAAGCGCATTCTTAAACTACAGATTCGAAGAGCATGTGAAGAACAAGTTAGGCACCACCCGATTTGACGAGATGATGCACAAGAAACAAAAGACATGGCAGATGGGCCTCAGGTATTTTGAGGAGTTTGTAAAACGAAACTTCAACGAAGATGAACACCAGGAGGTTAACGTACCGTAAGTACTTCTTCTCCACACCCTAGGTATGGGATGCTGAATCATTGTAGTTTCCCCGGTTTGCCAGACGACGAAGAGGCTGGTTTGGACTGCGGTTTCATGATCATGACTGCTGCCGAAATCAAGGAAATCTTCGAGCCTGTTGTTAAGGAAGTTTGCGACTTGGTCCAGGGCCAAGTTGATGGCATCCGACAGGGTGGCGGTATTGTGTCTGGGATCGTGCTGGTCGGAGGGTTCGGTCAAAGCGACTACCTCTACCGCAGGCTGAAGTCACACTTCAACAGTGCCGCGCCCCCACCATACACAGAAAGACCGACTCACGGCGCCTTGACCTCGATGCAAGAGACTGCTTCGATCGAGGTGATGCAACCTGTGTATGCCTGGACTGCCGTCGTGCGTGGAGCGGTTCTGAGGGGCCTCGAAGGAAATATGGTGATATCCAGAAAGGCACGGTACCACTACGGCACATCATATGCTACCGTGTATGACGAGGAGAAACACTCGGTCAGCGAGCGGTACTGGTCGCCGTTATGGGAGCGTTGGATGGTGTCGGACCGCATGCAGTGGCACATTGCAAAGGTGAGTTGGTCTCTATCTACACGTTTTAGCGCCAGGACACAGTTACTGACGAGAGTATGACTTCAGGGAGAGGCAATCTCACCTCTGGAACCCATCTCATTCCACTACACTCGAAACTTCCGGCCCGGTCAGTCATTGACGGTGACGGACGATCTTATTGCTTGCGAAGCTGATGACCCGCCGTCGGCGTACACTCGCGATCTCATCCACGTGTGTACACTCACAACGGACCTCGCGGCGGTCCCGAGGAGCCTGTTTACACGGTTGACAACAACACGAGGAGTAGAGTTCGACAATCTCGATTTCACACTGGAGATGATTGTCGACAGCGCTGGTCTGGGATTCGAGCTGAAGGTGGATGGTGTCAGGTACGGCCGCGTCGATGCCGAATTCCACTAAGGCATGCTTCGGGAACGGTCACTCAGCATAATGGAAGAGAAGGAATCCAAAGGAGGCATACCGCCCGACGGAGTTTTGGGCACGGGAGAAGCACGAAGGGTGTCCGATTGGAAACCCCGGGCCTGAACTCCCTCATCATCATATATAGTTTGTGAGGACCCAGTCTCGAGAACACAACAGCTCGCCAAGCAAGAAATCACATTGTGCCACAGTTGACGCGTTCTACACGTGCAAGTGACGCTAGCCTCTACTCCCGACCAGGAATGGGGTCTTGGCCTATATGTAGTGATCTTCGAAAACGAGGCTTGTCAACTGCAGCTCTCGCTCGGGTGGACATCCTGGACCCTGCACACACGCCCTTGACAACTTCAACGGTTCGCCAACTGAGTCGCATCCCCTTTCTTTATTCCCGTCGCTCATCATACTGTTGGTCGTGTTCGGAAATGCTACGACAGCAAACGGTGATGCAACCCGAACGGAGACGCCGGGACCGATACACCTCGTGCGCAGCTTCCGACTCGTCACTCGTGGCGAGCCGAGTGAGGCTGTGTGCATGAGTGACTGGTAAAAAAAAAAAAAAACATTGCAAGCCTCTTTGGCTGTTCATTATTCGCCACAGCCCTGCTTTTCCATTGGTGGGCGTGGAATATTTACCCTTAGGCTTCATTTGACGATTGGTTCGGGTTGAAACTGGGTTTTATTTGACGAGGCGAAGTTGGCTGTTGTTAACGGTGGGGAATAGGATTTTGTATAAAATGGGGGCAAACGGGATGTGGGAGTTTTTTGCTTTTCAAAATCGTGGTTCTGATCAATACTTTTTTGCACTAGAACTCGAAGGAGGTTGAGGATGCGCAGAGTGTATGTAAGAATGTTGATCGTTAACGTTATATGTAATGGAACGACTGGTGCCTTGATAATGTATGTCCGCAGTCTTCTTTGCTGTTTATATCTGTAGTTGCTGACCTGGCAGAGGGAGGGAGTAGAGCCCATCACCTCAACTCGAAACATGCAACGACGAAGGAAAACACCATACCCCTATAATTCCCCGTCCTACCAGTTGAAACCTCTGAAACAATTCATATCCTCGTAACATCATCAGGAAAAAATGAAAGTCAGACCACCCCAAGTAAAACGTTACCCAAGAGCCATTCACAACGAACCGTGAGTCATCGAGTCGGACCACTAGCAGCCCACGACACACTCAAGTCCCCCAGAATGCCGAAGAATATCCCCGCTGCCCGAATCTGGTTCTTCTGCCCACTGGAGCCGCCTCCAGTCAGTCTCACGTCACCAATCTGCCTCGCCTCGATGCAGGTGGCCTCAAAGGGCGTCGTATACATCACCCACCCCGAGCACATACGACAGGGGATTCGTCATGACATGGTAGATGGGCACACGGGTTCCTGCATCTCTGCCTGCTCCAAGGTGACATAACCCGTACAGCCCGGAAGGAAGGGAACAAGGAAAAAACCTTAATAACAGAAGGGAGAGAACAGATGAACCGCCGTTCGCCTCCAACGCTACCGATCAACCCCGGTCAAGGATCGACGTCTCGGCCCGCTCCGCGTGGGTTACCCACAACCCGGATCAACGGCATCCAAACAAACCAACGACACTCAGTCTCAGACACTACATCGAGCAAGCATGCTAGTAGTGTCGTCGATCTTGTCTGCGTCTTGGTCTGCCGCTGGACTCTGCCACCTCGACGACAGCTTCAAGTCTTCTAGGTCTCTCAACCCTCGAGGCTGATCGCTGCAGCACCAATCCCGCCGGCGCAGCAGGACCTTCACTCGACCCCGTGGCAAGCTGGAATGCTTCCGTGGATATAAGTCCCAACTGGTATACATGATCGAGGAAGTGAAAGTCAGGTCGCCTGCGCTCGAATCGGTACCCATCCAGCATGTGGTCTGCGATGTGTTGCATCCGGTATTCGAAATTCTTTCCAGGGCCGAAGTGGTGCTCTTGAGTGTTGTACTGGAAGTCGTCGCAGTACCAGCAGATGCACAACGAGGGGTAGTTGCGCTGCAGATGGTCGTCTTCGATATGGCGGATCCACAGGTCGACCTCGTTGAGGTGGAAGGCCTCCTCGCAACCAGTCCAAGGAAGGAATTCGCAACGTAACATGTGTGGCCTCGGCTGAGACTGGGCGCCGGTGGGCTGCAGGGTGAGCTCTCTCGTGAAGCTACTCAAGGCGGTATGCGTTGATGGAGGCGGAGAGACGGAGTATTCCTCGGGCATGCGGAATGCGTCGTACGGTGTGCCTGAGCTGTTCGAATGAGTGTAGTTGCTGCTACCGCCGGAGCTCGACTCGGATCGGTTCGAACGCAGCCCCCAGGAGATACTGGAAGATGCCTCGGAGTACGAATCGTTGTCAGGCAAGGAGCGAGGAGTGTATGCGGAAGAGCCTGCCTCGGAGTGCGAGTACTGGGACCCAAAGCCGTACCCCGACATGGTGGGTAGCTGTGATCGAAAGAGGTTGCCGAAGATAATCGTTTGCTGCCGATGAAAGCGGCCTCGTGGAACGTCAGACGAGCTGTCGATATGCCTGTTGAAGGCAACCGAATCAGAAGTTTACTGACCGCTGCCAGGCGACGCGGGAATCAACCACCGAGCCACAGCTCAAGGTTCGACGATGAATACGACGAGAGAAGCGGAAAGAGTGAAGAGAAGAGAGAAATCGAGTTGGAGGAGTGGGGAATCTCGACGGATAGGGGACGCGCAGGTTAGGCGATTGGGTGTTCGCAGGCGATGCTGCAGGTGAGCGTGCCTGCACTTGGACCGTTACAACAGAGAGCTGCCGTTTCAACGGACGACGAAGACGCAAGAACAAAGCGACAGGGAAGACAACGGGAGATCGAGGAAGATTGATGGAAGGAAGCGGGAGGAGAAAGAGAAACTCGCTTAGTTTCCTCGAGTCGTCGAGTTTGGGTTACGCGTCGTCTTTATGGGCCGACGACATCTTACATGCACACCAACGTGTTAAGCGATTTGCAAGCCCCCCCCCGGAAGCTTCCTTCCCATGCGAACCACGGCCGCCGGCGCAAACACATTCGTCCCGTTCGGATAGCAGCAGAAGCGGCAGCGGCGGCGGGTAGCTATCCACACCATCTCGAAGGAAATACCTACGACCAGTCCCTCTTTCACTCACCGAGGACGAACTGAGGGCATGTCAGCAGACGTCGAAACGGCCCTGTTGCGCGATCCTCTCCCTTGGAGGAAGCCATGTTCGAAATGATGCCGTCTCCAACGTCATGCCTCGTGGAAGTGATCGGCAATCTTGTGCAAGTCCGCACGCAGTCCCGGAATTGCCGCTCGATCAAATGCAACTGTGACAGGTTATAGGGCTGCGGGAAGCCAGATGCGGGAAGCCATTGCTCTTGGGATGCTGGGTATGTTGTACAGGGACGGGCTTGCAACAGCATTCGCTCGGAGCCATCTCTCGCACCTCATCACCATTTGCGGTCGGTTGGCACAAATGCGATGAACCAACACCCACTATGCGCTGTACACGTGTAGGGGAAGCTACTGGATGGAGAGAGAGAGAGAGAGAGAGAGAGAGAGAGAGAGAGAGAGAGAGCTTGCGGAGGATGGGTTCTTGTTGGCGAGCAAGCGAGCTGCACGGCGCCTGCGGTAACACCACGGAATAACGAGAGAAATCCCCCTTCTCCGCGGGCGGTTGGAAATAGTTGTCATCAGAACGGAGAAGCTGCTCTCAGAGTAGTCTCTCTCACGAACGGATTCAACCCGAGCAGCTTGTCTGCTTCTAAATGGCATGTCTAAAGATGTTGTCGGATTGTAACAGACACGCTGATCGTTACCTGAAGTCCGAGTATCAGGTGCAGGCAAGCGCGGTGGGACCTACGGCACGACACAAGGTACGGACGGTAGGGCTCAGAGAGAATGCAGAGAACCGCATGCCGCGTGGGAAAGGGGGGAAACCCAAACCCCCGGAAGGATCGCACCTACGAAGGAAGCAGAGCCGCATTCCCTTTGCCCCTCCTTGTCTTCCCCTCCCCTCATCAACCGTGAAATTGGCTGATGAACGAGGTAGGTAGGTAATGTGACGCTGTGGAGGAAACGAACCCCGCCCGACGTACATCACCCCCCGGCAAGGGAGCTGCTGCTGCAGGAAAGCTCCCGTCGCTGGGAAAGGGCTGCATGTGTCTCTAAACGGGCGTCGAGTGGACTTCCAAACGAAGAACACTGACTGGCGATTGGTCGGCTGCTGCAAGCTTCGCTGTGCCGCCGCTCATGGGGGTGATTCCTTCTGAAGCCAACGCAAGCCGAAGCCTTCGTGATGGACTGAGATACGACTGGCGTCGGCTTCGCCCGCGGCGGGAGGGCAAGGGACGGTTCGTTCGTGGAGGAGGGGCATGGGTCATCTGGAGGGGTCCGCCGGCGGCGACGGCCGGAGACGATAACGATAGACAAGGCCAAGACTTGCACTTTTGTCATCCGTAAGCTCTTGACGTGAGTTTATCGTCACGGAGGATTTGGAAGTGAGTCAACTGATGGTGGTGGTGGGCAGCCGACAGACGGCAGCAGCTTCATCATTCGGGACTACAGAGTACCCTAGCCTTTGCAATGATATTCTGATATTGCATGTGCCCGCCGTTCTCGTCCCCGCGCTTGATAACGCCGGGGAATGTGACGCACGCGATATCGCGCTGCGTGAGGGCCTCCTCATCCTCTCCACCAATGTCCTCCATAGTGGCGGTATCGAACTTGGTTTGTTGGTGCGGTAGGATCTCGGGGAGATGGATCCGAAATACAGCTTTTTGCACGGCGAGTTGCCGCGCCAGATCTGCCGCGCTGCCGACAAGGGCACGGAGAGCTGTGTCGCGGGCCTCAGTCGCCGTGGCGTCTGTCACGGCGTCGAGAATGGAGTTGACGCGGGCAATAACGCGCTCCGTTGCTGCTGACGTCTCTTCCTGCATCTTTGCCTCGGCCTCACGCTGGAGGAGGGCGAGTGTCGAGGAGCGCCAGTTATTTAGTGCTTCTGGGGATTCGACTACGTTTGTTAGTCTCTATCAATATGAGATTAAACGGAATCTTGAAATCAGGGGTTTCGAACCATAGGATGAAAGCATTTCTTCAACTGCTTTCAGTTGATCTGCCTGCTCCTTCGGCAGACCAAAGAAGTAAGAGTCAAATATCGTGTCCACAAGGATCCGCGATACGATAGACTGCAGCATATGCACCTTTGCTGCGGGCTCTAGGTCGGCGTGCATCGGAACCAATCTCCCCAGCTCCTCGCGAGTTTCCTCACCGGCAGCAGCCACGTCTATTCCCAGTCAGTACACGTTCTTCTCGAACCTCGAAGACACCAAACGTACCCAACTTGGCCCTTCGAAAGTTGACAATGACCCAGTTCTGCAATCCGTTTCCTAACCTCGCCATGCCGTCACAGAAGACCTCGTCAGAAGTCTGCCCGCTGGTCCGCGTGCTGGTGCTCACAAACTCCTTCAGGCCCCTGACTTGCGCCCTCAACTCCCCGACTTCCCGCATCAAAGAATCTCGGTCGGCGTCCCGGGCCTCGGATTCCTGACGCAACAGGCGCAGGTCTGCGTCCGCGCGGAGGTACTGCTGATTCAGGTCGCTGTGCTTGGCCTGCCAGAAGACGGCTGTTTCCGACTCGTTTTGTGAGAGCTTGTCGAGCTCGCGGGTGAACTCACGCTCCATGATCTCGAGCTCTCGTTCCAGCTGCGCTATGCGGGCGTCCTTGTCTTTGAGGAGCGCGCTGCCAGCGCCGGTGCCACTGCCACTACTACTGCTGTTTCCGGAGTTATTACCTCCGGGGGTATCTTTCGTTCTAGACTCTTTGTCCCTTCCATCTTTTCCGACTTCGCGGGCGGTGTTCCCATCGTCGGGGTTCGGTGGTGCGGAGGAGCTCGAGGGCGCGTGGTGTGCGCGCGGGGGCGGGGCAATGATGTTCGATGCGCTTGTGGATCGCGAGTTGTGTATGACATGTGTACTCGAGCCCCCTTGAGATTTTGAAGAAGCTGTGTTCGAGGCTGTCGTGCTGCTGCTGTTGGTGCCCCCACTCGTGTCTTTGGATTCTTTGTTATTACTGCTGGCGCTGGAGCTGCCGCCGGGTATGAAGGAGCGGCGCTTCTCCGATGTCGTGGACATCCGGCCGGGCTTCTTATCTTTCATCATGGGGACAGCGAGGGACGAGGCGCGGGTTGCGGTGCTGCTGCTTCTGCTGCTGCATGTTTGTATGGGAAGACGTTCGAGCTCCGAAGGCACGGGGTCTGTGATGAGGACGACGAGCTCACCACCTCCCGTTCCCCGTTCCGTTTGGGTTTCGTTTTCGGTGCCTGCTTGGCGGGGCTGACGATGACAGCTACGACAACCTGATCGGATGCTTGCCTACGGGAGGCGAAAGGCGTCTGGGGCCTCTTATTAAGAGAGTAGAAGAGGCTCTCCACGTCGTCAGACCAAGCTAGGACAGAGAGTCGTCGCAAGCGATACGCGCAGGTCGATTCAGGTCGCTTCGCTGGATTCCGCTGCTACGTAAGGCAGACCTGGATCTGGTGGAGAGTGGTGGGTAGCGTTGGCAAGGTATTGGAGGTTGATTTGGGGGCGAGACGGGGATGTGCTGACAGAAGCTTCTTGGGATTGGGGTCCCGTAGAGATGGACGTTCTGTTCGTTCCCCCGCCTGGGCGGTATTTTTAGCGGCCCGGCCGCTGGCGGCCGCGCGCTCGGGGCTGAGAATCGTGGGGGCTGTGCGTTGGGTTGAGCTACAGGGCACTGTCTGGGCAGCAGCCGCTGCGGTTGGATGGACTGGGGAGCCCTGTAATTTTGCGTGTTCAAAAAGAAACCCCTGTAGCTTCACGACCAGTTGCAAAAGTGGTGATTTTGGGCTGAGTTGTTGAGTAGGTATGGTTAAGGTACGAAGATGAAGGTTACGAGAGTGAAAACGAAGAGAAGTTTCCGGAGCAAATCTTATGTACTCGGTTTGAAAGACGTGCTCATCCCGCATCAATGGATGTCCTGAATAAACAAACGTTGGTCTTAGCCGAGTTTGAATCATTCGACCGCTTCGTCTCTAACGCGGGCTGGTAAGTTGCATAATCATGAGAATCTTCTTTCGACTTGGCGAAAAGTGAAGCCAGTAATCCAATCATTTTGCGTGCTCTACTTCTGTTGACCCGGTATGGCAGCTGTCGCGGAGGCATCATGACAACAACTTACAACAACCAGTATGATCCGTCTCTAGGAAGTCTTCAACAATGGTTTCACAAGACGGGCTCTTGGCATTAGCCCGAGTACTGAACAACTTGTTCAGGACGAGTCTTGTTTCTCGCGTAGAGAAGAAACCCATCGGGACCCCTCAGAATTCAATCTCAGCCTCGACCTCGTATTCCTGATCATCCTCGCCCTCAATCTTCTTCGCCCCCATCCGGCAGATGGCAATCTTCTCCACGGGCACGTCCTCCATCCAGACATAATCATCGTACCGGTCGAGTATATCCCTCGCGTCGATGGTCACCTTGGACCCCTTCTTCCCCCTCCCCTTGACATATATCGTATTCACGATGGTAGCGTGCAACAATAACGGCCGATCCTCTTTTTCCATCACCTCGGCCTCCTGAAACACCGCTCTCAACTTCTCGCAGAAGGCGCGGAAGACTCCCTCGGTGTCGACGGGTGGCGCGTAGAGGACCGAGGCCTTGGGGGCCGGCTGGATAGAATGTAAGCCGCGGAGGGTGAGGGAAAGAGGCTTCTCGGGGGTACTCGTGGCGGGGCCAGCGAGTTGGGTGATAGAGGACAACGGCTTGACAGTTGATAGGATCTCTCGCGGCCTGAGGGACTTGAGAACTTCGACCGCTTTGTCGAGGCCTTCGTTCTTGGGGAAGGACATTACGCCGAGGGTAAGATGGAGGGTTCCGAGAGGCCGGACGGAGTCTGAGGGAATTGCGAAGCTGTCTGGGCTGGTGACGTCCGCTTTGAAGGAAGCCAAGCTCTTGGAGAGCTGAGGACGGGATGAGGGGGTGATGAGAGGGATGCACAGGAAGTGCGTGGGAGCTGGTCGGGGAGGCATGGCTTAGGCGACGGGTGTCGTGATGGAGGCGGACGAAGGCTTGAAAGTGCGGATGGTTCAGGTGCTGTCTAGGCTGTTCCAGCAGATGTGTAGCCTCACAATGGGAAGTCGTGTAGCTGAATGGCTCAAGAATTCCTGGGGGATAATATGTAAAGTGTCGAGCTGTAGGCCATGTCAGTCGATCTCCAGTAACTCCCAAGACCAGTCAGCGGCGCTTTGAAGCAAATCGCTCGCGGCGGGCCGACCCGTAGGTTGGCGTTCCGTAGAACAGGGCCTTGGTAACATCTCTCCATATTCAAGAGCGCATGATGTAGTAGCTCATAAGATTATGGAAGCTGCCTCGGACGATGAGATGTTCGGTTCGTATGGGAAGGTCTTGGAGGAGTGCGAAGCAGACCTCCAAAGGCCGCGGAAGTTTTGGGCCGAGCGCCCGCAACAGTCCCCTAACTCCTAGAAAACTTCGAGACGTACCTTAATCAAGCTATGGCGTCAATTTGTCGATCTCTGGGCTGGGCTTCGTCACAGCTCAAGATGATGTCAGTCAGTCAAGGCTGGAAGGTAACGCCCGGGAGAATTTTGGCGGGTTCCCCGCTGCCCGCACTGAACTTGGGATGCAAGCCTGTTGTCAGCAAAACCCCTGCGGCTACCAGTTTGAACAACAGAGAACACAGCCAGTATTTGAGGACGAGAATTCCATGTTGAAATCTACAGAATGCCGTAGCAATGATTCTCTTTCAGAATTTCACTGTTTTCACAAAGTATCTTTGTTGTCCTTGGACAGCTTCTTGATGCTGCCCAATGAGCCTGAGATGCCCCCAACACGTAAGTATACTATCGCTCATCTGCCCAGCAAAAGTTGGGTTGTGTATGTAAAGACCGTAAAAAGCATGCTGTTGATTTAGGACTATGGCAAAAGGGTGGAATGGCCCGGGGCATAGGTGCTGAAACCCTTCTTACTGTCCCGAGTAACCACCTAGGTCATCCGACTACCTTCGGCTGCCCACGGAAGAGCAAAGGGGCCTTCCAACGCATATCCAGTCCATTTCCCATGCCAAAATGCCAGTTTTCTTCATGATTCAAAATCGTAAACGTAGGGGAGGGGTATGAGGGGAAGTAGGTTCGTGAGCAAAGCATCCTGGGTCAGGGGTCAGGTAGTCGAAGAGCTGAAAGACCTTCTAAAAGAGCAGCACTGCCCCTTTTCTTCCACATCCTTAACGTCGTCACAGCCATCGTTTCTAATGCTGAGCGACAGTGCGGCTGAGTCTGGACATGGAGCGCGACGTCATCAGGAGGTTGTGTTGTCGCTCTAGGCTTCGGTGGTGTTGTAGAACTTCTTCAGGATCTTCTCGGCGTCCTCATACTCAGTCTTTAGCGCCTCGAGCGTCTTGGTGATTTGATCCAAGCACAACTTCTCGTCCTTCTCTGGAGAACCATCCTCGTTCTCTTTCTTGCCGTAACGCTGGATCTTCTCGCAACTGTCTCTAACCTTGACGAGGCCAAGCGTGGCCGAGGAGCCCTTGAGAAAGTGACCCAACTGAGACAGCTTCTCGAGGTCTTTTTCCTCTCTGTAAGGAGGAAGAGATGAAAGTCAGCACTGTAAGAGAACAACCCAAGTTGCCTGATGCCCACGATCCCGGCCTTGGGCGCCGGGGTATGGGTCAGAGGAAGAGGGGAAAGGGTGGGAGTGGGGGGCAAGAGTTCAGGGCAGACTGTGACGATGCGACTCACAAAGCCGAGTCCATCGACTCAAAAGTTTCTTCTGCTTGCTCGAAGAAGCCAAAGACGATTGACTGGCTGAATTCGCGATCATCCTCGCTGTCGTCCATCTCCAGGATCTGACCGAAGGTGACTGAGTCAATCGCGTCGCCAAAGTCGGTGGTGCTGAGGGGACCATCGTCGCTCTGTGCCCAATACCCCACGTCAGCCCTCGCGGTCACCACATGACGAGAATATTATCGGGAGCGGTTTCACATACTTTGTCCTCAGAGGCAGGCATTTTGACTGTTTGATTTGTCTTGCTGAAATTTGAGAGGCGTTTGGTTGGTTACACACAGCAGGCGTGAATAGCAAGGCGGGTAAAGGATCTGGAGGGGTAAAGGCGACCGAGATGAATACTAGGTGCGACTGGCGGCAACACGGAGCACGGAGGAGCTACTGAGGCGAAGAGTTGGTTAGAGAGACCGCGGCAAGCAAGGAGGTTCAGATAGGTAGGAAGTGGATCCCACGATGTGTGTGGACTGCAGGAGTGAAGGCTTGGGAATCTTTGCGCCCGGTTCCTGGAGGGGTAGGCTGGTTGTGATATGGGGTGCTGAACAGTAATAATAGGTGGCGGTGGTGGTGGTGCGGGTGACGATGAATGAGATATACCGCACAAGGGCATGTGCAGCCGGATGTGGGTATTCGGATGGAGGGGAACGAGAGCGGGAACGTGAGCAGAAAAGGGCACAACGACTGACTTACAGAGATGAATATGTCTGAGGATGAGGATTGGATACGACAGAGTGGTGTTTGGGCGAGCTAGAGTAAGGTAGGAAAGGGTAGGCTGTCGGGTCCGATTCTGGTCGGGTGGGCATATAAGACGACTTTCTGGTAAGGCGAGGCAGAGCAGAAGCAAGCAAGAGGTGAGGTAGGTAGGTAGTAGGGCTTCCGAGGTGTCTAATAATTTTTCGGCGGGGGACGCAGTAGGTGATGTGGGTAGGTGGACTTTTTTTTGGAGGGGAAGAACGGCGTGGTGGGGTTGCGCTGGTGACTGCAGCGTGAGAAGTACCTAGACTTGCTAGGTTAGGACAGAGACAGCCCACGAGGAAGACGGGACTGGAGTGCAAGAACAGTAAGGTACCTTACCTTCTGGAAGGGGAGATCAGCTCGCGCTGGTTGGTCGCAGGGTCGGAGTGCAGCGGTAAAAGTACGGGTGCTGGAAGACGTGTTCGGCCTTTGGTTTTGGGCGCGAGCTTTCAATCGAATTCGAGGGATGAATCTGAAAAGAAGATAGGTATCGTTAGGTTACCTAGGTAGGTTAAGGATGTGATGTAAGAAGATTGCAAGCTTGAAGTGAGGTGACGATGATGTAGTCAGTCAGGGTCCTCGTCCTCGGTCAACGAAAAGAGCAGCTCTCCAAAATACCGAGTGCAGCAACAAAGCACGCGACGAGAAAACAATAATCGTGTGTAGCCAGAGGCTGCTACTCCCTTGCGACGAAGATGACGATCAAGATCACCAGGGAAGGTGAGAGGGACGGTGAGGTGAGAGGCGAGAAGCGAGCCGGAGCGAGTGCCGTTGAGCACCTGAACCTCTTGAGGGTAAAATAAGGGAAGGTATCCGTACCTCAGGTAAGGTAAGGTAGGTATGTACGGCAGGGTCAAGAGGGCCCTTGGACGGCTGATTAAAAGCGGAAGGCGTGATGGCTGGGGCAGCAGGACCAGGGCCCACGAGAAGAGGGGAGATGATCTCTCAAAGGGGACAAGGGCGGATCTGAGAGTGATCTTTAGCGCGATTTTGGAGTGCTGCGCTGCGCTGCGTCGGCAGGCTGAATATGAGGTGCTCGGTAATAGCTTATGCGCCCTCCGCTACCTTGTAGCTGGGAAAAAGTAATCGGGGTTGCGACAAGCGAGAGGTGGCAGGTGAGGTCTCGGGTGAGGTGAGGTAAAGTAAAGCGATGTAAGGCAAAGTGAGGTAAGGTAGGTAACGTGAAGTCGGTAAAGGCACGGAAAACCGAGATTCTCCAGTCCACCTCAGCGAAGCTAAATGAAAAGAAGCCTTAGGTTCGGATCTTGGAAGAACTTGCCGCTCCTGCCCTTGCTGGAAATGTTGCTGCGAGTACGGATACTGCGTGGTAATACTCTATACAGGCCTGTAATAAGGTGAGGTAGGTAAGGTACACTGCGGGCAGCCAGACGCTGTACTGCCCAAGAGGGGGTACGCAGGAAGATGTGTCTGGTGGAGGGGTGATGATGGAAGTGGAGGGAAGAAGGAGCGGGGTGGAAAGCCAGTGGAGGTCAAACGATGATACGGCGGGATTGGTTTACCTTTTTCTGCAGGGCCTTCGGCCGGGTATGGATTTGTGACCTTAATAGCGGCGTGGGTAGACAAGGAATGTTGTGCAGGTATTGCTTCGTTGCTGCCACATTGAGGTAGGTATGGTAATATAAGGAGGTAGACAAAGTAAAGGAAGGTAGTTGGAGGAGGGAGATTGGTGGTTCAAGAAGTGGCCGGAGATGGAATCACACGTTAAACAGAAGGCGCTCTTTCCAGTTAATACTGACTAACTGACTCCGAGTCCAACTCTTTTGAACCCGACCGCTCAAGAGACAAGAAGCAGGAAATCCGTGGCTTCTTGAGACGAGATATACCAACTCAAATGCAAAAGCAAGGCGGACGAGATGGAGGCTTGAGTCGCAGAGTCGGAGAGGCAGCGATTGCCCAGCCAGGATGAGGTGAAGTTTGGTAAGGTAAGGTAGACAGCAGCAGCTGGATTGCGAAAGACACCCGACGGGACGTCGAAAAGGGCGGCTGGGATATCCACACCGAAGTCCAGGTCCAGGTCCAGCCATGCAAAGGTACCTACCTACCTGCTTCTGCCTGCCTGACCTCATTCTTAAATAAAACTTATCGAGGTGCCTACTAAAGTTGAAGTACTGTGTAGACGGAAGCGACCACCTGCCTGCTTAAGCTTAACGTGACGGGAGTTTCGAGGTACGAGACCATCGTGCAGTGTCTACCAACCTCGTATGTACGGTACCTAATGTGGCTTCATGCCGGAGCAGCTCTTTCCAAAACCAAAAAGAACTGCTGCTTGGATCTGTATTTCCAGTCCTTCCCCAGATAAATTCCTTCCATTCCCATATCCAAACCTCCCCCCGCCTCTTGGCCTCCTGTCATATCTCCCTCGGCTACCCTTACCGGCCTCATGATTTCTTTTCTCCATGCAATATCCGTATGTCGGCCGCAGTCGCTCCAGGTGAGTCCCGACGATCAGCCCGAATCAACCATACACATCCTCACAACGTCTTACCATAGGCCTCCTCGGCGCTCTTTTCGAGAGTCTAGACCTTCATCAGTTCCCACACTGACCAACTTTCACAGGGTCATCAACCATGTTCACGTCATTAAAATGCCGGTTCAAGACTTTCACTCGCCTACCAAACCTGATGCGCCGCCGCATTACTTTCCGACCATCACATCTGACGGAGACGCGCCTCCGCTACTCGCCGCCATTCGCCCTCAAACCTCTACTCGGGAGCCTTCTAGACCGAGGACGCCGGTCATGGTGTTGTGGGACTTGTTACCGCCGTACAGTACCCGCGAGCGTCGACGCACCACAGGCACGGCAGGATACCCCTCTACTTCCCGGGCCCTCCTTGCACACCTTGTATCCCCGGCCAGGATCCTCGACGATGCAAAAGCGCCGCTCTGCATGCTGAGCTGCTTGGCTACTATGTAGTAGACGGCATCTTTCGCGCTGCAGCCACCACAAGGCTATGATCAGCACCTTCTGCTGACTTCTGCCGGCTTCTCCTCAACAATATGTCGCCTTAGCCTGCGCCCTTGCTTTCAAGAAGACATTCAGCGACGCTGCGATATCATCCTCTCTCGCCGTGCTCCAATGTTTCGACGACTGTTGGTTCTACGGTTTTACGTCTGTTTTCTCCACTGCGGCCCTCTTCGAAGTTTTGTCGGAAGAGCAAGCGCGATCTTCGGCATGAAGAGCCAATCCTTCGTGTTGTGCCCTAGCCTCTGGGTTGCTGTTTGTCACTTCCCTCGTCACTTGGACCCCTCTTTGAGCCCGCCCTGACTAGGAGACGTGGCAGGCCGCAGTCATCGGAATATGGACCATCTTGGGACGATCCATCTGCAATGTCTCGATACGCTACATCCTGCCATCAAGTGACCCTCGCGATGGCACTGTGGCAAATTGGTCGCGATACGGATACCTGCTCAACCATTCCCATTGTAAAATTCAAGATGCTAATGGTTCACCAATCCACATCGAGAGGGAGCCCCAGATATGGCGGGAGGGGCTGGAGCCGAGTCACGGCGAGCCGCCGGAGGCAGAAACCGGGGAGCCAGGGAAAAACACTGAGAAAAGTCAAGGGGCCATTACCACCGGAATGCAGGGTCCTAACCCCGTCGAAGAGGCCTTTTGACGATCCGTTCCTGATTCGAGAGTCTTGGCCATGCTGACATGCCACCAGATGCCACCGATACTGGGCAGGTGGCAGGGAAACACGGTGAACGAAGGTCCCACACCGCTGCAGAATCAACTCAGAGGAGTCCGGCGACAGAGGCTAGACTCTCTCGGCCGACGGTTGATTCTCCACATCCGAATACTTTTCAGCAAAGGGGAAAAAAAGGATTTTCACGTTGTGTGCCGGTATGGTGGTGTCGTCCGTGGAAGGGTTCCGTCGAAGTGGTTAACTGGTGGTGAGGTGGGGCACCTTGCATATGCACTTTGGGGGCTTTACATTGGAGTTTTCCCAGACGTCATACCGCACCTGGACGTCATCGGTGGATCTCTCTGCAAGCCTTGCAAGGACCGGGGTGCTTTGAGTGCTAGACGCTTCCGTTTTGGGTTGCATCCGTCTGTTGGAGGTTCACGCCGACAGCAGCCTCTACGACCACCATCTCAGCATGATGCCGCCTCCAATTTCTCCCGACTCTTCTTTCGACTGATTGCAGGAGCTACCGTTCACCAACGCAAATTCAAGAGACACTAATCCGGCCGTCAACTAGATTGGTGGCTTTGGACCTGTTGCGTGTCCAGTCGCCATGGTTCTCAGCCGCTCGAAGCTAGAGGTGCCGCTACCAGAGATGACAGAGTCCGGCAGCGCGGGACCGTAACATGCCATGCGTCTTCCGTGTTTTACGGAGGCCCACATCTCGACGGTCGGGTTGCAGGTGCGGTGGACCGGACATCGGCATGCCGCTAGGTAACTGAGAACCTCACCTCCACGGTTCCCTTCTCCACTGTCACCAAGCCCCTCGCTTTCCTCGCTCACTCGTTCACTGCTTTTAGATTCAAGACAGCGTGCTCCGCATCTTCTAGAGCATTTCCGACCTTCGGTGAACAAAGAGATAGCAGGGAAGACATTCCAAGTCGTCCCGTCTGATGATTGGATCGGTTGAACTGTAGGGTCTGGTGTCACGCAGTCGACATTCACTGGAGCCGTGGGTTGACGATTTGACAGCAACTTTGACTCTAACCCCTAAAACCTCGATCGTCGCACGAGTGAGAGCAGCTCAATATCGCACGGCCAATGGCTAATGTACGGTGACATCTGCGCTAGCTATATTGAGAGCATCGTGAGATCAATTCAGTACTGCCAATTCTGCAGCCCCAGTTGATTGGGAAGGCTCTATACTCGAGTCTCCAAGACATCAACGGCATTGCCTGCGTCAGGCGAAGACAGCGGACGGTCACCATGTTAACTTCTCCAAACTGAAAATAGCCGAGGTACCTTCGACCTGTAAAGCTTAGGTACTGCAGCTTGATCTCGGAATTTCAGGTAAGCGCCTGTCTCAGTCACATATCAAGATGGAGAAACACCAGATGACAGCAGGAGCCGATTGCTCGTACAAGAGTAAACTTCACTTGCTCCATGTTACACATGGCTGAACGGCTCCACCATCTCGGTCGGTATCCGTCTGAATGGCAAGGGATGCCTATCGTTCAAAATTCAGCAGCCCTACAAAAGAAAACTACAAACTCGTCTGCAAGACGACCGTAAAGCACAATGGCGCGGCACGAACGTTGATCCACATGCGTGGCTCGCAGACTGTGTTGGTGATCGCGAGAGACGCCATCTCGCACTCCTTCACCGTTTCTCGCGCCAACCTGCATGGACAACACGAGGTTCCCGCTGGCGCTGCATGCAAGTGCGAGGTGACAGTCCCCAAAACCTGTTTTTGGTCCTGCTGTGCAGCGAGTAGTCTGCCTCCGCCGGCTTGGCCGGCTTCGATGGTCCTTGAGGCTTCGAGACGACGGTTCAGACGAAGTTCTCAGCTTTTTGTTGGTCGAGGGGGCCGCCGTTTTCTTTAGACTCCCCCCCCCCCGAGTCTCTAGACGCCGCGAGGAAAGCCAAACATTCCAGATCGGCGGCGCGTTTTTGGGACCTGAGGAGCAATTTCAGGGGCTGAAGTTGATACGGCTGAAAACGGACGGGAATAGGACTAGACGTCACTGGCCTGTTCCTGTTGTACGCGGTCACGTGGCTTGTGGCATTGGAGCAGAGGCATAGAAGCCTTTCATCGAGCTCTCATCGTAATAACTAGCTCCTACTGGTGGAACGCATCTTTCAGCACTTTACAGATATGCGAATTGATCACAATTGATTCCATACTGCAGCGTCGATCTTTGGTATGTACTGCTCGTGCTTCACTCTACACGCCGAACCACGAGAGGAGGGATTTGGGTTGTCAGACATCCACCGAGTGGCAGGCCATCACAAGCCGTCCACAAAACGCACATGTCTCCGAAGGGTGGTCAATATTGCTTCTCGCGGTACATTGAACTTTTGAAAGGATGCATTAAAAACGTAACGTGGAGCATTAAAAAGCATACCCTGCAGAATCGGCTGCTGGGGTTCTCAAATAGTCTAACGGTGATGTTCTCGGTCCTGCTAGGGCTGTGGTGATACCCACATCACCATTCCCGAGATGCGGCCGCGCCTCTCCCTTGGCGAGCATTCTTTTTCGTGGAGACAATTGTCATCTTCCTCCTCGTCCACTCACAGCAAAACCTTCGTCGCTACGCTGAGCAACCATGCCGCATCTTGCCAACCACCCTCGTTGGCCTTGGGGGGCGGAATCCGTTCTTCCGGAGTGCTGGACACGCCCTCAAAATGCCGTGCTGACCACGAACGGAGCTCCTGCGATTCGGATATCTCGTGTCCAAAGTCCCCGTCCTCATCATCCGACTCTTCCTCGTTTTCTTCGACCGCGAATAGCGGCCACCCCAGGATGTTCCCGACCCAAGACGCGGCACCGGCCCGCTCGCCCTCGACGAGCCTCCTGACGGCCGCCTCATCGTCTTGGGTGGTATCAAAATCGAAAGCCTCGAGCTTCTCGTCAAGGTTGACGAAGTCGGGCCCGGGGATGATGTCTTCGCCGTCGTGGTGACGGGGAAAATAACCCTCATCCGAGTGCCGCTCCAAGGGCGTCATTATCTGGCTTCTGGTGCCCACTCTGCTGGCTGACCGACTCCCAGGACGACTCGGCCGCGCGGAAAGAGTGTACGCCCCGTCCATCTCACCGAGACTGCCTCGCCGGCTGCCCCGACGACTCGCCAGCTCCCTCTCGCGAGCCAATTCCCTCTCGAACGCCTCGTCCTCGGCATCTCGCATGCCCGTCAAGCTCGTGGAGCTTGCTCTCGACACCAGCCACGCCTGGCCCTTGAACTCCCGGCTCTCGTTGCTGATGAGCGCGCCGGTGCGCAGGAGCCAGTCGCCGTCGTTCGGATCCCGCGCGGACGTGTCGTCCTTGCGGCGGCGTACCGTGGGCGAGGTGGTGCCCGAGACGGATTGTCGATAATGGGCTTTGCGGTCGTTGGCGGCCGGGGCCAGGTGGGTTGCGGACTTGCTCTTGGGTAGCTCGGCGTGCGGGACGGAGGAACGGCGGACGTGGGAGTTTGAGCGGGCGGGCGAGCGCGTCAGGAGGCCGGGCGTCGTGGGGGCGGACTTGCCCTGGAGGTAGGAGGTGTTGTGAGCTGGTGATGTGAGGTGGTCGGGCAGGGCGTCGTCATCCTGCATGGGCATTCTCGAGGTGAATGGTGCGAGGGAGAGGTGGTTCAGGTTTGTGCTGGAACGGTTCTTCCGACGCGCCTGATTCGCGTACTGCTTATATGCCTCCTCCATTTTTATGTTTTGGCTTTTGTTGTCAAGCCGTCGTCTGGCAGGTAGAGAGGTAAGGAAGGTATTGATAGAGTAGATTGTGAGTTGTTGGTCGGCCAGACTAATTGGGAGGGAGGGAGGGAAAGCAGAGCAGGGGTTTAAGCGAGTAGAAGGGTTCCTTTTTGGTTTGGGGAACAAGAATATGCAGGACAGGAGTTCGGGTGGTCTCGCTTCAGGTTATAAGGGAAAATGGTTGGGACAGCACCAGGAAAGCTTGTTGAGGACTGGAATGGAAAAGGGAGGCGGACAACATCGGCCATTGACGGGAGACACGCAGGAGACAGAGCGACGGAAGCCTGAGCTACGCCCGGGGCCTACATGCGTTTTCTGGCATGCGCTAATGGCAAAATCCGGGGCAGCAGTCTTTTGGCCGAGGGGGAAGGGGGGCTCGTCTGTGATTTGCTGATCGGGTCCTGCGGGGAGGGCGGTGATTGGACGCATGATTACGTAGGTACGCAGCTACATTTCACGTTTTTCGCGACTTGCGAATGTGCTCGGGTAATGCTATGCGGACGAAGTATCCGAACCCTTATTGATCCCCTGTGATCCCCGTTGCCGTCATGCAACCCCTTCTACGGCATAGGTGCCGCGGTAAGGTATGCCAATGGACAATCGGGGGTGGTATTTGCGTCGCATGCCGTGATGGGTTCTAGGCCTTTCACGTCTGGTCTGTCCATCAGTAATGAGCTGACTGTAGCACGATGTTGCGAGACGTCCTTCATGCAAGCGGCGTTTTGTCAGGTGAGGTTTAGGTCTCGCGGCGAACCGGCTACCACCTCGTGCGGTCGTGTAAGGAATTAGATGGTTTATGACTTTATGCGTCCAATTGAGATGATCGGAAATGGCCGTTACGAAAAGTTCCGCAGGTCGCCCAGGCAGTAAAGGAAACTTGACAGCTCTAGAAGACTTCTACAAACTAGAAAGAACCATGGAAGTGGCAAGCAAAGCGAGCAAGCAACAACCACCTCAACTGAAGCTGCGGACAAGCGGGAAGCCTGTGGCGTGGGCTGGCGGCGGGCAGAGGGCGGCGCTTGAACCCCTCTTATTCCGGGATGCCTCCGCCGCCCGCCGCCGACGAATGGGACAAAAAAAGGGCCGTAGCCGAGCTCGGACCCCGCCAAGGTCACGCAGGTACCTGACGGCGCGCGGCACTACGCAGCTTAGGGCGAGGTACCTCTTTTAGTCTGTTAGTGTGCCCGCGTATGGGCCGCGACGGCGCATTCGAGATTTTCAGCACCAGCGCCAGCGAAGGAAAAAAAAAAAAGATTGCGGTATCAGAGGAGACGGGACCTGACAGCCCAAGACGAAAGACTCACTCAAAATCGCAAACGACGAAAACACCCCACCTGATGACCATCCAGGCATAACATATCTGCCGAACAATTTTTCTCTCCCCCGCCTCTCTTTTCCGACTTGAGGAGCCGAGAATCACAAGCCAAAAAACCGAAGGAAGATGCGCAACTTGCGCAACATTCGATTCGGCGGCTGGTCGTCGTCGGACGCCTCCGCCGCCGAGGTGACGGCATCCTGCTGGGACCCCGCCAAAGACGAGGTTCTCTGCACAGCTGGGCCGACCGAAGCCAAGGCCACCATTGAGCTGGTGAGGCTGTCGGACCACCAGCAACAGCAGCAAATGTGTGGCGCCATTTTTTCTTAATGTGTCTCTATTTCTCTCTTTTCTCTTTTGCGTCTAGTGTAACTTTATGACAGGGGGAGACGTTTCTATGTTTAACATGGCAGAACTTCATCGTTTCACCAAAGTGCTCGGTTGACGCTATACTGAGTTCTGTCAAAATTTTGCTCCTATTTTGAGGGTGTTGATCAAGTGGCTGATGATCCTTATCTTGGGTTGCTTACTCGGGACTTATAAAAAGACTCAGCCTCAAAGTTGTGGCTTAAGCTTTTTGCGAATGAGTTGAAGTTACTCGAAGAAGCATGAGACTAACATGGGCATGGTAGTAAATCACAACTCGTCGCGAGCTGGGATGCGCCGAGCCCGAGCCCGGACCTGCCCGCCGACAGGATCGTCTCCCTTCACCACTTCAGCGACACCCTGACAACCTGCGTTGTCCTCGAGGGCGGCGACATCGTCACGGTCCAGGAGGATGATTTCGGCAACGGCGAGGCGCAGATCGAGATCGTCGGCGGCATCGACGCCGGTATCTCCGCTGCGCGATGGTCCCCCGACGAAGAGCTGCTTGTCGTCGTCACCAAGGAGGGCAACGCCGTGTTCATGGGCCGCTCGTTCGACCCCATCGCCGACGTGATCATGACGGCCGAGGATCTGAAGCTCTCGAAGCACGTCTCCGTCGGGTGGGGTAAGAAGGAGACGCAGTTCCAGGGGAAGGGAGCCAAGGCTCTCCGGGATCCTACGATTCCTGAGAGGGTCGACGAAGGCCTGCCGAGCGCGAACGAGGACGGGGGCGCCACGGTTAGCTGGAGAGGAGATGGTGCGTATGTTGCGATCAACTCCGTCGCCGGTGGGGAGAGGAGAGTTGTGAGGGTGTATTCGAGAGAGGGCGTGCTCGACAGCGTCAGCGAGCCTGTGGATTATCTCGAGGGCAGTCTTAGCTGGAGGCCTTCGGGAAATCTCATTGCGGGTATTCAAAGATTGCCGGAGAGGACGGACGTCGTCTTCTTTGAGAGGAATGGTTTGCGGCACGGGCAGTTCACGCTGAGATGCGCTGATGGACCCCTGAGTGAGCATGAGAAGATCCGGTTGGAGTGGAACTCGGATTCGACTGTCTTGGCTGTTATCCTCAAGGATAGGATACAGCTGTGGACCACTGGAAACTACCACTGGTATTTGAAGCAGGAAGTACCATTGGCGTCTGCGTTTGCGGGACTCTCGTGGCATCCTGAGAAGCCGCTGCGGTTTGTTGCTGCGACATCAGGTTGGTTGTCTACTCCCGATTTTCGAAGTGAGAAGGGACAATGCTGACAGGAAGATAGGCGGCGTGGATTTTGCCGAGTACATCTTCACTGTTGCCCGGGGCTCTCTGAGTCCTCCGAATGATCACGGAGCCGTGGCCGTGATTGATGGACAGACGGTCAAACTTACCCCTTTCCGGACGGCCCAAGTGCCGCCGCCCATGGCTTGGGCCGAGCCCGAATTTCCCGCCAGCGTCGTCGATGTCGCGTTTGACCCCAGCAACTCCCTCATGGCGGTGCTGCACCGCAAGGGCCTCGATGTCTTTGAGTGGCAGACGAAGGGAGACCGGTCGGTTCGGCCCAAGGAGTTGGCCAAGATTGCCTTTGATGCGAACGCGGCTGGTGTGCCTCTGCAAGTCGCCTTCTCTGGAAAGAAGGAGTGTCAAGTTCTTGTGTCTGGCGAGGGCCTCAAGCTTGAGACTTACTCTGTCGAGTCGTCGGCATTGAGTCTTTCAACCACCCAGCTTAAGCCCACCGAGACGATATCCTCTATTTTCAGCTATGAAGGCGACTCAGGGGTTGAGGCCGTCGCTCAGGACCGCTCGGGTAAGCTGTACAGACTCTCCGGCAAGCAAGCCCCAGAGTTGCATGAGACACAGCTTTCCACTCAGCTGCCATGGTGCGAGGTAAGAGATGTCAACGAGAGGACGATCGCCTTGGGTATGACCAGAAATGGTCACCTCTACGCCAACTCGCGACAGTTGGCCAAGAACTGCACTTCATTCGTGGTTACTCCTGCACACATTATCTTCACGACCAACAACCACTTCCTCAAGTTTGTGCACTTGGTAGACCCCGAAGGTAAGTTACCCCTGAAAAGAGAGTGATTAGAGTCTGCTGACCCTTGCGCAGAAATGGAGGTTCCCGGAGACGACCCTGAGATTGATGAGAGATGCCGTAGCATCGAACGAGGAGCCCGGTTGGTGACCGCTACGCCGACCAACATGAATTTGGTACTTCAGATGCCGAGAGGCAACCTCGAAACGATTTACCCTCGAGCCATGGTCGTTGCGGGTATCAGGCAACTGGTCGATGAGAAGAACTACGGAAGAGCGTTTGCATTCTGCCGCACTCAGAGAGTTGACATGAACATTCTCTACGATCACCAGCCGAACCAGTTCCTCTCCAATGTCGGCCTCTTCCTGGAGCAACTCAAAGACATCACTTACATCGACCTCTTCTTGTCATCGTTGAGGTATGAGGCTTGATTCGCATGACTAGGTACAACATGCTGACTTCTTAACAGGGAAGAGGACGTCACTCAAACCATGTACAAGAACACCAAGCGCTCCAACGCATCCCCTCAGTCAACAGAAACCCCGGCAGACCCCTCGGCCAAGTCCAAGGTCAACAAGATCTGCGACGCGATCCTCAAGAGCCTACAAAGCAAAAAGAGCACAAACCTCCAAAACATCATCACAGCCCACGTCTGCAAGGACCCTCCCGCCCTCGACGACGGCCTGACCCTGGTCTCGGAGCTGATGCAAGAGGACGAGAAGCTCGCCGAGCGCGCCGTCGAGCACATCTGCTTCCTCGTCGACGTCAACAGGCTCTACGACAACGCCCTCGGCCTCTACAACCTCGACCTCGCCCTCCTCGTCGCCCAGCAGTCCCAGCGCGACCCCAGGGAGTACCTCCCCTTCATCCAGAACCTCCACAACCTGCCGGAGCTGCGCCGCAAGTTCGAGATCGACGATCACCTCGACCGCAGGGCCAAGGCCCTCTCCCACCTCAAGGCCCTCGACGCCTTCGACGAGCTGCAGAAGTACGTCACCAAGCATGCCCTCTACCAAGAGGCCCTCGGCCTGTACAGGTACGACCAGGCCCGCCACCAGACCCTCACGGGCCTGTACGCCGCCCATCTCGAGTCCCTCTCAAAGTACCGCGACGCCGGTCTGGCCTACGAGACGCTGCACAACTTCTCAAAGGCCACGAGCTGCTACCGCGCCGCCGGCGTCACTTGCTGGCGTGAGTGCCTCTTCGCAGCGCAGCAGCAGACCCCGCCGCCCTCGGACGACGCCTTCGCGGACCTCGCCTCGACGCTCGCCGAGGCCCTCTGGGAAGGCAAGGAGTACGCCGCCGCGGCCACCATCCACGCCGACTACCTCTCCTCGCTCGAGACGGCGGTCAAGTGCCTCTGCAAGGCGTACCACTTCGCCGAGGCCCTCCGCCTCATCGCCCGCGACCGCCGCCCGGACCTGCTCCCGACCGTCTTCGACGCGGGCCTGGTCGAGGCGCTCAGCAGCAGCACCGAGTTCCTCGCGGACTGCAAGTCCCAGCTGCTCGCGCAGGTCCCGCGCGTCGCGGAGCTCCGCAAGAAGGCCGCCGAGGACCCGCTGGCCTTCTACGAGGGCGAGCGGCCCGGCGGCCACGGCGACATCCCCGACGACGTCTCGGTGGCCGCCAGCTCGCGCGTCAGCACCTCCGCCAGCCTGTTCACGCGGTACACGGGCAAGGACGGCAGCGTGGGCACGGTGGGCACGGGCGTCTCGCGGGCGACGAGCAAGAACCGCAAGCGCGAGGAGAAGAAGCGCGCCCGGGGCCGCAAGGGCACCGTGTACGAGGAGGAGTACCTCGTCAACAGCGTGCGGCGCCTGGTGGAGCGCGTCGAGGGCGGGGCCAAGGACGAGGTCGGCAGGCTCGTGTTCGCGCTCGTGAGGCGGGGCATGACGGAGCGCGCGAGGGCCGTGGAGGCGCTCATGGCCGAGGTCGTCGAGGGGTGCAAGGCGGCCGTGAGGGAGGTGTTCAACGTCAAGGAAGAGACCGAGGCGGGCGAGGCCGTTGTCGGGGCCGACGGCGAGATGTGGATTCCCTCGGGGGCCGATGCCGTTTTGCAGGAGCATCTTGATGCCAGGGCGAAGAAGCTTGAGCCGCCTGTTCTCGGGGCGTTCCAGAAGTTGACTTTGTTGGGATCCTAGACTCGGGTGTTTTGACCAAAGATAGATGGAAGCACGAAAGGTGTTTGAAAAAAGTGACAAAAATAGACGGCTTTTGTCTACTAAAAGTACAATATTGCACATTTGAGATTCTGCTCTGGTTGTTCATACACATTCCCTTCCCTCCCCTGCGCCTTTGACCCTGCTTTCTTACCCCTATAGATGCGGCGTATGACTCTCCTTGATCGCATCCAGGACTGGTGTAGCAGACTTGACCTCGGACAGGCCAGAGTCGTTCAGCGTCCTCGCCTTGTTCCTCGCGATGACCTCTCCAATCTTCTCGAGCATGCTCTCCGACAACGCGGGCTTTCCACGGGCCCGTCTCTCGTTGCGCTGCTGGCGGTTCAACTCCTGCAGCGGGGTGCGAATGGATATGTTGGCCTCGGCGCTGTTCGACTTCTCCGCCTTCTTCTCCTCCTCCCTCCTGATCACCTTCTTGATGTACCTTGCGTCGTGGCGGGTGCGGAAGACGGAGGTCCTGTTGCGCAGCTCGTTGATAACACCCTCGGGAATCGGTTTAATCGTGAGGCTGGGCACGTAGGTCTGGGCGTCGACGTCCATGACCTTTGTGTCGACCGGGTGCTCGACGCTGTCGGCTGGTTCTTCTTTGGGCCAGGGGATGATGATGTTTTCGCCGACAACATGGCGATCCTCGCCGCGGCGGGTGAGTTGGCGGATGATGACGTCGCGGGCGATGCCGGTTGTCTCATCGACTATGGGGTGGACGAGGCGAATCGCCGAAATGGGTATGTTCATCGGGACATTCTGGGTCGGGGGGGCGTCGAGGACTGTTTGGAAGCGATCCGGGACCTTGGTCGTGGTCTTGCGATTGTTAGTTGGGCCGTAAGAGAAACGAGACGTCTCTTTTGGGACAAGGGAATACCTTGCAAATGTTATCCAGCGTCACGGTGCCAGTTTCGTCGTTGATACTCGCGATAGTGTCAATCTTGCCCCTCTCGGGTCCCTCGAGAACAACGACTCGGTCCTTGGGCTTGATGTTGAGCTTCTTGACACCGCCGGCCCACGCGCAGCGGTCATGGAGCTCTTTCGGGCTGAGTATGGACTGACGGCTTTGGCGGTTGGTGTCGGTGGCGCCCCAGGCTTCGAAGATGTCGCGGCGGGGCGCGATGGGGCCCATCTGCCATTTCTCCCATCGGGCGGTGCGGGCGACCTGGATATCTTCGTTGAGCTCGTCGAGCTGCGTGCGCTGCTCCCTGAAGCGTTCGCTCCTTGTCTGAGCCTGTTGCCACCGTGCCTCCTTCTTCGCTTTGCGCGCCCAGACCCGTTCGGCGGTAACCGTCCGCTGGACGAGCTTCTTCGGAACCTGGAGTCGTTGCATCGTGGGCAGATTGCTGGGGTGTTCAGGCCGCACAGGCGCCGCCAATTGATCAGTCAGGTATCGTATCGGTTCAGTCCCGGACGACTGGAACCATTGACGTCGTTCGGGTACGGATCGGCGGACGTCGGAATCGTGAGGCGGCGGCCGCGGTGGTGGTGTCGTCTGGCGACGGTGCTCGAATTGGCGATTTGGAAATTTCAGACGGGCCGGTAGCCTCTACGATCCCTGCAGCTGTTGTCGGCCCGGGGTCTGGTGAGGTGGCGCGTGCTTTGCGGATAATCAGAGGGGCCGATGCGCCGGGACTCGGGCTGTCAAATCGGGCCTCTCCGCTTTTCCAAGGTTGTCACCGTCCCTTTGCTCGGTGCCAAGGATGAGGGCCTGACGGACAAATGGGCGGCCCCCCACAGAGCCCAGCAGGGCAGCAAGTATCCGGTGGAAGACTTGGCCAGGCAGGATTCTTCTGAGTCTCAGACCCGGCCGGTGCTCACCGGTGCTTACTCCGAAGACATAAGAGGTGTTTGAGAAGGCAGGAGAGAGGATGTAATTCCAGATATTCTCCCAACTTTTGCAATTTCCGGCGTTGATGCTGCGGGAGTTCGCCCAACGCCTTCCAAGGTTATCCAGGACACGAGGCGGTCATGCGGGATCCACGATGATCCCTTGTGCTATATCCCAGAATAGTCATGGCGAAGGTCTAGTGGTCACTTTAGAATGAGAGTCATATGGATGTCGAAATGTCGTCAAGTCTTGCCGTCGGTGCTGGCGATCGCTTCTATTTGCTGTCCGAGTAGGATACCTCGGACTTATCGGGAATCTTCATTCGGGGTTGATCCAACTATTCAACAGAAGTTGTCAGAGGACATGATTCGAACAGAGAAAGTCTGCACACCCGAGGTGCCAGGGACGTTGCGATAACCCTTGGCTGTTGAAGACCATTCCGGACGAGGCTCAAGGGCAAGACAACCGCACACCCTCTTGACCTCGCCCCAACCTCTATTTTCGATTTCCAGCCTCAAGTTGGCACACGGTTACTCCCTTCAAAATGTTCCGTCGGACGATGTTGGTTTGTTAGTGTAGAAGAAGTACAACAAAATCGCAATCAGCGGCATGCCATGCCAAAGGCAGTCGGACGCACAGTCCCTGGAAGTTAAGGTACGGCGTACGGTTCTGTTGGCAGGGATCGAGTCCTAGATCCAGGACTTTTTCTACCGCCTCGGTGCGTGCGCGACGGCGCCAGGAGTGTTCAGCCAAAGGGCGTCATCCCGAGGGAATACGTACCGGCTTCATCTGCGTGTCAAGGCAGGTAGGCGTTAACAGAGTGACCGAGAGACGGCCCCGGTGCCAATGCCCTCCTCCGCGGGACCTCCACGCATCCCATGTGGATGCATATGCACGAATAGCCGGAGAGCATGTCTGCGTAGTCTGGAGCTTGTGCGAGCTAAGGCTCTCCATGTCCAGCTGGAAGGGTCTGCAAGCAAACAAGACCAAAAGGATCATCCGGGGCAGCGTGAGGTTGTGCCGACCCTGGCGGCTGGTAGTGAGTCTTGACCGCAATGTTGGGACCCATGGAAATAGAAGCATGACACGACCCAGGCGTCCCGGTTGGGAGATGCGAATGATGGCTTCGCCTCATGTCGAAGGACGTGAGATCAGGCTAGCTGTGTCCAGTCGGTTTAGCTTGGCTCCCTCAGGAAGCCGCGTTAGTTTCCGGGCTGAAGCTGCGGCTGCGGCTGCTTGGGTGAGGTGTCTGCTGTATATCCGTAAGGTAGACCTGGATATGGCAAGAGATGACTATGACTGTTCGTCCTCGACGGGACTCTCGCGGCGGATGTGATTGACAGACAATACGACTGAGCCACTGTGCATCTGGTTTCAGCCCAAGCTTGGACCCTGGAGACAGCGATCTTGGCCGGTTCCCCGGGATGGGTTTTTGGGGTTTATGCTGACTTGACCAGGCCAGACATCAGCGCAAAAGGGGTCGACGTCAAGGCATAGGACGACAAAGGACTCGCGATATGATCCCAGGCGGGATGATACAGGTCCGCGTGTATATCTTATCTTTCTGTGCCTGGCGGGATGTGATGTCCTAGAATAAGTCAAAGGAAGAGGACATAAGGGGCTATGGCCGAAGAAGACCCGTTGGAAGATGAAGGACGGTTTGGATGGCGACAGGTACATTTGAGATTGAGGACCGAGACTTGAGGCCAACGTCGCCAGCTCAGCATGTAAGGCTGCTTTGTCCTTTTTTTGGTCCCTTCTTTGCGGGTCATAATGGCTACTGCCATAATCTTCTTCCAATGGTTTTCCAGACGCAGGAAGATCCGGGCCGAGAAATCATCACAGCCAGAATGACCTAGCCATCTTATCTACATGATAAATGCTGCTTGCGATAGCATCTCGGAAAGAGGTTCTCGGTAGAAGGAAGTATCAAATAGCAGGACCGTCATAGTGCATACCTACCCAGCAAGGTAGGGTATCATTCAGTTCAGTGCAGGTGGCCGAGATTCCCACAAGGCGAGGAAGCAAGACAGGGGCTCTCTAGTGGAAGTCGCCACCCAATTGAAAGATGAAGAAACCCCCCAAGAAGCCACCCCGCCCCCTGTATCCGTAACGGCCCCTTCCATCCAATTCGCAATTCGATTCGCCTTGTTTGGCTGCCTGAGGACATGACTCCCTACCTTAATAAGAAGGACACGCGCGCACTCACCTGCCCGGGGCAACGCAAGTACCTATTGTATGACACCGCGGCAGAAAAATACATGTCATTACAATGGAAGCAATAAAAAAAAAAACTACGGTACCTAGGACTGGGGGAAGAAAAAACAAGGACGCGGCACCCAGGCCGGCTCCCTCATCACAATCAACTGGACAGACAGAGACACAGAGAGAGCCCCGTCTGGTTGCTCTCTGAAGTCCAGTCATCGGCCAAGAGCCAGTCAACCAGTCAACTTGACGAGCTCAGTGATTAGTTGAGTCGAGTCCCGTCTCCGTCACCGTCACCGTCACCGTCACCTCTGTTGTTATTTCAGCTGGAGAGGGCACACCACTAGTGAATTGCGAAATACGCACAGCATAGCCCGGTACACACCGTATCCAGCAATGACTTAACACCAGGGGACCACGCTATCAGCACGCACATCTGCATCTCAAGTACGCGGTACCCGTACTTCCCTTTCTGGCGTCCTGTTTTGTGCTCCGTATTGAGATACGAACATCTCACATGATTCATTGCGCTCGCTGGTGGTCTTGTAAACCGAAGATATGTATGACTTCTTAAGAGTTGTAAAGGAAATAACATTAGTATTATTCTATAAGAGACATGAGGAAAACGAAAAGACCCAAGGCCGGCCTCGTAATTAACTACCTAGTTATGTACCTTGCTTGCATGTTGCTGTACCTGAAGTCCCCTTCCCAGCCTACCTCATTAGCACCTAAGCCTGCGTCTGCGCCTACTGCACCCTGGACTGTTAGTCCCTCCCCAATCTTTGTCCTCCGCCTCCCGCTGCCACTGCTGTTGCTGTCGCTGTCGTCGCTGGTTGGCACCTCGCTGTGGCACTAGGACTGGCATTGGCACTGGCACTGACTGCCCTCCCACTCACATTCACTCCCGTCCATTTCTCTTCTCTGCCTTCTTTCTCCCGCCCGCCCTCTTCTGACACCACCCCCCAACACAAGCCTGCCTGTCCTGTCCTGTCCTGTGCCTGCCCTGCTCTTGCTGCTGCACTGCTTGCACGTCGTCGTCAAGTGAACTCCACCTACTGCTACCTCGCCTTACTTCTACCCATCCTATTCTCTTCCACCTCAGATTCCCCCTTCCGACGCAGCTCTTCCTTCTCCATCTTCTCCGCCAACAAGCTCAACCTCCCCAACCGACCTCAACTCAATCCGCCCTTTAACGCACATTCTCCCACACATACACCAGACATCATGGCTGAGATCCGCCGAAAGCTCGTCATCGTCGGCGACGGTGCCTGCGGTAAAACCTGCTTGTTGATGTGAGTATTCCTCTCCGCCTGTCCTGTCTCTCCCTCTCGCCGCCATCTGCTTTGCTGCAACTGAGGCGGCCCGTCATCTCGCTTCGTCGCATCGCCGATGCCTCAAAATCCGACCACGCAACGTTTCGCAACCCGAAAAAATAAATCATCGCGCTGACTTATCATCAGTGTCTTCTCCAAGGGCACTTTCCCCGAGGTAAGATCATCTCCTCACGATCCCCGACGCGGTTTCCGCCTCCTGTTTCCCCGACAAGACCAGGCCGAGACGCATCGTTCCATCACCGCTTCAACCACCACCAACGATCTCGCGCCCGCCTTTCATCAATCCGTTTCCGATCCGCAAATATTCTGACAACTAATTCAGGTCTACGTCCCCACCGTCTTCGAGAACTACGTCGCCGATGTCGAGGTTGATGGCAAGCACGTCGAGCTGGCCCTTTGGGATACCGCTGGCCAGGAGGATTACGACCGTCTTCGCCCCCTTTCTTACCCCGACTCCCACGTCATCCTGATCTGCTTCGCTGTCGACTCCCCCGACTCCCTGGACAACGTTCAGGAGAAGGTACGAATTATTATTTTCCCCCATCCATCAAATTGATGGGTCGCGTCTCGGTAACCAACTCTCGCTAACACGTGCTCTTCTTCCTGTAGTGGATCTCCGAGGTTCTGCACTTCTGCCAGGGCCTTCCCATCATTCTTGTCGGCTGCAAGAAGGATCTCCGCTACGACTCCAAGACGATTGAAGAGCTGCGTAAGACCAGCCAGAAGCCCGTCTCCCCTGAGGAGGTAAGCTTATCTGCCTACTGGCGGTTGCCTCAGGCATCGCGATGCCGGCAGCCACCAGCCCTTTTGCACATCAAAACATGCTAACCACGTGTTCAGGGTGAGGAAGTCCGCAAGAAGATCGGTGCCTACAAGTACCTCGAGTGCTCGGCCAAGACGAACGAGGGTGTCCGCGAAGTGTTTGAGCACGCTACCCGCGCCGCTCTGCTCTCTCGCAGCCGGAGCAGCGGCAAGAAGCACAAGTGCATGGTTCTCTAAATACCCCCTGGGAACGTCCCAAACTCTTTTCTCCCTCTTCGACCTCAACCCCCATTTGTAATCATCAAGGTCCCGGTCACCATTGTCTTTTCCCAACTCTTCGGCTGAGGAAGGCTTTCTGGTGGCGGAAGGCGGGGGCAACATCTGCCTGCATAGGTTCTCGGAATTTGGAGTTTTGCTCAATCATTGTGTCTCATAACAACCCTGGCACACATTGGTCGGCGTGTCACCGTGTCTGGTTCTGCGGGGGGTCTTTTACTGAATCCATTTCTTTTCCCTGCCTAACGGTGACTTGGGAGAAGCAACAGTTGGCCGCGACACCGACAAGAAGCTGCGAGGGAGGCCGACTCCAACCACGGTTTCCTCTTCTCTCTCTGCTCAAAGGGAGAGAAACGCCGTGGTGGCTGGCTGGCCGGCAGCTACTGGGTAACGATATGGGCAGTGACTCGTTTGGTAACTGCGGGAACGGCGGAATGGCAACGGTTGGTTTTTAGTCGTGGAAACGGCGTGTCTGGCCGAAGGATTGCGACGAAGCCCGTCTACATCATAAATCTTGTCGTGTTTTATTTTTCTCTCAACGCCTCGCAGCTTTAGATGGCGGAGATGGACATGTGTTGCTTCTGGGCCGCTTCTTCTTCTCTCTTGTCGATTCTCTCAATCCAGGTCTTTGATAACTCATTGCTGTCGTCCCATTGTGACAATATGTCTGTTGTCCTATGCAAAACTTCACGGGGGACTGGCCACGACGGTATCCATCATTCCGTCATCACCGTCATACTCACGTGTCAGGGATAGTCGGAGATGGGATGAAAACACGGGGCAGCCAGGCACCATCGCTCTCAACACGGCGTCGTGATGGATCAGGTAAGGTAACCCAGGCAACGGGCACCATACAGGACGGTATTATTGAAAGGGAGCCGTTGTTTAGACTTTGGTATCTGTCTTGATCCCGCCTATAACCACATGACGGCCGTGGTTCTAAAGATAGGGTCGCGAGCGCGCCCTAAGGCTCTATGCAGTCAAGGGGACGACGAATAGTATTTTTCTTGGGGTAGCCGTGGTTTGCAAGGTTGGATGGCGGTATCACGTTGATTATGACCGCCCCGCCCCGCGTTGAAGGGAATGGCCCTGTTCAGTAGGTAGGCAAAAGTAAACGTCATCTCATTGGAAGAGGGGGAAGGAGAGCACAGTTCACATCACGCGATGCGGAACGTTCAAGCCGGGCTGGTTTGGGGGTATTTTACTTCATTTCGCGTCCTCGAAGAGAAGAGAGGCGTTGGGTTGCGGTTGGGCTGTCTAAACGTAGATATCTGATTGAGGAGCTACAACTTTCCGAGTGTTATCGTTTCAGAAGACCTAGTAAAAAGGTGCCGGCCGGCCGCGGTTTCCCCCCAATGTTCCCGGCTGCCCGTGCGTTGCGTTGCGCTACGTTGGATAACGTGAAGTTGTTGATCTGAAAAAGGAATGTGAAGGAGGGGTTGCTGTTTGTGACTTTCGTTAAGCTCATCATCGTCCCATGATTTCGTTCCGTGCGTTTCCTGTCGTCCGTCTTTCTCTCTCTCAGTGGTGCCTGGCTTTTTGGTGTTTAAAAGTCAGGTGACGTCCGGTGTGAGCAGAGGGTGCTTAGGCGGGGCAGGTCTGGAGAGGTGGTTAGTGAGATCGAAGACGGATGGATTTGGAGGATGATGATGATGGGTGAGCTGGAGAGGTGAGGCTGAGGCTGGCTGAGTCGAGGTGGGCGAGGGATGAGGAGGAGGGAATGGGTGTATGGGAAGGATGGAGAGGAGACATGAGGTGAGAGGTGAGGTGAGGCTTACAGCTCCGCAGGACGAGCAGGTCTTGGAGGACTCAGCAGTGGCGGCGCCGCACTTGGGGCAGGCGGAGGTGTGGGCGTTGGTGAGGGGCTGCATGTTTGCGGGCTTGTCGTGTGAGTGTCTGTAGTGTTGAGACGGAGGAAGGTTTGGTGATGTTTGTTTAGTCTGTGGTTGTGGTGGTTTGTGTGTGTGTGGTGTAGAGAAGGGCAGAAGGGATGGTTCGAAACTTGAGGGAAAGGGAACCGGAAAGCGGGGTTCTTTTTATCTCTCTTTTTTCTTGGTCTCTTGGGAAGGTAGGTCAGGTCAGGTCAGGTCAGGCTTCTTTGGTTTCGCATTGCATACCCACGAGGCGGCCGTCGGTTGTGACCAACGCAGAACTACGGGAGACTACAACTACACTACGCACCGCGTACCCTCCTTGTGAAAGTGTCTCTTGAAGTGGAGGAGGGGTGGGTTGTGGGTGGGAGGATGGGGGGGTTGTTCAGGAAGTCATGCTCAGTCCGTTGTTTCGTTACCAGACGTATTTGTTTTTCACTCTTGGTTCCCTCCTCATAGATATAATTCAGTTTGATATCATCACTGAATGACTTCGGGCGTGACAGAATGAGACCCGAGAGAAAACGCGGGTGCCGTGTCGCTCTTGTTAACAGCAGAGAGGGGTGGGCAATGAGCGCAAAGCACGATGAGCTTACGAGCCGGCTGGGTAAGGGACCGTCATGCGAGATGGAAGCCCTCTCGTTGGCTGGAGGTCGCTGGAGGGGCGGCCTAGTGTACGCTGGTGGGCTGGCTAACTACGTGGGAGTGAAGGCTTTCACGCCCCTCCTCGAGGTTGGGGCGGTCTTGGTTAGGTGTCATACGTTCGGGATGGGCCTTGGAGGACGTGGTTTCTTGTGGTGTGGTTGCGGTCGTCTGTGGAGGTGGAAGTGTTGTTGGAGTTCAAGTGGTCGCCTTGCTGACTGTGGACGTGGAGGTAGGTAGGTAGATGGGAAATGTGAGAAGTGCAGAGACGTGATCACGTCGTCTCACCAAAGTAAGGCGGGACGTGAAACAGATTGGGCCATGTGGACGATAAGGGTTCGGTGCTCAAACGGGCGCTTTGCAGAATGCGCGGGATCTGCTATTGACTGGTGGAGAGATATCTGCAAGACAGCGACTTCTGTAGCAGGTAATGGATACGGCCGCACCGAAGACAGGAAGAACAGGCGTTCGGCGCTCTCGCTTTCGGAACTATTCTTCTAGATGTCCGATCTAGCTGCCCACTCAGGAAGGTTCATCCTTCTGACTGCCCGGGTCCTTGAAAGAGGTAGTTAGCCGATTATGCTCTGTTTCGTTAGTTAGGTAGGCTGAGGTGGGAAGGAAAAGATACTTGCTCGGAAGCTGTCGCCGGCGTGGGCTGCTGTCGCTCGCTGTCGGTCGGGTGATTCGGTGAGCGAGATAAGCGACCGTTTCCGCGGACCCAGTCTTTCCATCCCAGCCCGCACCGCCACGCGCATCCCATCCCGGGCCTAAGACATCCATAGCTGTGAACTACACACACCCGAACGAGAACCGGATACTTGGCGGTGGGGGTTCGTCCAGTATTCCATCACCGCCATTTTGCGTAATTGTTTTGACTTTTTAAATCTGACGAGAGACGGGGGTACTTTTTCCTAATGAGACGATGGATTTGTCTAGAAGACGGGCCCCCAAGAGGAAGGATAACCGAATCATTCTCCACTTCGTACGTCTTCACGAATCTTACTTACTCGACTGAACCACAGCTTCACGACAATCTGCTGATATTCTTTCAAGGACTACGACTGCTTCTATGCCTCAGTCTATGAGAACCGGGACCCGCGGCTGAAGGCGCTGCCGCTGGGCGTGAAGCAGAAGAACATCCTCGCGACGTGCAACTATGTCGCCCGCCGGCGAGGTGTGAAGAAGCTCATGTTCATCACCGATGCCAAGAGGATATGTCCCGATTTAGTAATCATCGAGGGCGAGGACCTGACGCCGTTTCGCGATGTGAGCAAGTTGCTGTTTGGATTCCTGAGAGGGTTCTCGTGGTGCGGCAAGGTCGAGAGGCTGGGGTTCGATGAAGTCTTCATGGGTAGGTGTGTTCTGCCGTTCTTGGTGATTGTTGGCGCCGATGCTGACGATAGAGCTCGAAGATGTCACGGATATCGTCGACTACAACATGTTCTGTCTCAACAGGGCGTCGTTGTCCGAGTCGTTTTTTCACCTTTCCAAGTCGGATCCTGAAAATGGATTCACCTGCGATATGACAAAAGTCGCTGGGTGCGTATTCGGATCTACTCCCGAGCTGGGTAATCTCGACGATGCGAGCTATGTTCGGCTGCTTCTTGGGAGCCATTTGGCTTTTCATCTGCGAATGAAGCTGGAAGAGGACTTCGGCTTTACGGCTTCCGTCGGGGTGTCGACGAACAAGCTGCTTAGCAAGCTTGTCGGCAGTGTGAACAAGCCGCGAAACCAGACGACGCTCATGTCTCTCACCGATACTGTTGTCGAGGAGTTCATGGACGCGCACTCGGTCAGAAAAGTACCCGGCATTGGGTTCAAGATCTCGCGCACGCTTGAGTCGAAATACCTCGCGGCTCAACCAGGTCCAGATGAGGCAGACAGAGAGACGTCTCCCCTGAAGGTCCGCGATGTTCGGGTACACCCGGACACGGCGCCAAGTTCCTTGGAGGAGCTCCTGGGCGGTCCTGGGTCAGAGCGTGGCGTAGGCGAGAGGGTGTGGGGTCTCCTGCATGGCGTCGATGATACGGAAGTCAAGGACGCGAGCGACATTCCTTCACAGATCAGCATTGAGGATACGTTCAAGGGCTTGGAAACAATGCCTCAGATTGAGAATGAACTACGAAAGATTTCTGCCTCGTTGGTCAGACGGATGCGGACAGATCTTTTGACAGACGACGACACAGCGGAGCCTGGAGGCCAGAGATGGATTGCCTATCCAAAGACTCTGCGACTTTCTATACGATCATGGCCCGCCGACGCAACGCCAAACTTCCAGCGCATCTCCAAGTCTCAACCTCTCCCTAACTTCATCTTCAACCTCAAAGATACCCCCGAGTCCATCGCAGAACGACTCACGACCGAGATCCTCCTTCCGACGACGAAGAAGTTCTACCCCGCGAACCACAAGTGGAATTTGCAGCTGATGAACGTGTGCGTGGCGAACATGGCCGCCAGCGGAAGCGAAGCCGGTCCTGGAGTCGGGCGGGACATTTCCGTCATGTTCAAACGGCAGGACGATGTGCTGCGGCAGTGGAAGATCGATACTGCCATCGTCGAGGACGAGCAGCCTGTTTCTGACGATTCGCCTGATGAGGAGGAGTTGGGCGAGTTCGATGCCGGTGATTCTTGGGAGGATGACGAGGAGACGGCTCGGTGTCCCCTGTGCGGACACTGTATTCCTCCCTTTGCTTTGGCTGCTCATGCTCGATACCACCATCTAGGCGACTGAGATGTCGAGATGTTCGTGGGAAGGTCGCTGTTCGAGACTTGATCTGAGTCTGTCGTCGGAGCTCTGGCGTCTTTGGGGGTTGATTATCTTGCCCTCGGGATCCCAGATCATAATAGTTGGTACGGCGAGAGTTGATTCGCTGACACGGGTTGTGGATTGTGACGACGCAGGTCCGCTTTCAGCACTGGTAGCTAAGGCTCGTGTATGCGAGGATCTGGGAGATCCCATGTTGTAGACCCGGACTGTTTCACGCTGTGGCTTAAGGGGAGGGTTTCTGTGGCATAGCCGGCGGATGACATCGAAGATGCCGTCAACGTAACCTCTGAGTTCGGGCATGGCTGATGATTATGGCTAATGATGTTGGTCAGGAAACGCGGATTCTGCGATATCGAGGATGATGCCTGGGACTGGAGTTTTTAACATGTTGAGTTTTTGTCGACAACACCTTGTGCCTTCTCTCCAAAAGGTAGATTTGTGGCATCGGAATACAGCCAGGACCGAAGATGACTGATGTCTATCCAGGTAGAGCCGTTAAAGGACTTGTTGACGAAGTCCTCCAGTCATTGAGAAGCGTTGTGAAAGAGACTTTCATCAAGGAAAGGAAGGATTTGTACTCGGACTTGTGAGGCCCTACCTCTATGAAACAAGAACTTGAGTCTTCCCGTTTGCACTTAGATGAGGAGCAAGAAGAGGAAAAGAATGTACTAAACCATCTGCCCACACCAATTAATGTGGCAATCTTGTAGTACTGGAACTCTTTGCCAAACGGGCATGCAGTTAAGCACAGTGAAGAACAGCGGGACTTTTCAGTGACAACACGATGGGAAAAGGATATCTACAGGCCACGGCGGTAAATCATGCGTACGACCGGATCGACTCACCGGTCTTCGTCTGAAAGCACCGATATCGACAAAAATAGAGTTGTCAACGGGGGCGGTGTTGGATGTCAAACGGGACGGGAACCGTTCGACTGGGTCTCGTCAGGTCTAGCTTTCGCCGAAGCTAGGGGTGAGCTGCCGACGGACGGCTGGCTGGCTGGAGCTTCCAGAAGAGGGCCGAAAATCCGTGCATTAGCGCCTGCAAGCATCCGCAGAGGGTGGCTTGGGGCGAGCGGGGCCGTATCTGCGGCGGCCGCCAATCAGACGACCGTAAACGCTCTGATGGGACCCTCTCGCAGGGCGGCCGTTATCGATAAGATAACACCTCCCCTACCTTACCCCGGAAACAGTGCCTGTGACCCCCTGCTGCACTGATGCGGTTTCCGTGTACGCTGAGAGCTGTCTGCGTGCGACGTGATAGCTGACGTCAGGGACGGTGCTGGTCTCAGTCGCCAGCGCGGGAAGCCGCGACTACAAACAAAACTCCTGTCCCTCCCCCACCACCCTTTTTTGCTCATTTTCCGTGTTCACTGCCCTGTGTTTGCTACCGCCTCTCGTGATGGGTACAGACTGAAACGAAAATAAACCAAACCGAACAGCTGAGAGAACATCCATCCGCCGCCGTCTCGTGGCCCCCAATGATAGGTAGTTTACGATTTTACCGCTAGGTTGTAATTGCTTCACTTGTAGCCCCCTCGTACTGTACTTGCCTTGCCAAACCGGCCATCCCGCGACTGCCTTACGGATTGAATACCTACCTTACTTGGAAAAGGGGACCTTTCGAGAAGTTGCCCAGAATGGAAACCGCGCCTGCGTCCTCGCCTTCCCCGGCGGCAGCTGCCACGGGGAAGGCACCCGTTGCGCAGGAGGCATCGGTGAACCTGCCATCGCACAACGACCCCCAGCGTAAAAACACAGATGCCCCTCCTGCCACCTCACATCCATCCGACCCTGACCACAACATCAACACTTACCAACGCTCCTCGGACCACCCCGACGAGGACCAATACAACTACACTCACTCTGACGAGGAGCACTTGGACGCATCCTCTATTTGCTCCTGGGAAGAAGAAGACGGCAACTGGGAACGAGACCCTGACGACGAAGACGACATGGGAGGCTCACGACGTCCCCACGGCCAGCGCCGCCGCACCCAGACCGACCTCACCGGCGTCTTCACCCTCGAGGAGAAGAACGAGATCATCAAGCTGGTCTCCGACATTTTGGACAACATGCAGGCCCAGATCAGCAACATCTTCCACTCCCCTCCCATCACCCCGGCTTCCACAGAGAACCCCCAACACTCGTGGCTTTCCCTCTCACTGCTCAAGGGAAAGAGCAACAAGCCTGCTACTTCCCAACCTCAGGGCAACAGCCCCCCTTCACCATCCGCGGACCAACAAAACGCTAGTAAGACGTACGCTAAGGCCCACGAGATTGTCGAGAAGGAGGAAAAGGAGGCCATGACCCCTCAGCTGCAGGAGCTCAAGAAGGAGTGCCTCGTCGTCTTCAACAAGTGGCAGGGCAACGTGTTGCTGCGAGTCAAGGATATCTCGGTCCAGGAACCCGATGCCCAGGAGGCCCCTGCTGCCCGTGGAGGACGAGGTGGTCGTGGATCCCGCGGCGCTCGCGGCGATCGTGGCGCGCCTCAGGGAGGTCGTGGCACGCCGCGCGGACGTGGTAGAGGCGGCCAACTCAGCGTCAAGACCGGAGGTGAGTTCGAATCCTCGGGCATGATGTCCATGTTTCCCCTTCATGCTCTTGCTAATCGGCATAGGCCCACCAGCTAATCCTCAAGCCGAGGCTGACCCCTGGCTCATGCGGCGATTCCCTCCTACGTCCACGACGTTGTCGTCTCTTCCTCTCGAGCGTCGTAAGCTCGTCCTTCACACAGTTCTCCTCCTCTTGCTGTCGCTAGAGCAATACACGGCGTTCGCCCGCGTCTTCATGTTCAACCTGACCTCTTCGCTACATCTCAGCCTCCGCACCTTTCAAGAGGATGAGGTTCGCGTTGCTCGCGGCCTCGGCAAGACCGTTCAAGAGGTCAATGCCGAGGAAGTCGTCGAGGAGAAGGCCGCAGAGAACAAGTCTACCAGACGCTGGAAGGTCGGCTTTGCTGGAGCTGCAGGCGCTGCCATTATCGGCGTCACAGGTGGCCTTGCCGCGCCCCTGGTTGCTGCCGGCATAGGCACCGTCATGGGCGGCGTTGGACTTGGTTCTACGGCGGCCGCTGGACTACTTGGAACGCTCTCTTCGAGCGGCGTCGTTGTGGGCAGCTTGTTCGGCATCTATGGTGCCCGTCAGACGTCCAAGATGATGGACCAGTACGCCAAAGATGTCGCCGACTTCGCATTCCTCCCTTTGCATGGCGAGATGAAGGAGGAATATCGCGATGCCAAGGAGATCCCACCCAAGGATCGACGCCTGCGTGTCGTGCTCGCCCTCAGTGGTTGGCTGACGCAGAAGGAGGACGTCGTCAACCCCTGGCGTTGCATCGGCCACCAAGGCGAGGTGTACGCCGTCAGATGGGAGGTCGCCAACCTGATGAATATGGGCAACTCGCTTGAGACAGTCATCAAGAGTACCGCTTGGAGTGTTGCCAAGAAGGAAATCATCACGCGGACTAGTACGTCTCACGTTCTGAAAGCACATCGCATATGCTGACCTTTCAGTCTTTGCCAGTCTCATGTCGGCCATGTGGCCAATTGGCCTGCTCAAGGTCAGCAAGGTTATTGATAACCCCTGGAGCGTCGGCATGGTCCGCGCTGAGAAGGTTGGAATGATCTTGGCCGAGGCCATCAGCAGGAAGGTCCAGGGTGATCGCCCCGTCAGCCTCATCGGTTACAGTCTGGCTGCTCGAGCCATCTACACCTGCTTGATGGTGCTTGCCGAGCGTCGCCAGTTCGGTCTCATCGAGTCGGTCGTCATGATCGGTACTCCCGCTCCTTCCGAGAGCCGCGTGTGGCTCGCGTTGAAGAGTGTCGTCGCCGGCAGACTCGTGAATGTCTACTCGGAGAACGACTACATCCTCGGCTTCTTGTACCGCACCTCCAACCTCCAGTTCGGCGTGGCGGGACTGCAGCCGATTCAGGGCGCCGAAGGTGTCGAGAACTACGACGTGAGCAACATGGTTAGCGGCCACCTGAGGTACCAATACATGATCGGCACCATTCTCAAGAACATTGGCTGGGAAGACCTCGACTACTCTCAGATCGCCAAGGACGAGCAGACTCTGCAACTCATGGATGACAAGTACGGCCGGGACAAGAGCCAGAAGCCGACCTACGTTGACCCGGACAAGGAGGCTGTACAGATCCAGGAGGAAGTCAAGCAGAAGAACGACACCAAGCTCGAATCGAAAATGAGCAAGATGAAGATCCAGAATTAGGCTACGGAAAGCATCTTAGCTGGGATGATCGGTAGAGACATCGTTATGCACAGGACATGGTTATCGGAGGCGACAGGCGTGGGAAACGGAAGTAAACTTATAACAAGGTTAGCCATAGTACAGGAGAGGTCGGCGTACACAATTGTAACAATAACACGAGCAACGAGAAATGCAACTTTTGTCTATCAAATATTCTCACCGGGTATATTGTGTTGTGGGTATCATGAGTCCCCCTTCTTGCTCTGAACAACAAAATATTTGCCAGCCGTCCTGGATGCCGTCTCCAAGGGGTTCCAGTCTTCGACACCCTTGGTGTCAACCTTGTCCCCACGTTGTCTCTTGGGTCGTCTTTTATGGCCGAAGCGAATCTCCTTGGCCAGCGCTCCTTGTAGCTGTTGCAGGCCAATCGTTGCTTCCGCTACACCGGCGGCAGTCTCGTCGCGCAGCGAGCGCAAAGGCTCAACGCCCGAGGTATCGACACTCTGGACATCGCGAACAAAGTGCAATTGCGAGTGCAGCGTTTGAAGCATAGCGCCCTCTTCGGTCTCAGTCTCCGGGAGTGGTAGGGCGGACAGACGGAGGAGATGGTGTAGTTTTGCGCGTGTGATCGGTTCTTCTGTCGATTTCTCGTTCGACTTTGGCAAGAGGGAGGCGACGGACCAAGTCGGCTTAGAGAGGATTTGTTCGATTGACTTTGATGGCGCAGAGGAACGGACCGCGGACGTGGTGAGTGCGCGCTGTTGGCGGAGGAGGGCGCCGCAGCGTGTGCAAAGGGGTCGCATTGTGTGATTTCGAGAGGAAGAAACGTGGTCCTTTGTAGGAGATACGTGGCTTGTATTTCAAGGCCACGATGCGATTGACCGTGGATGAAGTCGAAGTAGATTGAGGCTCTGGGGAATTAATTTGGAGCTCCCTGGTTCTGCACCCAAACCTTACAGCACACCTAAAGTTCGTACGAAGACCTGCAGAGGCAACAAACACCCCCACCAAGGGACTCACTCTCCCAGCAGTGAACATGAGATGGATGCCGGGTCGGGTGCCTTACGCAATCACAAGCCACTGAGAAACCCCTCTAAGCCACACAGTACCACCACCCCCGCGCGTCATACCGCTGAGTGGGCGGATCGGAGGAGACCAGACGCTTCGTTCGGCTGCTGCTACACCTGGATGCCAGCGCACCGCACCGCGCTTTCGCATCCTTTCATACACATTTCCATACATCGCGCGACCTGTCCTTTTTTTTTTCACTTTCTAAAAGCGCGAGCCGCTCCCACTCCCAAAAGAACACCACCCGCACATCGAATCCGAGCGTTACGACTGCTTCCCCCGCCGATTCTTCCGAAACACCAAAAGACCCTTGTTCTGTGATCAGATTGGGACCGCGTCCTTGTTCCGATCATGGCTCAGGATCCTCGGGCCCTGCTGCAGAAAGTGAGTTGATGACGGTGTCTCTTACGGAGGAAATGAGATGTACGGGCTTTCGGGGAGAAATAGACACTGACATGTCACCCGACTCGCGCAGGCAGACAAGACGCTCTCGAGCGCCGGTGGAGGCTTCAGCTTCTTTGGCGGCCGTGAGGAAAAGTACCAGAATGCGGCGGACCTGTACATCCAGGCGGCCAACGCCTTCAAGATGCAAAAGCTCAGTCAGTTTCTTCCCGACGCCCAAACATATAACTCGATACTCCTATACCCCGACCCAGTCTCGCTAACGACAGACGAAATCCAGACCGCGAAGCAGGCCAGGCATTCGAGAAGGCCGCTCAGGTCCAGACCAACAACCTAAAGGAACCCGACGACGCCGCCAACACGCTCGTCGACGCCTTCAAGGCCTACCGCAAGGACGACCCGGAGGCCGCCGTCCGGTGCCTCGAGGTCGCCGTCAACCAGTACTGCGCAAAGGGTAACTTCCGCCGCGCGGCGGGACACAAGGAGGCCCTGGGCGAGCTGTTCGAGCAGGAGCTCGGCGACTCCAAGAGGGCTCTCGAGTCCTACGAGGCCGCGGCCGGGTGGTACGAGGGCGACAACGCCGCTGCGTGAGTGTCTTTCCCACCCTCTCTGTCCTCGAAAGCGGACGGCATGGCAAGCGTCAAACGAGAACTAACATGACTACGAACAGCCTCGCGAACAAACTCTGGCTCAAGGTCGCGGACGTGGCCTCCATCGAGGGGGACTACTACAAGGCCATCGAGAACTTCGAAAAGGTGGCGGCGGCCTCGATCAACAACAACCTGATGAAGTACAGCGTCAAGGACTACTTCCTCAAGGCCGGCATCTGCCACCTCGCCTCGGGCGACATGGTCGCCGCCCGCCGCGCCATGGAGAAGTACACCGACATGGACCCCGGCTTCGCCCAGCAGCGCGAGGCCATGCTCCTCAACGACCTCATGGCCGCCGTCGAGGCCGGCAACCAGGAGGAGTTCACCGACAAGCTCTTCCAGTACGACCAGGTCTCCAAGCTCGACAGGTGGAAGACCACCATGCTCGTCCGCGTCAAGAACACCATCGAGGAGCCCGAGGACGAGTTCGCCTAAAGAGGCCAGAGGGTCGGATGTTTGATTTTCGAGAGAAGGAAGGACGCTTCTCTTTGGTTACTCGGGTTGCTGCTGCTGATGGGGCTTTTTTGCGGTGTACGGCGGTCAAATGCTTTTTCCTTTTATCATTTAGTTTCCGCGAAACCTGTCTTACGACGAGCGGAGGAATAACAGGCTCCGGATGCGTATCACGGACATCGTGGGAGAAACGTACGTCACCTTGAGCAGGCACTCTTTTGGGAGTGTATATGGAGAGAGGGACGCCAAGAAAGAAACGGCGTAGGTAGTCGCCTCCGCTTGAATAGAATCCACTTCGAATCACCACCGCGATGAGACAGATGTCGATCCCCTTGAAACGCCAGCTAGGTGTCAGAAACAGTCACATCATGAAATGTCTCGAAGACCTCCAATGATTTATATCAGGCCCGTAGGCCTTTGTATTCATCTTTCGTCTCCTGTCTATTTGCGCAAAAGGGTCAAGTGCTATCCGCGGGTGCTGTGGCCCGCGCGACACTGACCGTGCAAAAATCCTACCCGCTCACCAATGCTGTCTGTCTTCTCTACCTATTTGCTTGCTTCTTTGCATTTCCTGCTCAAACAACGATGCAATTATCCGGAAATGGCTTCGGAATCCAAATTCCTGCTCGCAACTTGGTAAAAAAAAGGACTCGGCAAAAAAGCAAAAACAAGACAACTTCTGATGAGGCCCCCTGGCCTCTTTTATCCCCGGACTCCCCCCTATGCCGTTTGTAATTTTTGTACAGTTCTGCCTCCGGTCGTTTATTACACATACAGTCTCCCTATCGTACAGCTCCAGAAGCAGAAAGTGGGTTTGGTCGTCGAATCGTGACCGGCGTGGGCCGTCGTACTTCATCGTCGTTCTTACTTTGGTGGACTGCCCACCATGCTGGGCACCTGTTTGCGCAGGAGGCCGCCTCTGCGCTGTTCGGGCCGCGGGACGCCCTGAATCGCACGGGGCTCTCTCATCAAGGCAGGGTCCAGCTTGGTGGGAATTCGGGTGACGACGGTTCGGTACTCGCCGGGGAACTTGGCGTTGGGGACGGGTACCGAAGCGGTTCGCCACATGTGATCAGAGGTGTCACCCAGGTAAGCGGGAATCTTGAGCTTCGACGGCGCAGCAAAGCCTGACGCGTTGCTAGATGCGCCGTGTGACATGCGAAGAGTCGACAGACGGGAAAGTCCCGATGTCAGTGTGGGACGGCCTCTAGCCTTCTTTGCCATGATGACCTCGTCGAAGAGACGGATGGCGGCATGGTTAGCCGAGTGAGTCTCGCGCTCGTGGATGAATTCGTTGAACGCTGTTAAAGAGTCAGAATCGAGTTATCAAATATAGACGGTGGAGCAAGTACCTTGAGTGTCTCGCAACATAGTTGCGTACGGCTGTTGGTCGTACGGGAGACTCTTGACGAAACCAGCCATGTCAAAGGCGTACAACTGACCGTTGCTCTTCTGGTCCTTGTTGGGACGGCCCAGATGCTTCCTGTAAGTGTACAGCAAGCTGGCGAGGCAACGCACGAAGGCGGCTCGCACCCTATCGGGATGGAATGCTTCACTGCACACGATGGAAGCGTGTCCCAAACAGCGGCTATGAGCATAAGCACCGCAATGAGCGCACTCGTAGATGCCGTCTCCCTCAGACTTATCATCGCAAACAGTACACGTCGAAGACATGTCGTGGGCAATCCAGTTGAAGCAATGGCCTTCAACCCAGACAGTTGTCTCGGTGTTTCTGACAGGCTGGATCAACATATTGGGCATGATGGTAGATGCCGCAATCGTGGACTGGGCATAGGTCGACGGAGCATAGCCGCCACCATATCCACCGTATGAAGACTGGGAGTCGACCGAGATGGCGGATACCGACATGCTCGCATTGTGTCCGTTGAGGAAGGGCAAGCTTGGCCTGTGAAGAGGCGGGTGCTTATCCACACCAAATGATGAGCTGCGGCGCGATTTCTCATCAAAGTGTCCAGACTTCTTTTCCCGGAGAGTCTGGGCGAAGCCGGAGTCACTGCGGGAGACGGGCGTAGTTGGCATTGGCGGGAAGTTCATCGACACCGGAGAGACCGAGGATTGAGGGCTGGTCTTCCCGGACTTGCTCGTGTCGGGACGGTCGGATTTGCCGTGATCGCCCTTGGAGTGCAAGAAGGCGTTGAAGATGGGAGGACGCACCGTGTTGGGCGGATCCGGTTCTGCAAAGGATGAAGAGTTCTGCGCAACCCACTTGCCCAGCGAGCTTGAGCCAACGCTGGAATTGAAGAGCGTGTCATTCTCAACCGAGAAGGCATCATAGGGGTAGGACTCCATCGCGTAGGGCGGAGGCCCGGTCGTCACGCCATAGCGAATGTGATGCGGGGCAGCAACGTGAAGCAGCGAGACGAGCTTACGGCGATGCTGCCGAGGCAAGCGGACAGGCTGCGCGGTGGCGTCGATCGTGTCCATATCCAAATCGACAAGCACGTAATCATCGTCAGGCAACTCAATCTTCTCGTAACGTCTCTCAATACCGACGATATAGGGGCAAGGCGCATCCAGCGCAGACAGCAGGCGCGCAGGAAGCACAGGAATGAAGATGCTCGCCCATTTAAGGGGATACAACAAGTTGGCCAGTGCGTGGCATGCCAGGTGAAGCATGCCTGTGTGGGAAGAGATGAAGATGATGCGAGACTCCGACATGGCGTATTCGTAGAGGGTGACGATGTTTTCGATCGAGAGGCATCGGAACAGAGCGTAGATGTCGATTGTTCTCGCTCCAGGGATCTCGTTTGTCGCCTCCTTTCGGCAGTAAAGGCGCAGCTCCCGCACGCCAAGCTCAACCTGGGTCTTGGAAGACAGAGGGCTGAACGCCTCGGTGCACAGGTTGACGACATAGCGTTCCAGAGGCTGCCAACGACCAACCTTTGGCGAGCTGGGTGGTACCCGCAAAATGGCCCCGTCTGTCATGGGAACCACGACAGCTCTGAGCCACTCCTTCCAGAACGACATTCTTGTAGCGTCTCTGCCCAAGATGCCGTAGGCTCGGGGGGCCCACAAGCCACTCTCGCCAGCAGTCAGGCCGTCAATCTTAGACGCGGCGCCGTGCCTCAGCGGTCTCAACATTTCTGTCATGAGACTGATCTTTTCCTCCACCGCACTGATCTGGTCGTCCAGAATATCACGAGCTGAAGAGCCTGAGGGGATGGTCGGCAGCTTCGCGAGAAGCTGGGAGAGGTGAGCGCGTTCGGCCGCGAGTCGTACACCCAGACTGGCCGCCAACTCTCGCTCTTCGTTGGACATGTGACTCTGTCGCCATTGCTCGCATCGCTGCTCTACCTCGTCTGCAACCTCGGACGTAATGGCAGTCCAGATAATGATGGTGATACCATAGATCTTGGAGTTGTCGTCCGATGTCATTGTGAAACCGTGCCAGGTTGAACGCGGCCGGTCATCGGAAGAAACGATCTGAATGTCATTGGGGAAGGCAAACATGGGAACGTAATCCGGAAACTTTCCACGGCGACTGATCTCGTCGGTCGCGTCCTTGGCGGGGTACCTGTCCAGCAATACGGGCTCGAAACGCCTCTTGAGAGGGTGCATGTCTGGGTCTGTGTTCAGGGGCTCAGGGGGAGGAATGACGGAGTTGTAGTTGCTCAAGCGCTTCGCGGTCCTAATCGAGGCTGGATCCAGCGTGTTAGTAGGGCGGCAAGGACTTGGAGGTTGCGTGTTAAAGGAGGATGGACCTTGGCGGGGGATCGTACCGGCTCCCGGTGTGCTTGCTCGCGGAGTGGTGGGTTGCTTTCGCATGCTGTTCATGTCCCTAAAACTCATCTTTCGGCGGATGCTTCCCTTGATGCTCCTTTCGATACTGCGAAGAGGGCTTCTCCGGCCACTCATATCGCCCTCCTCGGCCTTGATGCGCTCAGCTCGCGGGTTAACCATAGGTTTGGCCTGCGCCTTGGCTCCGGCACTGAAGGACAAGTCCTCGAGGAAGTTTTCCCGTTCGGCGGCGAACTTGAGCAACGCCTTATCGAAGTCAAAGCCCTCTACGAAGGGCATGTCCCCGTTGAGACCATTGAACCCGTTCAGGCCGTTGAGGCCGTTGAAACCGGTGCCGGGAGGGCTGCTGGCACCGTTCGTGGGGCTGCTGGTGCCGTTGATCGGGCCGGCTTGGGTAGGTCGGATCGTAGCGCTGCTGCGGTTGCTTCTCGTGTTCCCGTCGACCTCATCCAAGGTGTGAATGGAGAAGCGGCCGTTGGAGGTGCGTCCGCCGGAGTTCTGCCTCGAGTGGCGAGCGACGCGCTTGCTCGGGGTAGCGTTCAGTTCGCTGTCGCTATCCTCATGTTCGCTGTCCTCGGCGATGGTGTCCTCGAGGTTGGACGGGGTGGGCTGCGGCGGGGTAGGATCATTGTAGGAAATGGACTCTACACCGGCGATCCAGAAGTAGTCGGCGAGCGGCGTCGAGGAGTTGTCCATGACATGTCACTTGCTGGCGACCAGCCAGTTGACGATCGATTGGACGGTATGTATGGCCGACGAGTATATTTTTTCCGCCGTCTCGTTGCTTCGCACGGGGCTGGCCCGGGCTTTAAGTCGCGAGAGGGTCTCGGGGTCCTTTGGGTCGTTGAGTGGTCGGTCAAGGACTGGGGGTAGTTGGGTAGTACTGCGGTGGGCGGACAGGACAGGGCAGGGGTGCCAGGATCCGGGAGGTTTCTAAGAAAAAGTCTCAGGCGATGACTGTAGGGAATCGGCTCGTTTAGCTTTGGGCGCCTGGGAGGTCTCCATCCAGGACTGGAGAAGAGAGGGGAGACAGAAGGCGGTGAACGCACGAACCAGGAAAAATGCTACAGCTCTTCGACCAGCGACAGCGACAGCGACAGCGCGAGCAGGCCAGCGGCGGAGCAAAAGGGGGCAGTCGAGCAGGGTAGCCGGAGGTAATGGATCGAATCGGGATCGGGGGAGGGGTACCAAGACGGCGTGAAGGACCTCGAACGGCGGTTGATGAATGGAGTTGAAGAGAAGGAGACGGTCCGGGACGTCGGAGGACGCAAAAGCGAATTAACAACAACAGCAACGAGAAGAGGTGACCGCCAAAAGAATTGGAAGATTTGTGGCAGAAGGTGACTGTTTGGCGGCAATGTTTGGCGGAGGTTGAGGGAAGTGAGGAGTGACGAGAGGCGTCAGCCAGGTGGACAGATCAAGTTTAGGTTCGTTGGGTTCGGTCGGTCTGTCAAAGATAACGGGCAGCAGCGAGCGAAGAGAAGCGAGGCTGTCTGTTTTTTTTGTGCTTGGCCCAAAACTTTTTCTCTCCTTCGTTTTTCCTCCCTCTCGGTGGTGACAGAAGAACAGACGCAGAGCAGAGCCTCCAAAAAGAAAAACCCGGATAAGAGAAGGAGATTGGCGAGACGCGGTCCAACAACAGCAACACGAAATGGCGAAGGAGAGAAAAACAGAGAGAGAGAGAGAGAGAGAGAGAGAGAGAGAGAGAGTAAAAAAAATCCGAAGCAGCCAGGCACCAAAAGCCACGCGCAGTTTGGTTTTGAATTCTTCAGGCGGCGTCGGCGTGGTTTTCTCTTAGGGTCAGGTACGAGCAGCGAGGCAGCGAACTATGTAGTACTTCTAACGGACGACGGGCAGCGCAACAACAACATGGGACGGTTTAGGACAGAATGGGAAGCTAATATGGTGATCGGGCCCAACGCGAGAGTGGAAAAGGGCAAGCACCAGCGCCTTCATTCGCGGTTGCCGCTACAGTGGTGGAGGAAGGACAGTGAAGGTGGTGGCGTGTGGTTTGGAGACTGGAGGGGTGATGTGATGGGGGTGTGATAAGACACCTGTGACCACCTCACTCAGTTGCAGTGCAAGCAAGCAAGGGGCGTCAGGGACATCCGTCTGTTGACTGCAGACCTCTTTCTCTTTTACCAGTAGCAACTTTTGCTGCTGTGAACCAGAACACAACATGCTGCACAACGCCTCCAGCTACCCCTACCTCTAATCTGGTACATACACCTCAACCATCCAGAGTCTTCTGAAGCACATCCGGAATGAAGACGAGCCTCGTCGTCGTCATTCTTCTTTTCATGTCTCTAAAGAACCCTCCACTAGGCTTCTTACATGATCGGGCACATACCTATCAATCTGTTGGAACTTGGACCGGCCTGACGGATAACTGCCATGTTTCAGCGCAAGATGTTTTAGTTTTCTTCTTGGAAATATGATCTCAGAGAAGAAGAAGAAGCAATGGCATATGCAGTAAGACGCCATCGCAGAATGTCTCTCGATTCCCGTTACCGTGTCTCGCCGCTGCCACTCAGCTTGTGCCAGTAAGCGTCCTGTCACACTCTCGACAGGTTACCTTATGTTTATGTTCGCTCAATGTTTCGAGTGTTCCGTGCCATGCCAGTCTTGAAGCGTCACTTTTGGCCTCTGCTCATTCTTTCCCACTGCTGATCCTCGATATCGACCGACGCCTTTCAAATTCTGCCAACATATGGATGTACATCCGTCGTTCAATGCTCCTGAAGCCCCTTAAGCAACCCCTAAGCCTCACTATGGTCCCTGAATTAACGTGTCAGGGAAGAGCCCAGCAGGTAGTGCGCTATCCCAGATAGCTAAGCGGCGTCAACGAGGTCCCTGGACTTCCCCCTGAACCGCTAACACTGTCCCAGGCATTTTGCCTGTCGATCAGCTGGCAACCGCCGTCGCCGGCCCACAACACCATGGAAAACCACGGCCGTCTCGTCCACTGCTGCCTTTTTGGTCCCAACTGGTCCACTCCCGTCTGCGGATAGGATTTCCCACATGAATGCCTTCCACTTCCAGTTCCAGTATTCCTCCACATCCATGGATGCTCTCCTCTTTCTTCTCCTCCTCCGGCCGCGAAGCGTTCCACTCGCGCTCCTCGGGTGCCTCCAAAGTCTCTTTTTCAGCTCCAACCATCACGGAATTACCACCCACCGGTGCTCTTCCCCTCAGTTTCTTTTTCCCACTGCCGCCCGATGCCCGCCCCATCAATTCGTCATGCAGCTATCGCATCGTCCTTGGCCAACTTGATACCGAGATGGTTGCAATGCTCACTAACAGCTCCGCCCAATGGGAAGGAATGCAACTGTCCCAACCCATTCACTCTCTTGGCTTCCAGTCCAGGATAAACGTCCTCCCCAATGCAACACGCCTTGGAAAGCGACCTCATTGGGCTGGTGTCGACTGCTTCCATCCTGCGGACACGCCATCCCACGCTTCTATCCGTACGGATACTCGCCAAACGCACGTGTGAGAAGCACTTATCCCACGAGGAACCAATCCCGGCTTGCTTTGTTCAGGTCCTTTACGAAGCATACGACTGCTAGGTTGCTTTCACACCACCACAACAGATCAGGAAAATATCTTCCCACAGCCGATATGTCGTTGACGACTCGCTGAGGGCAATTTGAGAAGATAATGGCCAATCTGACAACCACGGTACCTTATCCCACAGGTCAGAGTCAGGAAGTCTCCCCCCTCTGACCCGAATAGCCGCGACCTGGCGCTTGGCCCATCCACTCGCCGGTCCGACAAGAAAGAATCTACGAGATTCAATTCCCTCGGAATAAAACCTACCAAAAAGACCCCTTGAGCAATAATTACCCTAGTGGAGCGCACCCCACAAGCCCGCTGTCTAACAGATTGTGATGTCGACACTCACTTCGACAATCATCGTATCGACCCTCGCCCGCGATTCAACCCCCAGCTTCCCTGTCTTCAGGCTACCTGCCTTGGGATTCATTTCGTCTTTAGACGCCAATCTTGCCTCTCCCGACTGAGCAAACAAAACCAAACGCCTTATTGCGACCTGTTTGTCCGGCATCGCGAGCACGACACACGCCAAACTTCATTGCCAGCCCAGTCAATCAGTTCCAAGTCGACCAGCCAACCATGCATCGCCCTCAGGGGTTGTCGGGCTTCCGCTTTACACCCTCTCCTTCGGTGGATTCAATCCGTTGCCCTCCACGGCTCCTTCAAGACCCATGGGGACGGCTGCAGAAAACGAGACGCTTCACCATTATTATTCATCGAATACGAATGGCCTAGCCAGACGGGCACGCAAGCAAGCAGCAACAATCGAGCAAGCAACGGAGGCGGTCTGCATCCCACCGCTCGCTTCCTTGCCCGCTTGATGCACTTTGCCTCGAAGCAGCATCTATCAAAATCGTCCTCCCTGCCGTACCTGCTTGTCCACCGACATGGCCCGCATGGCTCTAATGTGAGGGCATGCCTCTTAGAGGCTTAGCATGCATTCGCATGTTTCAAAAGGGCCCGTCGACGGTAACCTGCCCGAATCTCCTCGCCGTGAATGGCTCTTCGCCCGCTTCTCCGGCTTCCCATCTCACAGTCACGTCGAGCAGCCGGGTATGTCCTGATATTTGACAGAAATCCAACTCTCCCCTGCTCCTCGATGCTGCTGCCAGAATAGGCTACGATTTGGGAAATCTTCCAAACTCGGCCCTCGCCTGGCGCACAGAGGGAAGGATCGTCCTAGTATTAACATACCTGATATCACGGCCCATGGCCGATCGTGGGCCTGGGATGTCGAACATGACGGACCAGGATCGGCGCACAGCTTCAACTGTCTGTGGGTGCTTCTGGTGCCCGGTGCTCACTGGCCATCCCGCCGAGGACCAATCCATCTCGGAACCGGGCCACTCGTCATCAGCTCCAAAAGCAACACCGGCAGATGCCCACGATGCCACTCAAAATCTCAAGGACTCGGTATTCTGGGAACCCCATGCTAAAATCTTGGAGCCATTTCTTCTCGAGTGAGTCGACTGCTCGACCCCGGAACCTGGAGCAGGCCGCGAAGCCCAAAGGGTTCATTCCCTCGGGACCCGCATCACCGCCGACGCACATATTCGGATACTGTTGGGTAGGAACACAGCTGCCTTGGGCTCTTGGCCGCTCTAACTTCTAAGATTCTAGGGTTGAGGCCGGCTGCACGGGAATATTAGCCACTGCAGACCGCAGACTCCTATTCTGCAGCCAGCCAAAAAGGACTGAAGAAACCTTTGTTTCAGATCTCGCCTACGTACTCTAGGTACATACTGAATCAACCCATGCGCGCATGCCACCTTACGGTATACAGTAAGACTGGCACCTGTCGGTGGCCCGGCTGTCTTATCCCATGACACGCGATGGCAACTCATAATCTCGCCGGATTAGGTTCATCTGAACGTTGACCACATGAGAGACTGTTGTGGTTGACAAACCGCCCAGCAACCCAGCTCGCTGCCACAAAGCCATTCAACCGTCCTCAACTCATCACCAGAGGCGCCAATCTGCCCACGACGCTTTGCACTCTTGATGCCTCTCAGAAACCCACACCAGATTTGCGTCATCTAAGCTCAAATGGCCTGAAGTGTCGGCGCTAGCTTGTAGCTGAGATCCAGCATGTTTATCAACGGATAACACTAGGATCGCGCACCTCCACAAAGCCTTGGTTGCTAAGAGATCATTTCCAACAGGTCCATACCAGAATGGAGAAATCAAGCCCGACGGCTCCTGCGCCAATCGCATTTTCCCCTGCGAGGTGCCCAAGGGGTGCGTCTTCTGGCTTCCAACGAATTCTATCCTAATCAATCCCCAACGGCGGCCTGGTTGCGCAGGGGAAACATTCAAATAAAGCGAAGCCACATGTCGATCCTCTCATGCAGGTCGAGTGCAAGCTGCAAAACCAGGTTCCCGTTTCGGACGGAGTGCACAGCATGCGTTTCCTATTAGCCAGTACCTTGTGCGGCCTGATGAAGTCTCAGATCCGAAAACATGCCTTCACCATAGATCCTAGGCCTAGGTGCTGTGACTGTTGTTGTCTTCGCGGCCCCTTTTCCCGTCCGGAGAAGGACCGAAGGTCAAAGGCAACGCTCGAAACCGAGCTAGGAAAACGTTGGCGGCAGTCTCAGGGCGCCCGTTAGAGTTTCGAGATCTGGGATGAACCACAAGATCTGGAGCTGTCACTTCAGCCACATTTAACATATTTCAAGGATTCAGGAGATATGGCATCTAAGACGGATTTAGTGGCGCATCCGAGCGCGGTAACGGTGACTTGCGCCTTGCAGACACCAGGCTACAGATTCGCTGTTTGCTGATGGTACACGGGATTATTGCTCGTCCCAAAGGACCCTTTTCTGCGCCAGCGGTTTGACAATTTAGGGTCCTCCTGACCCCTCGGTCCCGAGAGATCAGCCTAACCGCAGCAGTCCTCATCACGACGCGGCGCTCGTCCCGGAAGCCGGTGATAAGGCAGCTACCAACCGTGCGGATCCAATATGGGCGTAGATGGCTTGATGATTCCCAAGGACAGTCCTTCGAGGCGGAGAGCACTCCGGCTCAACGATCCGCCTCCCGCGCACCTGACGTACCCCGTGCCGCTGTCTCTGATACCGCCGCGTGCCCCTTGAAGCCGCCTCAGCTGAAGAACCGTTAAAGTGCTTTCACGCCCCCGACGCGTCAGGCTACGTGGCGCGTCCCGAGCTTGCCAGTCGAGAGATAGCCCCTATTACCCATCTCTCCCCTCCATCCCACGCCCAGCACCCCGAACATGATTCTCTCGTCCTCGCCGGGCTCGGCACGGGCCCCGTCCGCCTCCGTGACCACAAAACACACCTGCTCCACCTCTCCGGGGTGCAGTACCGGCCGCGCGGCCCCACTGCCCTCCTCCCAGTTGCAGTCCGTGTAGCCTAGCCCCTCCTCCAGGTCGAGCACCGCCTTCTCCAGCTGGATGACGTCCTCGGAGCAGTTCTCCAGCTGCGCCTCGAGAACCCACCTGCGGGCCCCGTTCTTCGCCGGCGCCAATGGCCCGATCTTGGTCCGCACAATGAGCGACGATTTGCAGATGAACTGGTACAGCTTCCGGAACGTCCGCGTCTTACCCGACGTCTCCGTCGCCTCGTAATAGCTCACCGTGACCGCAAGGACGTGGTTTCCCTCCTCTTTCAAGTCAAAGTTGACGATCCTCTGCAACGTCTCCCCGGGCTCCAGGTCCGTCCCCTTGGCCTCTTCCTCTCCGTCCCCGTCCCGCGGCGTGAGCTCCAGCTTCTGCACCGCGCTCGCCCCCGGCGTCTTCATCTCCGCCTCGATCCGCACGTCCCTGATGACCTTGCGCTTCGTGCCCGGGGCCGGCTCGAGGGCGTCGTGGTTCGCGCATAGCGTGCAGCTGAAGACCTCGCCGACGTAGGCGGAGCCGAAGCTCAGGGGCAGGTTGAGGATCGGGGAGAGGAGGAAGGGAGAGGGGTTCGTCGGCGGGGCGGCGGTTGTGTCGTAGGCCAGGGAGGCGGGCGAGGGGTCCGCGGGGAGGTGGGAGGGGGCTAGGGGCGGTCGGATCGGGTGTTGGGTTACTAGTGACGGGCGCGATAATCTGGGATGGTTTACAACGTCAGTTCCTTGGCCGTCTTCGTATAGTTGGAAAATCATAGAGCGGTAGTTACCTGAGGACTTTGAGGGAGACGGAATGGGGTTCCTTGAGGGGATCGTGGGAGGGGTATCTTTGGTGGCTCATTTTGGCGGTCGAGACCTGTATAGGTGGTTCGTGATGTTCGGGATGGAGGTTGCGAGAGGACGGAGGTGATGTGCACTGAGATGACGGAGCTGTGGTGGGACCCGCGCGGGATGTTATCGATAAGGGGATGCGCGTGCTTCGATTCCGCGCCTCTCGGCGGAGCTTCCCCGCGTTCGGTGTGGCTCGCTGTAGATTGGTGCGAGGCCGCACTGTGATGCGTCGGAGTAAACTCCATCTGCTACCACTGTTATTGCCCACATTTCTGGTTGAGCATCGATTCACTTACATTCCAGATACCTATATTTAGAACGACAAAACCGTAATCCCCGACTGCTGTGATTACATGCCACTTCTGCTTGGCCTTCGTATTTTGACGGCATATGGTGGCTGCAGAGCTACCGTTCTCTAGATTATCCATCGGCGTGCCGTATAACAGGGTCAGAAGACGGCCTTTCATGGTATAAATGCCATGTATACATACGGAGCATTCCGGGGAGCGATATAAGAAACCGACTTTACTTGGCAGGAGTCATGATTTCCTTCTTGGCAGAACAAGTGTCCAAGGTACAGCACAGGAGCGTTTGTGCGAGTTGATCCATACCCGCCGGTGCTGGTTCGACCTCGAGGTTTGGGGTTGGCAATAGGTCTTTCCACTCTAGCGTATGCACACCAAGACAAGAGACCATGACGCGTCGCCAAAATGGGACGGTTAACCTCTACAGGGACCCCTGTGCGGCGAAATTGGCATGCTGTTTAGGGTGGCAGTTCGATGGTCATAGGTATCTTGTGGTGAACGGAAGCTTATGCTGTCATTTTTCCACCGTGAGATGCTGTTGACTTATTTTTGATGAATAGTCCAAGAAAGACGGCGATGAGAGATAGTGCTGTATGGTGTGATTCGGCTTCGTAGTTGCGAAACAGCGGCCGAGGTCGCGTGTCGACCGACCAGTCTCATTGACAGGGCGAATCAGAAGAGGAACATGTCACGAATTGCCTTGTATCTCCGGTAGGCTGTCTTGTCTAGTGTTCTGAGGAATTACTGATTGTCTTTTATATTTGCAGAGTGATTGGGTTTCCAGCGCTGATCACAAGCTGTATGGATTTAGACACTCTGTGACCAAAGGTTTGACGAGTTATTGACTACCAGCGACACTTCAGAGAATCATCCTCTTTACTTCAAGAGACGATATGTACCATCGATTCTCATATGGACTCGTCGGGTGTACCTAGATGCCGATGGCGGTAGATGATTGTTTTGCGTTAACTTCTCGCGCAAAGCTCGAGAGAATGAAGAAGTCTTGAAACACAGACAAGAGAAATATCAGGGGAAACAGGAAGTCGATCATATTCAGGGGAGCCAGGTTGTCAAGGCGAGGCAAAACTCCCTCCAGCAAATGGTAGCACATATCAATATGAGAAGGACATGCCCAGTTGGTAGTAACGTTGCGAGGATCTATTCATGAGTCTCTTCGCACTAGTGGTACTGGGGACGATGCCAACATACAATATATGATACCCTATGTCTTAGAAGAGTGGCATCAACACAAAACGAGAAGCTAATGTCAGGTAAACGCTCCGTGGAGACTGAAACCACTTCAATATTTCAACGCGAACATCCAAGGATACTTTATCCTACTATGAAGTGCCGGTTGAAGCTGAGCCATTGGTATTTGGTGTACAAAAACGAAGCAGGGGCGTCGGGCTGATGTATACCATGGGATGGTAACTCGATATCTCTTCATCAGATCCAGCAACTTTCAGGTTGAGCTCGTCGACGAAACGGTCAAAGGACTGCTTGTGCCCTCGGCTTTCAACTTATCATCGTCCCCATCTGGCTTCATCTCTCCCGGGGTATTCAAAGCTGATAGTATAAAGCCTCACATTCAACTGCAGGGAAGTCAACCATCGTCCAAGCTCTGAACGAGCGCCAGGCTAGTCGAAACACCAAAGGGACGGTCGCCGTTCATTAAGGGATCAACAACGACCAGCAGCAGCTCTATCCTGAACATCTACCGACGTTCCCACGTGGAGGTGACTAAATACTCCATCTTCCAAGCCCTGGAAGCGCAGACTTGTTCTCGTCTGAACAGACGCAGTGCTTGCTACCCCAAGAGACAACACCTTCGGAGCCTAACAGGACACCTCAAGAAATGTCCGGTAGCATCCGCAGGACGCACCAGGATGCAGACCGACTTGGTCAACGAGAATACGGTTTCGCAGATGTGGACAGCATTTGCCTACGGTAGAGAACGCAGCATGTCGAATAGAGCATAAATATATCGAAATACGGGACGCAGAGACAGATGCTCGACAAGGGCTCTACTCTCAAAGTGCTGATAGCTTCCACGGCTAATAAAACCTTCGATGCAAAAGGCAGGCGTACGTTCCACAATGCGACGATGGTTATGTTACCCTTACTTCGATCTCGACTGAGAAACCTCGCATGAACTTTCAAATTAAAGATTTTCGGGGATGCCTGAGGACTCCTATTATTATACTAATGTAATCATGTACAACTTAACTTGCACCTACAACGACATGTCCAGCTCAGTAGCGACTGTCCGCGGAAATCGCAGACTGACCTTTCGCCGCGAGCTGTCCGAGAAACTCAACAAGTTTTCTCCACCATATACCCTGTATCCTACAGATTGGGAGGGGGAGGAACCTGGGATCCTGTCAGCGAATTGGCCTACCATGCTATGCGTTTTGCTAAAACTTACTGCGCCATATCCTCCAGCTCCCGGGGTGGAGCCGGAAGGAGGCGGGGGCGGAGGAGCGGAACTCGGAGGAGGGGGTGGGGGAGGAGCAGCCTCGCTCGGCGGCGGGGGAGGAGGAGAAGCTGACGCTCCAGGAGGGGCGGGCGAGCCTTGCTGCTGGTATTGCCCAGAAGCGTAATATTGTTGATACATCTGGACGTACGCGGCATAGCCACCGTAGGCAGCATAAGGGTCCTGTCCATAGTATTGCGCGTACTGAGCGGCGTAGTCGGCTCCAGCTGCAGGGCTGTTAGAGCTGCCAGCAGGAACAGGGCTGGCAGACTGTCCAGCGCCATGGCCACCGTGACTGCCGTGACCGCCGTGTCCTCCATGACCTCCGTGGCCGCCGTGACCGGAGTTGTAGCCACCACCGCCGTAACCCTGGTAGCCTCCGTGTCCACCATGTCCACCGTGACCGCCATCGTGGCGCGAGCGATCACCGTAGCCGCCGCCACCGCCGTAAGAACGGGGAGGCCTGTTCTTGAAATCCTCGTACTCTTCCTTGACCTTCTCGATCAAGTCTTCGCAGAGCTCCTTCGCCTTCTCAACCATTTTCGGGTCGGGTCCGCTATGACTTGGTTAGCAATGTTCAGACACCAGTCCAAGGGTTTCGACATACGCAACATGGAGATACATATCCTCGTCGCTTTCACGGTTAGTGGCCGCCTCGAGATAACCAGAACCACGGCCCTTGATCTGAACACGGCACTGGGTTTCCTGTTGGATGTGCTTGACATAGGCACCTCCATGGCCAACTACCTGAGCACGGAGATTGAAACCCGGGACGGACTCCAAACGGATCGGGATCTTCTCTTCAGGCCATTTGCGCTACAAAACGTCAGTTGACAGGAATTCACTTGTACGTCATACTTACTCGACCAAACTCATCTCTCTCAACCTGCTCTTGGTCGCGACGACGGAAGCGACGCTCATCGACCAGAGCCGGGAGTTCCTGTTTCATGAGCTCTTCGATCTTGGCCACAGCCTGTTCAAGACCCGTCTTCGATGTGCTAGTGACGTGCAAATACAGAGGCGGGTTCTGATCACCGATCAGTACATGTTGTTTCTCAGAATCGACCAGATACTTACCGCAGACGTCGCCATGCTCTTGTCGGGATAGTAGCTTCCTCGGGTAGTAACATCTTTCAAAGTCAACCTTTGTTCCTAAGGACGTTAAATTGGGAGGTGTTTCGTACCAGCACCAGTTTCTTCTTTAATCTAAATCGAGAACGGAGTCAGCAGGTGCCAAAGAGGGGTGATCTGTGCGAGCTATCGTGCCAAGTAAGCAGGATGATCTCGACACAAGTCATTGGATATGATGGGTAGCGGAATGCGCCCGAGGCAGAACCTGGGAAGGAAGTATGATCAGTGGCTTTGCACAGGAGTATTTACCATCTTCTGGGTCGATCCTTTGGTCAGGAGGTATCTGTTGCGGAGATCGTTGACCTCGATATCCTTAATGTAGTCGCCGTCTGCAATGTACATCTCGCCATTGATCGTGTTGGCCGGATCGGGTGATTGCGCGCCTGCGTTGTCGGGGGGAGTCGCCGTCTTGATCGGGGGAACATCGACATGCTGGATTCCCTTCTTCGCTTGGAGTTGCGCATTGATTCGCGCAGCAGCGGCAGCTAGTGGCCAGTCAGCATCTTGTTCCACGGGTCATAGAGACACAGGCGCGTACCGGCTGCAGCCGCGGGATCTATAGGCGACTTCTTAGACTCTGCGGCATTGTCGCCGGGAATCGGGCTGCGATCTCTTGCGGATTCGGAGCGTCTTGCGGGAGGTGATCGAGAGCGACGGTCGAATCGCGAGGCCTTGCGCGGCTCGGGTTCGGTCTGGTCGAAACGCGAGCGCTTGGCGGATCGTCGCTCGGAGTCGTCCATGGCGGTATGCTGTGTGATCGAACGGCCCTTCGTGGCTTTGAAATGTGGATTTTCTTCGTCGGCGCGCGTTGAATGAATGCACCGTGATAAGCGCTGGTGGGTTTGTCCGTAACAAGAGGGAACGTTTGGACGTGGAAATATTTTACGAGGTTTGAAGCTCTTCGGAGGTGGAGCCTTGCGAGCGTGGTAGACCGAGCTAGCGACTGGTCTGTGCGCGGCCTGGTTCGCGATTTCCATCAGAGACATTTGCGCCTCAGTTGTCAGGTGTAAGCGCGTCCAGTGTAACCCGGACTTCAATCCAAGGTGCTGTCGATCCAAGTTGAAAGAAACACCACCTTCAATGCGGGAGAAATATGCAAATTGTGACACGTCAAATTCTTAAAAAGAATTACAATGGAAAGCTGCCAGCGACCAGAAGGTGCGATGATTACTGGTTCGTTGATGCAATTACATTAGCTCAACATAAGACTGTCCGACTCGACGATGCAGATCAATGGCTGTTAGCTTTCATTCAGAAAAGAATGTAACTTCAACTTCGTCAGCAAATGACTAGTTGCAATTGCGTCCTGGCTAGCTAGCTTCATTCCCAAACCTTCGACGGTTGTCAGTGACTCTATACCGGTAGTTACGCCGACCTCGGTCCGGAAGACAACCGGAGTCGAGTGGGACACTGGCGCTAAGAGCATTGAGCTACAAGGCCTCGGCGTCCGTATTCTCAATTGGCCCTTGTCAATATCAACTGGGACCAAAATGAAGATTGAATGTCAAGAGTAACTGGCCGCAGCACACACGATGACTGGATGTTGACTCTAGACTCGTAATGAGATCCTTGTTGGCCCAGTCGACGCTGTACTGAGACTCTGAAGAAGCAGAGCCCCGGGCGCAACCTTCTGAGGTTGACTTCTGAATCCCAGAAGTAACCGAATCAGAAAAGCACTCAAGGCATAGTGATTCAGTTGAAGGGACCGGGGACTCATAAACCGCGATTACTATGCAACTCCTACCACAGGCCAGCTTCACACACAGTGTAGGACGCAACCCCACACCCTCCAGTCGACCCCGCGATGCGGCGTTCCCACATCTCGGTGAGAATCCCTGTCGGTCTGATCCGTGCCCCACCACCCCTGCAAACGCTCAGCTTCCCTGCCTCCGAATTGCCTCCGAACTATCACCCCCAAATTCTCCTCAAATTTTCCCAGTGGAACTTGACACAGACGGTGAGTCAGTCCTTATCTATCCAGCCATTGAACCTCGAGCTTACACTTAAGTGACAGGCTTCGGAGTTCGTCTTTTCTTCTGATCACGAGAGCAATTGGTTGTTCTCGCAATTGATCAGAGAAGATGGCGTCCCGCCGCCTACTTTCCACCTCACTATGGAGGGCCACCCAGGCCCCCCAAGCGATATCGCTCTCCGCCGCCGCTCGCTGGAGCTCCTCCAGCAGCTCGACCTCTGCCATCGCATACAAGGCCCTTCGACGCCGTGCCGCTCCTCTCCCCATCAGCGACAGCCCGCCCGCCTGGTCCGCCCAGGCCGCCGTCTCTAACATTCTCTACGAGACGCCCTCCCCGTCGATGGCTCCCCCGAAGCGCCACATCCTCAACTGCCTGGTCCAGAACGAGCCCGGTGTGCTCTCGCGCGTCTCCGGTATTCTGGCCGCCCGCGGCTTCAACATCGACTCGCTCGTTGTCTGCAGCACCGAGGTCGAGGACCTCTCGCGCATGACCATCGTCCTCACCGGACAGGACGGTGTTGTCGAGCAGGCCAGGCGCCAATTGGAGGACCTTGTTCCCGTTTGGGCTGTCCTGGACTACACCAGCGCCGCCTTGGTTCAGCGCGAGCTTCTGCTGGCCAAGATCAACATTCTTGGTCCCGAGTACTTCGAGGAGCTGCTGGCTCACCACCGTGAGATCACTGCCGCGGACGCCCACCCGGAAGAGGGCCTCGAGCAGCAGTCATTGGAGGAGATCGCCAAGGACTTCCACCCTAGCAAGCTGGCTGCCAGTCAGGCTCTCCGCCACAAGCACGAGCACTTGAAGTCCATCACCTACTTCGCCCACCAGTTTGGCGGAAAGGTTCTGGACATCAGCACCAACAGCTGTATCGTTGAGATGTAAGTCGTCCCGAGCCGATGTAACTTGACTATTGTTCTAATAGCTGCGCAGTTCTGCTAAGCCCACGAGGATCGACTCCTTCCTCAAGCTCATTGGACCTTTCGGTATCCTCGAGTCAGCCCGCACTGGTCTCATGGCCCTGCCCCGTTCGCCTTTGTACGGACCGAACGAGGAGACAGTTATCAAGGAGGCGGACGAGGTTGTTGACGCTAGCCAGCTTCCCCCTGGTTAAGAGGAAAATGTATAAAGAAATATCCGGCGTTGGTAAAAGGGGTATTGCCATCTTTCAATGCTATCAAGTTGCCATACAATCTGTATCATTTTTTGCCACGAAACAACGCCTTGCTTTTTTTTGGTGACCGTACAACGCCGATATTACCCCATTAGATCTTGCCCTTGTTGACGACGAAGCCCTCGAGAGCAGCTACGGGAATTGTTAGCATAAGGCACGAAGAGGGGCGAGGGACAACTCACAAACTGCAGCCCACAGGCGGTTCTCGGCCTCCGGGAAGACCAGAGACCTGGGGCTGTAGAAGACCTCATCGGCAACCTCCTCGGGATGACGGGGCAGGCAGTGCATAAACTTCCAGCCCTCGTTGGCACCGCCACGCTTGGCCAGGTCGTTGGTGATCTGGTAGCCGGCAAAGGCCTTGAGACGCTTCTGGGTCTCGGCCTCCTGGCCCATAGACACCCAGGTGTCGGTAACGAGAATGTCGGCGTTCTTGATGGCATCCTCGGGAACGGTAGTCTCGCTGAGCTTGCCCGGGGAGGAAACTCCGTTGGCGGCGGACGTAATGACCGACTTCATAGCGTTAGGGATGCCGTAACCGGTGGGAGAGGCGACGGCGATGTCAACGCCCATCTTGACACAGCCAATGGCAAGATCGAAGAGCACGTTGTTGGAGTCGCCAATCCACGCAACCTTGAGTCCCTTGACACCAAGATCCGCCTTGTCTGAGGTCTGAGAAGAGGGGAAGGCCTCGTGAATAGTCAAGAAGTCTGCAATGATTTGCAGCGGGTGGTAGTCGTCAGACAAGGCGTTGATCACTGGAACGCTGGAGTCCTTAGCCAGGCCAGCAACGTCGGAGTGAGGGCCAACACGGGCAACCATGCAGGAGGTCATGGAGGAGATGACTTTTGAGGTGTCGTACAGAGACTCGTTGACCTAATTGAGAGTTAGTTTCCTGCATCCTCCAAGAGCTTCGGCACTTACTCCAAGCTGGATGTCATCCTTGCCAAGGAACATAGGGTGCCCGCCCATGAGAGCAACAGCAGCCTCCGTCGACACGCGAGTGCGGGTGCTGCGCTTGCTGAACATCATGGCAACGGTCTTGCCCGTCAGGCCCGTTGCCAAAGCCGGAGGAACATTGCCGGACTTGACGGCGGCCTTGTTGGACGCGGCGTTGCGGACGAGAGTAGCGAATTCGGCCGGGCTGAGATCCGCAATGGACATCAGATGGCGGGGACCGTTCGATGATTGTGAGTAAGCCCGGCTTTGAAGGCCGTTGAAGGCTTGACGGGTGGCACGGAAAGCAGATTGCCTCATTGCGAACGACTCAAATGACTCGAGCTAAGCAGTTGGAGGATGTGAAGCTTGAGACAGCCGCGAACGGAATTAGGCGTTGAAGCTGCAGGCTGTTGGGTTTTGGAGGAAAACGGATTGAGTCAAAGTTGTCGATCTCGAAATGAGTCGCAATGTTGGTCAAATGGTGTATATCGAAGCGAGGTTGAGTCACAGCTGGATAGGTAGCTAGGTAGGGTAGCTTCAATGTGAGATGATAGCTGAGATCTCGAAACCCCACAACGTTTCCCAGCAAACTCGGACCCATTCAACAGTGCGCGTTCCTCACCGCTACACACCGAAAATTTCGGAGTGAAAGGCCCTGCAGAGGATTTAACGGGTTGCAGGGCGATTGCTGCAAGGCTCACAAAATGGAACTGTCCGGGCACCATTGGCGGGGTCCTGACGGCGTACGGCCCTGCAGGAGCCCAGACCGGCCCGGTGAAACCGCCGCAACCGGACCTGCGTGCCATGCGTCCAGTGCAAGCAGCGGGCAGTGGGCAGTGGAGAGGAACGCAGCGCAGAATCAACGGCTGGGAAGATGGTTGCGGTGCTGATATGCTGCTTGGTCTTGTGCATGCGTGCCTGAGAGGAAGGGATGGACCGTGCCCACCCGATCCAAGTCAGGTACTACTATGTCACAGCTCTCCAATCCTCGAGCTCACAAGGGAAGATCATCCACGTCCCCAGTCATCCACACCTCAACCTGGTGGCCACCTCGCCCAGCTGACTAGACCTCGTCTCATTGGTTTCAGGTCATCTCTACCCTGTGTCTTCAGCAGCACTGCCCGTCCAGCTCCTTCCCCAGGATGAACCAAGTTGCTTGACATCATCACCCATTACGAATCCCGAATCCCTGGGCAAGATCGGAAACCTAACTGCCCTTTCCCATTGCCCTCTGTAACCTTTCTTTTGTTCCGCTTGTCTCTGGTTGCATTCTTCTTCCTCCCCGGCGATGACTGACGCCTAATTCCCGACGATAATCCAAACATCACAATCCGCAAATCGCCATGTCCGACGACCCTGAGAGATCGCCCCTCTTGACCCCCAAGGGCAAGGGGAAGGCGGAAGACGATTCTTCACTTGAAACGGCGCCTCTTCTGTCCGGCTCTTCTGGAACTCCCCGATACGACGGCGAACGAGATGACCCCGACAAGGCGAGCTTTTGTTGCGAAATCTGCCGAAGCCCTCAACCGCCGCCCTCCATTTCTGGTGCCTCGGTCGCCGGATCGCATCACTCGCACACATCGCAATCTTCGACGAAAAGCAAGGCGCCATGGGCCTCCATCATCTCCATCGTCGTGCTAGCGACGCTGGCCATCTTCATTATGTTGGTGGCCTTCTTCGTACCGGCAGCTGTTGAGGAATATGCCAAGGCGGCTGCGGTAGTTGAGCCGACAAACCTCGCCCTTGAGTCCATCACGACGAATGGCGTGCGAGCCCGCGTGCAAGCGAACTTCAAACTCGACGGCTCCAGGGTCCAAGATCCGACCGCGCGGAGGATAGGAAAGCTTACGACTTGGATTGTGAGGGCACTTGGGACTGAACAGACCAAGGTTGGCGTTTACCTGCCGGAGTACGAGAATGTGCTGCTGGGCACCGCTGTGGTGCCCCCGCTGACTATCAGCATCGTTGACGGCCAAACCACCAAGGTGGATTTCGTCGCTGAGCTGTCGCCCGGAGATGCGGAAGCGTACCGGAAAGTTGCGAACGAATGGCTGGATGGAAAGCTTGATCAGCTGAAGGTGCTTGGAAAGGCCGATATTCCGCTCAAGTCCGGCATCCTCCCGCTCGGCACCCATCCCGTCAGCGAGGTCTTGGTCTTTGAAGGTCAATCACTCTACCGCTCCTTTGCTTCGTTGTATTTTGGAGAAAAAGTCCTGCTCTGAATTGATTACGCTTCGTTTGCTGCAGCCCTTTAAACACAATACTAATACCTCGTATAGCGAACCAAATCCCCACGCTGCCGACGTATAACATCTCGCGACTGAACTTTCGAGACGTACCGGACGAGGACGGGCGATCGGCTGTGGGCGCGGATGTTGCAATCACCGCGTTCAACGAGTTTCCCATCAGTCTTGACGTACCCGAGCTCGGGTTCGAGGTTCTCATCCCTAACTGCAATGCATTTGATCCCTACATTCTTGTGGCCGACGCCACTACCGAACCCCTTACAATCAAGCCACGCACCGAAGTCACTGCCAACGTATCGGGAATCATCAGAGAACTTCCCAAGGACTTGACCAGAGTGTGCCCCAACTCGAAGTCGTCACCGTTGGATAAGTTCCTGGACATGTACATGCATGGCGAGACTCCAACCGTCTACGTTCGCGGCCGAAAGGTACCCGGCTCCGACACGCCTAGCTGGGTCGGCGATATCTTGTCTGAGATCATGGTGCCTGTGCCGTTCCCTGGCCAAGGATTCGACAACCTCATCAAGAGCTTCTCTCTCACCGACGTAAACTTCCAGTTGCCCGACCCCATGGCAGACCCCGACGAGGATGACGGAAATCCCAAGGTCTCCGGAACTGTCCAAGTCATGGCTGGCTTGCCCAAGGAGATGAACTTTGACGTCAACGTCACGAACATGCGTGCCACAGCCGACGTTATGTATCAGCATAAGAAGCTCGGCGAGCTGAACCTTGAGAAGTGGCAACGCGCGAACTCGACCAAGATCGAAGGCTCTGAGAAGAAGGATCCGCTTCTGAAGATCACCTCTCGGGTTGAGAACGCCCCACTCAACATCACTGACGGCGATGTCTTGACGGACGTCATGCAGAAGCTCCTCTTCGGCGGAAAGGAGGTGATGCTTGACATAAAGGCCGCTGTTGACATCAAAGTCAACACGGCTCTCGGGAATTTGGTCCTCAAGGATATACCTGCCGAGGGCAAAATCCCAGTAAAACGTCCGTATTAATTCTTGATACTGCTCGTTATCGTGGGTTTTCTTTCTTATGTCCCTGCCAGCCAGCGAAATGGGGTCAGGAGTCGGTGGAGCTGACATCTGGCAGCCTTACCGGGCAGCGCTTTCGGCAGCGCCCGGCCGCAAGTTGGAGATGTCAAGATAATTGACACTTCCGAAACATCACTGACGCTGGAGGCGTTGGTCAACATCACAAACCCCACACCATACTCAGCCTTCGTGCCGTATGTCAACATACACATTGTCAAGGATGGGACCATCATCGGCAGTGCCACTGCAGAGAACTTGAACGTTGTTCGTGGCAACAACACCAACATGGTCGTCACGGCCAAGTGGGATCCCACGACACACGGCGAAGCTGGACGCAGGATCGCCAGCGACTTATTATCCGAGTATCTATCTGGACGCAACGTCACTTTCGATGTCAAGACTCATCGAGGAACCATACCATCGGCCCCCACTATAGGCGAGGCATTGTCCAAACTTAACATCACCATCGCCGCCCCAAAACTAGACTTGCCCGGAGATGGAAAAGACGGGGAGAAGAAGGGGCACTTCATTAGAGACGCGACATTCCACATTTTATCATCCTCAGCAACCTTCACTCTCGTATCCCCGCTGACCTACAACACCATCTACGTCGATTGGGTGAATGCCACGGCCTTCTACAACCACACGGAGTCAGTCGGACGTATCGTGTACGATCTGCCATTTGCGGCGCCCCCAGGAACCTCGACGACGCCGAGGTTGCCGGTGGACTGGTCTATGGGGTCGGTCGGCTACGACGCTGTCAGGAAGGCGCTGGGAGGTGCTTTGAAGCTCGACGCGAGCGCGAACGTCACAGTCCGGATCGGTAATTGGAAGGAAACGGTGTGGTACGAGGGTCAAGGTATTGGGGCAAGCGTTCGTTTGTAAATGATTTTGGGTTATTCATGGCGTTTTGGCTGGAGTTCAACAAACACACAATCGACTTGGGCGGCGGCGGTAGCGCGGAAAGGAAGCGCAAAACGTGATTCACACACGGAAATGTATTAGACGAGCCGCATGGCAGTCACACTAGACTCATCAGTCCCCTAAGTATCAATGAGAGTTTTGAAGCATCAAGATAATGAGAGACTGGTATCGTGTGAACTTTGACTGCAGTGAGGTTTTTGAAGAATGAAAGTGGCTTGCGGGGAACCTTCGTCTTATATGTCACCTCGTTGTCAGGCAATCTCCAACACAAGATTCAAGGGTTGATGTCCTCAATCAAGGAATGCGACCGCAACCACAGTGCGCTGAGACAGTGTATTTCCCCTTGGCGTCGATCTCACTAATGCGACGGCAGCAACAACTGCGATGGCCATCGAACATCGAACATACAACGCGATCAGCTTTTATCCCAATCATCATCAATCCCAGTAGCCGATTCCGTCATCAGACAAAGACCTTGAAGCTCCCTTTCCAGCTCCACGTGCCGACCTCATTGCCATCGTCTCCCGGCTCCCCGCCATCACCAAAGCATACAAAAACACACAGCTTCCCTCGAAGCTATCTCAAAGCGGCCGGTATCCAAACGGATATTTCCACGAGGTCAACTCCTTCATCGAAACACAAGCTCCTCCTTCTACGGCTAGATCAAGGAACCCCGCCTCGCCAGCGAGCAGAGACAACTGCCGGGCAATGGCAAAGACCTTCTCCCCGTACGCCCCGCGCGTACGTCGTTCACCTCGCATGGTTATCACCTGGGTCGGCGTCTGGCTCCTCATCCTCACGTTGACGTGGTGGCTCGCGACGCGGCGCTCCGCCGCTGCGGCTGCGGCTGCCGAGGCGGCGTCCTACGCCGACGCGGTCATCAAGGGGAAGGAAGTCCCCCCGGAAGCCGGCGGTGATTGATTCTTTCTTTTCGATCTGCATTTTCATCTAAACAGGGCTCCCTTTATCAGCCGAAGAACAGCCACTGTTGCTTTTTTGTAACCTTGCGTGTCTTACCAAAGAAGCAGGGACGTGGGGCAGGTGTCACAACGACATGATGGGTGGTCTTAAGATCAGAAGGAATGGTCAAGGCATACGTCCTCGCACAGGACAGCCGGTTATCTCGGAATAGCTGGACGTGCGGAGGAGGAATCAGTCGAGATTTCGGGGACACGCAGGAATGTGATATGAGGCGCGTGGCGTCCCTGGCGGCGCGGGCTAGATTATCACGATCGTGACGTCGGACAAGCGCACGCTTCAGACAGAAGCTGCCAATGTCTCACATCCAAAGGAACACCGAGATTATACGGTCTTGGTCAAACGTGGAAGGATCGCAGATGCGGGAGCGAACGGTTTGGAAAAGAAAGGACGACGTGGGGGGTGAGAAGGTTGATGAAGGGGGGATGGATGCACGTCTGACAGCTGTGGCATTGGCATGCAAATGGTCTCGCAGAGCTACCGTTTCCTGGAGATTAGCCCAGGGGACTGGGCGACTATGAATTGGAATGTCCAAGGGAGGCTCAGACCTGTGTATCCGTGGGGGATGAGGAGAGCAACGGATATCGTACCTTGCATCGTGATCATCAGGGGCAGACATCCAGACGCGGCGATTTGTTGTTTGCTTCTCTTCGGAACGGTGAGAGGGAACCATAAACAGACTCACTTCGTCCGTATTTCTTATTCCTACTACATCGCCAACCGGCCTTAGCTCGCAGGTAACTTTCAAGACCCAGGTTCCAGCCGGCTTTCCCTACCTCGTTTGCTCGCCACGCACGTGTAAATCTCATTTCGCCCACCTACCCTTTACTCGATCCAGCAGCAGCCCGGCGTCAAAGTTGAGCGAAGGGGACAGAGAGAGGGGACTCGCCAAAAAAGCCACATGGTTAGAAAGGGCCCTTTGTCCTAGTGTCACCGCTTCCAGGATTAGCAGCAGCTCGCCACGGGCACAGCCAGCGCCTCGCGCATCTTGAAACGGGAGAGCTAACGGATTTCGACGAGGGCGAAAGAGGCAACGCCCAGGTGCCGGATATTGGATCAGCGAGCCCGTCAAAGACGCCGGCGGCGGTGGGAAAAGAAGAAGGGAACTATCTTTTCGACCGGGCGAGCCAAAAGCCGCGTGGTCTGATATTTGATGGATTCAAAAGGTGACGACCATCCATATATCCCGTCCTCTGTCGCCTTTACAATTCTTCAAATTCATGTAGCGATTTCCTCATTATCACTTTCTTACTCATACTATCGACAGCGCGCCAGTATCTTGGCTTGAAAGAATACTCAGCGTGACCACTACAGAGAGCAGGAGCCATCCGACACTCCACGCGGCACTCCTGGCGTCAATCGAGACTACTACAGCTCACAGCGTCGACATCCCAACCCAATATGAGCGGACTCGGAATCATGAACCCGGGCGGCGCAGCCATCCTCCCGCGCGCGAGCCCTAGCCTGCCGAACCTCAAGGCCGCGCCACTCACAACGGCGGACGCTTCTGCCTTTGCCCACGGCTGCGGGCGGAAAGACTGCTTCCACGACGCAACATCAGCGGACTGCGAGCTGCACAGCACCATCGTGCGAGACATCATCAGATCGCGGCGCGAGGAGCGGAGGGCGAGACTGCAGCAACGGCACCGGACGCAGAGCAGCAGCGACGAGGCGGCGGCCATGGCTGCCGCAGCCGCCGCCGTGTCGGCGAGCCGGAGCGTGACGCCCCTGACGAGGCATCTGAGCCAGAGCAGCAAGCCCGACACGAGTCCGCGGTCAACCATGTCTTTCGATATGTCGCCGTGCGTGTCGCCGCTGATGGAGGATCTCTTGCTCGAGGTCACGGACGCGATTGAGAGCAGCGGCTTGCCCCCTCAAGTCACAATGGGTTCGCAGTCGGGGTCTGGGTTTGAGATGGACGATATTTTCAGGCTTATTGAGGAGGCTCAGAGGGAATATGGAAGTCTCACAGAACCACTTGCTGCTGCATCGACAAGGTTCAATGTGGCGGCAGAGCCTGGATGGATGAGGGAAGACTGCTGGGGTACAGTGATGGGCCATTCATAGTCACTGGTCATGCACTTTCGACGTCGGAATAGAAAGGTAGCCACTTGGCATCTGGGTGGACAGAGGAAGTCAGAATGCAGGAGGGAAAAAGCCGGGAATACACTCGTACTCCGAGGGATCACCAACCGAGAGTCTGAAATATTTGGCGATTGTGTCAGCAAGGAATAACCCAATCAATTTTTGGAATTGTACATATTAAGGGTGTGCACCTTTTGTCCTGGTCCTCATCACCCCAAAACCCCCCATAGCTTATTGTAATCGAACACCGGCCTCGCGCCGCTTCGCCGCCGACGAACTCATGTTCGCGTTCTCGCTCGCATCAAGGACACTCTGAGACTCGCGTCGCTTCTCATCCTCGATCTTCTTGAGTCGCTTGTCGGTCTTGCCCTTGCCACTGCCCTTGCCGTGGAACTGGTGACTCATGTGCTTGAAGGCCTCCTTCTGATCCAGGCTTCTGCCGTGTTCGTCTGTGTACTTGAGTTCCACAGTGGGCTTGTAGTGCTTCTTGAAAAGGTCGTCCACGAGGCGGGATGATTGCAGCTCGCGGTGCGCGTTGGCCTGTCTGGCGCGTTCTTCCCTGTCTCTGACAGACATGGTGTCGAGCCGGCCACTGTTTCTGTCACGCTCACGCTGCATCCTGGCACGGTCCTCTTGCTCTTTCTCGAGACGCCGCTTCTCCGCCAGGAACTCGGCTCTCTGCCTATCGCTCATGTTTAGCTCGGCCCCGTGAGAATCTTTAAGAATGCCACGTTCTCTTAGCAACGCCAAGGCGGAGCCAATTCCTGTGTTGATCGTCTTTTCTTCGTCGACTCCCGTCGTGGCAATATCTTCAGAAACTCCTCTTGTCCTGTTGGCAGAGTCGTCCCCTTCTGGCTGTGCATCGCCCATAGGGTGGTCTTCGTCCTTGTCGGAGTCGTCGTCATCGTCCATGGCTGTTGCGAATTCTTCTGCCATCTTGGACTTCTTCGGCTTCTGCTCTTCCTCGTCGGGCTTCTTCAACGCTGATACGAACTCAGAAATCTCGTCAATTACGACGCCGCCATGAGCTTCGTTTTCTGGTTCTTCAGCTTGCTCTTTCAGCTGTCGCGCAATATCCTCGGGACGAGTCTTCTTTCTCTTCTTCAGCGCGTTCTTGCGCTGAATGGCTAGGGATGCCTGCAAGTCCTCATCATCGACGAAAGTGTCGTCCTCGACCTTACGCTTCTTCTTGTTAATAGCTGCGCCGGAATCGACATCCATAAAGTCGTCGTTAGCTGCTGCCGTGTCAACGGGGAAGATGTCGTCCTCGTCAACAGGCTTCTGCCTGGTAGACTTGGACTTCTTCTTTTTTGGCTTCTTGACTTTGATCTCGGAGATGTCGAGATAATCTGAAGTGGGGGCGTCCTCTGTGGAAATCGTTAGCTTGATTCCCCCAAATCGAGGTTCAGCAGGGGTATACGTACGGACGATATCGTCAAGGTTAATACTCTTCAGCATCTTTGACTTTTCTGAAGCCTGGCCCAGGATGTCGCCCAACTCTGCGATCGCGCCAGAGCCATTGAGCGTAAACTTTTTGCCCTGCTTGCCGTAGATCTCGTCATCGTATTGCGACAAAATACCTCGCTCGCCGTCTTCGTCTGTCGCATGCGCGTCGTATGCCGGCTTCTTCTTCTTCAAATCCAGGTTCTCCTGCAGCTTTTCTCTCGCCTTCAGGTCCAAGTTCTCCAGCTCGTCGCCATCCTCTTCGTTTTGGTCGATTGTTGAATCCTTCAGCGTCAGGATCTGTTCATCGCCGTCAAGGAAGTTGTCCAGCTCGTGCGCGACCTTCACACCAGCAAGGTCCTTCGAAGAGTACTCAACAGCCGCGAGCGCAGCCGCCTCGGCGGCGGCCTGCTCCTCCTCCAACTTTCTCGCCTTATCGATGGCCTTCTGTCGCTTCTTCTGTGCCTTCAACCATGCTTTGGCATCCACGTCGCCACCCTCATCGGCCTCGCCAAGTCCCTTTCCTTCCAAGGCTGCGAAGCGCTGCGCCGCATCTCTCTCTTTCTTCAGTGCCGCCGCTCGCTCCTCCCGTTTGCGCTTCGCGGCCTCGGCCTCGCGCACTTTGTTGTAGTTGTCATATGATTGCGCCTGGCGGCTCTCGAGGGTGCTTGGCGCTTCTTCGTCGTCGGATGCAGATCGGTCGGGTTGAGCGACTGGTGCTTGCCCAGGCACAGGCAAGGGCTTCATGCCCAGGGACACGCGAATGCGGTTCGTCTCTTCGATCGTGGCCGCGTCCATCTTAGCGGTCGGTAAACGGGGTTGCGTAGAATCAGGGTGTCGTTTCGTGGGTTTTTAGCTATGATGAACGCCCGGGTGGCAGAGAAGACAACGTGAAAGAAGACGTCAACAAGAGCGGTCCGAGCAATGATAGATGGCACGAGTAAGGCAACGGCGAAAGTGACGAACGGCGACGACAGTTCCAATAAGGCTGGAATGCTGAGGCCAATGCCGGCGCAAGACCCACCCTTCGTGGCCAACCAGGAAATGTCTGAGGCTTCCATCCTGGTGGCCTGGGCGCGTGCGGACCAGGGCTTACCTCAGCAAAGTGGGGCGCAGATTTAGTACATATCGCAGCCTCGCGAATTTTCTTTCCTCTCTCTTTTCTTTCTTCAACAAACACGGGTCTGTGTCCAGAGATCCTCTTCCCGTCCGCGGGTTAGAGTTGATTACTGCGACAGCTCGATCATCCAAGGAGCCATCAAATTCTCATGATGTCAATCTTCCGATCGACAGATCCAAGATAGACCGGTCTTGAGGAAGCCATGTTCGTCGTCACCTCCGGGTGAAGGCTTGTAGCGTGGTGAAATCTTGTACTGGGGACGTCATATTCCTACCCCTTCATCCGAGATCGTCGATCAATGAGGTTAGGGAAAACCATGACTTGCCCAAATATTTTCGTTTGAGAGGTAATTTTTGCGTAGTCTTCTTGCGTGACAGTGTCCATTGCCACAGTTATTTACTTCGTGATCCATAAGCCTCATTCCTACCTATCAAGAAGACGGGAAGGACTCACGACATCAAAGTGATGAAACGACCGGCTGGCGCTCTCTTCAATGTCCAGTTCCCTTCATGATGCGAGCGCGTATTTGTACCTCTGCGGTCTCGTTGCTCGGAAGGCGCAAACCGCGAGCTGCTTACCTGGACTGGTCAAGTGCAAATTTTGCGATGCTCTCTTGCATCACGACCAGGCCCGGCGTAAGCCGCAAGGGTCGATGAGCACATGAAAATTGTCAGGAGCTACTGATTCTCGCTGCGGTCAATTACTCGGCGCATACCGTTGCCTGGCGCCGTCATCTCAAGCAGACAGTTCCACGATGATATTGCACCTGCATGTTGGTGCCCACCCTCCCGCTTCCCAGATGGCATCAGAGTTTGTCGGTTGCGGCGTACGTCCCCGTTCTGGGTATCCCGGCCGGCTTTGAAGACGGTCGAGGAGTGGACAATTTTCGGTGCGGGGTGCATCCGTGTGATCTGGGGTAGCTATTGGGATGGCTGCCGTCGTCTTCCGGCCCGATATCAACAGGAGACTCCGCCGTGACATTCATCCCACACATGCCTACTGACCGACGCTACTGCACGATAATGATGAAAAGGTCGCATGAAGCACTCTGTCGGTTTCTGTGTGAAGGTGAATGTCCGAAATGAAGCAAATTCAGTCTTGCCAGCAAGCAGCAGAGACCAACATTGAGGTACCTACGAATTCCTCTCCTTCCAGTCTGGGTAGCACGACAAAGTGCTGAACCTAGGAAATTCGGTAATACCCGCCTGTGTCCTCTTTGCCTTCAACATCATCAACGAACTAGCGCACGTTAAATCATGAGCTATGTCGGTTCTAAGACAAATCTGGCGATCGAGCCATGCTTGACGTGTCTGGTCATTCGATCAGCCTAGGCCTCGGGAAGGAGCTGTGCGGGGGAACAAACGTCTTTCCCTCCTCCACCTCCGCAACCCCAGTCTGATCTGCCCATCATCAACAAAACCACCAATTACACATTTCAGTTCCTGGCGGATGGGACCGAACGGCAAGGTTGTCTGATCTGCTTGCCGACATCATTCGGACCCCTGTCGACATTCCGGGGTCTTGGCCAAGTTCAGCTCAGTACAGTCAAGCAACCTGCAACACGTGCGTCTTGTGCAGTACCGCTCGAGCCGTCACTCAGTGCTACCCTCCCAAGACACAAGGCACATTTCGGCGTCAGAGGAGAGATTCTTGACGGGTAATCGAGGACATAGGAAACCAAACAAACATCGAAAACATCGTCGAAGGAGAAGGAGTCGGTGAAGGCAGGAGACAGAGGGCGGCGCACAGTTCTGGGTAAGAAGCGGTTGATGCCAATTGGCAAACACCAACTTTGGTTCCGTGACGATTCCACCGACATAGGTCCAGGGTCAGCACGCGACGAGGATGTTCTTGGGCATCTCGAGGCTAATGCAGGCCAACTTGACAGCTCGGTGATACTCTGGCATTCGGGCCTTCGAGGCACATCACGGCAAACCACCCTGGACAATAACCATTGCTACGTCCTTCGACCGACTATATATTCAACATGGTTGCCCTTCAACATGTCATGTCAGGAGCACTGGCATTCAACACCACCGAATTCACTCAGCCCATCATGAAGTTGTTCACCTCCGCGCTGCTCCTCGGCTCCATCGCCACCCAAACCATCTTCGGATACCCTGGGGCGGGCGTGGTCAAGAGAGATGTCGATTCTTTCATTGCCACCGAAACTCCGATAGCCCTGGCTCAGCTGCTTTGCAACATCGGTCCCAATGGATGCCACGCCTCTGGTGTTAGCGCCGGTATTGTCATTGCCTCTCCTGACAGAACTGACCCGCCGTGTAAGTTAGCCCATTCTCATGTGTTGTTTGCTAAAAGTTTACTAATGGGCGACAGACTTCTACACTTGGACCAGAGATGCCGGCCTCGTCTTCAAGGCTGTGGTTGACATTTTCACCAACAGCTACGACGCCAACTTGCAGATCAACATCCAGAACTATATTGCCTCACAAGCTCGTCTTCAGGGAGTGTCGAACCCTTCGGGAGGTCTGGGTGATGGTACCGGTCTGGGCGAGCCCAAGTTTGAAGTGAACTTGCAGCCTTACACGGGAGCTTGGGGTATGATAGAATCTTCCATCCGCGTGTCTACATATTGACATTTCACAGGACGACCTCAGAGGGACGGCCCGGCCCTTCGTGCTATTGCCATCATTGGTTACGCTAAGTGGCTGGTCAAGAACGGATACTCATCTACTGCGTCGTCTGTACTCTGGCCTGTGATCCGGAACGATCTGAACTATGTCGCCCAGTACTGGTAAGAAGACAGATGGCCCATCACATTGGAACGGTTCTAACCTGCTTTTAGGAACCAGACAGGCTTTGACCTGTGGGAAGAGGTTCAGGGAAGCTCCTTTTTCACAGTGGCCAGTCAACATCGCGGTACGCAGCCACCAGGATCATGATATTGCTGAGGCTAACTCTCTGGGAAGCCCTTGTGGAGGGTAGTGCGCTGGCGCGATCCCTAGGTCTTTCTTGCAACGCTTGCGACGCTGTTGCCCCTCAAGTGCTTTGCTTCATGGGCCGCTTCTGGTCGTCATCTGGCAACTACATGATCGCCAACAGTAAGTCTGGACAGACAAACATATCATTTAGGGACAAAGAGCTCACATTCCGCGCAGTCAACGGCAACGGCAGATCCGGCAGAGACGCCAACGTCATCCTTGCCTCCATCCACAACTTCGACCCAGCCGCATCTTGTGACGCCGCAACCTTCCAGCCTTGCAGTGACAAAGCTCTGGCCAGTCACAAGGTGGTTGTGGACTCATTCCGCACCATCTACACCATTAACAACGGCATCTCCCAAGCGAACGCTATTGCTGTTGGGAGGTACCCTGAAGACAGCTATTACGGAGGCAACCCTTGGTACCTGAACACACTGGCCGCCGCAGAGCAGCTCTACGATGCTCTTTACGTCTGGAAGCAGCAAGGCTCCATCACAGTGACATCAACCTCCTTGGCCTTCTTCAGAGATCGCTTGGGATCTGTATCCGCTGGTACCTATGCCTCGGGGACTTCGACTTATACCTCGCTCATCAACGCCGTCAGCGCTTACGCCGATGGCTTCATGAACGTCGTCGCAACCTACGCTCAGACGAACGGCTCTCTCGCCGAGCAGTTCTCACGAAGCAATGGACAACCTCTATCAGCGGACGACCTCACCTGGTCTTACGCCGCCTTCCTCACAGCAGCCCAACGGCGAGCAGCAGTCATTCCTCCCGGCTGGGTCTCACCTTCGGCAACTTCTGTCCCGGGCACCTGCCAAGCTACCTCCGTCGCCGGCTCCTATTCCAGTGCGACCTCCACTTCGTTCCCGGCCAACCAGACCCCCCAGACCAACTTGCCGACGACAACGGCTACGGGACCAGCTCCAACTGCCACGGGATGCCCCATTGCAAGCTCCGTTCTCGTCACTTTCAACGTGAGAGTAACGACGCAGTTCGGTCAGACCATCAAGATTGTGGGTAACACACCTTCCCTTGGCAGCTGGAACCCAAGCAGCGCCATCACTTTGAGTGCTTCGCAGTATACCTCTTCCAACCCGATCTGGTCCGTCACGATCGAGTTGCCGGCTGGCCAGGCGATCGAGTACAAGTACATCAATGTCGCCAGCGGTGGTGCCGTTACGTGGGAGAGGGATCCTAATCATGCTTACACCGTGCCATCCTCGTGCGCGACGTCAGTCACCAAGTCTGATACCTGGCAGGCTTAGCTTGACAGGAATTTCCGGGCTTCTAAGCTCCTCATGAAGCGTTGGATGACATTCACTCGTACATATTGCTTTGGACTGAACAGTTTGTAAATTTATTCATGGCTATTCACAACTTCTCTGCGCGTTTCTCAAGTTCAGCGATGATGGTATCAACAGTCCACTCCAACGTTGTCTCCATGTCAATATCTAGCCCCTTGCCAACCTGTGCCTTGATGCCCTTCTCCTGCAGAACCTTCTCATTCAAAGTTCCTTCGACATTGCCCTCCTCAAATAACCAGTCATGCGCTTCCGCGTAGTTGGGCCAGACAATCTTGTCGACGTAGCCTGGGGGGTCCTTCCAGAAGCCCTCAAGGGTGACATAGCCGTCGCGAGCCTCTCGTCGCTGAGTCGCCTTGGCGCGGCTCACTAGCAAGAACAATTTGATGTCTATCAGGCTCATGGTGCTCTCCATCTCTTTGCAATAGAGCAAGAACCCATCGAACAGACAGACTCGTAGCTTGCCTTCAGTGAAAATGGCGTGACCGGGCTTTCCGGGCTGGAGCCAGGCGTCGACCTTGGTCTTGATGGCGGAGATCTTGTCGTCCGAAACTGGGCATTTGCCGACCGAGTTTTGGTCTTCTTTGGAATCCACAAAAGGCTGGATAGATATGTAAGTAAATGGCGTAGTGGTTCATGGTACAAGACATACGGGGAACGTTCCATTTTCACGGATATACGCAAGGGCCTTGTTCATATCTGGAACCGAGATAGACTCGGCGCAGTCCCAGTCTAGAAGCCCGTCCTTGGTGGGAAGTCTGATATAGCATATTAGTTGCTGAACTTGAAGTGGTTTAGGTGTTTGACTAACTCAGACTCTGGCTTATAAAAGTCATCTTCGTGGAGAATGAATATGTTTGGGAAAATATCTCGCAAGAGACGGGCCAGAGTCGTTTTCCCGCTTGAGGAGCAACCGCTGAGGCCGACGACCACAGCGTTGCTGGACCCCATCTTGGGGCTTTTTGAGACGATGAACCGAGGGAAATCTATGAGCATTTGTTAGTCAAGGCACCTAATAAAGGGCAATATTCCAGACAATGATGCAAAAAATCCGCTTCTATGGGCTTCTTACCTGTTTAAAGTGAGACTATTTCAGCAGGCAGGTCAAGCAAAGCAGTCAAGACAGACCGCCGACCTTGGATGTGTAAGCGGGAGATAGTCACAGCCAAGTCTTCGTCAAGATCGTAGCTCAGATCTCCGACTCAACACCCCCCACCACCATCCTACCCCTCGCACAGGTCAGTAGTGGGTTATCGACTGCTAAAGGAACCCCGGTAGTAGCTGCCCAGGGAGGGTTTCAGCCACATGGAACAGGAGGCAAGCCCCTGATGTGCGTCATCCGGCCAGGCCCAACAGGCACAAGCACCACACGAAGCAAACATCTCCAATTCCCATTGTCCACAAAAAAGTCCATGTTCATCCCAACTCTTCGCGCATCTTAACATCGCGACGAAGCACAATAACCTCTTACAGTTCTCCAATCGAGCTGATCGAACGAAAACGACCGCCCAACATGGCCATCGCCGACGCAAGCGTCTCGCAGAGCGCTGCCATCATTTCCTCCACGCTCATCGTCTTCCTGTCGGGCTTCATGCTCGGCGTCTACTCCATCCGTGGCTACCTGATCTCCCCCGACCTGCGCGCCGAAGCACGCGCAAACTACGAGGACCCCGTCGAGAGCGAGGAGTCCGACATTGACGAAGACGATACCATCCTCGACCACGCGCCAAACTGGTCCAATGCCGAGGCTGCCGACGTCCGTGATGGTCTGCGCCAGCGCAAGGCCGGTGCCGAGAAGACGAAGTCGAAGAAGCCCAACCCGGAAAAGGCCCCTCTCGCGGACTCCAAGGAGGAGTGCAAGCTTGTCCTTGTCGTCCGGACGGATCTTGGTATGACTAAGGGTACGTTCTGCTCCTGATGGCAGCTCAATTCTCTCACAACATGCGGTTTTGATTCGATCGAAGCTTACCAATCTCCCACAGGCAAGATGGCTGCGCAAGCCTCCCACGCGACCCTCGCATGCTACAAGTCTCTGTCCAAGGCCGCGGCCCGCGATCCCGCCTCCCCTGCTGCCAAGATCCTTTCACGGTGGGAGCGACTCGGCCAGGCGAAGATTGCCGTGCAGATTAAGGATCAAGACGAGATGCTCGAGCTCATGGGCAAGGCGCGTAGCCTGGGTATCACCGCTGAGGTCATCGCAGATGCCGGGCGTACGCAGATCGAGGCTGGCAGTCTCACCGTCCTGGGTGTCGGCCCCGCGCCGAAGAGCCTTGTCGACCAGGTCACTAGCCACCTCAAGCTGCTGTGAACAAGGACCGAGAGCATCTATCCTACTTGATGGATATCAGGACTTTCATGAAACATAGACTTCTGGGAACATACATGAGACGAGCGTAATGGCGTACGGTGCATAAAAGTTGGCGATGGGTCTGGTGTATTTCACTTAGAATGCGGGCAGAAGCAGGTCCCATTGAAAAGTACAAAATCGACTGGAGGAAGCTTCACTCACGATGGGTTTGGCCTACCATTGATGCCAGCCGAATGTGTGCGTGTATACTCTCAAATGACCACCGGTATGCTTTGCGATACGAGCAAATTGATGGTGGTGCATAAGCTTAATTGCAGATGAGGCGTATATGGTGAAGATACAGTAAATTTTCCCAGTTTCGGGTATTCATGGTCACTAAAGGAGTAATTACCTAAACGCCTCTGACATGCAACCAACTCCCGGCCCAACTTTTCACTTTTACATGGTCCGTCCATTACTCCTTGCGCGCGAATCTCGACAGCGCCGGTCCCAGATCGGCCTCGACCTCCTGGTGCTTCTTCTCCCTCGCTTTCTGTTGTTGCTCCCAGATGGCGTCCACCTTCATCCTCTTCTCGTCGATGATGTTCTTCTTCCTCTGCTTCCTCAGGTACTTCTTCAACGCGCCGTTCTTGCCTCTCGCCCGGTTGCGGATCTCCTCCTCTATCGACAGGGGCTTGGCATCCAGGTCCTTCTCCTCCCGACGCTGCTTCTCCGACCTCAGATCGATGTTTCCGATGAAGTTGGGGTCGAGAGCGATCATCTCGGGTCGGAGCTTGTTCAGCAGACCCTTGACTTCGGCCTCCTGTCTCTGCTTGGCAGTCTCGAACGGGTTGACCTCGAGGGCGTCGAAGTTGGCCTCTCCAGCGCCAGGAACGATGATGGATGAAAATCCTTGGTCGTGACCCATTCCGAGGACATCCTCGAAGGGGCACCACCTCACCCGTTCGATGCGCTTGCCCTCACCACCCCAACCCATATAGGGGCTCTGCACCTTCTGCTGAACAGGCTCGTTCTTCTGGAACAGGTCCTTCCAGACGCTAGTCTGAGTGCCCCAGCCAACGGCCGTCAGACCGGTATCCGAGATGGCTACTGAGGACGCAGGTTGTCTTGTGAAGTAGTTGTTGACCTCCTTGAACATTCTAATATCCCAAACAGCCATCTTGCAGTCCTGTCCCGTCGACACCATGTACCGACCTTCACGGTCAACAGCCAATGATCTCACAGGACCTCGGTGAGCCAGCAACTTGACGAGGGGTTCTGACTGGTTTGGTGACCAGAGAGACACTGTGCCGTTCTGGTGGCCGAGGTGGAGGACCGCGTTCCAAGGGTTATGGGTCAGGGACGTCGGTGGACCTTGCTTGGTGGGAAATTCGGCTACGATGTTTCCGGTAGAGACGTCCTGGTACTTGAGAAAACCAGTCGCCGCCTGCAGGAGTTAGCACAGGTCAAACCAGATGTCATGTTTTGGAACACATACCACTGTACCAAGGAGGAAATGGTAGGGGAGGAATTCCAAGTGTGACACCTCCACGTGCTTCTTCAAGCAGTGAATCTCCACACCATTCCTGTCGTAAATGTAGGTGTACTTCTTCTGGGCGACTGCGAAGAACTGGTTGTTGTGAAGCCATCGCACATCCCTAATCGTCTCCCCAAGCTGGATCTCGCAACCCAGCTTGCCTTCCCTCCAATCGAACGTTGCAATGTGACCCTTGCGTCCAGCCAGCAGCAATTCCCTGCCGTTACGGGTGTACTCGGCAACGTACGGTCCGAGTTCCTCAAGCTTCAGATCGAAGCGCTTCTGCGCCGTCGTGGCGCTGACGCCCTCGGTGATCTCGTCCTGGCGGACCTTGTACGTCCTTTCGAGCTCCGTCTCGGGCTCGAGGAAGCCGCCGCTGTTCTCGAGCAGGATCTCGGCATCCTTGGCCTTGATGGTGGCGTCGCGGTACTTTTGCTCGCTTCGTGTCAGGGTCCTGCGCAGCTTCTTGTCGTTGATTGCCTTCAGGTTGACGTTCTTGCCGCGGCCGTACGTCTTGTTCGCCTCCCTGAGCCGGCGGATCTTCTCCCGCTCCTCTCGCGGGATGAGGTCTGTCCGTCGCTTCACCTGGACGGCGCCATTGGAATGTGTGTTTTTGCGAGAAATCGTCTTCGTATCAGCGCTGTCGATCTCCATGATGGGCGACGCCGTCAGGTCGTTGGAACCTGTTGTGTCGTGCAGTATCGTCGCGTGCAGAAAAAAAGCCCCAGTTCCCAAAGTCGATCGCTCGCTGGGCGCAACAAAATTTCTTAGGTGACCTGCCTTATCTTATCGCTCATCCTGGTTCGTTTTGGGTCAACGGTCATTGGAGACGACGAATGTTAGTGGGGCTTATCGATAGCGCACAACCGCCGCGGGGTCATGCAAAAAAGTTTTGGGCGTTGCCAAATCCTCGAGACCAAAATCGAGTGCACCGAGTATTCGCACACAAACCCGACAGCGTCGTCATAGGCTTTTTGCGCCCAACCTGGCTTCTTTACCTTATCGCTTCAAGGCTGGGGGAGACGGCAACATGTCCGCCTCGGTCTCTCACAGGCCCACCACCAAGCAAACCCACAAGCCTTTCAAGTCAGGCAAACATGCGTCCAAGGGTGCGCTGAGGGATGCAGCCAAAGGTTCGCCGAACAGTCATACTCCCCCGCACGGGGTTTTAAAGCGCTCGAATTTTAGGAATAAAATCTGACAATTTCCAAACAGGCAGACTCGGAGGCGAGCGCGGCCAGCGAAAGACACCCCATCAAACCGTCATGTCCAAATTCGACCGACGAAACCAGGCCAAGCAGCGCCAGCTGGCCAAGCGCAAGGAGCACGCGGAGGAGACCTCAGTGTTCCAAGGAAAGGATGGCGCTCCGAGGATCGTTGCAGTCGTCCCTTTGTGCAAGGACGGAGACGCATCGACCGCTGTCAAGCAGTTGAACAACAGCCTGGACATTGAGACCGAGGTCGAGGAGTCGCCGTTCCGAGTTTCGATCGACCGATTCAAGCAGAAAGTCCAGTACATTCCCCTCAAGCGCGACTTGAACGCTGTTCTGGACGCTACACGAGTTGCCGACTTTGTTGTCGTCATGCTGTCTGCCGACGTCGAGGTCGACGAGCTTGGCGAGCTGATGCTGCGTGGTCTGGAAAGCCAGGGTCTCTCGACACTGTTCACTGTTGTGTACGGTCTGGACAAGATTGACCAGGCCAAGCAGAAGCAATCGACTGTCGCCTCTCTCAAGTCATACATCACCCACTTCCACCCCGAGCAGGAAAAGCTCTACAACCTGGAGAACAGGCAAGAATGCTCCAACCTCATGCGCTCACTCTGCAACACCACACCGAAGGGCGTCAGGTGGCGCGAGGAGAGGAGCTGGTTGTTGGCCGAGGAGGTCAAGTTCGCCAACTCGGGTCTTGATACAACTGTGATTACCGGTGTCGTAAGAGGAAGAGGTCTGAAGGCCAACCGCTTGATTCAGCTGGGCGACTACGGAACGTACCAGATTGAGAAGATTACTGCTGCCCCTTTGTCTAAGAAGCAAAAGAAGGGCGAGATGGCGGTGGAAGATGACCAGTCGGAGCAAGTTCTTGATACCCCTGATGATGACCAGGATGACCTGGCTGAATTGGCGCCCGACGCCGTGATGGATGACGAGATGGAGGACGATGAGATCCCCGCGATCAAGAAGGGTGTTCTGCTTGACGATCACCACTACTTCTCAGATGATGATGACAAGGAGGAGCTCAGGCTCAAGACAAGAGTTCCCAAGGGAACATCCGACTACCAAGCAGCCTGGTATCTCGGGGATGACGTGTCCGACTCTGGGTCTGACATGACAGACTACGAGATGCAGGATGAGGAAGAGAGCTCAGAAGATGAAGCCCGCCCCGAAGACGGCTTCGAAGGGTATGCGCCCAAGGAGCCCACCGAGGCTGCTCCCTCAGAATTCGGCAAATCAGAGATGTTCATCGAGCCTGATGAAGATGAGGACGCCAAGGGCCTCGCAGCCTACCGCGCAAGGAAGCAGGACGAGGTTGAGGAGGACAAGGAGTTCCCCGACGAGATCGAGCTGCATCCTGGCGTGCTGGCCCGCGAGCGTCTGCAAAGATACAGAGGTCTCAAGTCTCTGCGCACGAGTGAGTGGGTGCAGGACGAAGACAGGGCTTTCGAGCCCGAGGAGTGGCGCAAGCTGCTCCAGATCCCAGACTACCAGGCATCTCGCTCAAGGGCCACTCGCGAGGCCCTCGTTGGCGGCGTCGCCCCTGGCACCCGTGTTCATGTCCACCTCCGTGGCGTCCCACCGTCCTTTGAGAAGTCGTACAAGCCCAGCACGCCCGTCACCCTCTTCTCCCTGTTGCGCCACGAGCAGAAGAAGACGGCCGTAAACTACCTCATCAACCTTAGCGCCGACTACCACCGCTCGCTCAAGGCCAAGGAGGAGCTCATCGTGCAGTGCGGCCCCCGCCGCTTCACAGTCAACCCCGTCTACTCCCAGCCGGGTAACACCCCCAACGACGTCCACAAGTTCTGCCGGTACCTCCATCCCGGGCAGTCCGCCGTCGCCACCTTCATGGGACCCATCACCTGGGGTGCCGTTCCGGTGCTCTTCTTCAAGCGCTCCGCGCCTGTACCTGAGGGCTCCGAGGAGGCAGAGAACGAGTCGACCACCGGTCTCACCCTGGTCGCCACGGGCACCGCCCTGCCTCCCTCGACGAACCGCGTCATCGCCAAGCGTGTCATCCTCACCGGCCACCCGTACCACATCCACAAGAAGATCGTCACGATCCGCTACATGTTCTTCAACCGCGAGGACGTCGAGTGGTTCAAGGCCCTGCCGCTGTGGACCAAGCGCGGCCGCAGCGGTTTCGTCAAGGAACCCCTCGGTACCCACGGATACTTCAAGGCGACGTTCGACAGCCGCATCAACCCGCAGGACTCCGTCGGCGTCAGTCTGTACAAGCGTGTGTGGCCGCGCAACGCCGTCCCGGTTACGGGATCTCTTTTCGAGGCTGGTACTGTCCAGCCAGAGGAGGGTGATGTGATGATGGAATGAACGGACAACGACGACAAAAAGGTCAGGAAATCATGAGATGGAAATGTCAAAAAGGGCCCCGGAAAAGTGATAGATATTAGCAGCAACTTCGGCTATAGATACAGGCCTGATGCCAATCCTCGGAGTTAAATGGTTCAGGTTACTTTTACTCTCTTTTTTTGCTCCTTAAACAGCCCGTCCCTCTATGCGTTGAGAGTGTCCAGACCCTCCGTCGGCCTGGGCCCGCCAACCGACTTGCGCTGTCCCTCCGCACCGCTCGCCTTCCACGCGCTGATGATGAGGTTGACAATGTGATCAACCCCAACATCCTTCTTAACCTGCGCAAACACAGTCGGTCCTCCCTCGCGCATCTTGCGCGCGTCCCTCTCCATGACGCCCAAATCAGCACCCACGATCTCGGCCAGGTCCGTCTTGTTCACGACCAGCAGGTCGCTCTGCGTGATGCCCGGGCCGCCCTTGCGGGGGATCTTGTCGCCGCCCGAGACGTCGATGACGTAGATGATGTAGTCGGCCAGCTCGCGCGAGTAGTTGGCGGCGAGGTTGTCGCCGCCGGACTCGATCAGCAGCAGGTCGGTGTCAAACTCGCGGTGGAGGTCCTCGAGGGCGGCGAGGTTGGCAGAAATATCCTCGCGCACGGCGGCGTGCGGGCAGCCACCGGTTTCGATGGCGCGGATGCGCGGGGCGGGCAGGGCCTTGTGGCGGGTGAGGAACTCGGCGTCCTCGCGGGTGAAAATGTCGTTCGTGACGGCGGCGATGTTGTACTTTTCGCGGAGGGCGTTGCAGAGGGCGAGCATGAGGGCTGTCTTGCCAGAGCCGACGGGTCTAGATTCGTTAGCATTCTTGTACTCTTAGAAGAACGGTGTTCGATTGGAAGTTGAGAGAATATAGGTAATTATGGCTTCTCGTGATCGCGTGCCCCATCAGGTCTCCCAGATAGGAAAAGCGAGTTGAGTGGTTTTCCTCGCTCGATTGCGACGGAAACCACTGCTTTAGAAGCGCAACGTACCCTCCAATGCCAATGGTGAAAGCTCTGTCAGCCCAGGTCCTGCCCTCAACAATCGGCATTTCCCGGCCGAGATAGCTTCCCGGGCCGTCGAGGATCTCGTGGGAGTGGCCGTGCTCTTGAGCGTTGAAGCCACCATCGTGGGAGTGCCCGCCGGGGCCGTCGTGGGAGTGCGTGTGAGACATGGTGATCGCGGTCAGATTGAAAGGCCTTCAAACAAACAGAAAATCTGGACAGCTATGATATCAATGGGAAGAAGTTCGTCTCAATAGCTCCCTGACATGGAGGGGTTATGGGAGTGTTTAAGGGTCGCGGGGTCAGAAAAGCTTATCGATAAGCAGATATGACAGTGGGTAAGGTGAAGATCTTCCCCCACGGCCGCCGGCGGCCACGGTGCGGGGATAACCTGACAGCGCCCGTCGCCGTTGCGACCAGCATGAATAGTGTCAGGGCATGTACGTAGTTGCCATCAGACGGAACCAGTAGGTCACAAGATGTCTTGTGAGACGGCCGCGAGAATAACTCACGCGGCTTGTCGAGAAACATGCAAATCTTCGTTAACCCTCTACTAGAATGCCTCTAGCGTTTATCTCTGCCCTCAACAGGGGCGGTGTACCCGTAGTCCACGAAACCAAACCCAACGCCAATCGATGCATAAGAAGACCTCATCCGCGAAAACATCAATCAAGGCTTAGACTTCGGCTCCTTGCTCGCGTCGGCCCCCTCGTCCTTGGGCTTGGGCGGCTTCGGCACTCTCTCGTATGCATTAGGACTGGGCCTCCTCTTCGGCTTCCCGTCGCGGCCTCCATTTCTACCGTGTCGGTGACCGTCGTGGCTGTGTTCATGATCGTCGCAGTCGTGATCCTTCTTGCTCTTGTCCTTGCCCTTGCCTTTTCCCTTGTGGTCGGCTGAGGGTATCCTCCTCCTGCCGCCGTCGTCAGAGTCGGAGTCTGAATCCGAAGAGGAGTCGGAGGAAGACTCGTCGCTGGATTCGTCGACACCTTTCGGGCGGTGATAGATGCAGCACACTTTGCGGATTGTCAGTCACGGTGGAATGGAGGAGATACGATTCATGGTATTCACCTTTCGAGCTCTTGCGGCCGAGACCCTCGTTGTCAACCACGTCCTCAGCCCACCTCACCGAAGGCCTCGACGGCGCATGCGCGCCCCTCAGTCGCAAGATCGCCTGCGTGCCGGTCCGGCTCTGGGAATTCGTCGTCTCCGTCTGCGTCTGGGAGGGGCCGGGCGTTGAGCGCTGTTGTGGATCATGTACGGCGGCCATTTCTGCTGGTTGTGGTAGCAAGATGGAGGAAAACCGAAGCGGATTGGTCGTGTGCCACCGACTGGAGGCTTTCTACACCATAAATCCTCAATCAGACAACCCCAAGGAAATTTCTCGAACTGTACGACTCAGAGGCGTTCGCGTTGCTGGTCGTTGTCCTGTGCTTTGGGAGTAAATCGAGAGTCGTGCGGATCTCTTAAGGGGAGGAGGATCGAAAATGTTCAGGGGTAGTGGCGGTTCGGAGGGTTGTAATTGGGGGTTCTTGGAGGAGGCTCTAGAACGCAGCAGCAGGAGGTGGGATGCTTTTTTGTGGTAATTTTCTGGCTTGCAGCTGAAAGTCCATGGCACCCCACGTCATTCTCTTGCCCCACATCGGAGCGCCCGCCCGGAAGCCCAGCCCCCAGCGCACGGCACCCAACCGTCCCATCGATGGCACGGCGGAGCCGTCATCTTCCGGATTCGGCGTCCTCAAAACGGGCCGGGCCGGTAATTCTTTTTTCGTCATTAGGGTTGAAAGCAACTTTCATGAATAGGATATGAAAGTGCAGGTGACATCCAGCCTGACTGTCGAAAACAGTTGGCATACGTAGGGGAGAAAATCCAGACATTCCGAAACGAATTCAGGTCTATCTGGGCCTACCAAATGGAAGAATGACATGCTTCATGGTTTCGTTCAGGCAAATCATACAGAGTATAGGTCTAGTCAATTTTTGTCGAGGTCGAACTTATTACATCATTCATCTGACGTCGTTATGTTTTACATATGGTATTTACAGTGCTGTACAATGCGTGGAGATGATACAAGCGCCTTTACGCGCTCTAGGCGGCAGCTTCTCTTCTAGCTTGCTTCTCCGCCTTCTTTGCACCCTTCATACTCTTACGAGGACGCTTCTTGATATCCTTCTTGGGCGACTTATTCAACAACCAACCATTCATAGGAGGACGTTCGCCGACAAACCTGCCCTCGGGAGAGTACACCTCGACGACAGGCCAATTCGGCTCCTTCGGCTTCGGGCGCGCCTTAGGCTTCTCGCGCACGCCAGCCTGCGCCTTAGCCGCCTTCTCCAGCTTAGCGAAGCCGTCGAGGTCCTCGTCATCCTCCTCCACAGGTTCGGGCTCTGGGGGAGGGGGATACGCCGAGACGCCTGCCATAAGGTGTCTCAAGCGCACCTGGGCCACGATCTCGACCCAGCCGACGCTCTCGATCAGGATGTCGGTGGCCAGCACGCGCCAGGGGAGATCCTCGACCTTCATCTTGCCGACGTCTTTGCGCGTGAGGGGACCCGCACGCTCTTTTGTGACGTCGTGGCGGAGCTGGAAAGTCCCAGCGAGCTTCATCTTCTCGCCGGCGCCCTCGACCGCGAGCTGGTCGACGTTGGGCGCCTGCCTCGTCTGCTCCTGGAACTCAATCGCCTTTTCGTTGGAGGTTCTGTGTTCCGGGATCGGGGTGAAGTTGTAGGCGAGGAAAACCTGGTCCTCGGTGGCGGGGGTGATGCGGATCAGGCCGCCGAGCAGGAGGGACTGTCCGGGCTTCAGGGTGTGCTGCTCCGGCTTGATCCTGTGCTTCATGATGAGCGACTGGCGGTGCTCGGGCTTGACGTATTTCTCCAGATCAGATCGAGCGATACCGGGGAGATCAATCAGCTCTCCCCGCCCGTTACCGAACGGGATTCGAATAGGAGAAGCCGTGGTGCCAGGAAGCGAAGAGACGGTGGGCATTTCGGGGTAGTTCGTCTCCGCTCTCACAGGCGGCAGCAAGGAGTTCACGTCCAGCGGTTCAGGAATGTTGGTGTCGTCCGTCAGGTAGCGAGACTCTTCGCTGTCCTCCGTCGCAAACATCGAGATCTCGATGTTGTTCTTCAAGGAGACGCCAGCCGTCGTGCCCTTGGGAAACACAGCTTCAAACAGCTGACTCTTTCCCACGTTCACCTTTCCGACCATCCACCCAGCGCCCCCGCGGTCGTAAATCGCATCCTTCAAGTTCTTCGTCCACCAGCCCCTCTGCGCGCTCACGCATCTCACGTTACCGAGCGTGATGAGCTTGCCGTATTTGCCCAGCGACTTCCGCAGCACGTCGCGCAGATACGGCATCATCGAGTCCACCATCTCCTTCTTGGGCGCCAGCAGGTCGGAGCGGGTGATGATGAAGTCCATGTCGAACCTGCGGTCCTTGTGGTAGCGCCCGGAGGTGTTCCTGCGGTTGCGGTGCTTGAGGTTGGCCTCGAGGAGGAGGTGCAGCTTGGGGATGAAGGACATGGGGAAGTCGGCGGCGTCTATTACGTGGTAGATGTGGTTGTGCTTGAAGGGCGACTCTTCAATGGTCTCGCGGAGGGAGTCGACGCTCGGGTGGAAGATGGGCTCGCCGGCGTGGTGGTGGACGAGTTTGTGGCATCGGTCGCAGAGAGGGACTCGTTGAGTCGAAGGTCCTTTGGCTGCGACGAGTTAGCGGAGTTTAAGAAATCGAAAACGATTCACGTACTAGGTCGATCCGACTCCAATTCCTCCCCATATCGCAGCTTGCGAACGTCCAACCCCAACGCTTCGAGCTGCTCTTGCCCGAGATTCTGCAGTGCCTGCTCAACTACCAGATCTTCCTTCCGCGCCTCCTTCTCCGTCTCCTCCTGCTTGGGCGAGATGTAATCCCGCACTGCTTTCCGGTCGAGATCGTAGTACCCGGCCTGCCCGGCCTCGGTCGTCTGGCTCAGAGCGCCGCAGCCCGAGCATACCGTGGGCAGCCTCTTGGCCAGGGTTTCGAGTGGTTCGGTAGGCGACGATTGCGGGAGAGCCTGTTCGGCAGCGATCTCGGGAACGAGCGCGGGTTCGGGCGCAGGCGTCGTCTCAAGGTGCACGCATCTGCGCTGTCTGTACGGAAGCTTTCGACGCGCATCCGCCGGCGCAAATGTATGTCGCGTGCTCGCGGCGCTGAGGCTCGGGCAGAGATACACCGGCACATCAGCCAGTGCGGCCCTGTCGCCGATGCTCAATGCGCTCCGGAGCCATCTTGACGACAGCGCGCGATGCATTGTCGACAATGGCTTCTAATGGCGAAAAATCAAGGCTAACAACAAAGTAGCTCACGGAATGTCTTCCGCTGGCGTAGCTCGCCAGTTCAAAAATTCGCAGATCGCCCCAGTCGCAAGCTTACCGATAAGGAATTTGGGGGTCGATCCGCCACCTTTTTTTCCCTTATCCGGATAATCCCGGCCCGGCGCTGCGCAAGGGTCGCAGCAATTTTCCAGAACCTCAAGCACCATCACGCGAATGGAGGGTCTAGAGCTCTGGTGATAGCGGTAGTCTCTCTGGATTGTAACATTTCTGGGGATTTCTCACACAAGCCGCCAAGATGACTCGCGTAGGCGCAAGATGGCATGCTTTAAGAGCTGTAAGTTCTCGAAACCCTTCAACAATGGTCTTGAAAATGAAGCAGAATTCGAACTGGAACTAACACCACGACCAGAAGGTACATGATTCCCCGCGAAACCGACGAATAAGCTTCCCGGATAGCTTCAATTGACACGAGAACCAATCTTTCTAGATCCTGTCGATACGTCATGGCCCCGGAGCCGCCATCGTCCCGTCGACTGTCACGAGGATACACATGGAGTTCGCCAAAACCATAGGAGAAGGCCACGCGGGCCCAAGGTGCGTCAAAACCACCCCTTCCTACTTGCCTCGACCCCGAAACCGCACCGTACGAACTGCCTTAAGAAGGATATGTCACTGACAGAATGCGCAGGAAATTCTGGAAGGAAATGCTGCCCCGCCTAAAATACCACAACCCCGCGATCCCCATGATCGTGAACCGCAAGGCCGCGAACGAGGGCGCGGCCATCATGTCCGTCTACTTCAGGACGACCCCCACGCCCATCGACCCCGCGACCCTGCCACAGCCCCCCTCCTCCGCCGTCGACCAGAGCAAAGCCCCGACGCCCATCGAAGGCGAGCGCGTCGTCAAGATCGACATGAAGGGGAAGCGTTCCGAGGAGATCCTGGAGCGGTTCGTCGCCGAGACGGCGGCCCTGGCCGTGCAGCCGACCCCCGAGGAGCTGCGCGAGATGGAGGAGGTTAAGGAGCTGCGTATCAAGGGTCAGCAGGACCGCGAGGCCGTGGCCGAGATCCGCGACGCGGCGAAGAAGGAGAAGGCCATGCTGGACAAGGCGCGTGCCGAGATCGGTTCATAAGACAACAGCGGTGGCGAGGTAGACGCGGAATGGAAAAACAAAACTGTATGAATAACCTGTACAAAATGTACCAAAAGAATCTCTACATGACATGGGGGATTGAAGAGCAGTTCATCCTGGTCGCACAACATGGTTGATGATTGGATCATGTTGCTGAGGTACGCAGGTAGCTGATGTGACGAGAAAGAAAGGTTGTTGGTTTGTTCATTATAAACTAATCAGAGCACTTCGCCCATGTACATCCAAAAGGCCAAAGCCAACCCAAAAAACCGACGACTGTGAGTCGGTGCGAATCTTGCTAGCCGCCCTATCTAGATGCCGTTTTGATACAAGTAAAGGAAAACCACTGAAGGCCATTCATTGCCTGTACCCCCGAATGCCAAGGATACCTTCTGTCGTTGGCGCATAATACCATTACTTCAGCCCGAAGCCTTCGCTTTCGTGCACAGCAGTCCATAACATTTGTTCGAGTCTCTCCCTGGACTCGTAACGCCGCAATGCCAACATGTTGAAGCATGTTCGGGCAATGGGATACCTGTTCTCATCTTCACCCAAACATGTTATCTTGATGGGAAGCAGCGCCGCACCCATCGCCGGCACCCGATCGGTGCCGGTGATAAAGGAGAGCAACTTTCGCTGTTCGTCCGGTGTCGCCTGCTTAAAAGTGTCCCAGAACCATCCAACAACGGGCTCCACACCATCAGGAGACTTCGTGCCCCAGTTGTCATACTCGGCAACGCCCCTGAGAGCGTCTACATCCAGTGCCGTATCCGAACCTCGAACCAGTAGCTCGATTTCTTCAGGTCTGAAAAGCGATAACGCATTGCCTCCACAGACAGTGTAGAACCCGCGCTTGAATGGCTCAAACTGGCGAGCGACTGCTGTCTCCAGCAGATACCGCACATAGAGATTGACGTACTCCCATTTGTTGGCGTTGGTAACAGGTTTCCTCTCTCCTCCTGGGCAAAGAGGTATTTGCACGATCGTCCCGTACTTCTCAACGTCGACGACGAAGTCCAGCTGGAATGTCTCTTCCACGTCACCGTCGAAATCAAGCAGCTGTCTCAAACCGGCTGCCAATCTCGGGCGGTATTCCGCGAGATCTTCCAGAGTGTAGCTCATACCCGGACGCGGATGGGCTGAAGGACCAGTCGAGGAACTGGGAGCTGACGCGAGAAGTTTCCGGAAGGCGAATGGCGGCAATGCCACGTCCAAGATGGTTGAGTTGTAGATCGCCAGTCCCATGACAACTCCAACCAGGAAGTATTGGTCGGAGGTCTCAAAGGAGTTGGGGTTGAAGTAGCAGAACTGAGAATCCTCGTCGTAGATGAACATACCTATACGAATGTTAGATGGAGGCCAACCGACAACGCAAAGAAACTTACCATGATCGGGGTTGAACACCTCACGGACGAGGAGGAGAAACCACTCTTTCTTGAGCCCACCAGCGTCGAGACCTTCTTCGCCCTTGAAAACGATGCGCAAACCCTTCTTGATGTCTTCGCTCCCGCTTCCAATGACTTCACTCACCGCCTTCAAGCTGTCATCGACCAGGCACTCTCGGCGGACATCGAGCACAAGGAACTGGGTGACAGCCCTTCGCGTCATGATGCTATCAAAGAAGGCGTCCCGAGCTTTCGTCATTTGTTGTCTGCGGGCATCGTGCTCCAGAATCTGGGACTTGGCCCACATGCTCAGCAAGAACGGGTACTGGCAGAATGAGAACCTGCCGCGTTTCGACTCCCAGGCTTCAAACTCAGCCACCAAGTCGGTATAGTCAATCATCGTGTTGTAAAAGTCGCTGGTTGGTATAATCTGTCCGTGCGCCTGAATGCCTCCTCTGTGAGTGGTACTGCTGGTGTTGCTTGTTGATTGTTCCGGACGGCGTATATGCGTCATGTTATTGGCCGCAAATACTAAAGCCAAGACACGAGCGGCAGCTTTGATCTGCCAGTCTTCGCTATAAACCATCTTCTTCGGCTGTTCCTTTTGCTTTTTCGAAGAGCCGCTCTGTGATCCCAAGGCGGCATGAAGCGATGCCGCCGAGGGTTGGCCGGCACTCATAGTCGGGATTAGATCAGCTGTGATGTCAACTCTAACCTCATGCTTCTTCTCGTTCTGGCGAATGAGTCGGTATGTCAAGAAACCCGCGGCGAGGTCCTTAATTCTAACGAACCTAGGCTCCGGGTATCGTGCGAACCAGGTTATCAGGTGGTTTTGGCAGGGAGTGGATGAATTGGAGATCAAACCCAAGATCCTCTTGATGATGACAGAATGCTGCCCTGATACGGGGCCCGTCTTCAGCTTGTCGTCTCTGAATGTCTCTCCGTGGGTTTGCTGAGGACCGCCATGCAGGAGAGGGTTTTCCAGTATGATGAGAAGGTACCGCAAGTCCTCAGGATCGGTCATGGGGCGGCCGGGTCGCTTCAACAGATTCTCGGTGACTTTCAACAACGTTCTGTGGGTGTGCTCCTGACCATAACGTAGCTGTGACTCCAAAGCTCGCAATTCAGTCGTTGAAAGAGGCTCCGGCGCCGGTGCATCCGGGTCAGTCTCGTTTCCTACCTCTCGAACGTTCATCTCTTCGTAGACTGACATCCAGGATTCCGCCGCATTGATAACTGTTCGATACCATTCCGCAACTTCATTCCAGTCTACCTGGGGAGAGCGAGGCGTGACGAAAGATGGCGTGTCTTCGATTCGATGGGAGGCCGACCTCTTATGCCGTGACCCATTTCCGTTCTGGTTGCCTGTCCACCAAGTACCGTTCTCGGCAAAGTCACCGAGTAGAAGCAGTTTAGGGTCGAGGTCGCAGATTGGAGACTCGTTGACCTGCTCTGCATACTTCGGTTCAAGTCGCGGAACGGAGGGTCGTCGCTGAGCGGACTCGCTGCCTGACCGAACTGTCACGGCCGGACGGCGAGACAGGAATGACGAATTCACGCAGTGGAACGAGTTGAAACAAGTCGTGATGTAGTCCTCGAGGGGTTTGAAGATCCTTCTGGGGTCGTCGGCTTGCCAATGTCTCGGGTCCGCTGGCCGGGGTCCACTGGCTTCGGCCGCCAGTTGCCGCATGGAGGGAGGCCGTTCCGGATACGAAGATGAGAATGATCTTGACGGCGGGGGTACCCGTTGCGGGTTTGGATGAAGCGTAGGTTGCTCTGGAAAAACATAGCCTCCTGGTCTGTAATCGTGACTATGTTCTCGCCGGTGGTTTGCAGGCCTAAAGGCTCTCGAGGGACACGGGCGATCCACATGGTCTGGCTCGCGACTTGGTGGCACCTGGGTCTCAATCGCTTCACGGCGCTCATTCTCGAAGCTCGAGGTTCTCCTAATCGCCCTCGTCAGGTGATTGCGAATGCATTGCCGAATCAGTCTCCTAGTCTGGTCCAGGGAAATGGGCCTGGCGTCGAATCGGTCTATTGGGCGGGGAGGTTGTTTTTGAGGAGACGGAGAATCCTGGGACGGGCGCTGAAGCCATTTGGGGCCGCTGTTGGCCCTGGCGATTTGGTGATCCGGGTGGAGGTCATTAATGGTCAGGCACACGGTGCATTTGAAGACCTTCAGTTCTCGAGGCCAACGCACGAGAGAACCACATGTCATGCAGTTGCCTGTAGCGAAGTCCTTGCTGCTGTCTCTGCTACCGCCAAAGGTAACCCCTCTCTTGTGCGTATTTCGTGCGTTTCCAAGTGGCTTCGTCATGACGGGCGCATCATCGTCGGAATCAGATTCGTAGGTCGGATCGAGTCGCTTTTTCTTGTTGGAGAAGAGGGCAGGAAAGGGGTGGCTCATGGAACGAGAATGCGTGGGTCGGCGCGAACGTCGGGGGTGGAAATCGGATTCAGAAGAGCTCGAGTCGCCGTTGAGATGGGAGTTATCCAAAAGGACATAGTCTTGTAGGCGACCAAGCTGGCCAGGTGATGCCGTGAGAGCAGAAGAGGGGCTGTGTATCCGAGAAGATACAATGTCGGCGGAAGTTTGTCGGAGAGGAGGAGGACGAGGAGGTGGAGCATGACGTTGCGACCAAGGGGCCATAATTGCGAGCGTGGTCCAGGTTCAGGACCAGGACGTCTACGTCTACGTCTAATGTCTGCGACGGCAGTAGCATCGGGGCCTGCCTCTGCAAGCAGCAAATCGGCATGCGCGCGCGCAGCGGGCGGAGAGTTTAAAAACGAAAGGACGAATAAACCGAGGCCGACAAGGAAGGCAAACAGGACAAAGAAACGAATAAACGGGCAAGGAAGGTTAGGTTTTCATTAAATTGTTAAGACGCGAAACCGTCCAGGCAAGCGCACAATGCAGCTGCAGCTCGTTGAAGTAAAAAGTGGAATGTTCGGAAGGAGAAGCTGAAGCTGAAGCGGAAGCCGGTGGTTGAGGCGTAGGGATGTTTGAATAATAGTAGCAACGTCGCAACAGGGAGGCTCTACGCCTGTCGTCTGTTGTGTTTGTGTAAGTCAGATCGTCAGGTCGACCGAGACCTCTGCAGGAGGATGGGCTTAAGGTGCAGGATTACTGCAGGCGCAAAGGCAAGGAGGAATCTCCCGCTGCGATGCGCCAGCCACGGGATGGATGCAGTGGTTTCGAGTTAGCTTCAAGGTCAGAGATGCGCCATTGCTGGTGGCCAAGCGACGGTTTATTGGACTGGACTGCTATGCCCTGTACTATTACGACTGACTGTGCCTGGGGAGCATGTCCAACGTTGTTCGTTTGAGGCTGTTTTGTTTATTGTTAGGTGGCTTAAGTCACACTTGTTTCCATTGACTCTATCAGCAGCTAGTGGAATTGATCCCCCTAATTAGTGTCCCAGCCAACAATTTGCGTGGTGCACGCGAGCATATCGGACCAGGCGGTGACAGCCGGGTGCCGTCAGTGTGTCGGTCCAAGTATGCAGCTATTCGGATGTCACTTTGTTTCGCCGACTTCCATCTGGGCTTCTTGATTGTTTCCACGCCCGTCCCTCGCCCGAGTCCTTCCCTCGAGTCCATGTTTTTTCGAATATCAGACAATCAGGCCCGGTCGCGGTCTGAGTCTGGACGAGTGACAGGACGCGGTTGAACGGACCAACAACTCCTGAGTCCTGGCAGCATGAGCATCAGCATGAGCATCAGCATGAGTATCTCGTATTCGATGCTGGGCGTGCCCGGTCCCCAAGGCGAGCGAATCAAGGCTGCACATGCGCCGAGATATTACCCAACCGGCCCCCCGCGACTCAGCGTGGCTGGCTGGCTGAGCGCAGCTCCCAATGAAGCTCCCTGTCACTATCCCTAGCACAGCCGTGAACCTGATACTTACTTCATTACGGCCATGAGCTGTTTCCCTTAGGTTTCCATCTTTTAAATCGCGCCTTGCATCCACTGCATGAACTGCCAAAGAGCCTGCTCTAATTAACGCCCCCAAGAACACCACAGCTGTCCTCATATTCAGACAAGTCTGGACCTGGACCCTGTGGATTGATATAAAATGTTGCAATTTCCATATTAAAACACCCTGGTCATTTCCAAATATTTCTCTGTTAATCAGGGTCCTGGCTTACCACCCGGACAGGGATCTTCGGGACTTCATGGCACCTTCCGCAGGTACTGCCACGAATAATAGCGTGTCCCGACTCCCTTAGACGCGCTGACACTCAACGGGCGGCCAAACACCTGGTTCCAGTCTCCCAACCTCTCTCTTCCAGTGTAACCCAAACCAAACCACCACCATAACCTCATGCAGGGGGCATTCTCCGGCGTGCCTTACCTCCCGCTAACACTCGCTGTATCCGTACTCCGTACTGCACGCTAGTGGCCCAAGGTCGCACTTCCCCGCAGCCGGAGGACGGCTCGTTAACCGGGCGTGGTTTGTTCCAACTTCTTCGTTCCCCAGCTCTTTCCCGTCGTCTGCGCCAAGCTCGCAAATGCGAAGGGAACTCGATCGTGGGTCCCTGTTTCGCCCTGTTAACGTCCCCCGATTGGATCTCTGTCGTGCGTTGCATGTCACATCTTCAACATTTTCCCCAGCTGCTACGGACAACACATAGCTCAACAGGCTGCCTCGGCCGTTTCAGCAGCTTGTGTCATCCGCAAATACGCTTTCGACTACCTTATGGTATCTCGCTTTGAGATGCCCCGCCTACCTCCGGCTGCTGGGGTCTTCCACGCTTGCTGAGAAAGCTTCACCAAAGAGCTCCGGCCATGACAGTTCCTGTGACGTCAAACAGGCCTACCAGACCAACGCACAAAGCTGCGAACACGGTGGGATTCAATGACCATGCCAGAGTCGAGAGCGCACATTGATTCGCCTCGGATTTTTTTTCTCGGACGACGGCGGGCACAGGCTTATCAGTGTTGCAGGATTGCTGACGAAGACGTAGGGAATACTACATCGCGAATTATTTTCACAACATGAAATTGAGTTCAACTCTGATCGTGTATTCATTGGGTCATAATATTTTATCGACGTTGCCTTCTCGACAGCCCACTCCCTACTGGAGCATCTGGGAAAATTGAGGAGTGACAGAGAACGGGCAATGGATATACTTGATCGTTTCGTTGCACCAGTTCTTCTCTTGCGTACCGAGACCGACCATCACTCCTTTGTCGGACGGCTTGGTGCCCTTCTTAATGGTTCCTTCCATTGTTACTTCGAACTCGCCCTTCACGATCTTCAGGTCTCCCTTGAGCTCCGCCAAAACCTCGCCAGTGGCCTCGTTGCGCAGCTCGAACATGCTGACGCCGTGGTCGATTTCGAGCGGGCTGGGGTTGTAGACCTTCATCGTGTTGGCGAAACCACTTCCTCTGGGCGAACAGTTGACTTGAGCGAGCTTGGGACCCTTCATGCCAACGATGTGCACATCCTTGGCGTACTTGACTTTGGCTGACAGGCCGAGCGCCTTGATGGTGCAGTCGCCGTTGTCGAGTCTCAGGATCAAGTTATCGTCGCACATGATGGCCTTGACGAAGGCCATGAAGGCATTGCGATCGATGATTTTAATGAGCTGGTCCGTAACGACGACCAAGGTACCGCTCGACTTCGTCTTGACCTCGGGCAGGTCCAGCTTGCCAAAGCAGCCGCCGTTGAACATCATGTCGACGGTCATCGGCTGCATAGTCGCACCCATGGGTCCGGTGCCCGTGACCCTGCTCTCGATGGTCATGACGAAGGAGCTGCGCAAATGTTTGTCAGCCTCACTATTAACGCTCAATGCTCGTTGGTATCTATTTACTTACTCCTCCTTTGGCTGCGAGATTTTGATCAACTCCACCTCCAGCTTGGAGCGGTTCAAAATGGCTTGGGTAATGGCGTCCATTTTTGCGATTTGGCTGACTTGCTGACAGGCGACTGGTAGTGATGACGATTGGCTGATGTAATAGACTGTGAGTAGCTGGATTTGCTGGTATTGGAAGTGTCTTTTCCTGATTGATTCCAGAACAAAAGACGCCGAGGGAATGCAGGTTTATATACGTCCTTCTACAGCCCCAAATATGGTGGTCATTAATACAGTTCTACGGCAAGGCAGTCTCATTCTCGTCAGAACACATGCAGACAGCTCCAGCTGCCATGTGCCAGAAGCTGCCACAGCTACTTTTGCCTCGGAACTTGAGTCTGTCTCCAAAAACCCACCTACACAACACGGGTTCGCATAACTCTTCGCATAGCTCCCCTGCCACCCATACTCAGACAGGCAGGGTCCCAGGATCCGAATTATTGGACGAAGACAATCAAAATTCAATCCAGCGAAAGAAAAAAAACATAATTGTGGTGACAAGGTAAACAAACGGGACCGGTCGCTCATGCGGCAGACCAGATCGATCGTCGACCGAGCACCACTAGATCTTCCTCCAAAATCCGCAAACGGCAATTCCCTGTGCGTTGAAACACCATTACGGCGACGGGGATTCGCGAGCAGGAGCCAGCTCACGGCACCCGCACCCGCAACCGCACCCGCACTCGCACAGAACCATCCGTAACGTAAGCAGCAACGACCGACCTTGCCTTCCTGCTTCTGCTGCGTTCGCTTGGACGTCCCGTTTCGGGAAGCATTATCGTTCCCACTACCCCAGACCCGCGCCTCGCCTGGCGGCAGTATCAGCGGCAGACTTACAGCATAAGCGGTGTCAGCAGCAGCAGCACCACAAGGTGAAGGAAACCCAAGGACAGGGAGGCTGTGTGGATGGTTCCAAGGTGAGCCAGAAATTGAAGCATAATTTCGCCGTCGAGGCTATGCGCCATCGCTCGGTGACGCAAGTCAAGTCGTGCGCGGAGGGAAGGGGAGGCTTGTCGAGTCTCGGTACGCCGTCGTTGTGGTTTCTGCTGTCAAGACAGACATGTGCTTCTCCGGCCGGATTGATGCGTGAGAGGTTCCCAAGGGGAGGAGCGGGAGGGTCGTCGATTGGCGATGTTGCGCAGCTTAAACGCAGGTAAGGCGGGTTTTCCGCGTAGGGATGGGGGTTGCAGATCGTAAGCGGGGAAGGTTGGGAAGGTTGGGTGCGTGGGTTGAGCTTCAGACTGGACGGGCTGCGATGCGGAGAAAGACTGCGTAATCGCTCGTTACTTGGAATAAGAATTCGAAGCCGGGAGTCAATTTGGCTCATCGGTGGCGGCGCCAACACGGCCAAGTCGGTCAGGCTGGTATAACTTAGGAAGCAGGTCTGGATCGGGATAATGTTTACGATGGTGATCTGCTCCCTCAGAAGGTTTTGATTGCAGGCTTTTTTAAAAGGCGAAGTCGCATAAATGGATCATGCGAACACGTTAGGGTCATGATCGGAACGCGATAGTGATTTTTACTGCTCTTCAATTCTCTCGAGAGAGGATGTGTCGAGAAAAGGAAAGACTAACAACACCATACTTTTTCGCAACCGCCAACACTATTCCCGCCTCTCAACTCCGCAACCGCCCGACCCCCAAATTTCGACACCGACAACCACCACCGCCAAACAATACCTTCTCTGCGCCGCGAACCTCTTGGGGTCCAATCAACAACACCGACCGACCGTCTTCTCTACAACCGACCGACGAACCTCGGCCCCTGACTCCGATCCGATGCTTGTCTATATTGACGTTATGAGATGAGCCAGATACGAGAGACCTTTTTTCTGCTTTCCGAGTGTAAACAACGACAAGGGCGACAACGACACTCCTAGAAGGGCAAATTCTTTTTTTCCTGTGATTTTTGTGAAGCAAGGGCTTTTGTGTGTGTGTGTGTTTGCTTTTCTGCTGGCGTGCGCACAGAGAGAGCCCTTACACTCCGGTAGCGTCGTCGAAGACGATGGCGGCCTTGATGGCGCTCTTGTTCCTGATGGCCTCGAGGGCCTCGCCGAACTGCTCGAGCTTGAAGGTCTTGTTGACGATACCCTTGGTGCGGACCTTGCCGGAGTCGAGGTAGTCGATGGTGGCGGCTATGGTGGCGGTTAGATATGCCATTTGCGGTGGGGAGAGATAGCATGAGCTTACGGAACATGTAGGTCTCGGAGAAGGATCCGAGGATGGTGATCTCGTCACCGAAGATCTTGGAAGGGGGCCACGAGACGCGGGCGGAGTCGGAGTAGACACTGGAAACAGTATGTTAGCTACCGTGATGGCCAATGTGTGTTTCTGTGTACTTACCCGTAGACAACGAGCTTGCCGCCGCGGCGGACGTAGTTGATGGCGTCCTCAAGGATCTTGACGGAACCGGTGGCCTCGACGACGACATCGAAACCGTAAGGGTGGTCCTTCTTGAGCTGGGCGAACTGGGCCTCGGGCTCCTTTCGGGAGAGCTCGATGTAGTTGTCCGCGGCGTCGAGGCTGCGGGCGAGGTCCATCTTGAGACCCTGAGGGGCGGCGATGGTGACGTTGCAACCACCGTTGTGGCGCATGAGCTGGGCAAGCATCTGTAGAGAGGTCCATCGTCAGAACGTTGTCACCACCAAGGTTCGTAGTTCACAGCTTCGGGAGCTGCGGTTCGGTGGAGTTGACTTACAAGACCGGTGGGGCCGGCGCCGAACATGAGGACGCTGGACCCTAGGCGGGGGCGGATCTTGTCCAAACCGTGGCAGGCGCAGGAAGCGGGCTCAAGGAGGGTCGCGTCGACATCGTTGAGGTTGTGGATCTTGAAAACCTTGCCGGCAGGGTAGGCGCAGTATTCAGCAAAACCGCCGTTCATGGTAACTCCGTGAGCCTCGAACTGAAGGGGGTGAATGTTAGTGAGTAGGTTCCGGCGGCGGTCGTGTAAGTGAGAAAGTGGGGCCGTACCTTCTCGCAGAGAAGAAGCTCTCCGCGACGGCAGTAGAAGCACTCATTGCAGAGCTCGCTGTTATCGGCGGCAACACGGTCACCAACCTTGAAGTCCTTGACTTTCTGTTTATTGGGGTCAGTATTGGCCTCATTCGCTCAATGGCTCAGGTTGAGAGAGAACGTACGGGTCCGACGGCGGCAACAACACCGACGGTCTCGTGGCCTGGGATCAAAGGGAACTTGGCAATGAATTCTCCCTCGTGGATGTGCTATTTCGAATGTCAACCACATATTCCAGGACAAGATTTGTTGAGGAGGTTTACCAAGTCTGTGGCCCAACGTCAGTTGAACAGGTTCTCAACTGCAGTTCATGTCACTCAATAAAGGCGTGCGCAAAGCCACTCACCAGTGCCACAAACACCGCAAGCCCGAACCTTGACCAGGACGTCATTCTCGCGCAGCTCTGGGAGAGGAACTTGGACGATTGACCAATCCTCGGGCTTCTCGTATCTGGATGAGGGGTCAGCTTATCGCCGATGGAGGGGTAGGATGCTAGGTGAGCAAGCTGTAAGGGACTTGTCGCCGCGGAGCTCGAGCAACTGGAGCTGGAGGGTAGCGCGTACCGGAGAGCCTTCATCTGCTTGGGGAGGTTCGACATGGTGAAGTTGTGGTTATGTTGGATCTGTGTTTCTCAAAAGCTGAGTTGATGAAGCTGAGTTAGTAAGGTACTGTATTCCGATATGCAAGTGGAGGATTGGGGGGGTCAATCGGTGAAGGGATTGGCAGGCGTAGAAGGAAAGAACTCACGGGAGGGGAGGGACGGTGAGAGGAAGCTTGGAGAAGAATTTTTGCCACGGTATTGAGGAGGTGAACGCAGCAGTTTATATACCGCCGCGTCAAATGAGACCATGTTTAAGGAAGCGCGGGGAACAAGTGAATGGGCAGATCTTGGGATGGAGATGGAGCCAGGGTCCAAGGTGTCGTTGGCTGGCTTGTCTGAGGTCAGGGTACCTACATCTTTCTCCTCCCTGGGATGTACAGTTTACGGACGAGTCGGCGAGCTTTGCCAGGCTACACCGAGTTTACTTCGCGAGCGCAAAGCGCCATCATGCTGTGGTACCTCTGAACCGTGAGGTAGTGGGATGGCTTGTAGCTGCATCCCGCATCCACAAATCCACCTCCGCGTCTGCGTATGCATCGTCTTCCGTCCGACTCCACGCAACCACTCGGCCAACAGAAGATCACGGTACATACACGAAGCAGCTGGCAGCATGCCACGCTCGTGGCAAGGCCCAGCTTGTTCTGGCCACATACACGATCGGTGAGTGCGCATTTGCATGAAAAAATATGGGCGAAGGCTGGCCAGCGCAAATCGCCGAAGTGCAATGCTCGTCACTGTGTTATTCACCCCTGTTGCCCCGCCTTCAGAGCTCCAGCACTAGCTGTATACATAAAATCAGCGTCATCACGCAGGGCTGCCACTGGCAAGGACAACTTCCTGGCCTGAAAAAACTGGAGAGGGGCACGTCGCGAAGAAGGTCAGCTCAGGCGTGCCGCAGGGAGAACAGGATCGAAGTTCGAACGAATTGAGCTATGAGGTGAGGTGAGGGGCAGAATCAGAATGGCAAGCGACGCGCCCAACCCCACCGACAACTGCCAGCCAGTAATTCCAGCTGCTCCTGTCACCCCAACCCGGTACGTAAGTAAGTCATCTCCATGTGGAGGGAGAGTCTCCACGCCAAGGGCCGGGCACGGAGAGGGCCAGCAAACCGGGGAACGGCCGGGAGAGAACCACACCTAGGGTAGCGCGTGGAGAGAGGGGATTGTCGCGGGCGCGGGCATGAAGCCCTGCCCGGCGTAGGTAGGCGTAGGTAGGCGTGGGTATGAGCGTGGGCTGCACGGTCGAGGCCAGAAAACTAGTGTAGGTCAGTTCATGTCATGTGCCGTGAAGTGTCACCATAATCTTACACTCCCTGGAGCTCCGAGACGTGGGTTTTTGTTGAGGTGATGTGCCTTGCCTGCTCGCGGCCCTCGGAGACGACGGCGGATGTGGGAGATAAGCACCGGTGGCTAGGTGGAGCAGCGAGCTGGAATGGAATACCAGAGAAGATGTGGTGGTGTTCTTGTTTTTTTTTCCTCCCCTGGCGTGGTGTCAGTTTCTCTTGCTCTGATTTTTGCCGTTGCAAGTCAACTCCAGACAGTAGAAGACCGGGGCCCTGTTGCCCCCCTTTCCAATTCTGGTGCAGTTCGCTTGCCTCTTCCTGTTCTGACTGGCTCCATGAAGCATCGTCGGCCCCGTCGTGGTGGGACGGACGGGTATGGGATGGGTCGTCGAGGCTCTGATATGATTTTGTCGTGGTCGTTTACAACACGGGAATTCGGGTCCGACAATAGGTAAGCTAGTTGATGAGCTTGATAAACCCCGTTGCAGTTGTCCGTACTTCTGGTGTCAGAATTCAGCTGTCGAATGTTCTTCTGGAAACGAATTTCGAAGCTGCGAGAAAATCGTCAATTTGTCGGATTACCTATAATGGATAATGCCGACGTGATCGCGGGCTGAGGTTGTGTCAGAAGGGATACCAGAGTACATGCAAGAAGGGCGAGGCGATATCCTCAATTGTCAGGTCAGGACCCCTTCCTTGCTCATCCAACAGCTCTGGAAAGCAACAGCATTCGGAAACCGGGCGAAGGCAGGGAAGCAAGCACGGTAGGCGTGACATTTCCCGATGTCAGGTTAGTAATTGGTAGGCAGTGCGTTGAGGAAGCGCCCCTCGTTCCTTCCAAGCCATTCTTGCGCATCTCACTCGCCGAGACAAGACAGCAAATAAAGGTGTGGAGATGGGATGCTGCTTGATTTCCGAACTTACGCGGGGCACGAATGAGACTCTAACAAGATGAGAAACCTGGCAGTCATGAGATTCGTCACCGCCACTTGCTTAGGTCGAAGGCACACGCTCAACCCGCCTCGGCACTCATGCGCATCAGCACCTTAGGTACGATACGCACTTGCTACTTCTGGACAGGGCCATCAACAGCTTCGCGCATTCAGGCAGGGTCCTTCCACCACGGGAACATCGCGCATTGCTTCTTTACAGGGATTGTCTTGAAAGTCAAGTGTACGATACGTTCATTCGTGCATGCAGCCTGTTGAAGCTATATCCTACGTGCGTCGGCCTTGGTGTCGATGCTTACCGCAGGAGAGCCGCCCTCAACATTGCTCATGGCCAGACCGATCCCTTTCGTTTCCAGCCCTGGACTCCGAGAACACCGATAAAACCAGTCGTCCTCATTTCTTTTTTCTCCCCTTCGTTGTCCCTCGACATGCATGAGAGTCTCAAACGTGACCCCTCGAGATTTCAGCACCACCCCCACGTGCTAGTCCGGCAGACACCGCTCGCTCATCACAGCGTTTGCAAAAGAAAGACAAGAAATTGTGGCTTTTCACTGTTTGAGAGGAAGCAGCACAAGCCGCAGGCTGCAATTCATGACCTTTTGATGCAAACGATATCCGAGGATCTAACCTCCAAACTCCCACGATGTTTCCCCCGTAGTCTGTGACGTTAACAGACGCGCGACTGCTCCGGCCATCCACTGTTTAGAGTACATGTCGGTGCCTTTTTTGTTTTGCCAATGCGTCTCGAGAGTAAAAGCCGATAGGAAAGATACCTCTTACGAGGGGGGAGCGCCACGGCCACGGCCAAAGCCACCACGGCTGCGAAGTGTGTTAGCAAAAATGATCCCATTCTCGAAAATGCGCCGGCGTCGAAATATCGAATCGCCCGACTGGTTTGGGGATTGCTCACAACTGGGGCTCGAATCCACCAGGGGCACCGCCCTCCTTGCCCTCGCCAGCATCGCGACGGCGGTAGCCGCCCTCACGGTCACCACGGTCGCCGCCACGGCCACGGCCGCCGAAGGGTCTTCTCTCGCGCTCGCCCTCACCGAGCATGCCGCGGGGAGGAGCGTGGGAGCGCTGCTGCTTGATGTGGGTGGCGGGGACGATCTCGGCGGGAAGGTGAAGCCACTCGCGGAGGTAGTCGAGACCCTCGGGGGTCAGGGTGTAGTAGTAGTATTGCCAGGAGAACTGAGTCTTGACATAGCCGCGGGAGGTGAGGGACTGGCAAGCCTTGACGACGAACAGGTTCTTGGTGTCGATGTCGGGGTGCTTGGGAAGGTTGAAGTCCTTCTTCGCGACGAGGACACCCTCGCGGAAGAGGTACTGTAAATTTCGTCGTCAGTAATCCGTAGAAACTCCCTTGCGCTTCCTGCAAGCTGTCAATCGTACCTCGTGGATCTTCTTGCGGTCGGCCTTGGGGATGAGCATCTTCGCGGTATTGGGCGGATCGTTTGCTGGTCGATGGAAGATTGAACTTTCGAGTTCGCGATCTAAATTGAGAAAATCTTGTGTGTGCTGGGCGTGACGGGAAGAAGGGCTAGTTAGAGTGGGCCCTCAATTGTGCCCCCCGCCGTCCTCAGTTTAACGAGTTGTGGCGTGGTGGCTCAGGCGAGCATCCACCTCATGGACGCCACCTCACGGGTGGGTCGCTCCCTTATCTCCGATGGGTCAGGTCGCGTTTTCAAAGTGGTTGCTAGGCTGGTTGCGCGAACACCCTTGCCCTTCCTGACTTTCCCATATCCAAACTTCAATCAGCCATCCCGACAACGACATCTCGAAGGCGATCCTAAACGTGTGATCACATAGTACGCGGATAAACCAAGACAGCCGGTGGTCGAAATGGATAACAACAGCGAATCCAACAAGAAGGACGTCAACGTCTTGGTCAGTACCTTCGCGGGCCTGGGCCCGTCAACCTTGGTCCTCAGAGTACCCTCTTCAACACCACTATCCGATCTACGCCACCAACTCGACGAACGGCTGCCTGCGACGGAGAACCGACTGATTTTGACGACTGTTTCGAACAAAGAACTATCTCCCTTCGCTACAAATCCAGTGTCTGACCTGCTCTCCGCCGACGATGACTTCGTCTCGCTGCGCCTTTCAGTGCCGCTTTGCGGTGGCAAGGGTGGTTTCGGATCCCAGCTGAGAGCTGCGGGTGGTCGCATGTCCTCCAAGAAGAAGCGCAACCAGGGCGACGCCAACAACTCCAGCAGAAATCTTGACGGCCGCCGGCTGCGGACTGTCACGGAAGCCAAGGCTTTGGCTGAGTACCTCGCCATCAAGCCGGAGATGGAGAAGAAGGAGAAGGAGAAGCGTCGCGAGAGATGGCAACAGATCGTCGAACAGGCAGAAAAGCGCGAGGATGAGATCAAGAATGGCGGAAAGGGCCGTCTGGATGGCAAGTGGGTTGAGGACAAGGAAGAGTCGAATGAGAGGACTCGCGAGGCTGTTCTTGCCGCGATGAAGGCTGGCAACTACAAAGACAATCTGCTGGGAACATCGCAAGGATCCACGGGCTCTGAAGAGACTGATGAGGCTATGACGAGCGACGATGAGGAGGAAGAGGGTGGCAGTTCAAAGGAGTCAACCCCTCCTTCTGAGCCAGCGAAGGCCCCTCAAAACAAGCCCAGAAAGTTTTTCGGATTCGATGAGGACGACGAGTTCATGAGCTCAGACGAGGATGACGAAGATGCCAAGGGAAAGGGAAAGGCTAAGGCAAAGTGAGAGGAGGCGCACGACGTCTGTAGTACTTCATGACGTCTCTGGTGCTTGTCGACGCCTCTCATGCTTCTCGTAGTCTCGGTATTATTCGCAAGGAGTTATGTCATTGGGAGCGCACGGAGTTTTGGTTGACTATTCAATGACAGGCAACGGGCCTAGAGACCCGTACAAAATGAAGAAATGGATGGGCATTACAGATAGTTTGTCACGAATTCACATTCAGCGCCCAGGAGAGCGCTTTCAGCAGCCTCGTCGCACGACACATCCTCCGATGCTCTATTTGAGGTCTCGTTCCATCTTGAAGTAATACCGTCGCCCGGCTCCTCCGTCTAACTTGCGTTCAGCCTATTCCAACATCGCTTATGCGTTCAGGTTGACGGGGAAGTTGCCGTTCTCTGTTCTTTGTCAGCAAAGTGCTCCTTGATATCGGGATTTGATACTGACCGCGCTGCTCATCCCAGCGCTGGTACCAGCCGGAGGGGCACAGGGAGCGGTAGCCGAGCCAGAACTGCATGCTGTTAGTCCTTGGTTCCCTCAGAACGATCGTGGGATATCCGGACCTGGCGGCAGGGGGCGAAGTCCTCGCCCTTGGCGTTGATGCACTTGTGGTAGTCGACGTAGTTCTGCCAGCAGTGCTTGGTCTGGTTCATGTTCGGGAAGCGGGCATCGGTGCCTATGGAATTTCAAGTTAAACCACCATCCATCGTGTCCGGCGTCAATTGATGCGGTCGCATCGCGGATTTCGGAGGTTCGGGCGGGGGGTTCATACCGGCTACAAGTCATCAGTTAGCCTCGGAAGAATCAGGCCATAATTCGGCGAGGGATATTTCTCAACGTACCAGTGACGAACTTGAAGGGCTTGGTAACGAGCTCCTGATCGTCGGACATTTTGACTGCGTGCGAATGCAATTGACTGGGAATCGGTTCGGCGGATGGAGCAGAGTGGGCAGCGACGTGCGATTGGTGTTGTTGCTGTGAGAGCAATTGAAGGTCGTTTCTGCACCGGAGAATCAGATGGTGACGGGCGAGAACGGGTGGATGCCTGAAATGGCCAATCGGGCCTCAGGCATTGCAAAGGTGGGCCGAGCTCCCGCCTAACATCAGACCAGACTGATGGAAGGGCCGCCAACTTCTAAACACTCATTTCGAGATCCAGTCCCGACCAACGAACGACCGCTCCCTCAGCTGTACCGAAACCCCGAAAATCTCCCCTCTAAAATCTAAAAATCAGTCACGATGCGTCCTACTCTCGCCCTCCGTGCTTTCCGCCCGACCATGCGCATGAGGACCCCGGTTCCTGTACGTTGAAATTTCGCTGCCCCGGACGAGCGCTATAATAGCTAATTGTGACGTTTGCCCTCAGGCCGAGGACCAAGTTGGTATGTCGACCCCCGCCGACGGCCATTGATGCATCTCACGATACCCGACATCGATCTCGACCGCTGCGACCGATCGCGCGACAGCATTTGCAGAGGCTGATACGCTTTATTCTAGGCCACACCGTTTCCCAGAGACTGCGCAAGCTCAAGCAGATCCCCCCCGAATTGTTCCCCCTCGGTATGTCAGATCCGACAGCGATGATATTGGTCCGGACTTTTCGTTGACGCAGTACAGGTGTCGTCGTTGGCTTTGCCCTGGCCGCTGCTGCCTACTCCGTCGGACGTCATTTCATGACCGACGGCACCATCCGTATCAAGCGCCAGAACAAGGCTGCCGTTGATGCCGCGGAGGCCAAGGGACACCACTAGATTGTGGCCGGGAAGATGATGGGAGGCGGTCGACCAAAAGCGTCGATGTGTGATTAGGGGGACTCCATTTGTATATGTCAACGACAGAGACAGATCAAAGGCACTAGAGACGCTGCTTTTCATTTTCCTTTCTCAAACATGTGCTTCTTGTTCCAGCCATGGAACAGAGCGAGGTCCATTTGTATATCAGCAACCGTGTGAACGCCATCGCTATGCAAAGAAACAAGACCCATATCATCCTTCAAATTCGCCTTGATTCACTCCGGTCTCGGTCCCGCAACGTCGAGCCCCTCCAGACCCTGCATCGGGTCATCTCCACGTACTTCAACCTGCGTCTTGGCCTGTTCAGAAGCAAGTCGGTCCTCCTCACTGACGGCGTTTTCTGCCAGCCATCCTTCCTACAGACGTCATTAGTACAGATGATCTCAGTCTCTGAGCTCCGATGGACTAACCTGCTCCCATAGAGCCTTTTTGCTCCCCAGGCCTTCATCTGCGCTCTTCGGTACCTTGGCGGCTGAAACTTTAATAACTCTTCCGAAGAATTCCGACTGATCCATGTTGTCGATGGCTTCTTTGGCGTCCTCCGCATCCTCGTACTCGACGTATGCGAATCCTCGATGAGGGTCGGTTGAGTTCGGCTTGTCGTTCTTGGGTAGCGACACGTCCGCGATTTCGCCAAAGGGGATAAAAGCATCGTGAACGTTGGCAGCCGTGACGGCGGAGGCCAGACCACCGACGAATACAGTCGCCTTCCAGCGCGAGGCGTCTGTCATTTTTGCTGAGTTTTGGTGAGTGTTGTACAAGTTGAAGCGCTTTTAACCGAGTTATCGTGAGATATCAAACTCGGCTGAGACCTTCACTGAGAATGAATCTTTTGGTTAGCGGGGTCTCAGTGTAATAGGTAGCTCGGGCAACTCACCATTGGCTGAACCAGAGGGGAGCTTTAACGCACGTGACGCGACTTCTGGTCGCAGGTGCACGGTCCGGGGTGGGTTTTGGGGAGCTTGAAGCTGGATGTGGGCTGCAATCTGGCATCATAAGGTATTCCAGGATAGAGGCCAGCGTACCAATCCAACAACTGACAGCCACCTTTCCCGCAAGGCCAGGCTGCATTTCTTTGACACTGCATAGTCTGGACCACACCCTCCAGATTTTTGCTGCTTTATATTCAGCCAATGCCAATTACCGCCTGAGTTGTCTCGATTGGTAGACCATTTCTTTTGCAACGACCTACCCTCCCTCCGAGTACAGTCCTGGGGACTGAGTGATTCTCGTAATCATGGTTCGCCTTCGCGAGATCCCGAGGACGGCGGCCTTTGCCTGGTCCCCGGACCCGTCGAAGCCTCTCTTGATCACCGGCACCAGAGCTGGAGCTGTCGATGCCGACTTCTCTGATGAGACCAAGCTGGAGCTGTGGGACCTCAACCTCGACAACCAAGATCAGGGCCTCGAGCTACAGCCCGTCGCCAGCATCAGCACCGACTCGAGGTAGGCTTCCCTGCGATTCAACCCAACCAGTCACGTCACTCACCAGGCATTCCTAGATTCTATGATATTGCCTGGGGACCAGCCGACTCCGACCATCCAAGGGGCATCATCGCTGGCGCTCTGGAGAATGGATCCCTCGACCTGTGGGATGCCGAGAAGCTCATCGAAGGCGCCGACGACGCCCACATGTCCCGCACAACGAAGCACACCGGTGCAATCAAGTCCCTTCAATTCAACGCTCTTCGACCCAACATTCTTGCCACCGCCGGCGCAAAGGGAGAGCTGTTCATCTACGACATCAACGACGTTGGCAACCCGTTCCGACTCGGCACCGCCGCCGCTCGCTCAGACGATCTGGAATGCGTCGCATGGAACCGCAAGGTGGCACACATTCTGGCCACTGGAGGATCCGGTGGATTCGTTACTGTTTGGGATTTGAAGACTAAGAAGGCGTCTCTGACGCTCAACAACAACAGGAAACCAGTCAGCGCGATTGCTTGGGACCCAAACAACTCGACCAAGCTTCTTACCGCTACCCACGACGACACTTCCCCTCTTATCTACTTGTGGGACCTCAGGAACTCCAATGCACCCGAGCGTACACTTCAGGGACACGAACAGGGCGTTCTGTCTCTGTCTTGGTGTCAGCAGGACAGCGACTTGTTGATTTCTTGCGGCAAGGACAACAGGACTCTGGTTTGGAACCCCCAGACTGGTGATCGTTATGGAGAGTTTCCCGAGGTCACGAACTGGACTTTCCTGACCCGCTTCAACCCCTCGAACCCGAACCTGTCGGCCACGGCCGGTTTCGACGGCAAGATCACTATCCAGACCCTGCAAAACACCAATCCCTCGACCACCCAGAGCACGACGCAAAACAACCTGGACGGCGAGGACTTCTTCACCAGCGCGCAGACTCAGCCTCAGGGAGCTTCCTTCTCGCTCAACAAGGCGCCCAAGTGGTTTGAGCGTCCCATTGGTGCCACGTTTGGCTTTGGAGGAAAACTCATCATTTTCAAGCAAAATGCTCAGCAGCGTACCTCCAAGATCTCGATTTCTCAGTTCGCGGTTGACTCCGCTGTGGGCACCGCTACAGAGAAGTTCGAGGAGGCTCTCCAGTCTGGTGATATTGTTGGCCTTTGCGAGACTCGCAAGGAACAGTCGAAGACCGAGGAGGAGAAGGCCGACTGGCTCGTCATGGAGACTTTGACCGCCGAGAACCCCCGAAAGCGCATTATCGAGTACCTTGGTTTCACTGAAGAGGAGATCACAAACGGAGTCTCCAAGGGTGAGGAAGAAAAGTCCGAGGAGGCTGTCGAAGAGAAGAAGGAAGAAGCCAAAGATGAGGACAATATGTGGGGTGACGGTGACGGCGAGGGTGAAGACTTCTTGTCCAACTTGTCTGCCAACAAGGGGGCCAAGACCGACAGCCCCTTCCATCTGCTTGCCGACACCGACACCGCAGTTGAGAAGTCTATCACCAAGGCGTTGATGCTCGGCAACTTTGCCAAGGCTACCGACATTTCCTTGAAGGAGCAGCGTTGGGCCGATGCATTCTTGATTGCCAACTGCGGCGGACAAGAATTGGTGGACAAAGTGCAGTCTGCTTACCTGGCAAGCAAGGATGGCGTCCCTAGCTATGTCCGACTCTTGGGATCCGTCATCGCCAAGAACCTGTGGGACGTCGTCTACAACGCCGACCTCGAGAATTGGAAGGAGTCAATGGCCATTCTCTGCACGTTCTCAAACCCCAAGGAATTCCCTGATCTCTGCGACGCCCTTGGAGATCGCATCCTTGAGAGTGGTTCTCGGAAGGACGCCTCTTTCTGCTATTTGGTTGGTTCCAAGCTCGAGAAGGTTGTCTCTATCTGGATCAACGAGCTCGAGGAAGCCGAGCAGGCCGGTGTCCAGGAACCTAGCGAAGACTCGACCTTCTCTGTTCATGCCCGCTCTCTGCAGCACTTCATTGAGAAGGTCACCATCTTCCGTCAAGTTACCAAGTTCCAAGACACCGAGAAGAGTCAGAGTGCGGACTGGAAGCTGTCGGCCCTGTACGAGAAGTACACAGAGTACGCCGACATCATTGCCGCGCACGGCAAGCTTGCTGTCGCTCAGAAGTACCTTGATCTTCTGCCGGACAACTACCCCGCGGCAGAGATCTCAAGAAACCGCTTGAGGCTTGCCACTCAGAGGGGAGCCGCTCCCAAGGCCGCGGCGGCTGCGGCTCGTCGTCCTGGGCAAGCTCCGGCTGCGACAAATCCGAGAGTCACTCCGGTCTATCAGCCCACTGCCCCTGCCGCTGCTGCGGCTCCTCCCAGCTCCAACCCGTATGCTCCAGCCGGGCCTGCCCTTGCTGCCTCCTCTGTATCCGCGGCGTCAAACCCTTACGCTCCTCCTACCGTCGGGTACAACCCGGCTCCCGCCACAGGCTATACACCCGCTGCCGCTCCATCCCCTTATGCACCGGCTCAGGGTTACCAGCCTCCCGCTCAATCCTACGGAGCGCCAGCCGGCTATGGCCCACCGCCCACCAATTTCGGCGCTGTTCCCCCGCCGCCGCGAAACTCCACGCCGACATCCTCTTTCAGGCCTAAGGAGAGCTGGAACGATGTGCCTCTGGTCAACAAGGCGCCTCCTCGCAAGACAACCCCCAGTGTGGCCCCGATCACTTCGCCATTCCCGGGACAGACGAACCAGGCCGGTCCTCCTCCTCAAAGTCCCTACGGCCGCAGTGGCGCAACTCCCCCTCCCCCTCCTCCCAAGGGGCCGGCTCCTCCCCGTGTCACGTCTCCTCTGGCCGGACCCCCGCAGGCATTCCAGGCACCGCCGAGACCGACGTCGGCAGCTTCGAACGCATACGCTCCTCCGCCTCCCCAGGCTGGCGCCCCGCCTTCCATGATGCCGCCGCCGCCCATGGCTCGCGGCCCTTCGCCGTACAACCCTCCTCCATCTGGCGCCCCCCCCTCAAACCGCTATGCCCCGGCCGCTGCAACGCAGCCTCAAGCAAGCCAACCACCTATGGGATCGGCTCCACCTCCGGGTAGCCAGCCACCCCCGAGGAACCCTTACGCACCGCCGCCGCAAGCAGGCACCCCGCAGAACCAGTACGCGCCTTCACCCTACGGAGCTCCTCCTGCCGCCGCCGCACCTCCTCCGGCTGCATCAAGGCCTCCCACTGGACCTCCTCCTGCAGGCGGACCGCCTCCAGCCGCCGCTGCCACCCCTCCCCCTCCTAAGGCAGCGCCACCGCCAGCTAAGGCCAGGCACCCGGCTGGTGACAGATCTCACATCCCACCTCACGCCCAGAGTTTGGTAGATGTTCTCAATTCGGATATGCAGCGGGTGGCATCGCGAGCGCCTGCTAGTTTCGCTGCCCAGGTGAAGGACACCCAGAAGCGTCTCAACTTGCTGTTCGACCACCTCAACAACGAAGAGCTCGTCAAGCCCGATACAATTGATCAGCTTGTAGCTCTCGCTGAGTCTATTGACGAGAAGAATTACGAGGTGGCCCACAAGATCCAAGTTGAGATCCAGAAGGAGAAGACCGAGGAGTGCGGTAACTGGATGGTAAGTACAGCATTGAAAGCAAGCGTTGAGACTAGTTTACTGACGTATACTTCAGGTTGGTGTCAAGCGGTTGATCAGCATGAGCAAGGCCACCCCATGAACGTCTTGATGAGGGGACCTGGTGGCGCTGGGTATGAGTTGTTGATGATAGCCAATTGCACTTTTACGTATACACTAGAATCAAAACGAATGAAGATGTTGAGTTGAATTACGATGCCGCCCATTTGAGGCAAGCAGAAGTTCCCAATTTTCTAAATCCAAAGAAGTGCACCGCCTTGCGTGATCTACTACAACAAAAGCTTCTTGAATGCATCTCGTGAAGTAAACCTTGAAACTGAGAAAAATCCGAAATTGCTTTGTTTTTATATATTTTGTTGTGGTTGAACGTGCTGTGCCATGGAAAGGGGCAACCGAGAGTTGTGCTGGCAGTTTTCTCCGATAAGATAAGCTCGGGCTGCCTAGAAGCCACCAAATTCCCACCACGTCACACGTCACACCTCTCCCCACGCCCAAACACCACAAACGACAAGATGGCGGACACGACACCTGAAGATGCGGCGGCCGCACGCGCGGCAGAGCAAGTACGCTTGCGCAAGGCGAAGCGAGAGGCCAAGATTCGTGCGGGTGGCACTGCCAGATTGAATAAGATCACCGGTCTCGGTGGAGGCTTCCAGAGAGGTACGATTCAGCCCTACAAACAGCGACGACACATGCATAGCTCTTCGTCCTAGCGACTTCGAAGACAGACAGGTCCTAATATGACATTCAGATGATCCAGTCCCTTCTCCAGCTCCTTCCGCGACCGAGACCGCCGTCCCTTCCGCCTCGCCAGCCCCGGCTGCACCCAAGCCTGCGAGCGCCGACCACGCGGACCCTGAAGAAATCGACATCTCGCAGCACTTCTACCAGCCCGCCTCGACCCCTAGACCTTCAGGCCCCCCGATCGATCCCAACGCTATGAGCGAGGACCAGTTGCGGCAGATGATGCTCGGCTTCGACCGCCCCGCCCCCGGCGCCGGAGGCCCACCGCCCATGAACCCCTTCGCAGCCGGCATGCCGCCTGGTGCCGAAGAGGACCCCATGATGAAGATGCTCTCGCAGATGATGGCCGGCGCAGGAGGCCCAGGAGGAATCCCAGGTTTCCCCGGCGGTCCCCAGGGCGCGGGCTTCCCGCCTGGGTTCCCGGGTATGCAGCCCGCTCAGCAGTCAGCCGACGCCTCGTCGGCGTACCTCTGGCGCATTCTCCACGCCGTCTTCGCCATCTCCCTCGGTCTCTACATCGCCCTCTCGACGACCTTCACCGGCGCCAAGCTCGAGCGTGAGCGCACGGCGCTGGCGTACAGCTACCCCACCGGCAGCGACGAGGCGGTCACGGATGTGAATAGTATGGAAAAGGGCCGCGAGGTGTTCTTCTGGATGTTTGCTACGGCTGAGGCGATTCTTCTTACCACGCGATTCTTCATCGACAGAGGCCGCGCGCCGCCGAGCGGGATCGTTTGGACGATCGTCTCGTTCTTGCCCGGTAGTGTCAAGAATTACGCTGAGACGTTGCTGCGGTATGGGCAGATTTTCGTGACGGTCAGGAGCGATATTCTCGTGTGTGTTTTCGTACTGGGAATCTGCTCATGGTTCCGTGGTTGAGAAGAGCAGGATCGGTGGTGTGATGGGAATGGGATTGAGAAAATAGCTAAGCCCAATGCTATTCATCGATTCTACTATTGAGTTCTACTAACTGGTCACCATGTCCAAGACCGATTTTTCGTTACTTCGAGCAATTCGTAACTTCAGCTTCTATCGGCATTTACGTTGACTGGGGTTGTTCACCTCCATAGATCTAAATGGTTGGCCAAACTTGCGCGGGTAGGTCGACCAGCAGCATCCCGCGCCAAGAACATAAAGAACCAGTATTCTTCAGACCAACTCGATGCGGGCACAACCTCCGTTCCTTTACACATCAGGCTCTCACACCGCACTCTGACACGATGCACCAGTCAACTAACCTCGTAGTCCCACTTCACTCCTGCGTGGGATCCACAACAGCTTGGGCATGCCCGCATCCAACCTAGGCCTCTTCTTGTTCTTCGTTTATAAGACCAACGAAAGACAGGGTCGAGTCTCAATCTACGTCCTAGAAGCCAGCGAAAAGACTAGCAAAACCCATATATAAGGCAGCCCATTCGTCGGTCATATCTCTGTGGCATCTTGGCTTCCATGCCAGGATTGCATTCCACGCCAGGCTACGTCCCAATTTCGGAGCAAATGTCACCCCAGGCGAAGGCGCCACGGCCAATATGGTCAAGGATCAACATGCAGGCATCATAACGGCCCCAACTTGCTGTGTTTTCACTCGTGCGCGGAACGAACGGTGTCCACAGGACAGTGAAGAACATGGGTTGTTATGCACGTTGGTGCAGGATAACGACGCCGCATCCGCCCAAAAGAGGGGATTAGGAGGAGGGGAATCGGGGGCAGAGACCATTTCCGAAGCGCCAGCGATATATCATTAACCGAACCGTCGGTGCTTTGCTGTCACATTTTGATCTTGTTTTCTCTTTCTTCTGCTTCAATTCCGCCCCTAAACCCCACCCCTGAAATTAACATGGCTCAGCCACAAGGAAACTACGAGGTGCAGGTTGCTGCTGATGAGAATGTGTGTCACCAATGCTACACGACTTTCTGGTTGTTTGCTGATTCGATTCTGCAATAGGATGACGCTCAGTCGGACTTGGGGGCTGTAAGTTTACTTCGCATATGCCAGTCAATATAGACGAGATACTTACCCTCAGCGACAAAGAGCATCGCTTCGTCCAGCACCAGTCTGCTTAGCTCCCTGCTAGACTATCGCCGGGAGAATGGCCGCACATACCATCGATACAAGGAGGGCAGTAAGTCGACGAAAAGAACACTGCTGCGACTGATATCTAAGAACATTCGCCCTAGAATACAACTTGCCCAACGATGAAAAAGAACTCGACAGAATGGGTAGGTCCTGATTCTCTTCGAGACAGTTTGGCAAGCTGCTTATTTCAAAACAAGACATGTATCATACATTGTGCCTCCTGACCCTGGACGACAAACTTGGTCTCGCCCCTCAATGTCAAGAAACTGCCAAAGTCGGTCGAGTCCTCGATGTGGGCACAGGTACAGGTATCTGGGCCATTCATTTCGGAGACGAGCATCCCGAGGCCGACGTCTTGGGAATCGATCTTTCTCCGGTTCAACCGGGCCAGTGAGCAGACTCCACTCTCAGTCTTGAATGCGTGCTAACACCTAGCCAGAGTACCTCCCAACGTCAAGTTTGAGGTTGACGATATCGAAGACGAGTGGACGTTCTCGCAGCCTTTCGAGTATATCCATAGTCGATACATGACTTCTGGCATAAGCGACTGGGCCAAATACTTTCGTAGATGCTACGAGTAAGAGTCCCCGTCCGAATGCATTTGCGACAAAATGAGCCCTCGGTTGCCCAACCTCATATTGAAGCAAAGATAGCTGACCTGCTGATTACACAGCAACCTCGAGCCTGGTGGCTACCTTGAAGTTCAAGAGACCGACATCTACAGCAAATCAGACGATGATAGTCTGAAGTCTGAACATGCCCTGTTCAAGTGGGCCGACCTCCTCATGGAAGCCTCAGTCAAGTTGGGGGCGGCTTGGGTCGACCCTCCCAAGCTCAAGGATATCATGATCGAGGCGGGATTCGAAGACGTATCTATGAGCACATACAAATGGCCCTCTAACACATGGTAAGTATTTGGAGCTTACTATTAGGGAACTTCTTTATGGGCGATCAAGGCTTACTGTCATAGGCCCAAGGAGAGGAAGTTCAAGGAACTCGGCATGTGGAGTCATGAGAATTTCATGGAAGGTATCGAGGGAGTGACCATGGCCCCTTTCACGCGTGCCCTGAACTGGACCCCGGAGGAGGTCTCAGTTTTCCTCATTGACGTCCGCAAGGATGGAAAGGATCGCAACATCCACGCGTACTGGCCTCAGTGAGTACCCTGCCTCGCCCGAAGTTCGTTGAGAAGTACTGGTGCTGACAGATGTCTATAGGTATGTTATTATGGGACGGAAGCCCGAGAAGAAGAAGAGTGCTCCCGCTCCGGCTTAGCCGCGATGCTTCGGGGACAGAACTTCTCCATCCCAACACTTACATTCTACTTTCCTAGCTCATTATGAATCATGTCATTTCTGAATCCTCGCAGTCGCAACTAAGAATTCCCACGTTATCGCATTGATCCGAAGTGCGATCACCAACTTCTTTTTATTCTTCGGCTTCTTGTCAAGACACCTGATCATAGTTTGCAAGCAAGCGCCTCCCTCAAAGCGAGCACAATTCGAATTGCGTATATGAGCTTTTAACATCATTATTATGGAGATCACACCATTTATTTGACTATCATGGACTGATCATACTGTATGTGTCTGCGAGAACAATGACATGGAGCTTCCCGTCTTCGACATTGTCTGCCAGGATTGCTTGCTGCTCATCCTGGTACTGTGGATACCCCGAGAGCAAGTTGCCATTTCCGCTCAAATATGCTAAGATCTTGTCAATTCATCGCATCGTACTTTCGCGGAGTCATCATACCTGGAAAAAGTCCATCTTGGGGAGAAACTTGCTGCCAACGTTGGTGCCCCAGCAAACGGGATCGAGCGCACTGGAAAGTGCCGTGAGACCTCCGCCGCGCGAGTAACGGGTAGACATGAGGTGCAGGCAGCTCCAGAGGTCACAGGCAGACTTGGAACCATCTTCTCCTTTCTCGAACTTGTCGAGAAGAGCGGCGGTGCATCCGTACCAGCCGCGTTGCTCGTCCTGGCTCACGGGCTTCTGAGCAGCTGCAACAGCTGCAAGAAGAGTGGTGATCGATGCAATAGAGACCTTCATTGTTGACTTTCTGGAACATTGTCAGCGATTATGATTGGAAATGGAGGAGGAGGAGAGAAAAGCATTACGGATTGAGGTATGATTCTTTACTAGGCTGAGACTTGTGTTGTTTGAGTTATCAATTTCAAAAAATAACGGATTTCCCTGTCATTTTATCCCCATTCTCTCTCCTCTCCTCTCCTCACAATGGGTCTGTTCCACTTGGCCATGTTCAAAGATTCATCGTTGACCGACTGCAAAACAAGATATCACAAGAAAGATGCAACGGTACCATAACACCGCAGACTGTTACACATCAAAGGGGTTGGCTGTTATGCCAAATGGGAAGAGCCGCATATTATGTCTCGTCCGACAACATACTGATGCTACACATAGGTTACAATCATCGTCACCCACAACAACGGAGATATTCGATGTTAACCATTACCCCGCAGACTATTACACATAAACGGGATTGGATGCCGTGTTACTTGCGAAGAGCCGCATAGTTGTGTCTCGTCGGCCAGCAGATCAATGCAACACATAGGTTACAATGATCGTCACTCATAACACAACGACGAAAGCTTCCGATTCCTGTAAATGTGCATGGCCTCACATCTGCCGCGGCAACGTTCTTCGTTCAATTGAGAGTCACGATACACAGCTTTCTTTGATTCACGCACATGGAAGGCATGTATTTCGCCGCATGTTGTACCATTTACGGATATAGGCGAATGCACAACGGCAATTCCACGTCGCTCTACAGTTGTCACGATTTGAGCTTCGCGGGTACGGAAGACACGTATCTCAACACATGTTGTGCCATTTTTGAGGAGGGTCGAACGCGGAGCAATGACTCGACGTTGCTCTGAGTTACTACAACTTGATCTTCACGCACTACGTGCCACAGATACTACACCAGCTCTTCAATGTTGCAATTTCGACTCCTGATTGGATCTACGTTCAGAATCTTTGCAATATCCCCCTTAACATAGCCGCCTGCCACACAAGAAAGAAGCGAGTATGTTGTGCTCAGACTTTGCTCAACCCGATGGAAAGCCGATCCCTTGCGACAAATGACTTCTAATTCGACAACGAGGGTTTCGAAACGGCTCTCGACATTTGTGCTAAGGCGGCCTGAAGGCCGCTTCGTATCAAATTACGTTACTTTCCTGGACGGGGAGTCGAGCACGACATGGGCTCACGAGCGGCAATGCGAATTGAGGCGGGGAAGGCATTATTGCTCGATCGATTGGGTGTGGTGAGCACCATCACTTTGTGAACCATCTTGTATTGCTTGAATTTCGACCGACTGACTTTGTGACTTTCAAAACCATCATGACAACAAAAGGGGCTGACAGAAGACCTTCCCAGAGTATGAATATATATAAGCAAGCGAGTCTGCCGATTCCGTGCAGTTCAGTCAGCCACATTATTCGACAATTCGTTCTTCCCTCTACTGCTTTCATTGAACCCACGGTTCAGCTCTTACGCAAAGATGCGTCTAGTTATACTGGCGCCTTCTTGGCTTCTCTTTGGTTGCTGCATAGCCAAGCAGTCAACTCCTGGTGGTCCATTCTCCTTGGGATCCTCCGGGTCAACCGTTCAGCACACTTTGGACAGCATCATACCCGCCACCGACCCCAACTCTGGCCGCGTGAAGTGCTGCCCCATCGGTACTGACTTCGACGGCAAGAGCTGTGTTGTCACGGGGCCGACCTGCCCTACAGGCACGTACCGCAAAGGCAAACACTGCCTTCACAACGCTCCTCCGGAATGCGGCAACGGTTACGAGTTCACTGACGGCCAGTGTGTCTCTCGGAAGCCGCCTGCATGTGACCAAGGCACGATGCTTGTTGGCAAACAATGTGTCCACAAGAGTCCCCCTACCTGTGCCGACGGTTTTCAGCTTCGAGGCGCCATCTGCGAGTCCCTCAAGAAGCCTCAGTGTCCTGAGGGTGATGTCGTTCATGGAGCTAGCTGTGTCACGCCCGAGGGCCCATACTGTCCTGACGGGTCCAAAGTCGAGGGCGCTTCGTGCATCTCCAAGCGAGACCCTCAGTGTCCCAAAGGAGCTCGCTATGTGACTTCGACTCGGCAGTGCATCTCGGAGAAGTCCCCTCAATGCCCTGATGGAACGACTCTTGAGTTTGGCCAATGCAATTCTTCCGAAGGACCGAAGGTACGTACATCGTTACGAAGGAGATAGGAACCTGGAAACATGTGCTGATCAACTCCTATAGTGCCAAGGCGAATTGACCTTTGATTCTGAACGCGGATCCTGCACAGTGAGCAGCAAGCCCCAATGCCCTGACGGCACAACTCTTCAGGGCCAGTCATGTGTGGAAGTGGGCGAAGCCAAGTAAGTGCTGGAATTCCGTCGCATTTTTATCCATCGCGGGGAACGCATGTAGACCAGAGAAGCTGACTGCAATCAGATGCCCCCCTGAAACCAAGATCTTCATAGACAAAGCTTCAGGGACTTCTCGCTGCTGTCCGGACGGGACGACTCTGTCGGGAGAGACTTGCAAGACCACTACAGCCACTGAGGATTGCCCAACTGGCACATCGTACAAAGACGGAGAGTGTGTCAAGTATTCCAACCCTCAACCTTCGTGTCCGAGCGGATGGTTGCTGGAGGCAGATCAGTGCGTGAAGCGACTACTTCAAGAGTGCCCCGGCAACTCATACCCAGAAGGCAACACCTGCGTATCCTCCTTGGAAGTTCCCGATTGCCCCGATGGATACCTCTACCACGATTCAAGATGCGTTCTCCGAGAGGCTCCCACATGCTCTGGTCAAACGGTCCTCGAGGGCGACAAGTGCGTCAGCGTTGCCAGTCCTACGTGCGACGGTGCGTCTGCGGAGTGGGACGGCAAACAGTGCAACCTCAACCGGAGACCCGAGTGCGCAAGAGGAGTGCTCCACGATGGCGAATGCGTCATTGGTAGCAAGCCCTCTTGCCCCGAAGGCACTGCTTTTGATGGTGTGGGTTGTTTATCCATCAAAGACGCCCCCGTCTGCCCGTCTGGTTCAGTGCTCAACCAGGAAGGGCAATGCATAACGACTGTCCAGGCCACTTGCACACCACCGGCAGTCTACCGAGATGGACGTTGCGTTCAGGGTCAACCTACATGCCAAGCTGGGTTCGTCCTCACCGATGACGGTTGCCGATCGGTAGATGGACCTGACTGTCCCGATGGCAAGACCATGATCAAGGGAACCTGCGTCTCGGTTGAGAAAGAATCATGCAAGCCCGGTTACGTTCTCAAAGCTGGGCAATGCGTATCACCGACGCCGCCCAGCTGCGGTGCCAATCAAGTCTTCAACGGCACTGGCTGTGTGGGAGTCGTGCCCGATTGTCCCGACAAGACCTATTTCGAAAACGGCCAGTGTGTCTCGAGCAACGATCCCAAGTGCGATGAGAACTTTGTATTCAACGGCAAGAACTGCGTTGCTATCAAGGAGCCAAGTTGTCCCGAAGGCAACGCATACGATGCCGACACTGGGGAGTGTTTCGAAAAAGTCCAACCAGAGTGCCAGGAGGGCGAGGTCTTCAAAGACGGACGCTGCAAGTTGGTTACTGCGGCGTGTATCGAGTACAAATTCTGTTCGACCGAGGCACATGCGCTTTTTGGGTCTGGTGGCCCAGGCAAACCAGGCGGCAAGAAGGGATCCAAGACCCCTTTGGCTTCAAAGCCTACATCCAGTGAAGGCGTCAACGCAGGAACACCAGGTGATATGCAGGCGGGCAAGGATACCACAAATCTGCCAAACACTGAGCAACCAGGAATCCCTACGTCGCCAGGCACAGGAACGGCCTATGGAAACACAGACAGACTTCCAAACCCAAATGACCAAGTACCCGATCCTGCCTCTATCGGCAAGGGCGGCTATGGCAGAGCTGAGACAGGTCCTGGAGCGCAAGGGCTCAGTCAACCTCCGGCCGGGTCCCAGTATCCTCCAGGTGGCGCCGGCCCCGGTTCCGGCGCAACCGATCTTGGACAAAACCCGAGCGGATCCCAGCATTCCCCGAGTGGTGCCGGCACCGGCCCTGGAGCAAGCGGCCCCAGAGAACCTTCCTTTGGGTCCCAGTATCCTTCAGGCAATACCGGCCCCGTGGCTGGAGCTGATGGCCTCAGACAGCCTCCGGTTGGATCCCAGTATCCCCCGGGAGGCGCTAGCGCCGGATCAGGTGGTAATTCGGCAGCTGGCGGAGCTCAAGACGGTGCTGCCCGAGGGAAGGGCGGACGATGGGTCGAGTTCGAAGAGATGCCCGATCCGAGACGAGGTCGAAAGTGGGTTGAGGACGACGATGCTGATACTCATGGAGGCATTCCATCAGGTCAAGGCAACGGTCGAGTTGGATATGCCGGGGAAGGTGGCAATCAGAATGCCGGGGGCGGTCGCTACGAATGGAGCTGGACCTCAGATGGTGGCAATGTTGATTCACGTCCTGGCGGTGATTGGCAGATTGACGCCAACATTGGGGGTATTCCAGATGGCCCGGGACGCAGATTCCCGGGTGGCAGCGGCCAGGCGCAACCGGATGGTCAACAAGTTCCAGCAGGAGGAGCCGATGAAGACTCACACCTGTCCAGGCTTCTAAAGGGCGGTGATGGATACATCAAAGGCGTCGTGGGGGACTTGCCGAACTCTGCAGAGGGCATCCAGAAGCCAGTTGGAGACGCTGCGGATGATTCTCATCTGTCAAGAATGATGAGGGGCGAAACTGGACATCTTGGAGACCCATCTGGAGGAAAGTCGAAGTTTGAGGGCGACAGCGCTGGAGCTGCGCCAGGAGGTATACCTCAGCCATCAGGAGGTGCCTCCGGTGACTCTCATCTGGACAAACTTATGAAGGGAGATCAGGGTTACATCAAAGGCTCTATAGGGGACCTCCAAGGTGGAAGATCAGGGCCAGGATCTGAAGGCGCACCAGGGCCCACTGGAGATGCCCCTGGAAACTCTCACCTCGATAGACTTATGGAAGGAGATCAAGGTTACATCAAAGGCTGCATAGGAGATCTGGGAAATTCTCAAGGTGGAAGACCAGGGGCAGGATCTGAAGGCACACCAAGACCGACTGGAGATGCATCTGGTGGCTCTCATCTTGACAAGCTCCTGAAGGGAGAAGGTGGTTACCTCAAAGATGGTTCGGGGGGTCTGGGGAACCAAGGTGGAAGGCCAGGGGCAGGATCTGAAGGCATCCAAAAGCCGACTGCAGGTGCCGCTGGTGACTCTCACTACTCGCAGATAATGAGCGGTGAAGCTGGACATTTCAGGGAGGATTCAGGCTACGCAGGAGGCGCCGGTGCTGACTCTCAGTATATGAAGATCATGAGAGGTGAAGGATTCTGAGGCGAAAAGGGGTGATGAATGAAAGGGGCGACGAGTAAAAGGGGGATGGAGGTGGCTGGGGGCGGACGATGAGGACTTGAAACCATAGCAAACTTCATGGCTGGGTGAGAGATGGGCCAAGCATGAATGCTAAATCACACTCTTTTTGCGAAATGGGATTCTGTGACTGTAAAAGCTTCAATTAAAATCCATTCGCTGCCTTAGCTCACGCTGATAGTAAGGTAAAAAGAGGGCTGCCGGCTGCTGGCAGTCCCTCACGAAGCTAGTGAGAACGAAAGGCCTTGAGTTCAAACGTAGAACAAAACAGTGAATTTCACAATACTATCTCAGTACTGAAGGACCAGACTTCTGTTGTATTCACTCGTTATTTTTTGCGACGTCAGGCCACCGCTGCGTGATGGACAGCGGCATGCAAAAAAGAAATCCACCAAAAACATACAACACCAGGTATTCGCTGGTCGTCACCGACCCAACTACTAATCCGGCCCTCATTGGCTTATCTATGGGAGAGCGGACGGGATCCCGAGTTCTCCAATGGGTATGGTCGTATGTGGCGGTTTTGCGACGTAGAGTTGCCTATATCGTGACGTTTGTTTGGGTTGAGAGAGCGCGCTTCACACGACTTCTTGTCATCTTGAACCCATGTTCTACTTCACGCAAAAAGAACATTCATTTGATTGGGTAAGCAGTTTAGTTCAATACATGATGGGTGTTTCACCCTCTGATTTCAAGGAAAGTGACTCATTCTTTGAAGCGCATTTTGACATCCGCCTCAAGCCATGAATACTCGTGGGCAGGTCTACAACACTACCGCCACGCCACCTGCGGAGTTATAGACATAATTATCTAGCCAACCTGATCGCTCTCGAACCTTGCGTTTGGCTTCGTGCGAAATCTCACTTTCATGGTTTCCGCGTGCCTGTGGAGCTCATCCGAGTCCAATGTCGGCATCTTTTTACTGTCCAAGGGGCTAACCTTGTAGAACAACAGTGGTAGAATGGAGGTCTTCCAAACCGGTATGGCTGGCTCAGTCCAACTTTGTATGACAGAAATAGTGAGCAGGATTGCTGTCGCAAAGACCAGGATGATTGGTAGCAAAATCCATTGCCAGTCGAATCTCGTGCAAACCGTCGTTCCCAGCACGGAGCCGATGACTGTCTCTTTGTAGCCCGACAAAGAGAACGTCTCGTTGCTAGTACCTGTTTTCCTAAACTGAGTGGTAATTGCCGCAGTAAGTTGCTCGATAGAAACGTTGATGGAGTCGAAAGATGCGGTCAAGTTGTTGTATAAGGGCGCAAGCCACCACTGGGTTGGACAGATGGGCACGCCTCCCGCAGAGCTGGGAAACCAGCAATAGCCCCGCAGAAGGTCGGTTGTCAGGAAATTTCGAAGTGCAAGTGAGTATGTTCCCCCAATCTTGTAGACACACGTCTCGGGGACTTCATACGTCGATTCGTTGACGTTTATGCGGGTCTTTTCCGCGTGAGGAACTTGGGAGATGTTACTGAGATCGTACTCAGCACCATCCAAGAAGCAAGGAAGCTGAAGGCCTGTATAGTTTCCGTATGTCAATACCATGCCATCATTGTTGCGGTCATCTCCTCCGTCGAGGTTAGCACGTGCCTCCACAAAGTTAAGAGTCGCAGGCTCTGATGATACAATGCGCTCGACCAGCGCTCCCCGTGTTACCCCAGCATGAAAGCTCTTCAGACAGGGATAAAGAGCACAAGACACGGCCACAACATCAACCTGGTCTTTGTATGTTGGGTCGTTTGGGGCCCGAAAGTCTCTAACGGGACGAGGACACACCACGGTACCGTTCCCTGACCGGGTGCAGGGGGCTTGGGTGAAAGATAGGATCGTTACGTTTGCGAACGCCGCTTGAGCCAGTAAACCAAACCCTATGGGAAACGACTCCTTGGCCCAGTCGAGACTCGTGGTGTTGGCAGTCAACCAAATCCGGTTGATGTAGTTCAACGACTGGGAATTCGGCAATGTGTAGTTGACGCCGGCGTAGTCAGTCCGGTTTACTTTCAACTCCTTTTCTGAGATGAAGCTGGTCGTATCGAAGCACGAACTGCACATCGCTATGGATGAATGCGTGACCCCGTTGGAGGACGATGGAAATGTACAGTTGCCGGTCTCGCAGGCAACTTGGACGTTGTTGTCACTGCTCGTTGGATTGACAAGACCGTTGATCATGGCACCCTTCATATCTATAGCAACGTCCCAGCTCCCAGCTGAGACTCGAAGCACAGAGCCTCTGCCCCCGGGAACATAATGGGATATCGGCAGTGAGGCTCTCACGCCCAATACTGCCCGCGAGCACGAAACCGTACTCACGGCCTGCTGAGTGAACGGCGCAACGGCGATGGAGGTGACGGTGATAAGCGCGGCAACGACGCTTATGAAGCTTGACCGAGCAACCCATATGACTTTGAGAGACCCAAGAACGCTGCGACTTGCGTGGTCGAAGTGTTGTAGATCGGACAACGGTCTTGTTCGATCGAAGAAGCGCCATTTCATCTGGCCGAGGATCTCCGCGACAACAAGAAGCATCGTCGCACGCATGAGAGTCGTGAGCAATGCTATGACAGTATTGATGTTGATGCTGAATGGCCATTCCTCCTCGGGTGCATCGTGGTAAATAACTGGGATGACGGTCATGGTGACTACAGAAGCCATCGCGAGTAAGAGTGCCAGAGCTTCCCATTTCCAGAATTGAAGAACCCTGGGTCGTTCGGGGGCGTTCGCACGTTTTTCTCGAAGAGTATCCCTTGCTTCCTGTCTATGAAAGTCTCCCTGGGTGGTGGCTGCCTCGATAGATTCCTCATCATTGTCGCGGGCGTCGCCATCGTTGACCGGAGCATACTGTGTCGTGCGAGTTGGCTGCATCTGTGATTGAGGATGGGTTTCGGTAGAAAACAATGGAATCTTCAGAGAGTTGTACGTATGAAATGACTGGCAGATTGTTGGCGTAATGTTCAGGCGCAGCTAAGTCAACCATAACCGGCGGTGTCCGATCTGCGACGGAAGAGGAGGGAAAATTGGATCTTTTCCTCACACTTTCAATCGTCCCATGAACCGGGTCACCTCATCTGTGTGGTGTGGAAGACCGCACAAGCGAGGTAAGACACAGCTGACGCCCGGGGCTGTCACAAGAGAGACATCGATCTGTATGCGATTGACACGCAGCCAAACATCTTCAAGCTGTCGAGGGGATCTAGGTTAATGCTGACAACTGATTGAATGCCTGTGACTTTTTGAAATCGAAATACCAAACCAGGCTTTACTTTGACCAACGCGTCTTATCCTCTGTTGATATTCCAAACCCACAATGAGAGATTCAACGTTCACATGTTGTTGTGTTCAGTGCCTCGCAATTGTTTACAGTGCCTGTAAATTCTCAGGTCTTGTTACCCAGTTCCTTGGCGACTACATGCTACTTCTTATTCCGTTTTACTGTCTTACCACCGAGGCAATGCAACCACTTCATGCCGCACAAAATCTGGTCTGACAGGTTTCTTCGAGGTTAAAATCGTAAGAGGAGTTTCCTTCTGGGGAGTTTTCAATGAAATATGAGTTGAATCTGCGGGTAGAAAGATCTTGGCGCTGTGGTTGCCACGGCAAGCTATACAGCAGCCCAACGTGTCGCTGCTGACGTTGGCCCTTCTTCTCCTTGATCATACGTGACGGTGACAGTACTGCTCTTGACAATATTTTCGTCGCCGGCATGATCTGTTCCGCTATTACGGCTTGACGATGCAGTCGCAGATCGCTTGTCTGGATGGACAATGCTCTCTTCGCTGCCATCCTTATCACGTATGGTCAATCCGTATGTATCAACCTTCTTTCGTGGCTTACTTCGGAGCTCGATCGGGTCCGGATGCTGTTGAGCACTCTGCTTGCTGTAGTCCTCGTACTGACGGCCGCTAGACTTCTTGTCAGTGCTCCATATCGTGCGTCCTTTGAACATCTCGAGGAGAGGTTGGAGGATCGGGATGCAGGCAGCTATGATGATGAGGTTGCCCTCGATTCTGTGAGAGACTACGGTTAGTAAGATGATAAATTGATGGACTTTAAATCCCTAAGTCACTTACGACGTCCAGTAGAATGGGTCACAGAGATCATCTTGAATTGTGGTCAGTTTGAAGTCGCTGAAAAATCTCGCCTGATGACCACTTACAGCTAACATCTTGGCTTGACAGAGTAGGTACACCAGTTGATTTAACAATTCCAACACAACCAGACCTAACATATCGTGTTAGTATGAACGTCTTTCTAATTCAAAGGACGTGGACTTACACGACGCCCATGCCGAGAGCGCAAGTCAGCGCCATCTTCTTCTTCGCATGCATCTGCAGTTTCCAAAGAACTACAGCTGGGTACACTGCTAAGTAGAAGTCGAGGAACGCGGAAAATGCTGTGTTTCACAACTCTTTAGCTATCTTTACTCGGTACTGTTGATGGAGCCGGAGTACTGAACTTACAACTTGCCCAGAAGGCCAACCCCTCCAATACCTCCGGGTGTAAGCAATTGTGCGGCATTGAAAGAGTCCACAGAGCTCTAGGGGGTGTGCATTGCAATAGCAATGTCAGTACCATGGCCGTCAGTGACAAACAGCAAATCGTGCCCATGGTCCACAAGATCAAGAGGTGAGTCTTTCCGGGCGCCAGTAAACGAGAAAGGAGGGCAATGACAGCTAGCTTCGGGAAGCCGAGCGTCTCGATTCCTGGTACGTATGCTGCTATCATCCATTTGATGGTGTTTTGCTTTTGTTCCAAGTCAAGCTCGGTGAAGTGCTGGCCATTGCCCCAGCGGACCGAGATTGTGACCAAGACATTCGACAAGATGGCGCAGACATGGTTTGATGTTAGTTGGACCCTTGTGGAAGTCGGTTCTCAAAAGTTTTTGAATTAACTCACTGAGGAGAGAATGATCCAATAATCATCGCTGAATAGCTTCTGATGGACTGCGGCCCGGACGAAAAGCCTGGCTCCCACGAAAAGGAGTCCGAGAGCTGTGAAGGCCCAGCAGACCGCAATTATCATTGGTCCTTTGTCATCAGTCATCATGAAGAATCATCAAGGAGACTGGCAGAGAATGCTGACGAAGGACTTGGGACGAACTCGAGAAAACAAACAAACACAAATACAAGGAGCCACACGGAAGGAGGTGTTGAACCGTTATAGGACCAGTTCTTTCGTCGTCTTCCAAGCCGCAGATTCTCCCCGAAGGAACTTCGGCGGGCATGGTACTAGACCTGGAGATTGTGACCGGTCCTGTCCGCCCAGCTTGGCCTTCAGTTGGTGCTAAATTGACCCCTGCATGCATGATGGAGTTGAACTTGCGGTGCCATGGAACTGGGAAGATGGCTAGACAGGAACCCGTCAACTGGATGCAGATCTGCATTGAAGCCCCCGGGCGATGCAGGAACGTCGGGAAAGGTTTTGAAAGCAAGAGAACTGGACCCTGGCGTTGGGGCCTGCTCTTCAACGCATTGTGTTAGCTCTTAGCAATACCTTTCAGATCACCATCTAGGATCTGATATGAGGTTCTTACGCCCAGAGGCGCAACGAATACACAACGAGAAACTCTTGTCGTGTATGATGAGTTCGTCAGTTCTTTGCCCGGTTATGATTTCGTTGACCAGATCTATTGCCTCTCAGCCGTGATAGCCCTAACGTGCTTTGGAGCAAGCAACGAGTGTGAGACTCTATCCATGTATGAGCCGACGGGATCTTTTGAATGAGGCCGGATATAAGGTGACATTCAGACTCATGATCAGATTATGCAGTACCTAGTTGCCCGAACAGCCAACAAACTCAGGATCAGAGCCCCAGCTTCACCACCATGTAAATCCACCTTGAGCCCCATCTTCAACGTACGTGAAAGGATTGGAACCCTGGCACCAACACGTTTCCAGGGACTCACGAACCCAGCACCAACAACAGTTCTTTAACAGCGCCCACAACGGCAACCAATGCCCAATCACTTTTGCTCACGGCGATATACTCCGGAGAGAGTTTTGCCCCATAACACACGTTTCCCTTGCTCGTTTGAACAAGGCTCTGTAAGTCCGGATTGTCCGCGCTCATTGAACTAACTGCTTTCTGGGTTTGGACCACTATATGGACGGATACTACTCGACAACACGCAATGCCCACAATCCGAAGTGGCGCCATTCACAACCTGTAAGCTATCTGTCATTCTTCAATTGAGAGCTAACCCATACAGTCGTATCCGATGTTGCCTGAAGCAGGGTCGCGAACAGGGACGTGATGTGGCCTGTGAGAGTTCGAGGCCTCATCTCATACTCCCACATCGGCAACCTCAACCGTCCGTCTGATGTACACCCAATCAAGGCTTGGCATTGACTTTTGACGGATGCCGCGGAAAGATCGTCACTGCCTTTCACGAAGTAAGTGCCTGCCCTATTCGAAGCATATATATCGATTCCCCAGAACCTTTTGCGAACGTCGCTCCGGGCCGTTTCTGTCCTTTCTGATTTCCTGAGTATTCCACACCTGCCACACATTTCTGACGTCAAAATTGAACTCGTGACTTCTCAAACATGGCTCAACCACTTGACCTCTCCATCGCCACTCGACCCGGCAACTCGGGTGCTGTACCTGGCTTGGTCGAAGACATCAACGCCCTGTCTAGCAGTTTACGGGAGGGCGATGAAGAAACCCGTCACAAGTTGATTTCCAAGACCCGCAACCTTCTTCAATCTCTTCAAACCCCACGAGAGCAGATGGTGCAGCACACGTGGGCCGACGTAAGTTACTCTTGATCACCGTCAACTCTCCAAACCAACTGACCCTGTTGCAGCCTGGACTGGATGCGGCCCTGATCACCGGCGTTGACACCGGGCTTTGGAAGCTGATGGTCAAAAACGGCGCGGAAAAGCCGCAGAAAGTCGAAGACCTTGCCGCACCTCTTGGGATGGACCCCGTACTTCTGGGTGCGTGGTATTCGTTCCTCATGCTTGAAGGAAATGAGAACAAGAACTTACGATATGACCAGGCCGGCTGCTGCGTCACGTGTGCGCAATGGGGCATCTTGAGGAGGTTGGTCATGATGAGTACAAGCTCACGAGCTTTACAAAGTCGATGAGCCTCGATGTCATCGGCGATGGTTATCTTGCTCTGTAAGTACGCTGAGGCTAAGAGGCCACCATATTGCCTCGCGATTTGGCTGACTGTTTTTCGAATTGAAGACTCGGTGGAATCGGCCGGAGCCACATTGAGTTCTACAAGTTCCTTCGCGAGACCAACTGGCGGAATCCGGTTGATGCCGCTCACACGTCCATGCATGCGTCCTATAACACGGACCAGCCGAACTGCTTCGAGTATCTCAGGACCATTGGTTTGGGGCCGCAGACAAATCATCACAGTAAGTGGAAGTGTCCAAGGCAGTATCCGGCGACTAACACCAGCTTTCTTCCGTAGTGGGCGGTTACAGACAAGGCCGCGTGCCCTGGATGCACCCCTCGCTATACCCCGTCGAAAAGACCCTGTTCCCTGATGCAGATACATCGGCGGATGCGCCGCTCGTAGTTGACGTTGCCGGTGGTCTCGGCCACGACATCGACGAGTTCAAGAAGACGTACCCGAACCACCCAGGCGTAAGTCCCCCCTACCCCCCCTCAAAACGCCGGCTTCTGTTAACAGCGACCCAGAAACTCGTCTTGCAGGATCTTCCCGTCGTCATAAGCGACGTCAAAAACATTGACCCTTCAATCGAACTGATGAGCCACGACTTCCTCACGCCCCAGCCCGCAAGCTGCAGAGGCGCCAAGGCCTACTTCATGCATTCCATCATGCACGACTGGCCCGACGACGTGTGCCGTAACATCCTGGGCCATATCGCGGACGCGATGAAGCCCGGGTACAGCAAGCTGCTGATCTTCGAGGTCGTGATCCCCCAGACGGGAGCGTACTGGGAGGCGACGGCCGGCGACATCTTGATGATGACGCAGCTCTCGGCCGTGGAGCGAACCGAAAGCCACTGGCACGAGCTGATCGAGAAGAGCGGGCTGAAGCTGAAGATTGTTAAGTTCTGGAAGTGCGGACAGTCGGATGTCGAGAACCTCATTGAGTGCGAGCTGGTTGAATAAGCACGTCTTGATTTAGGGTTTGGATGGCTGTCACATATCAAAAAGTTGGTTGTGTTTAAAAACTTACAGTAATAGTCTTTAAGGCAACTTCTATCGTGGATTCAAAAACTTGTGATGATGAGATCCGGGGATCTTCGGGGGTGATCATCCGACGCCGTCCCGGCTCGGCATCCGGATCCGAGTCCGGGTGCGGGGTGGAGCCGCACCGATACCGGCGGAAGCGGCGGAAGCGACCCGCCGTGCTCTGGCCTCGAATCCTAAATCCAGACCTCACAGACGGTGGTGCGATGCAGCTGTTGCCGAATGCATTTTCAGGACTCGGAAACTTATTTTCCAGGCATGAGGCCAAAGCCTCCTTTCCAACACTGTCCCGATCGTAAGCCAGTTCCCAACGGCTTATCTATGGGAGAGCCAACAGCATGCTTGGCGCATGTGGGAAGAAATATGTCAAGGGGTGGCCGAGCAGCTAGCAATATTGACGCCTCAGAAAATCCTCACAAATCAACTAAAGTCCTACCAAATTCGAATCTCATGGTCCTTATTACTATTTGGGGCGGACTTAATCACACCCATCCCTGGGAAAGTTAACTCACGTCACAATAACATAAGACTGGATATTGAATTGTACGGGACGACGACAACGAAAATAACGACGACAAGAATGATGGCGACAATGGTAAAGACGACAATAATAGTGATGACAATGACAACGTCGACAATGACAACAAAAATGGCAACAGCTTCTGTTACGTTTCCAAACCGAGGCTCAGCACAACTGCGTAATCGCGATCCTCGCATTCGCACCTCCAAATTCCCCCCTCCTACTATCGCGACAAAACCCGACCATCGCCCTCGGACTTCCGCACCGCGCCTTGGACGTGGCTGTGTGCCAGCACTTCATGCACGAAAACCTCGTTCTCGCAAATTCTCCCCCAGCAAACACCAATAGACTCATCATTCGCTTCTGCTTCTTCAGCACCTTTCAACAATTTTCCAGACTCAGCCACACACAGCTTGCATAGAACCTTGCATAGAACCGTTTGATGGCTGAAAAGCCTCAAAACTCAGCCGAAGCCCACCCCGACCCTCACAGCCCATGAGTGCAGCCAGCCAGCCATGCGTCATCCCTTGCGGTGAACGGAATCCCAAATCAGGAAATGCCACACAACTCGAAAAAAATACCTGTACCCAGCCCAGCGCCTCCCAGCGCCTCCCTCAAATCAGTCACTCGGTGTCGTCGACCCGAATAATCCTCGTCCAAAGGAGAGAGAAAAACCACCCGATCTCCCCCGAAGAAACATATCTCGCCGGTCCCTCCGCCGCACTAAACCAAACCCAACCCCGGTTTTTGATCTTGGGAAAAAGGGAAACGACCCTCGTCGCGTTCCTTGACCGACGGGCACTAACCAGTTAGTTAGTCTACGAAAAGAAAACGAGGGAATGGCCCAAATGGCGAACGAGAAACGCCCATCTGACTACCTTAGATCAGCTAGCTTCCTAGCCCTTCCCACCCAGACACCACCCGTCGTTGAACCGGGCTAAACCAGAAAAGCCACACCCCCTCTACGTGCCTCTTCCACTCAACCGTAGGGCGAGGAGGCTTTCGAAGTCAGGTCATTCAAAATAGACGGACCCGTTCATCGCTGGCCTGGATTTCCCTTATCTCCAACCATCGCAAATATTCCCCGTCACCGCCCATCGCTCAGATCTCTTCACCCCGCGATATGGAATCGCCGCCATCGAACGGGCGCTGTCCCGTTTACCCCGCCATCGCCATATTCGCCTCCCCACCCGCCATCCAATACACGATGAACTCCCTTGGGATGAGTGCGCAATAGGAGAACATCGCACTGCCCGGTGGAAGCATGCGGAAGTCATCTCCGGCTTAATATCGCAGAGCTGCAGGCACGGGGCGGGTGAAACATTATTACCCTCGCCAAGCGTAGTCGTTTGGGTAAGGTTGGGGAAATCGGAGTGAGTGAGGTCGCGCATACGTGATCGACATCGAAAAAAAAGAGGAACCTGCGGGGTGCATCCGCACCACGCGAGCGCGGCTTTCACATGTCAGAAAACACAGGCTGGCCGACTCCGAGGACCCAAGCCTGGGCATAGTCAACCCTTGCAGCCTCCGTGCGAGTCACTCCCCAGGGAGCAAAAAGTTGAGATGGCAGATCAACTCAACAGAATCAGAAGGGGTGAAGCATCTCACTGAGATGCAAACGTCAGGTTGCGGTAATAAATATTTGGATTTGACAAAAGTTTAGGGGAATAATATGGCGGAGGGTATCTAATACAATAGCCTTCCCGGGTTAACAAATAATAAATCTGGTCAAAATCTGAGTTAACAGTCATCATCAACTCCCGTCTGCGGCCCGTGTTCTGGGCGGCATCCTCTCGTAAGTCGCTATCGTAATCATCCAGCTGGTCTTGCGTTCGCGGGCCACCTGTCGCCCGTCGCCTAGCGCTGTTCTCCCCATTCTTCACATGGCGCCTTCGATGCACGAAATCAATGTCCTAAAAATCCTGCTTGCCTTTGAACCAGGGATATGTACCATATAGGACAATGTCGACGAAAGTGAGCATCACCTTCCTTCGAAGGCGTTCAGTTGAGCCTTCAGCTCCTCGTTGCCCTTGAGCATGTCTTCCAGCCACTCGGCTGCCATAGTGAGCATCGTGCTCTTGCTGAAGCCACCGCCTTTCAGGCCTGGAACGAGGTCGCATAGGTCGTCAAATCCTTCCTTAATCAACGTACGCCTCTTCTGCTCACTCCGAATGTGGTTCTCTCGCTTCTGTGCATCCGTCAAGTTTTCACGGGGCGGTTTGGCCCCGGTACCTGATTTGCGTCTGCGGCTGGCGCTCCCGTTTTCTGCTGGTGGGGTTGCGGAAGGTTCCGTCTTGGTCTTGCGTTTCCTTGCCGCCTTCGTCGACGGTCCACTCTCCTCGTCTTCCTCATCAAGATCCTCCTTCGCATTTCTGCTCTTTCTTCTTTTGCGAGGTGGAGCGTCTGCGTCATCCTCCTTCTTCAGAATCTCGGAAGACTTCCGGCTGTGTCCCTTGCCCAAGGCGTGCTCGCCGTTCGGACTTGGCGGTCGTGTGTTGTTCGTGCTCTGACTTGGCTCGAGGCATTCCATATACCTCAATTGGTCCTTGGCTAGGGACTCGTATGTCTCTTTCGGATCGGGTTTAAAGGCGTTCGTATGGTTAAATCGTTCGTCAGTGCCCCACTGGACGTCTATAGGGGCCTGGCTTGTTCGTTGAGCAGAGACTCTTTCGCCGGGCGCGGGGCCGAAGAACATGTCTGAGAAGGTAGCTTCATCCTCCACAAAGTTTGCCTGGGCAACGTTGCCACGCTCGGAACGCTTGAAATCCTCCATGAGCTGATGTCGAAGGTGCCCAATCGGGGGCCCTAGAGAATGTGTCATTTCTCTATTGCTGAATAACGCGCTGGAGCCACTGTTGTTCGATCGTGATGCCGAGCCATTCTGCAGGAGTGTGGCAGCTTGCAGGACATCCGCGGAATGATGTTGCTCCAGGTTGTGGTGCGATTGCTGTTGCTGTTGCTGTTGTTGTGACTGCTGCTGGTGCTGGTGCTGCTGAGGTGGTGGAGGTGGTGGAGGCATGAGGTTTGAGCCCATGGACAGCATGTCTGGAAAGTCTAGGTGGGCATTGGCATGCCCTGGGGATGGCAAGGGCTGTGCTGGGGATTGACCGAAAGAAGTTGCCGTCCCCATGAACTGTGGCGGCAAGTCCAACCACGCATCACTGAAGTTGAGGCCTTCTCCAAAAGATGTGCTGCTATAGTGGTCTGCGGACATGTCCTCGAAGAAGGAACTGAGAAATTTCGTCTCATTGTCGCTGAGTAGAGGATCGCCGGGCGGAAGATCGGGAGGGTCGAAACGGAAATCATTTTCGGAGTCACGGTTTGGGGCAACGGCATCTAAGAGCGCAAGTGTCAGCATGCGGGACTGATGATACGGGCAAGGACGGGAGAAATGGGTTCTTACAGCCGAAGGGCAAACTGGGGTCTGACGGCTGCGTCGAACCCATCCTGGGATGTTGTATAGCGAGCATGGGTGCGTCTTCTGGTAACTAGACGAAAGTCGTCGAAGGCGTGGGTTCTGGTAGGGAGAAGCGGTCGGCGAAGAGGGCTCTCAGCGTATGAGAGAATGAATGCGGACGACTCGGCGGTGGACATGCGCATTCCTCTGGGGTTGTCGATATACTAGAGGCACATGGCAGCGGAACGTGTTTCGATGAAAGGGCAGCGCGTGTGCTGTATAGACGAAAAGTGTCGCCAGGCAGGCTGGAAGAGGACGTGCGGTAGTAGTTGAGTATCGGCCGGTGGTTCGTCTGTCTTGTGATTTGGCGGGGTGGCGGCGTGTTGTTGCGGCAGCAGTGAGAGTAGTCGGAACAGGTTGATAGGAGTCTTGAGAGGTTGGTGGATATGTTTGCCGTCTTTAGAGGCGCGCCGTGGCAGAGCAGGAACAGGCCAGAGTCAAGCTGGTCGGGATACGTAGAGACGGAGGTGGGGTGGTGGCTGCGCTTAGGCGCCGCACCGAGTTTCTGGATTTCTAGTGCTTTGCCAGGAAGGCGTGTTTGCGTTTGCCTCTTCTCGCTCGTCTGAAGAGCGGGGGAGTGGAGGGGTGAAAAGGAAGGATGGACGTGTTGAGAGAAGGAGAAGAAGGGCGTGCGAGAGCGAGAGCAGGCGAAGACCGTGTAAGGTAGGGAAGGTGAGGTGAGGTGAAGCGAAGCAGAGCTGCGAGGCGTGAAGTAGAGACGTCCAGTACTATGGTAGTAGCAGTAGGAGGTGCGGATATGTAGTGATGCTACGTCTCGACTGAGCTCATAGATGAACAAGTCCAAGGTCTACCCCGTACGGCGGACGTTAATGCGGCCCATGCAGGGCTAAGAATATGAAGACCCTTGAGACGTGGTGAGGTGCTGGAGCAGAGCGTCGCCTGTGGTGTCTGGCGCGAGGGTGAGCCTGAGCCTGAGCCTGAGCCTGAGCTGTAGTGTGACGGACCACGAGACGACGGGGGTACGTGTGTTTGTTGAAGATCGGATGTGAGCCCGAGGTTCACTTGGGGCACTGCATTCTCTGACGAACGTGGACGAGCTGATGCCGGTGCGGGTGTGGAACGGTGCGGGTGTGGAATCTGATTCTGAAGCTGATGTCGATGCCGGTGCTGCTTGGTTGTCGCCGTCGCAGCTGCTCACCCGTCGGGTTCTTTCGCGTTCTGCGTTATTGCATGCCCTAGCCTGCAGGTGCAGTAGCAATTGAGAGGGTGTCTACCTCTCGAACGGCCTCGAGATAATCGAGTCGACGGGCAAATATGGACCAGGCAGGTAAAGCGATGGTCACGGGTCTGGGACGGCGGACTGGAAAAGACCCCGTGGTTTTAGCAGCGGAAAAATGACGAGCAGGAAATCAAGGCGCCGGCCGACTCGAAAAGAATGAATGTCTGGGGCACCAAACAGCAGCCAAATGGCATCCTTGTTGGTTGTTGACCGGGGGTGGTTGAATGCCCAAAGAAGTAAGCGTGATGTAGAGACGGCACTAAACGCGGGTACGTACCGGCCACGGTCAGAATGGAAGGGAAGGGACGGACGGGGAGGAACTTGAAGAGGAGGTACGCCGCACGCCGCACGCCGCACGAGGGAGGGCTGCGAACGAGAGCAACGAGGTCGTGAAGGAGGGAGGAGTGGAGGGGGTGGAAGCCGGCACGGTCACTCCGCAGATTGTTGCAGCTGTAATTAGCCAAGTAGGCGACAAGTCAGGTCTGAGTCGGTGACCTGCTCGTTTTTTTTTCCTTTGGTTCCGCCCCAACTGCTGGGTTCAAGGCCGATGGCTGAGTGGAACCATCGGACATGAGACAAGCGGGGTATGTTTGGAGCGATTCTTAGTAAGTCGCTTGTGTAGCTTATTACTGGCCAGCAGACTGGGGCCGTGGACCCGTAGCTGCGGGTGATTGGCTGACAAGTGAAACTTCATATCCAGTACAACGACAAAAGCAATACAACTCTCTGGCCCGAAACGCCTATCGGACTTATGCAGCTAACGCAGCGTCACATGCCAGCTTCGAGCTTTTTCTGCTGTCTCTCTTCCTCCCGCTGTCTTTCTGTCAGTTCCTCCCACTCTCCCTCGCCCCAGGAATTACCTTACACCATACCGTTCTAGGCTTGGCTCCAAAAGTCGGGTACTGCGAGTACATTCGAAGCTTTCCCCAGCACTTTGGGGTAGCTTTCTTAGTTCCAGTTCCGCACCCGATCCCTTCCTTTCCTTGCACCTGACAGCCAACAACATTTGAATTTGCCTACCGATACTCGATTTGCTGCCCATCTTTCGGCCAAACTCGTTGCTTCCAGCTGTCGCTTGGAACTAGACCTGTTACACCGCTTACAGCTCCCGCTCCCTCCTCTGGGCCAGACATTCCGCGCAAACTCGTCTGTAGCGCGTATCGGCCGGCACTCAATTGACCCTGCCTCTCCAACGTTACAGCTCTGCTTCCATCTTCCGGCTCCTGCCTCCTTGTCTGCCTCAACCTGGCTTGACGGCAACAGACAACGTCTTGACTAGCGGCCGGCGCATCTCACTAAGGCACCTCACAGACACTGAGCGGTCCAGGTCTCCAAAGGATGACAGTCTAGGACGAGCACAAAGACAAAGAAACAAACACCGCCTCGGCCGATACGAAACGGCTGGTTGTCCCAGCCTGCCACTCAGAGTCCGACTTGCCAACCTCGAGCTGTTCGGGAAGGAGGAACAAGCGCCGAGATTCCATCCAGCACTGATCCAACAACCAAGTTTCCTCACTCGCAGCAGTGTCAGCGATCAGGACTCAGAACTCGGGACTCAGAACTCTGCACTCTGCACTCGGTCGGTTCTCGAAGCCAGGACCTGTCAAGCAAGGCCACCCCTGCTCAGCACCGCCTGCCATCTGCCGAGCCAACGCAAAACACCGTTCCCTTCAGGTCGTCCTTCCGCCACACAAACTCCAGACTTCAGACTCTCTCAGTGAAGTCTTTTCCTCTTTAAGCCCTTCGCACTCGCATGGATTGCTGCACGCTGCGTCTATTCCTCGCTTGGCTCTATTGCGCCCAGCCGTTACCGCGCCCTTCCTTGTCGTCAACGTGAATATCGGCGTGACAGACCAGTTGATCGAGACATTGATGTCGACAACCAATCACAGCCCGCCATATCCAGCCTGTCGCAGTCATCAAAGCCTCGGCCGCGCTTGCCAGATTCGACCTCTTTGAACGTGCCGAAGTATCCAATCGACACGTACACTTCGGCGCGATTACGCCCCCCCCTGCCTCCCCGTCCCCCCCGTCTTTCCTCACTTTCTGTGAAGTCTGCACCCTCACAGCTCCGTCACTCCGTCACATCGTGGGACACACGTTGATTTCCCCACAATTTCTTATTTCATTCCCGCCCTAACGTGAGGTAAGGTAAGGTATTCATCTCTTAAGACGCAAGGTACAGAGTACGATACATACTTTTCGATATTGGGCACTGTTCTTGCCCTGCCCTTGGCGCTCGAGGGTTGGCGGAAGAACAGCCGTCACGAGACCCTACGAAGCCAATTGGCGATTCTCCATTTGATCAACTCGGTGACTGGTCACCTTACCCTGGTAAGACGCCTTTATTAGGTCGCGATCCTGCTCCTCTACATATCCCCTGGCCTCCCTCAATTATTACATTGCCCAGACTCTACTCCTGCAGGACGCGTCCAAAATGGCATGCTTGGTCCGAGGCAAATGGCAATCCTCAAGTGAAGGAAGCACCGGGCAATGCCGAGACGCAATCCTAATAACCAAAGGCCAGTCGTGTCTTGCGCTCCTCGACCGACATGATTCATACCCTCTATGCAAACCGCTCTGTTAGTTTGCCGCGTACTGGCCCATACCTCACTCTAACGTTCCATCCTTACGCCTTGCGACGCTGCACCTCCCTGCTACCATCACACTTGGATAGTCGTTCCTCTTCTGCCTAGGGTAGCACACTCCATGCCTCCAGCCACATATCCTACTTCCACTCCATCCCACTGAAGTCCCGTTCGGCCGGTTCCCTACAGCTCATTACGCCATTACATCATCGCTTCTCCGATGCCCAGGCATATCCTTCGGCTTTGATACGGATTGCTGATTCTCAGGCCAGGAACGGTTTTCCGCCCGTCTACCGGCACTGGCGCTGAAGCCTCATGGCTACCGTCACATCTCTGCCCTCCGCAATGCTACCTCGGAGTCAGATGCCAATCCGCCGGAATGACCTGCTCGGGCTCCAAGGAATTCCGCCAATCCTACGGCCACTCGTGCGGGCCTATCTTCTGGGCTATGCTTCTGCTGTCGGTCCCAGGCTTATGACCTTGTTGATGCAGTACATCACCAAGAGGCGTCGCAAAAATGGCAAGAATGGCAACGGAACAGACGACAAACAATGTGCCGGCTTCGTGGCGCAACTGAGGCGAATAGTCTTCGCCGGCCTGGACCCGCAACGTTTTCCAACGTTTTGCGCCGTAATAGTCGGCGGCAGTACGTTGTTGGAGGTATGTCTTTTGACACCATTGAGACGGACTCGGACGCCGGCCGTGTGAGGAGGTGGATCATCGTAGCTTCAGCTGAGGCTAGACCCCTCAACTGAGTGGCAACATACACGGCCTGTGGTTCAGAAAAGCCGTCTTTGCCATTAGTCCCATCGCTGTTAAGACGAAGAGTCCAATCACTTGGTCATCTTGGACTTCGCAACGCGCCTGGGACTACACTAGTCAGAGGACGCATCGTCCCTTGCATCGTCTGTCCTGATAGAGTGCTTGCAGCTCATCTCACTGGCCTGGCGTCTCGACTCTGTTTAACTTCGCAAACCGGCATTGTCTTCGTCACTAATGCAGCTTGATAGGAACCATTTCGGCGTGTTTATGAGCAGACCGCAAAAGGCCTCAGTGAGGCAACTCGTGTAAGGTGCGTCGATCTATACTCTGCGATCATCGTTCCATGCGCCTTGTCTTTGGAGCTGTGGTTCGTCTGTTGTAAATGAATTCTAACATGAGTCCAGGCTTGCGAGATGGAGTGCCACATTCATTGCGGCTTGGCTTAGTCTGAAGCTCCTGCAGTCCAAGAGGAGCGCAGGGTTCACAGAAACAGTGCCAGTCAAGTCAGATACTCCACCTGGTGTTCAACCGAAGGAGGTTCAATATGCGGGACGAACTCTCGACCTGACTCTGTTCACCGTAACTCGAGCACTCGACGTCTTGGTTGGCGAAGTTTGGTCTCGTAGGCGCGCGCGTCGCGTTGCGCAAGGCAAGTGGACAAAGGTCAGTTTCGTGTTTTGCCTTTCCTCACGAAAAGTGTTACTGACCTCCGGCAGGTCGAATCAATCGTCGGCAAATTTACTGACCCGAGCTTGTTCGTATCCTCCTGTGCTCTGATCATGTGGGCGTGGTTCTACAACCCCTCGAGACTCCCCATTGCGTACAACAAGTGGATCAGCTCGGCGGCAAACGTCGACATGCGTCTGATCGAGGCTCTTCAAAGACTGCGCGACGGCAAGCTCATCTATGGCGTCGACACTGGACAGGCAGAGTTGCTCCAGGGTATGTGTGCCAAGTACAAGTGGCCGATGGAATGGGGAGACCCGGCCAAGTCCGTCCCCATTCCGTGCGAGATGGTCCACATGGGTGTAGGCCCCTCGTGCGAGCTTCACGCGCTGAGCCGTTTCTACCGGTCGTGGGAGTGGTCCATGGCCATGTACCTCCCGCTGAGCATGGCGCTCCTCGTACGGGGGCCCATCAACAGGAAGAGCTTCGTACGGGCTCTGCTATCGGCCTCCCGCTCCTCGGCGTTCCTAGGAACGTACATCACACTGTTTTACTACGGCGTGTGCCTTGCGAGGACCCGACTTGGGCCTCACATCATCGGCAAGGACAGAGATGCGAGACAGCACATTGACGCCGGACTCTGCGTCGGTACGGGATGCTGTCTCTGCGGATGGAGCGTCCTCGTCGAGACCGCAAGTCGCCAGAAGGACATGGCCTTGTTCGTCGCGCCCCGGGCCATGGCCACACTGCTCCCTCGCCGTTACGGCATGGATAAGCAATGGCGGGAAACGGTTGTGTTTGCTGCTAGCACGGCTGTTGTTTTTACCTGCATCTTGGAGAATCCCAAGCGTGTAAGAGGTGTTCTTGGAGGTGTTTTGAGTTTGGTCTTGCGTAACTAGAGGTGGGATCTAGGCATTGCGGGTACAATCTGGATAGAGGCTTGTAAGATGGCATAGAGCATGGGCATACATACGGTCAGCACCGCTGTACTCTCTTGTAAAAGCTTTGTTGGATAGAACAATTGGATTTAACCCGAGTTTTGATATGGACGTATCATGCCGTCTTTTCGAAGTCTTTTTCCTCATCCATTTTTATACATGAAGTATTGTTTTTTCTTGAGGGTGGCTGTTGCAAAACTCCATATCAAATTCATGCAGGTATGATCGTGCTTGTCTCTGACGTTCTGACTGACGTTCTGACTGACGTTCTTTTACCGCTGAAAGTAGTTGCACGCCATATTCTCGTCCTTTTCGAAGAGAAGGTTGTATCATTTATGGTGCTTCGAAGCCCTACTTCCTTAGGGGAACACACTGCGAATTTCGACTACCCTTGAAATGAAGCAAGGACTACGATTGACCTCTTCAGGTGCGTATGGTACACAAACGGACAGGCATGCCTCAAAGTGGCCTGAGGGCCCCGAAGCACTTCAAGGAAGTCGACGATCGAGACCGTGTTCCACCTCTCAGGGTCCTCGTGGGAACGCCATACCCGCCAATTCTCGGCAAATTCGTCCAAACCCCGATCACGTAGTCAATCATCGGCCCCGACCGCTCTCGGCCCGGAAAGTTTTCGGTGATTTCTGCCTAGAGCGGGGACCCGGAGCCCCGCCGGCCGCTGCGGCCGTTCACCGTAAGCGACCCCCGGGCAGGGTCCACCGGTCCAATTTACCTCAGTCCGATCCTTCGACTTGGCTTTCCCCCTTTCCAATTCCAATACCACGGAAGCAGTCTCCCTTGCTGTTTCGATTTATGTGCGCATGTTCTAGAACTGTTAACTTCGGCGACGAAATGGACGAGACGGGAAACGGATACCGAGGTTTTGGGTTCGATCCACGTGCTCCCTGCAGGGCTAGTCCGCAACGGAGCAGGTCGCCACCGGCATCGGGTCCGACGACACCCCGGGCGCGTTCGGCGTTTTGCTGAGATGTGGACCTCACCTCAACGCGATTCGAGCGAACATACTGGGAAATGTAGCACCGCAGACGAAGACAGGTTACACAAGACTAGAAAAGACGGCCACAAAGCACACATTCGGAAAAAGAGTGTTGTCATCCAAAGACATAAATAAGCAGCCACGATAATTCCATCACCTGTTGGGCGCAGAAAGCCCTCAAATGGGGGTCGCAGACATTTCTTCTGTCACCTTGGCACCAACACCCGTCACGTCGCCTCGGCCAATTGGAGTTCTCGCGCGATATTAAACGGGAAAGCTTGGCGGAGACGGGGGACTCCCACGAGGTATCCCGGAAGCTCCCCCGCCGCGCCGCCGCCGCAGCTGCGAGCCCCTTTCAATATATCGATGCTTGCCCGGTCAATCCTTCCGACTGCCCCCTCTGTTCGCCGCGTTCAGGCGGCCAACAGCTGATTGCGAGGCAGACACATACGCACACAGGTTCTTTGACAAGCCTCCAAACCAGCCGGAGGGGAAGCACACACTGCAAATAGTCAGTTGGACACTCGAGCTGAAGACTAAGACAAAAAAGCAAGGAAGGGATGATTGCAGAGCCGAGTACCAAACATGTAAACATGCTCGAACCAGCTCGGCCTCTTGAGACAAAATTTCATATGCAGACTTACAAACAGAGGGGAAAAGCAACAGCCAAACTGATGTTGAGTGTTGCTTCAGAGGCAGACAGCCCTTGGCATTTCGATCAAAATTGCAGATCCCTTGCGCGGACCACACTGCGCGCCATTCCTTCTTGTTTGGGCGTACAACTGACCCCGGACGACCTTGGCCTGGATTTCGATTCTTTGACTCGGGTTCTTGGCATTGGGGGCGGGAAACCTACCTTAAGTTGAATGAATAGTCACAGTGTTCCTGAATACATAAAAGAAACCCGGCCTTCGTCAGAGTCTTCCATCAAAAACTCGACTGCCAGAGACTGGGCTCTTTCCTTTTACTCAACTCTCTCTTTTCACTTCACTTCCATCAGCTTCACCTCACTTCTGAAGCAAGTTTTTCCCACCTTCACTTCTCACCTGTGATAATTATTCACAGAAGACTTTCTTTTCACACTCACTTCCAGACTAAACGAACAAACAAACAACATCATACCGCCCAAGATGAAGTTCACAGTCCTCACCATCCTGGCCTCAGCCGCCTCCCTCACCAGCGCAAACCCTCTTCACGCGCGCAGCACCACCATCACCACTAGAGCCGTCGCCAACGACACCGCCAGCAACTGCACGACCCCCCTCAACTACGGCGCCCTCATTTTTGACGGCCTCGACATGATTGACATCTGGGGCCCCCTCGACATCCTCCAGCTCAACGCCCACACCTACAAGATGAACGTCCACCTGATCGCGCCCACCCTGGACCCCATCACCACCGGCAACGTCGACCCCTCCGACCCGGCCAAGAACAAGCAGGGCTCCTCCTTCTGGCCCACCATCGCCCCCACCGCCACCTTCGCCGACGACCTCGACCTCGACGTCCTCATCGTCCCCGGCGGTCCCGGCGTCCGCGCCGACGGCCTCGAGCCCATCGTCGACTACGTCCGGGACACCTACCCCAAGCTCAAGTACCTCATCACCATCTGCACGGGCGCCAGCCTCGCGGCCCGCGCCGGCGTGCTGGACGGCAAGAGGGCCACGACCAACAAGCGCGCCTGGGCCCAGATGACGGCTTTCGGTCCCAACGTCGAGTGGGTCGCGCCGGCGCGGTACGTGGTTGACGGGAACATCTGGTCTTCCTCTGGTGTAAGTCTCTTTATCTCGTCTGTTCTCATGGGTCTCGGTACTGACAATGTGGTAACCCAGGTCGCCGCCAGTCTGGATCTCACCTACGCCTTCGTCGAGAAGATCTACGGCAAGACCCAGAGCACGCTCCTCGCCAACACCATGGAGCACACGCCCCTCGCGCCCGAGGACGACGTCTTCACCGACATCTGGAACGTCCCTCACACCAATGTCTGAGTCGGCGAGTCTGTTCGATCCTTGGGATTCGGTTCGTTCGGGGTTCCGTTTTGTTCTTGACTTTGCATAGAGCATGCATAGCAGGCGAGATCTGGTTGTCTTTCTTCTTCTTTTTCCTTTCGAGAAACACTACGCTGCAGTTGGGGTGCAGGTATAGAGTGGACATTTGGCCTGGGAGCCATTGGATTCAGTTCTAGTTGGTGAATACTATCACATCTTTCTATATCCATTCGTTGCTCGTGAAGCTTGGGACGTTGGAGACTTCCGACGATCGTAGGTGACTCGTGAGACTTGGAAGCCTTCTCATCCTCCAGCATCTGAAGGTTTGGATTCCTGAGCGTGACGCTAGGCGGCGTGTATCTGATCCCCAACATCGTCTTCGTATTGATATCGTCGACGGTTGACGTCCCCTCAATTTTGTCATGCTTAGGACGACTTTCCGGGATCTTACTCTTCACTTGAGGCACTACCTCCTCAACAAGGAGGTCGGTGGTGGTCTGCCAACGATGAACCTCCCGTCACTGGCCTTGGGCCTCCCAAGAGCACCGAGCAAGGCGTGGGTAACGTCGCGGACATCAGCTGACACCCAAAGCCAAGCAGAAAGACCTGTCTCGCGTCGTTTAACTTCCACAGCAGGCCTAACGATGTAGCCAAGCAGCCGAGGTCTAGTTTGCACAGGCACGGATCGAACACCCAGAGACAACGAACGTTGGACAGGGTGAACTTCGCATTCGCATTGTTATTCTCGTCCATCCGCCTTGACCGCCGTCTCCTCATACGCAGCTGCGACAAGGGCTACCGAGCCGCTGATGGCGGGTTGAAGCAGGTCTCTTCTCGTCGTCCTTGGGGTCTACGATGAAGCGTGGCGCGCTGTAGACAATGCCCGACACGCCGACAAGACCGTCTTTGTAGGACTGCTCATGCTTGATGATGCCGAGGACGATGGCGGTGAATGCCATTGTCACGATGACCTGAACGAGTACCGTTTCGTTTTGTCTAGGGGAGTAGGTTATCTATGTCTTGCTTTTCGTGGGCCTCTGGGAACACTTCCCAAGATAAGAACGCTCATCTAACAGCCTACCTTCCATGTCTTTCTTAGTAGCATACAACGCAAGTCATCGGTGTCAGGGGAACGAAACAATGAGCTACGGCGTGGGTATTCTGAGAAGACATGAGAGTTTTCCCAGACCTCTATAATGCGACGACGTCGGTGAGATTGGTGATGCATCATGTTCATGACAGCCGACGTCATGTGAGAAGGACTGCCTGAGTACGGTGACCTTTTCGACCGCTTGGTCGCGGTGGAAGATGTAGTCGCATGCATCTCCGCTACAGGATAAACCCTTTACCTCCGCCAGAGGCGCTCTCTACGGATTCAACATGTGAAGTGTTAATCCGGATGAGCGAGCAATCAGCACGAAGGTAACTGTCACGATGCTAATGTGCCTGTGGGATTTTGATAACAGCAAAGCTAGACGTGCCACTGAGATCCGGCTCAGGCGTAGCTGAGCGTGTCATTGTTGCTGTTGAGCCCGATTTGCGCCGACGTGACGGGCCCGGTTTACGTCAAGTTTACCAAACCATACCCGGACGTCACCGGGGTGGGGCATCTCGGTGTGGGCGAGCTCTTACCGAGGTGAGGCAGGTTCACCGAGGTGCTGACTCCCGAAGAATATCCAAGCCGAGACCAAGTCGAGATCCTATCTAGATTGGGAACTCCAAGGACAAGGGGCCTTCCGAGATAAAGTCGTCACACGGAAGAATGCTCACCAGCCTCTGACATTCTGACCAATGAGCTGGTCCTCCCAGACGGATTACCTCCATGCAAGATCGTGGCATCTCTTCCGGTTTCACTCGTGATATCGATGCCTAGCCGAGCACGAGGCCTCCCGCGATAACCACGACAGGCAGAACCCACAGATTATGCAAGCCGGAAGGTGGATTGCGACTTTGCTGGGCCGAACCGCCAAAGTTGACGACGTGTTACCGACTTACACGCCCGCATCCCTCCGCCTGTCAAGCCGCGGATGCCAAGCGACCCCACTGGACCGGACGCGAACCCCAGGTCGTTGAAGAGTCGCTGGAGGCTAACAGCTGCCAGATGAGACGAGGTTCCAGATCTCCAGGCACGAAAGTGCTGTACCCCGGCTCGGCAAAGAGTAGCTTATGTACGGCATCGGGGCGGCGGTCGGGAGGAACCGGAGCGGAAATCTGGGGTAGCTCGGGTCGAACCTCGACGAGGGCGCATCATTCCGGGGCGGCTGGCGGCAAACGGGGCCAGTTCGAGGCTGGACGACGACGCATCCCGTGGCCGTGCTCCATGTAAGTCGAACGTACCCTGGTAGTGGTGGACTTGGACTTTGACGACGTGCGGCCGTGATAACGGAGGAGCACGGGCGGTTGAGCCATGACATATCCCAAGTTTCGAGACTACCAACGACTAGTGTAGCCTGCGCCCTTGGAATGTCAAGATCGTAAGCCAGCGGCGAATGTAAGCATTTGGGAGTCTCATGATCTGACAATAGTTGCTCGTCTGATTTTGCAAAAGCTTGAGCATGAGCAGGCTTGTGAGGAAACTAGGTGAAGAGTATGGCCGAGCGGCCAAACGATCATGATTGTAGTACAGCGACAGACCGGGGTGTTTCTCAGGGGTACACGTCGTATGGTGCTGGTAATGGTGGGAAAGTGACGGTAAAGTCATATCATGCCAGGTCGATCGATGTTCAGACCATGCAGCATGATCCAATCTTGGCCACGGCGCCGCCTGTCGCGGGTCTGAGAATGAGCGCCCGGCGGCAATCACATAGGCCGCGGCATTGTCAATGGCAGGCATCCTCGGCAGCGAGCATCGTGAGTCCCGAATGCTTCGGAAGTTGCGAGACGGCATAGGCGAAGGCAGGAGCTCTTGGGGCCGATGAAGCCGTGATGCTCCGGCGCGTCGGGCCAGACGGGCTGACTTGATAGCTCATTGGGTTGGGTGAGTCGAGAGGAAGATCTAGGGCCCCACCAAGGAGTCGGAATGGCCCCAGCCCTGTTTTGATGGACCGGGTTTGCACTCAAGCGGCAAGCCAAGGCCCGGATGGCAGAATTGGAGTGGTTTGATGTATCCGTACCATGGAGGTACACCAGGTCAACAGGATGAGGCGATATCAGGACCCAAAAATGGAATCGCAGAATTGCATGGGTATTTTTGTGCACATCCTTCGAACAAAACAAAACGCGGACCGGATGTCGGATCCAAATCAGGAGCGGTCCATATTGGATGACCGAGAACGGAGTCGTAAACGGCCCTTCTCGAACATCGCCTATCATGAGCTAAAATCGGCTGAGTCGAGGGTGGAAGTGCCTCATGGACCAGGCAAAGCGTTTCATTAGCTGCTCAGTCGATCTTGGCGGGTTGAGCGATGGAGCAATGAGTGATTTATGGATTTTTTTTTTTCTCGCGCTCTCTCTTCTCATTGAGGTTGCTGGTGAGCAAGCTTCAGAGGCCGGTGGCAGGGGCCCTAGGACAGGATGTCGGTTTGGAGGGAGGGATGGTGAGGAGGAGAGGCGTTTGAACCCTGTGGCATGTCGTGTCTTGAATCCAGTTGAGGATGACAATAAAAAGAAGCGACCCTCATAAACTGGAACGGTGAGAGGATCACAGAAGGCGCCAGAGGTCTAGCGTGGGCCATTGTGCATGGTGGCACTGACAACTGTGGCAGTGGGAGTGGCAGTGACGGGGGTGTCGGACATTGTTGATGTTGACCGGGGGGTAGCTGCGAGTGTGATGTAACGAGGGGCAGGCCAGCAACGTTCAGCAGGGGGGCAAGGGATAAGGTGCCGTAGCTGACTTTTTTTTTTTTCCTCGCTGGAAATCAAGGGAAGCTGCCCCTCCTTGCCCCTCCATACCGTACCTCGTTGGTGTGCTCGAGTCGTCGGTCCCGGTGAAGAAGAAGTGACACCACTCTGCCCCGCCAGAGAATGAGGTGAGTGAGCTGACAGAGAGCGAGGAAGGAGGAGAAACAAGTGGTTGATGAATGATTCGTCATGAGATGTTTAATGGATGGATGGAGATGGGACACGGACAGTTCAGATGAGTTGAGGTGTCAAAAAAAATAGTGAGGTGGTGAGGAAGGAAGGGCCGGCCGCCACCACCCTCCACCACCGACCTCACCTTGAGCTGATATGAGGTGGGATGGCAAGAACACCACCTCGAGCTATTGAGGGTAAGGTAGTTCCCCATCAAACCAATTGTTATTGGAATTATTAGAAACAAGTACCTGGAGGGTAGCAAGTATCGCCCTAACGCCTCAAATGCCTGGTTGCACCTTCCCGCGAGATGCCCCGCCTTGGCTGTAAAAAGACGCACCTGCTTGGACTGAGTGGATGAGAAAGCACGAAATGGGCATGACAAGAGTACGAGACACGCGTTACGGGGAGAAGATGCTGGGCTTCTTGCCAAAATCTGTGTGTCACTCAACCTGTTCACCACCCGGCGTCGGCCAGACAATCGTCTCAATCACCGACTGCGAGTCGCAGTTGCCTCGTAGGTATCCCCCCCTGCGGAGTGCCCGTACCTGGTACCTCCCTAACTTGCATCAGGTCCGCATTGCTCCTTCCCTGCCTCTTGCTTTGCTCCCCCGTCCTCGCCTGGGCCGCTGCACGGCGTGGGCGTGTTGGAAAGACCACCCCACCATCTTCTCTCAACCGAATTATCTATATCTCTCGCGCCCTTCCACCATCCTCTCCGTCCCGTCTCTCCTCTCTCTCTCGTCTTCCTCCTGTCATCGAACATTCTATTCCACACCTCAATCCATCTCGTCGAACAATCCGGCGTGATATCTACACAAGGTGAGCAACCCCTCTCAACAGCTCCTAAAGCTCTACAACAGCTGCCATCACCCCACCTTGCCCCAGGGAACCCCGCCATTCATCACTGCAATCCTGCAATAAACGCCTGAGAAAATTGACTGACTCTCTCCATCTTCACAGACACATCTCCCACACATACCTAAACAGACAACATGGCTCCCATCAAGGTCGGCATCAACGGCTTCGGCCGTATCGGACGTATCGTCTTCCGTAACGCCATCGAGCACAACGAGGTCGAGATCGTTGCTGTCAACGACCCCTTCATTGACACCAACTACGCTGTGAGTATCACCCCACTTACCCCTCCAAGGTCATCATGATATCACGCCCCCAACCGTCCCTCGCGGCAGGAGCCTTCCAGCCAATGGACACAGATTCCTGGCACACAGCACCTGATGCCAGTGGCCGGGACAGTGGGACGTGATACTCGTTTGGCCCAACAAAGCTTCCAAGCACTTTCGCTGACTCGCCATACGCAGGCCTACATGCTCAAGTACGACTCCACCCACGGCAACTTCAAGGGCACGATCGAGGAGAAGGGCAAGGACCTCGTCGTCAACGGCAAGACCGTCAGATTCTACACCGAGCGTGACCCCGCTGCCATCCCCTGGAAGGAGACCGGCGCCGAGTACGTCGTCGAGTCCACTGGTGTCTTCACCACCATCGACAAGGCCAAGGCCCATCTTCAGGGCGGTGCCAAGAAGGTCATCATCTCTGCTCCCTCCGCCGATGCCCCCATGTACGTGATGGGTGTCAACGAGAAGTCCTACGACGGCAGCGCCGACGTCATCTCCAACGCTTCTTGCACCACCAACTGCTTGGCTCCCCTCGCCAAGGTCATCAACGACAAGTTCGGCATCGTTGAGGGTCTCATGACCACCGTCCACTCCTACACCGCTACCCAGAAGACCGTCGACGGTCCCTCCGCCAAGGACTGGCGTGGTGGCCGCACCGCTGCTCAGAACATCATCCCCAGCAGCACCGGTGCCGCCAAGGCTGTCGGCAAGGTCATTCCTGAGCTCAACGGCAAGCTCACCGGCATGTCCATGCGTGTCCCCACTGCCAACGTCTCCGTCGTTGACCTGACTGCCCGCCTCGAGAAGGGTGCCAGCTACGACCAGATCAAGGCCGCCATCAAGGAGGCTGCCGAGGGCCCCCTCAAGGGCGTTCTGGCCTACACCGAGGACGAGGTTGTCTCCACCGACATGATCGGCAACCCCAACTCCTCCATCTTTGATGCCAAGGCCGGTATCTCCCTCAACGACAACTTCGTCAAGCTCGTCTCCTGGTACGACAACGAGTGGGGTTACTCCCGCCGTGTCCTCGACCTCCTGGCCCACGTTGCCAAGGTCGATGCCTCCAAGTAAATGTGCAGAGCACCGGAGCAAGTTGATGAAAAGACGTCGGACCGTACGAGTCCATTAATGAGATAAAGCAACGACCACCAAAAGCAGTAAAATCGGAAGATGGGCAGTCTTTCAGACGGGAGGGCAACGATGACGCTTGAGTCTCGTGAGGCCGGGAAGGATTGTGGTTGTTTCTTTTCCTAACAAACAACTCCCGAATTACATGTCCTTATGACGACTATGAAATAGATTATGCCTACCCATCAATCACCGCTGTTCATCTCTCGCTCGTGATGTTGACCTGCCTCATGGGTTCATGTAAATGCAACGGCCACCACCCACGCCTGGGCTTGGTACTTATCAGTCAGATCATGTCAGAGTGCTGCCGTGCGAGTGAGGGGTCTGACGTGCGGGGTCGCTCTGCACCGCGTCCGCGTCTCTCCGCGTACGTAGGCATTGTTAGGGATCGGGATCGAAGAATATCACAGACTGCTTCAATCGTCTTCATGTTCAGAGTTTGTTCGCATTCGATAACCGAGAGATCGGCTACATAATCTCTCCTTCTCTCGCGTCTTTCGCATGGTATTGTAGAAGCCAAGCCGTGCCAGTTCGGTAATTTCTCTCTCTCTCTCTCCTTTTTCATCGCCTCACACACATCCTCCCCTTTCCCCGCACTGATCGAACTGACGCAGACACACTCGATATCCCGGCCAAGAGGCCCGGGCATGCGAGTTTCGGCCCTCTGAGAACTCGAAACAAGAGAAGAAATCACACATGGAGGGATATCTTTTATGTACAGAAAAAAAACAAGAAAGCCATTCCGCAGTCCTGAACGCCAAGCTTGAGAGAGATACACACACACACACAAGGGAGAGAGATGACGGGAGACGACGTGGTGGGAATGGTGGTTGTATGACTTGATGAAACAAATGAAAACGACAAGAGTGTGAATCGTGTGGGCTGCTTGAGATTGGCCCTTGGGTTGCGTGAGAGAGAGGGGTCATGTCATACAAGATTGCACACATACCAACTGTCGGATCCCCCCAAATTCAAAACGCCGTCACTGATCCCCTCCGCCATGCCGACCACAGAGACGATGGGAGATGGGGAAGGAAAGAGTTCATAATACATGTTCATTAGGAGGGGCCCTAATGCCCTTCGTGTTGTTTGTTGGCTGCGAGGTTCCGACGTCGCAGCGCCGAGCCCCGTCCGCCAGGGTAAACAAAAGTTCGGAATCGACGTCCGTCTGGGTCTCGGCCGGCGCGACGTCGTTGCCGTCTTACTATGACGTCCCGTTGGCCGCTGATACCGTGACCTCGGCGCGCCATGAGACGTGCTCCTGTTGAGCCCAGCGGCGCATGATCCTCAGTGCCGACGCGACGGCTTCCTCCACCGTAGTCCAAGGGCCCATGTTTGCGCGCATGGAGCTGTCCTCGATCCGCTCGACAAAGTCCGCAGCCGACTTCCACGCGTTTGAGCGGCCCCGTTCGTGGCTGATGATGGCCACCGCATGCGGCGTCGGGTCGATAGACCAGTAGCACCTCAGCAGCTCCTCATGAATGACGCCCTGAATCTGCCAGAACAAGGCTTCCAAGGGACCACTCTTGCGCAGCTCCGGGCGCATGATGTTGAGTACTGGTAGAATGCTGCCCCATTGTTTCGGATCTTGCGCCTTGCTCTCTATTGAACGCGCATCGACCACTGCCCTGAAGCCGGTCATGAACGCCAGAGCCGTCTCCAGTCCTAAAATGATACCCAGTTTGCTGTCCGAGTCGGAAGAATGGCCGCCTCGATCGTTCTTACGCTCGAAGAGCATATCGCGCTCATGCTTCAACTTCGTTCCAAGCTTGCTAAAGCGAGCATAACGCTCGCGCAATGCTTGAATCTTTGCTGGGTTGAAAGGCTCCCTCAGGTCTCTTGTCTGTGGCCGATCTCGGTCTGCTGAGGGGGGAGCCGCAGGAGTCAAACTGTTGCCGTCCACTGGGGTGTTTACCGAGTTGCTCGATGCCACTCTCGACATTGAAGTGGCTGCCTTGGATGGCGTTGACGGAGCGACAAGTTTGGAGCTGGCGACGTCCGACGTCCTGGGTCGCTTGACGGCGATAGAATCTCCAACATTCTCTGTGCTCCCTATTGGCCGTTTCCTTGCCTGAGGCGGTGCTGGTGGCTCTATACTTGCGGAGCGTTCCTTCTTGATTGCGTCCTTCTTCGGGGGCAGAGCCAGCAGTCGTTGGACCGACTTGGATATCTTCTTAGGATATTTCAGCGTCACCATCAATCTGCGTGGCCTTTCCTTGACCTTGTCCTTGAAATCCTTTCTGTCCTCCTCCTCCTCCTTAGGTACGACGTAGGGCCGCTTGTTGCTAGTCGGTGATTCTGGAGGTTGTATCTTTTGACTAGGTGTCGATCCCTTTGTTGGTGTCTTCTTAATTCGTGCAAGCTCCTCTTCAAGCGCCGGTGGCAGTGTGGGGGACAACAGAGCCGGGAGTCGAAGAGGAGACTTTGGCCTCTTGATAGGCGGCAGCGGTTCTTGTCTTGAAGGCTTTTGAGGCTTAACATGATCGAGAGCATCCTCCCGTCTCTTCTTTTCCTTGGTATGAGAGTCCGATTCATTCGGAAGGTGCAGCGGCGAGAGTAGCGGTGGCATTGCTGTCCTCGGGTCCGTCTTGCTCTTACTGCTGAGAGAGGGACTTGGTCTGTTGCCATTGATGGAATCGCCGCGCGCACGTGACACTGGCGACTTGTTGGCGCCCGAACCCAAGGCCGCCTTCAGCGCGGATCTTCCATTCGTTATCGATGATGAGGCAGTACTTGACTTGCTCTCCTTTTGCGGCGTCCTGTCCTGCGAAGAGTGCAGCTCTTTCCTCTTCGGGGTATCATCTCGGGGTGTTCGCGATCGCTCGTCGAGAGGGGTGCTGGCTTCTGGTCTCGCTCGTTTCTGCGGTCGCAACTCGCCGTCCGTGTCCGCCCGCTTTCGCTTCTCCGGGGTATCATTACTTTCCTGCGTTGGCCTCGGCCTTGCCTCAGGCCTGCTCGATCTAGACCGGGATGGTTAGCGCATCAGCTCCGATATGAGGGCGAATCGGTCGCAATCGAACCTCTCGTCAGTGGGACCTTCGCGCGACTTTTGCGCCTTTGTGTCCTTGGATGCGTCGTATTCCCGACTCCTATACGCATCAACCTTTTTTGGTTCTCGGTCGTTCCGACCTTCTATTGCCTCTTTCCTGGAAACATCTGTCCTTGGCGTAGCTCCCGAGTCGGTGGGAGACGCGGATGCCTTCTTCTGTTTGTTCTTGTAGTCACTCAACGACAATTTGGTGACGGTCTTCTTTTCCATCTTCACGTTCGGCTCTTTGGCGGTGACTGGGTTCGGAGGTTCTTCGCGCATGTCATAGTAGGGTCGAGTGAGCAGCATGCCGCGTTCAGCGTCCGACTGTAGCGTCATGTACTGTAGGCGCTGGAACTTGAGCTCCTCAAAGACCTTGCTATGATCGGGAGGGACGCGAAAGCGCTGGTCGGGAGTGACGGATAGGTGATGCGGTCGGTCGGGCAGGATGCGCTGGGCCAGTAGTTGGACCTTCTTCGCCGCTGCTTCCATGGTTTGGTGGCGTTTGCATGCCGGGGGGGCATGAAGAAGCACGAATCGCAAGATGCGCGGCCGCAAGCGCAAGACAGGAGGGCGGGACGATGCGGTACTGTGGTGGAGTATGTGATGTTGTGGTTGGATAGCGAGTGTCGGATTGAGGTGGAATAACAAAGAGTCGCGATGGCGGCCAGTGCGAGATGGATCGCCGACGAAGGGAAGGGAATGGGCGCCGGAGCAGAGCTCAAAGCTCTCTCCGTAGCCCACGAGGGAGTTGATTCGAACCGCCGGCAGTCAGCGCCGACAGTTGTGGCAGATGATGAGAGGTGTCCGGGGGTGGACGTTGAGAAGGAGATGTCGTGATAGCGTGACGTGGGTAAGGTATTGGCGGAAGCGGCGTTATCTGGATGCAAGCGAATGCCGATGAAGGGCGGGATGCGAAAGGATCGGGAAAACGCGACTAGGCGGTCTGGTATCAACAGGCGAGCATCAACAGGGCGGTGGAGCGATGCAGCGATGGCGGTCGCGTCGTGGGTTGGGTGTCGCGGGGGTTCGTGGAGGAGGTCGAGGGGTCGGATTTCGTGTCTCGTTCTTGGTGGTTGTGGTTATGGTTCAGGACGTGGTTCGTCTTCTCGTCGAGAGGGCGGTTGTTGTGGTAAGGCAGTGGTAGTGGTGTATGCAGGCTCCAAACATCAGCCCTTGCAGCAGCGCAGCAACAGCAGCTCAGATGACCCGCAGCGCATTTCCCGGCGTGGCCTGCTGCGGCAATGATGGGATGCGAAAGGTGAGCGACGCGGGCTCTCGTCAAGTGTGAGGTCGCAGGTCAATGGACGCGAGAGTCGGTCGTCGGTGCGAGGTGTGCAAGTGTGTCCAAGCAGTTGCGCTGGATCCAGACGGGGTAGAGGTAGAGAGGACGGGACGACGTGCCGCAGGTCGATGATACGGGGGACAAGGGTCAAGGAATGTGGTATTGAAGGGTTAGGTCGGGTCGGGGGAGTGGTGGACGGGAGACGGTGCGGTGCGGTGGTGGTGGATTGGGGGAGGTGGAAAGGGACAAAAGGTGGATGCCCAGCCCGACCGGGTCCAAAATGCGAGCCCAGTCCAGTGGCAGTCAGGTTGGTGTGAATGGTGGTGTGTGATGAGGCGACGGGACGTGAGTGAGGTCAGGAATCAAGGATGGAAGTGACCAAGAGAACCTGGAAGAGAGCGAGGCAAGACACGCGCTACTTTACCGTGTGGATGGGTGCTAAGGTATCACGTCGAGCCAATGAAGTCGACACGCAGATGATGTGTGAGGGACGGGAAACAGTGGACGCGCCTAGGTCCCGTCCCGTCGTCAGTCGGGTTCAGTGCTTCAGTGCTTCAGTGCTTCAGTGGAGTGCGATGAGCGCTGAACAGGAGCTGGAGGCGTCCAGTGCACAATGGGACCTCCTGGCCTGGGGTCACCTCATGGTCCCCGGGGAACTGTGTGAGGCGCGTGCTCCTCATGTCTCGTCGGGCCCAATTACATGTCGCCTACCACACATACCTAGGTACCTGGGTCACCTCAGGACAGTCATCACATCGGGTTCAATCGACTTCTCGAAGCGCTAGTGGTGCTCTGCGCGACCGCGAATGAGAATGGCTTGCCGCGAGATCTGGTGGAATGAAGGACCTCCCTAGCTACCGGTCATTAAGCATCACGCGCCCGCGAGCATCATAGGGATCGCATAAGTTAGGCACGCAAAGGCGAGGCATGGTTCACTGATTGATAGCTTTGGACCGATAAGAATGCGATCTAGAAAGTCGATTATGATGCGCAGCGCAGATGTCTTACATTTGCACTACGGCAGGATGGGAAGTGCTGGAAAATGCCCGGTGCTGTCTCCTCTGGGCAGACACTTCAAGACACTCCTATTTCTGCCCGTCTGTTCGGTTGGCCTAAGCTTGCACCTGCCCGGGCCTGGCGGCGCCATCCCTGGGCGTCTGCACTTCCCTCGGAACGGCACTTAAAGCAAGGTACCGCGGGGAGCTTACTGCTACGTCTAGCAGACTTTTTGCCAGTGATGATTATTGGTTGCTGCCCTGGTGTCTTGCAGTACTTCCAACATAAAGACACCTTGCTGAGTCAGTTAGTTGCTAATGCTGCGGTTAGTTATAGTATTGTTTCACTTACACTTTGCAAGTATCCAGCTTAAGCGTCTATATATCCGCATTTGTTAAATTAGTATAGTCTGACATTCTTCACCTTATTATAATGTAGCCTTGTTTAGTTTCTTAGTCAATTACTACCCTAACCCTAACAATGGCGTAGGACGTGTAATACTGCCCTTTGGTATCCTTTGCGTAGTGTAAATACACTTTCGTTCCGTAACACTGTGGTATCTCAATCCGTGCTAATGCGCCGTGCCGTCCTTGGTATCTGCTTGGTAAACTTGAATGCGCCGCTGCGACTGAAGTAGGCATTAATGATTGCCGTTCGTTAACGCCGCCGTTCCGTACCCAGTGGGACTGAACTTTCGCTTCTTGCTTGCAGGTTCATCGCTACTGAGACTCGATGAACGCTCGACCTTTACGAGTCTGTGCTCGTGTTGGTTCATTTGTTGTATTATCGTTTCGACCTTTTGTCCCAGTTGCGCCCCTGAGGGCTGGTACTTGTCCAGATGCTGGACGATGGCGTGGAAAAGGCTCTCTGTCGTCAGGTTATTCATTTGCCCGTCCAGTGCCATGTAATCTTGCTGCACAAGGTCCATGCGCTTGTCGAGTTTTTGCTCGATCGCCTTGAGGTTAGGCTCGAACTGCTCGAGGCGGCTCGTATGTGTTGCCATCTGCTGTTCGACCTCTTCAATCCGTCCATTCCCGGTGTTCTGGATATCGCTCATGTGCTTGATTGATTCCGTCACACTTTTCAAGGATGCTTCAATCATCAAAATCTGCGCCTTCATTTTGTCGACCATAGGCCTCGTAGCGCCCATGAAAGAGACGAGTTCCTGCAACGGAGAACCGCCCGATGCGCGTCCGTGGACCAAGGGTTCTGTTACCTCCTCAAGCGCCTTAATTCTCCCGTCATACTCTTCCCATTTCGTCTCCAACGGCGAGCCATTGCGATCGGTGATTGGCGTGGATAATTTGTCTGGAATAGGCCGGTTTTGCAAGTCTGCAATCTGACCCTGAACGACCTTCATGTCGCTTTTGAGGCCGTCAACCCAACCAGCGACCAAGCTGCACAGCTCGGTATTCAGCCTCTGGAGTTTAGACATTGTGACGATGGCATCTGGCCCAGATGGCCTTTTCAGCATGGTCGACTGGAGCTCTTTGATATCAGATCGTGCATTGCCAACTGCCGATTGCAGCTCTGCTATGCTCGACGCGACTTGCTCTGCGACAGGTTCTGGGCGCGGTGGTTCCGTTGGTGACTGCCTCGTTGGCGTTTGAAGCTTTTCCAGCAGATCGTTCTTCAGTTGTTCGTGTGCCAGGCGTATATCTCCTGATTCGCGTTCCGTCTTGTCAGTTCGGGACTGGAGATCGCTCATACCCGTACTGAGTTCGTATATACGACCCTCCAGGGCTTCCATTGCCTTCGGCTCAAGCTGCTGAAGTTCGGTCCGCAGTCGAGTGGCGTCCGTTCGTAGGGTGGCCATGTCCTTGTCGAGTTTTGTCGTGATCTGTTCGAGTCGCGGGAGTTTCTTTCCAACTTCTTCGCAGGTTTCGCTGATGAGATCGCGATCTATTTCGGCGAGATTTCCAAGCGCCTGGCTGTGAGCCTCCACATCCTCTTTCAGGTTGCCCACAACCTGGCTTAGATCAACAATTCCTGTCGCATATTGGTTTTGGACATCGAGCTGGTCGAGTGACAGCTGTCTAAGTTTACTGTCATGGTCTGCCAACTTCTGTTGCAGTTGCAGGATGTCTGCCGCATGCTGAGCTTGGAGGTTGTCGTCGGTGGTGATAGTAGCTGTGGCTGCGGGCTCCTTGTTGGACAGTTGCTTGATCGATTCCGCGTGCTCCATCATCTGAGCATTGAGGAGTTGGGCACTCTTCTCCAGATCAACAAGTCTAACCCCCAAGGACTCGTTCTCAGCCTTGGCGCTGGTCTTCGCTAAGTCGAGAAGTTTCGTCCTAAGAGACTCATTCTCAACGCCGTTCTTCTCCAACTTAAGAAGCCTGTTCCTCAGAGACTCGTTCTCCATGGCCAACGCCTTACGTTGAGCCGTTTCGGTAGAAAGTCCCTGTTGTAACTGCTCCATGCGTTCTCCCTGTTTGCTGATATTCTCCCTGAAATGTTTCTCCAAAACTTCAAAACGAGAGTTCATTCGGGTTTCCAATGAGGTTGCCTTCTTGCTGTTATCTTGGATGTCCCCCTTGAGCCGCTTCTCCAATGCCTCCAACAGAGAAGTCAGTCGAGGTCCGACATCGTCTGCGCCACGACCATTGCCCTGTTCCGCAATGGCCTGTAACACAATGACCATGAAGGCTTCAGTGGCCGCAAGTGTCTTTTTGCCTGCTGCCTCGGATTCTTTCCGCAAAGCAGCGAGTTCCTCTTGATCTCTCTTCTCAACCTTGCGATTGGTATCCTTTAGGGCTGGGAACTCGTTGTACTTGTGTTTCAACTGTTTGCGGTGGATTTCCCTTTCTTTTGCTCGGGCCTCGAGCGCCTCCTTTCGCAGCTTTATGGCCACATGTTCGTGAAGTCGTTTCGAAACGCGTTGGTAGGCATCTGTCAGTTGTCCGAGCTGGGAGGATTGTGTTGACTTTGGGGTGGAGGGGCCGGAAGACGAAGCCGCGGCCGCAGTCGGGTTGGAAGCTTGTTTGCGGGACGCTAAAGTCACGGTTAGTTTTAAGTAGCCTAGGATTGCATGAAAGCCAATTGTGGTCGGGTCGCAATTCTGATCCGTTACCGAACTTACTGTGCGAGGGAGAAGACAAAGTCCTTTTGGGTTGACGATCCCGTTGGGGCAGAGGTGACTTGTCTCGCCGATCCGAGTAAGATCTCTCCCCATTCCTCTCTCGTGATCCATGCTCAGAAGATCGATCACGATACCGGCGTTGGCTATCGCGGTCGTAGTCTCGGTCACGGCCGCGGTCATAATCCCGGTCATAGTCTCGGTCGTAGCTCCGGTCGCGGTCTCTGCGGTCGCGATCTCTGCCGAACTCATCGTAATCTCTTGAATCTCTTGAATCTCTGCTACGATCGCGACGACGGTCGGCGTAGTTGTCACTACGCCCATACATCGACATGTTGCCGAGGCAAGGACGCAAGAATCGAGGAAGTAACGATCCGTGAAGCTTCGGTCAACATGGAGCTTTACGCAGACGGCATGGTCCGTTTGTAGGGAAAAGCAAGGCAGCAGAGGTAACGTTGTTTCGTACGAATTGGCAATGGAAGGAGAGAAGAAGAAGAAGGGAAAAAAAAAAAAAGAATGTTGTGTCGCAGCACGCGGAGAAGAGCGCTTCAGTGTTGGGGCAAGAACAAATAGGTCGAAGGGGGGCGTCTCTTTTTTTTTCGTGTTAACCCAGAGCAACCTCGTGTAGATTACTTAGGCGTGGGTAGTTGTACTAATTGACAGGGGACCCACACGACGTAAAGAGCGCGCGTGAGGGAAGGTGTGGTGGGTTGCACCCTTACCACTCCACTGTCGGCACTGTAATTGAGTGGGTTAGGTGAGGGGAACTCTCGTTGCCACAGATCGGGAGTAGGGGAAGGAATCGCGGTGTAAGGTTGGCGAGAACGATATGTGATGGGAGGTTGAAAGTGTATCGACCGAGTATCTTACCTTGAAGAAGGCATTGTGATTGTTGCTAGGTATGTGCGAGGCAGGAAGATGGATCTGGCTACGAAATTTATGCAAACGGGAGGCAATGGAAGCTGTTTGTTACGAGTGCTGCTACGGCTGGGAATTGACAAAGAATCGCGTGCGCAGGGGTAGCAGCTGCCCGCGACAAGCGGCGTTGCAAGTGGCGTTGGGCGTCAGTGCTGTGTGGTCAGAGATACTGCACGGTGGGGAAGCTTGGTTCTCCTGTCATGATTGCTTTACTTTCTTCTTGGCCGCCAGAACCGATGAGAAATGAGAGCGTTGAGTGTGACCATGGAATGCAATGTGATACGCGACGTTGGTGTAGGTATGTATGTATGTTTGCTTTTTCCCTTGGTAACGCGCAAGAGTTCCTCCAACGAGAAGGTATGATTAGGTGGGGTTAGCAAATAATTCACCTAGTCCACACTGACCTACCTGCAGGCAAACCCTCCGGGAAAAGATAGTATCTCCCTCTCCCGACAGTGTGCCCGGTCTTCCTCTCTTGCTTGATCACAGGTCGAGCGCTTAAAGTAAAGCATTTCCCCTCTCGAATCAACATACGAGCACGTTACGGATACCTTTAAGCCGTGATGGTGAACTGACCCAATGCGCAAAACGTACGAGTGCGCCTCGGCTTCAGAGATCGTCTCAGGAGCTTCAAATGAACCTAAGGAGTAACGGGTGGCAAGATCTCTCCCTCGTGACAAGATAGACATTGGGATTGCTGGCGTAATGACGCGACCAAACTTCCCTGGGATGGCAAGTAAATTTAGGTTCCAGTTCGACGGCGAGACTCCGCTCGTAAGGTAGAGCCCCAGGCCCCAGGTACAAGCTTCTCGAAGGCTGGAAGTGCTCATGGCAAAGGTGGGACAGAGCAGCACTGTGTACGTACCTTGCTAAGCGCTAGCCGCGCCGCGCCGCGACAATAAGCGCCATCCAAATTTCTGAGCGCGCAACCTACCAAGGTCTCACCCTCATCACTTAACCATACGCCGACCAACAAGTGTTTTCGCGCAGCATCGCAATCATCTAGCACATCCCCATCTGCATCGAAACCGGTACAGTCAATCGCGCACGACTGAGTAGACCACGGTGATTCTACAACGTACGGGAAAGCAACATTCAAGATGGCCGCGGTAAGCATCGAGCTTCTCCAGACAAAACCTTCCCAACTAATATGTACCACTAAAGCCCGTCATGACCGTCTCCGAGAGCAAGGAGCTCAGAGGGCTCAACCTCATCGCTGCTCACTCGCATATCCGTGGGTTGGGTGTCGATGGCACAACATTGGAGCCCAGAGCTGCTTCTCAGGGTCTGGTAGGACAGGAGAAGGCCAGGAAAGCTGCCGCCGTTATTCTGCAGATGATCAAGGAGGGCAAGATTGCTGGCAGAGCTTGCTTGATCGCAGGCCCCCCGAGGTAAGTTTCGTCGCGCCATCGCCTCAGACTTCTGACTGGCTAACCTGGCGTTCTTCAGCACGGGTAAAACCGCGATCGCAATGGGCATGGCCCAATCCCTCGGCCCCGATGTCCCCTTCACCAGTCTCGCCTCTTCCGAGATCTTCTCTCTCGAAATGTCCAAAACCGAAGCTCTTACACAAGCCTTCCGAAAGTCGATCGGTGTCCGCATCAAGGAGGAGAGCGAGATCATGGAGGGCGAGGTCGTCGAGATCCAGATCGACCGCAGCGTCACCGGCGGCGCGAAGCAAGGAAAGCTCACACTCAAGACAACGGACATGGAAGCTGTCTACGATATGGGCGCGAAGATGATTGATGCCATGACGAAAGAGCGCGTCATGGCCGGCGACATCATCTCCATCGACAAGTCCTCTGGCAAAATCACCAAGCTCGGACGCTCGTATGCTCGCTCTCGCGACTACGACGCCATGGGCGTCGATACCAAGTTCCTCCAGTGCCCCGATGGCGAGATTCAGAAGCGCAAGGAGGTCGTCCACACTGTCACTCTCCACGAGATTGATGTCATCAACTCAAGAACACAAGGCTTCTTGGCGTTGTTCTCAGGAGACACCGGCGAGATCCGCAGCGAAATTCGCGACCAGATCAACACCAAGGTCGGAGAGTGGAAGGAAGAGGGCAAGGCCGAGATTGTGCCTGGTGTCCTGTTCATCGATGAGGTTCACATGCTCGACATCGAGTGCTTCTCATACATCAACCGCGCTCTTGAGGACGACCTGGCGCCCGTCGTCATCATGGCTAGCAACAGGGGTAACTCCCGCATCAGGGGAACCGACTACCGCAGTCCCCACGGTCTTCCCCTGGACTTCCTCGACCGCGTGGTCATTATCCATACCAACACCTACACTCCTGAGGAGATTAAGCAGATTCTTACCATCCGCGCGCAGGAGGAGGAGGTTGAGATTTCCGCCGACGCCCTCGCTCTACTCACCAAGATTGGCCAGGAGGCCGGCTTGCGATATGCCAGCAATCTTATCACGACATCCCAGCTCGTGTGCAACAAGCGGAGGGCGAAGCAGGTCGAGATTGCCGACGTCCAGAGGAGCTTCTCGCTCTTCTACGACCCGGCCCGCAGTGTCAAGTTCGTGTCCGAGTCGGAGAAACGCCTGATAGGCAAGGATGGAGCCGTCGACTTCACCGTCACCAACGGTCACGGCGAGAAGATGGATTTGAGTTAAGCGCGGCAATTATTTTTCACGATGGGCGTTCTTTGGGCTGAAAAATAGGTGGTCATCCATGGGAGTGTGTGATAGATTATGTACCATAAATAATGGCATGGTTGCATCGCAACGATGCCCCGAAAGCAATGCCTAGCTTTTGTCTCTTCTATGTACATCAACTTTCATCGTGAGCCGCTTCTGTGACGGACAATCATACAAACGTAGCAATTCTGCTCCAGCCATCTTCGCCAACCGAGCGGAACTCGACGCCCTCGCCAAAGTACCCGGCGTCTTGCCATGCCTTCATCGTAGGGCCGTCGAATGGACCCTGTTTGTCGGCGCCGTCGCGACCATCCGTCCATCTGAACTCCCACATCTTGGTTGACGCATCCTCCGCTGTGGCTTCCTCCTTGGGCTCTACCCACTCCTCGCCCGTCTCCCGCTGCCACTCACGGACGAGCATCTCCCTCTCCTCGTCGTAAATCTCGACACGGTCTCGGCTCAGTAACTTATCCGCGGCATCGGTGATGGCCTCAATGGCCTCCTTCCTCTTCACTTGCTCAGGCGTCATCTCCTTCTCATGGTCGACATCCATGGCCTCGTCGGCCCCCTTGTTCATCTTCTTCAGCTTCCACTTGGGTATCTTCTTCTGCTTTGGCTGCCCCTTAGCCAACCTTGCCAGCGCCTCCAACGGCGTCTCACCCCTCTCTAGCCTTAGTATGAGCGCCTTGAGGAGATCTGTCGTGAGTATGTCGTCGTTTTCCATCCGTAACCTCCGCGCCTCGGCCTCGCGCTTCTCATGCGCCTCCGCCGCCTTCTTCATGTCCTTCTTGCTCAGGCCCTCAAGCCATTTGTCGTGTACAGCGTTGGGGTCCACGGCTTTCCTGATATAGTTGCCGTCCTCGTCGAATCGGCCCTCTTCTTGTTCCTCCTTCATGTTGAAGGCCTCGACCTTGGGCGCATTCCGCTTGAGACCGCCGAGGCCGACCTCTTCGTCGATGCCCTCCCCCTCGATCGCAAGTTCCTTGTCGGCCTCGTCGTCGCTGCTCTCTTCGTCATCTAACCGGATCTGGCCTCCACTTTTGCTGTGCAATTCCTGGCCTTGGATCTGGTCGTCGTCGAGGAAGCGGACAGCCTTGTCCTTCTTCCCCGCCTTCGTCGCCTCGTCCGCCGCCGCCTCGCCTCCCTGCTCGTCATCGTCGTCCGCCGCGAACATATCGTCATCGTCATCATCGTCCTTGCTCGCTTTTGCGTTATTCTTCGCGCCGCCCGGCTCGTTCTTGGCGTCGTAGTTATCGAGCTGGTCGAGGAAGTTCGCATCGCCCTTCTTCCCGAGGGAGCGCTCCGCCGCACGACCCTTGAAGTTGCGCTCGTTGTCGGAATCACTGTCGTAGCCGTCCAGGTTCACGGCGCCTCGTTTCGTCGCGCCGGCGCCCACCCCGATGACGTCGGCGTCGAGGATCGCATCGTCGTCCGGCGCATCGGGCGCGAGGGCGGACGGGTTGCGCACGTCGAATTTGAGCTTCTTTGAGTCGTGGCCATCCTCGTCGTGGTGATGCGTTCTCGCAAAGTTTTCGCCCTCCCGCTTCGGCCGGGCTGCTGAGTGTCGTGATGACATTTTGGGGGTGTTTGTTTTGTTGTTGTTTAGTGGTGAGTCTGGGTCGGCAGAGCAATTACGGCGGAGCTTTTCAGAGGTGGGATGCAGCTTGGATGAGCTAAAGCCGACCACCCAAGGTACCTACCTTAAGTTCGTTCTGCAAGCCTATCCGCGCACGAATACTTCATCAGGACCTCACCTCACGTCCGCCAAATCTGTCGCTTTTGTTCTCTGTTTCTCTATTTTGGTAAAATTTGATTTGTAGACTATTATAGTCAAGTTATCGCTCGAATCTGCGAGTTCCATTTTCCATACGTATCCTTTGGTCATCCGCTACCCTGCACTGAGGTAAGGTACAACTCTGACATCTGCTAGGCTGCCCCAGGGGTCGTACAGGGTTCGTAGCCAATCCGCGGCTTCAGACCATGGAGCGATGGGGTTCAGTACTTGACGTCACAAGAAGTACATCATCGCTGTTCTAGAAGAGCCTTACCATAATGGTTGAGGCTGTTCTCAACCGTAGTTTTAGGAAAGCAAGTATTTACTTGTCGGGTTTCTATGGATTTGTTCTTCGTATTGAATAGAAGCATAACCTTCTCGTATGTGGTACTAAGGTGCTGAGCTTGTTATTTATGTTTTTCCAACATTTTGTTGGGTGACCTCAGTTGGTTTGCCTCGCTATAAGTAAGTCGGTTCTACAATAAGGTAAACTCAGATCCAGATTATTATTCCTAGATGAATACTTGGGGAGTGACAACGGATAATAGGGAGGAGCAAGGGCAATGATAGAGGTAGCGACAATAGAGGTAACGAATGGATGACAGAGGTAGCAAAAACGGCCCTGCGCCGTGCCATTCAGGTGCCTTTCGGCCCCACATAAGCCGTCCCTCCACCTGTGTGCTCACAAAGCCAGTGCAACCTTAAAGGCAGAGCTTCCACCTCCACCAACTCACAGCTTGAATCATACTTCAACACCACCACACAAGATCGCCATGGTAAGCCCAAGCCGCCCGCCCAGCCCACCTTCCCAAGCTAACCACGACGGTCCAGTATCGCTTCGACCCCAGCGAAGCCGACATGTACAACTTCGCCCGCGGCGGCCGCCGCCCCATCGTCCAGAGGTTCGACGAGTACTACCGATGCTATCCCCTCATCATGGCACCCGGCGCCGAGCGTCCCGAGCTTAACTACGGTTCCAAGATCTTCCTGCCTCCTTCTGCCCTCGACAAGGTCTCGAAGCTCCACGTCCAGTGGCCCCTGTTGATGGAGATCATAAACGGCGAGAAGGGCAAGCACTCCCACTCCGGTGTGCTCGAGTTCGTCGCCGAGGAGGGAAGAGCGTACCTGCCGCAATGGGTTGGTGACCCCCTACCCCCCGACTACACACGCGCCCGCTGTGGACAAAGCTAACGCGGGATCCCCTAGATGATGGAGACCCTTCAGCTGGACGTTGGCGACATGATCCAGGTCAAGACCACCTCCCTCGAGCTCGCCCGCCTCGTCAAGCTGCAGCCGCAGTCCGTCAACTTCCTCGATATCAGCGACCCCAAGGCTGTGCTGGAGAAGGCATTTAGGAACTTCGCCACTCTGACCAAGGGTGACGTCTTCAACTTCGAGTACAACGACGAGATCTACCATGTCGCCGTGCTGGAGGTCAAGCCCGAGACGGACAAGATGGGTGTCTGCATGATCGAGACCGATGTCGAGGTCGATTTCGCCCCGCCCGTCGGTTACGTCGAGCCTGAGAAGCAACAACGCGGCAGCGGCACAAGCACCCCCCGCAGCGTCCGTGGCGGCTTGCCAGCCGGCGGTCTTCTGCACAGCCAGGGCAGCATGGCCCAGTCCATCAACTACAACGCCATCGCCCCCTCCGCGACGACGACCAATACCAATTTCTACGGTGAGGGCCAGAAGCTCAACAAGAAGGGCAGCAAGGCGTCGACACCTAAGCCGGCAACTCCAATCGCCGGTGCCTCTGCAAACGCACCTGCCGTGCCACCTTTGCCGCGCCGCTCAAACGGCCCCATGCCCCTGCGCCTGCCGCCCAACAAGCTCTTTTTCGGCTACGAGATCAAGCCCGTGAAGACGGATGCCGATAAGGAGCGCGAGAAAGAGGACGCTAACCGGCCTCACTTCGCAGGCGCGGGCCAGACGCTCAGAGGTGGTGCTGTCAAGCGGAAGGGCGAAGGCGAGGAGCAGCCCAAGGCACCCGAGAAGAAGGGACCCATTGAGGGGCACAGACTGGATGGCCGCAAGGCTTAGGAAATGGATGTGGACTGAAATTCTTGCGCCTTCTTCATGACATGGGCGGGTCGGCGTTAACGGTTTGGGACGGAAGTCATTCAAGGGCGCATCGTCGTAATTACAGAGGTATCATGAGGGATAGTCAAATAGGGATCAAGGTTCCAATGAGAAAAACGATTTAGATTTCAGCCAGGTTCAAATGCACTGGGAGAATCTGGGGTTGAATACTCAAAAGACGATGACGACAAGGCTCAAGAGACAATGAAGACAAGCAAGGCTAGAGATAACAACAACACAAACCGCGGTAGAGGAAAGGGAAGAGATGATGACTACCGTCAACTGAATCAACCTCAAGTTTGGACTTAAAAACAGCAACAGCGACTCCTTTCCAGCAAGATTCTATCAGTAAAATCAGTCTGATGCTAGGTCAGTGAAAGATTAAGCTCTCCTCTCTGTCACTGTCACTGCAGATGAGGGGGAACAGACCGTGCTGCTCTTCGTGTTCAGTGATGTTGCTCATGTCACCGTGCGTTGTAACGAAAATTTATGACGAGATCTCTCGTATTCAGTTGTCTCTATATAGAGTAGAGCTCTATAGCGAAAGAAGAAGTTTCGCCCTCCGTGGGGAAATCATGCCTGAAGAAAGAGACCCTTTGCCAAACCATCCGTTCGTCCAGCCAAAACACACCCCGTTTTCCAGCTCTCTAGTGCCGCAGTCCAAGACTCCTCCTAAAAACGGCCGAAGCCAAACCAAGTCGAAAAAGCCAATAGCAGTATCAGCCTGATAGAACCCCGCGTCCGAAGTCAAGAAAACAGTGTCCGAGAAAAACGAAAACCAGAAAGCAGCGAGACGTGCCGATGACGAATGAGTTAGCGTGCTTGCAAGAAAAGCCAGTACCACCGCAAGTCGAGAAGTGTGAGTGCCAAGATAGAACCTTAGAGACAGAGTCGTGGAAGTTGTGAAAGTACACAGCTCAGAGCTCAGACGGTCATGATGGCAAGACGGTTCTGGAGGTAGTAGTAGCGAGTCAGGGCAAACAGGATCTCGTCGTCCGCCTAGAACTCGTTCTCGGGGCTGACAGTGCGGGGGTGGAAGAGGCTGCCAACGGAGATGCCGTTGGGGTTCTCATCGAGAGCCATGGTGCAGCTATCATGCGAAAGGTTAGCTTGAGACTCAACGAAGTAATGAAAAGAAGAGGACGGGTGGTTCATGGTATGATGAAAGGGCTAAATGGGTCACTAACCTGCGGTCGCGGCCGGCACGGCTGGGGTCGATGAAGGCAGCAGAGTTGCCGTTCTGGGCGGCGGACTCCTCCTTCTTGACCTCCTTCTTGACGAGGGGGGGACCCAAGGCCTGGTTGACCTGGGTGATCTCAACCTCATCACCGTTGCCCTCCTCGGTGAGATCGAAGCTCTGACCGTGGAGACCGGTGGCAGGACCAGCGCCGGTCTTGGCGCGCTTGGAGACGGGAGGCTTGACCTCGTCGAACTCCTCGTCATCGTCGCCGCCGTTGTCGTGGGCGTAGGCGGCGTTGGCCATCTGGACGGTGGCCTGGTTGCCGCGACCACCGGGAGTACGAGCGGTGGCGGTGCCAGCGGTCTTCTTGCCGGAGGAAGCAGGGGCAGATCTCTTGCGAGTGTTGACGGGGGTAGAAGGACCGGAGTTGGAGGCGGCGGCACCACTGCCAGCGCCACCACCAGCAGCAACGGCCTGCTTGTGCTGCTTGATGATGACCTTAGTCCAGCGCTGGCTGTGAGGAGGTGTTAGTATGTATGTCCCATGTTAAGCAAGTGCTTCCATGTCAAGCAAGTTGCTCCCATGTCAAGCAAGTGCTTCCTCGTGAATAACATGTTTTGAGAGGAAGGAGGTGAGGAAATGGAATAAGACGAAAGCCAACAAGGATGATGACGAGAATAAACTTACCGCATGGCATCGAGAGTGAAGTTGTAGCCCAAACCGACCATCTGCTCGTGGGTTTTGGCCCAGTCGATCTTGACGTTGCTGTCACTCATGTGCGCAGCAAGGCAGAGCTGGCGTTCAGCCTGAGCGTCCCACTTGGTAGTCATTGTGAGCGATGTTTCTTCTGCGCGAAACTGGTTAGCAATGCGGATGAACGTACATGTAAAGGTGAAGGTACCTGTCGAAGTGTTGAGTGAAGAAGATAAAGTGTCGAAGCTGTGGGTGGAAGCGGGTTGGGCACGGAAGGTAAAGGACTGAATAAGCAACGAGTGCCGATGGACGAGGGAAATGATGATGAGAGACTATGATAGTGATAGGAAGGCAGGAAGGCAACAGAGTTGGATACCTGAGATGGTTGTCAGCGATTGTGAGCGCGGTGGTCGCGATGTTGTTGTGTGGAGGAGGAAGAAGTTTGGAGGGTCAACAACGCGGTCGAAATAAATAAACGCCCTCGAGCCGAGTCCCAGTTGAACAAGGAAGGAGGGAAATCAGAGCTGGACTCGCCCTGAACAGTTTAGGTTTGTTATTGTGACGAGAGCGGAGACATGTGTGATGAGTCGTCAAGCACTCATCGTGGAGGCAACACGACACGGTGGTGTTGTGAGGAAAAGGGGCATCATGTGTTGCCTAGTGCATGCGGGGCCAGGCCTGAGGAACATGTCTAGCAGAGACCATGAGTTTCCGTACAAAGGAATGAGAATGCAAGAGACAAGGGTAACAAGACTTACCAAACAGTTGAAGAGGATCAGCATTAGGGGAATAGTTATATGCAATCATTGAATAAGGAGATCAAAGCAGGAGAAAGCAGTCGTGTTTCTCATTGTTTGGCTATCTTCAGAGCCTCGACCTTCTGTGGTCAGTTGCGAATCCGTTCCAAGCGAGCATTTCCTCCCCCAAGATGTCTTCTCCCCTCCACAAATCCAATGAGTGTCCCCGGATAATTCAGTTCCCAAAACGCCCCCTGCCGAATATTCCATTGTTGACCTGAGTGGTTGTTGAAGTGAGATTGAGTCGCATCTTAAATGGAAGCAGCGGCGAAGTCGATGGCCTCCTCGGCGGCCTCAGCCTCATTGACGTCGCGGAAACTGTTGACTATCGTTAGCATCATGTTGGAAATAAAGCCAGGAGTGGCATTCATCTCACCACAGCCAAGGTGGTAACTTACTCGGGACGGACAGGAGCCTTGGGCTTCTTAGCGGACTTCTGGTCCTCTTCGTCATCGTCCTCCTCGGACTTGACCTTCTTAGAGGGAGTCTTGCGCTTGCGCGGGGTGGCCGCTTTCTTAGCGGGAGTTTTCTTGGGAGTGTTTGCAGCAGAGGCGCTGCTGCCCTCTCCGTTATCGTTGGCAACGGTAGCCTCCTTCTTCTGCAACTTCTGCAGGTGCTGTCTGCAAGTGCGTTAGTGCGATGACCTGGGAAAGCAACTGAAGTTAAGAGCAAGAAAACGGGAGGAAGGTACATGACGGCGCTTGAAGTGTAGTTGTAGCCCTTCTCACGGACACTGTTCAGGACCTCATCCCACTGGTCCTTGCTGAGCTTCAAGACCGGCAGGAGCGCGATCAGAAGGTCCGCATGAGCCTTGTCGTCCCAGATGGTAACAGGTGCCATGGTGTTTTGTGTCAAGAGTTGTTGGATAAATGAAAGTGTGAGGTTGTGGAAGTAGTGAAGTGGATGGAGAAGCAAGAAAACGGGACAGGAAGGTGGTTAAATAGGGACCAGTTGAAGAAAAAAGAAGGAGAGTGGAAGGAGTTGGTTAAGATGGAAGGCAGAATCAGGCAGACAGAAGGAGAAGGAGAAAGGCAGAAGGAAAGAGCGGCTCACTTCATGGTGATGACCGTGAAGCCGTAGCCGCAAGGCTTCAGAGCCTCGAAGATAGCCTCGTACTGCTCAGTACTTGGGTTCATGACTTTCACCATAGCAGTAAGGATGTCCTGATCAATCTCAGGAGTCCACTTCTGATAATGGCGAGACATGGTGGCTGCTGGAGTCTGAAAGTGCGGAGAGATAGGAAGATTGATGAGGTTAAGTGAGGGACGGTTGGAGTCCAAGTGCATAGATGGAAAACATAGATGTGGGAAAGAAAGCACAACGGGGAAGGAGAGGAAGGGCAACAGGTGAAGGAAGGGAAGCACGGGAAAGAAGGAAGTGGAATAAGGAAGGGGAAGAAGAGCAACAAGGGAAGGAAGGAAGGAAGCCAGAAGGAAGCTCTTACTTGAGCGCAGAAGCGGTGAAATTGTAGCCACAAGGTTCGAGATTCTTCAGGACGACGTCGTACTGCTCGCTGGTCGGGTTGACAGCCTTGACGAGGACGACCAGGATCTGCTGGTCGACCTCAGAGGTCCATTTCATTTGGCTGCGAGACATTGTGATGGAGTTCTTGTGAAGAATGTGTACGTAGGCTGAGGTTGAAGTTGGATGGAGAGGGGGAAAGCGTAGAGAGAGAAGGAAGTGTTGCGATTTAAGTACGTCTGAAAGCAGAAGATAGGAAGACGGAAGGAGCAAGAACCAAACTCAAAAAGAAATAACAGTGGGCAGTGAAATGGTTACCTTACTCCCTCCCAGGTGATGTCAGTGAAGCCCCAAAGATGGACTTTCTCGACAACGGCATCCTTAGCTTCCTTGGTAAGACCCTCGCCCTTGGCGACGCCATGGAAAGCCATGACCAACGCCTCAAGAAGGACAGGGTTCGACCACTTGCCGGCGGAGGAAGCCTTATCAGCCATATTGATGATTGTGGATTGATGGTTGATGATAAACAAGAGTACAGATAAAGTTGCGAGTGTTGAGATGAGGTGATTTTGCGTAAAGCGACAAGTTGGGCAAGATGGAAAGAAGAAAGGCAGGGAAGGAGGGGAAAGTGTTGCGATATATGGACGCAATTCCAGTGTCGAAGCAAAAAGAACCGGGGGACTAGAACCAGACGCAAAGGAAGACGCGGCAAGACAGAAAGAAAGGAAGGAGATGTGGATACCTAATGGCCTCCCAGGTAACATCCTCGAAACCACGAGCATGGATTTTGTCGACGAGTGCGTCCTTGGCCGTCTTGTCGAGGTTGTCCTTCGCAAGACTGTGGAAAGCCATCATGAGAGCCTCCAGAAGGGCAGGGTTGGCCCATTTTCCAACGCCGATGGCAGTCGTCTCGGAAATGATGATGGTTGTCTTTTTGATATTGGGTTGAGAAGGATGTGCAAAGATATGGGAAGGTAGTGCGACGAGATGAGGAAAGTTGGTGCAGAGTGGATTGTTGGAGAGGTTTTGGGGGGGAAGTAAGGCTCAGCGAGAAGCAGGTAAACAGAAGCTACCTAGCGAGGCAGGCACTCCAACCAGCACCAAGCGAAAGGCGCGTCGCAAAAACAACAAGAGCAGCAAGAGGAAAGAAAGTCGTGGATACGTACCGGATGCCGTTCCAAGTGACATCGGCATAGCCCTCGCCCTGGAGGCGGGTCTCGATGGCCTCCTTGGTCTCCTTGCTGAGGCCGTCGCCCTTCAGCTGACCATAGAAGCACATCATGAGGCTGGTGAGGAACTCAGGGTTGTTCCAGCGGCTAGGCTTCTCAGACATCTTGACGGTTCGTTGTCGGGGTAGGTCGCGGTGGTAAGTTGTGCTTGGTGTCGATGGCGGAGTGTTGGTTCACAAGAGATGGAGGAGGCTGTAGAGATTTGAAAAGGCAGAGGATACCAAACCGCTAGGTGGGGGGGCTTAAAAGCAGATGGGTGCTCGACCCTAGAGATGGGAGGAGGTCAAATGAAATTTGCTGGAGACACGGTGTAGCCTAGAAAAGTTCTAAGGAGAAAGAAACACAGCTCCAAAGACGAGAAAACCACCTCAACTTGACAAGACAGCAGCCTAGTGGTGCGTTGAATCAGCTGCAGAGTGCAAAAGGTTTTAAGGCTGCTGGGCCTGCTTCGGACAGAACATGCCTGAAACCTGGAGATGATGATGGTTCATTGGCAAGGGATACGTGATCAGACATAAACACACAAAACTCAAAGAAACACGAAAATATCTGGGGAAATCTGGCGAAGCCGGTTGATTGATATCTCATGGTGCACCAAAAAGCCTCCATCGCCGAGCAGAGCAGTACACTCCTAGGAAATAAACAACCAAGCAGAATAGCACAGTAAGAAGCAAATTATAGACTCCCAATAACGCCGTCGTGTTCACGAAACCTCGCTCCCGATGCCACGCTCGCTCCCATGCATAACGCCTTGCCTTGGAAGAACGATCTTAGAAGAGTTCGGCCTTAAGTCTCTTTTGGATTACTCGACTTGTCGCCATCTGGCTTACTGCAGGCATTTTTGTCGGTTGTAATCGAAGCAAGTAGAGCGTCCAAGTCTTTATCGTTCAAGCCAGCGGCGGAATCACCATGCTCGTCCGGGTCTTTGTCCTACGTGTCGCCGCCGTAGCTGAAGGCATGCGATTCCGATCCGTTTAAGCCAGCAGTGGGATACTCGGAAGCGTAAGGGTCAACGGAGGGGGCGTTGCTATGCGCGGCCAAGGCTAATACAGCTTCGTCGTCAAGAGATTGATCCGGAGGTGTATCGTCAAGTTTCAGCCGCTTCGCCTGGTGTTCCTCGTTGTCATCATCGTTGTCGTCTTCCTTCAGGGACATGTCGAGCGTATCATCTTTGAGAGGTAAATCCATGGAATCGGGCAGGCTATGAAGGCCATCAGGTATGCCAGCTGCACCGGGTGGTGGCGGCGGCTGCTGCTGTTGAGGCGACTCTTCAGCTGGCTGAGCTGGCTGAAGTTGTGGTTGTTGCTGATGCTGCGGTTGCTGCTGTGGCTGCTGCTGCTGATCGACGAGCTCAGCCTGGTCAGACTGCGGCTGTCCGGGTGGAGGAAGTTGTCCAGGTTGACCAGCCTGGGCCGACAGCGGGGGAATTGGCATCGGCGCAGGTTGCTGCTGCTGCTTCTTAGGCCTTCCACGGCCCGGACCAGGGCGGCGAGTGATGGGGTTCATGGTTGGATCAGCCCTCCTCGGGTTATCTGAGCTTCCTCCGTTGGAGTCGGCCTTGTGCTGGGCGCGGCGGAGGCCTTGGAAGTGTTGGCTGCGCTCAGGTCAGTTACTATCCACACAGACACAAGGTAAGTGATCCAGCTGGCCGCGAAAAGCGAGTGACCAGAAGGTCGTTTGCAAATGAACTAATGGTAATTGAGGCAGAACAGGTGTAGGCTACCAAACGATTGCATGATCGTACAATGGATGAGTGAAACATGGGGTTGGTAAGGTCGCGCAACTCCACCTCCAGGCGGGCAGTAAATCGCTCTTCTGACAGCCTGACAAAGCCTCGAGCCGTCGCGACATGAGTAGTGATGATAGTGATGAATAAGAATGACACAAAGGTATTCTATGGCAGATAGGAATGAGAAGTTCAACTCACCGACATCCCTCATTGGTGAAGCCGTAACCAAGAGTGCGCATGTGGTTGCCGATGGTGGTCCATTCCGAGCCGCTAATGACGCCGATGTTCTTCACGGATAATATGGTGAAAAACAGGTCCTTGTCGGCCCTGTCGTTCCAATTTTTGTTCATGGCGATGGGCGGGATCGAGTTTGCGATGTCTGGCAATGATGTTGGCGACTTACACCGACGACTGGAGACCAAGCTGCTAGCAGTCTTAACAGCTCTACTCGATCAAATGAGAAAATTGGTAGTGAGCGGCGACAGAGGGACGGAGCTGCGATTGAAACTGGGGCAGAGGTTGGGGCGCCCGTGCCAGCTCGGTCCAAACGGGTGGGTCACGTGGTTTCGGCTTAACAATTGACCGAAGGAAACCTCAGCTGCATCCCGGCTGTTTCGATGCACCGGGGTCCAAAACTAAGGAAAATTGTACTGTGGATGTGCTGAAGCTTGCTGCTCATCTGTACTCAATTTTTGTTAAATACGATGATGGAACAGCACTACGAAGAGCTTCAAGTGACGACTGCCCAGAGACGTTGATGATAGACGGCGAGCGGAGAAGATGGCTCGTGCATTGCCGAGGTTTAGCCTTCTAACCTGGGCCATCAGGATCAAACAGCCGGAGACGAAGATGGATCGTCCTGGTAGAGCGCCTACCCGTCCTCTCAACTGCGTCAGAAAAGCCTCGGTACCTTCGAAATAGGTGACCTCTGAGGGTTAAACTGCTCAATAACCAAGGCAATTCTACCAAGCAGTGACTGCACTAACTTTCTCCTTCATCGCATGTACGCAGTAGATATCTGTGTCTCTGGACGGAAGCCTTCTGGCGAATATGAAATATGAGACAAAAGCCGTCGAAAGTCGCCCTCGAAGTCTCTTTGAGACAGCCATCCGATTTGTGATAGAGAAGTCTTGTCAAGTCTCGCTGTCAAGTTTTTGGTGTGAGACATGCAGGAAACGCATAGCTCTGGTGTCTTCGCTGGCTCGAGGGAGATCTGGAGTGGGGACGCCTTCGTGGGAATCTGTCTTGTCTGCACTTGAAGCACCCATCATCATTGAGGCAAAGATTCGAAAAGAGGCTCCAGCAAACGACTCGGCGCAAGCGTGTCGATCTTCCTTCCAGCGCCAGGTATTTTCCTCGCCAGACGTCGCACACCACACCACGAAGCAACGACAAACGGAAAGGGGCGCTTGCGCCAGCCAAGGACAGGTCGCCCGCATGCTCCATCGCCGCTTTAACCTCGAGCTGCAGCTTGCGGCGTCAGCGGTCGACGTGGAGAACTTGGGCCTCTAACAGCTTCCAATGTCGTACTGGCGGCACCGGGGGTGCTGCGGCGGACACCACCACCATCTCAAGCACGCCAGGCAGCCCTCAGGCAGCAAGGGCTACGTATCGTCTCCACATCACGTGGTTTCGTGGAAACCTGGCGAATACCTCGTAGCACAGTGCCCGCCCGCCATGACAGGAGAACGCGTCCTCCGACGACATCGTCGCGACCCCCCAACTTCATCGCGTCTCGCCCAAGGCGCAACGAGGTCTCTGGACGCCAGAAACGCCGATATAATGACTTCTATATGGATCATTTGTATTTTCTACAATTTTAACCGGCATCAAAACTGCTTTTACTCGTCGAATGGCCAATTCGCCCAACAATTGCGAGCTCTCTGAAATATCTCGATGGACCCCTCTCTGCCGATGCCTCCCACCCGCCAGTATCCGGCACACTTCCCTGGCCAAACACGAGCTGGAGATTGCGAAAGTGTGATTTACCGATTTGCGAATCTAGGGGGTCCCTAATCGGGCCACGAGGTTCAAACTCTGTTTGCAATTGTTCGCCGTATCTTGCAGTGCAGCAGTCCGTCGACGCAAGCCTCAACGGCTCTTCTCTCACTTCCTAGCACGACACACCCCCGGCACGCACCCAGCTATTTCCAAGGCCAGACTGTCGACTGGCATCATGCGTCGTCACAAGCGTTCGTCGACCACAAAATGGTTCGGTCCAGCTTTTTTTTGTTTGACGACTCGATGCGGGAGTGTAGTGTCGCCAATGAATCGTGGTGGTGCTAAATTGATGCTGCAACATAGACGCAGCCAATGGGTCCAACCCCCTCCATTTCTCAGCTAATGTATCTGACCTTTTAGTGAGTATGAGTCACACACCCTTACCACTCGTCTGTCTCATCCCATTAAGATCCCTGCCGCGTCTCCAAGTGGTCCGCGGGCGTTCCTGGATCTTGCATCACGGCCTCTCTGACCGGTCCAGAATGAGAGCGATTGACCCCCAAGCATTTTTTTTTTCGCCAGAGGTTGCGCGTGTCAATTGACGAGTCAATTGTGCCTGCAAGTGCAAATGACCGATAGTGCTTGCATGTCAGTGGGTGCGCTAGTCGGATGCCTCGCAATTCCTAGCCTTCCGCTCAAACCTTTATTCGTCGGGGAGAGTTCAAGTGTACTCCATCGTCGGCTGCGTGCAGGGGTGGCTTCGGCAAAAGAGGAAAAGCGAGGGAAAAAACCACTTTACGCGATTACACGGCCCCGCGACTGGTTCCAAGTTCCCTCCCCCCTCAGGTCTCACGCTGCCACCCCTCCACCATCTCATCCTCTCATCCCGTCCGCCTTACTGCCATCCACCACCACACGATGCATCGCCCTCCATGCTCTTGCATTTGAGCCTGCACCACACCACCCCCCCTACCACAAACGTCACACCCCCGCGAAAAAAAAGATCCTCGTCGTCAAAGCCTGCCGTAACTCCAGGCAACAAGGGACTATTTTGATTCCTTGTGTCTCAAGCGGGTTTGCCACTTTTACACCTCAATAAAATGTCGGCCCAAGCGCCGCGCGCTGTCTGCCCTGAAAGCATGCTCTTCGCCTTTCTTTTTCCCCATACTGTACCGCTAGAGCTCCGGTCAAGGTACAGCTCCGCTGTCCATCGTAGCTGGCTGGATCCATCGTCTTCGGTTCCCAGAGAAGCATCAAGCCGACATGCATATCCATTCCCTTTAGCCCCATAGTCCAAGGCCACCCTCACCCTCCAAAGCACCTATAACTACCGTTGATGCCCCGGGGTTGTATGGCTGACAGTCTTCGATGCCTCCTTGTCTGCCTCTTTTGTTCGCCTCATCTTTCTTGACCACCCACACCAACGGGTGACTGATCTTATCCTCAGTGGTTGCACCATCTTCAAAACGCAACCTGCTGACCTGCCTCACCATATATCTCTTCGGTATCGCCTCACCAATCTTCACAGTGACTCATTTACTCCCAAACAACTCCACACTTGCCTGTTGGTGTGCTGGATGGTTGAGTCGTCCCAAAGCCTCACCAACCGTCGCTGTGCAGTTCAAATTGCTCTTATTCCTCGAGCTCACTGAACTCAAACTCGACCTCACCTCCCTTCTGTAGCCTGGTCAGCTCAGGGTGGCAACCTCTTCAATACTTCCAACATGTCCTCCAACACAGACAACCAGATGACGAGGTTTCTCTTCGCCATCTTGAAACAGAAGAACTTGAAGGATGTAAGTGCTTCTGGATGCTTCATGCCCTCTTCCCCTTTGGCTCATCACATCTCCAGATTGACTGGAATGCCGTCGCCCACGACCCGATACTGTCACAGCCCATCACCAACGGCCATGCAGCACGCATGAGATACTCCCGCTTCCGCTCGGCGATGTTGGGCATCGAGCCTCAAAAACGAAACCGCGCCGCCGTCAACAAGAACAGAGTCACCAAGTCCAAGAAGGAACCGAAACCGAAAAAGGAAGAAGACAGCGACAACGATCGTGTCAAGCCAGAACCAGGGACCACGAACTCGTCGTCTCGCACGAGGTCTCCTGTCAGGGTCAAGCAGGAGCTCAACAACCAGCCTCCCTACCGACAACAGTTCACACCGGCTTCTATGGCATCACCACCTGCGCCCGAATGCCAACCGACGTTTCAGCCGAGACTCCTGACGCCCTGCAGCGACGACATGTTCTCGGCACCTCAAAACCTACAGTTCAGCCCGTCTACCAACATGATGGGAACTACGTTCGACATTCCATCTGTCCTGCCCTGCGCCCACGACCAAGAACCACACCACGAGCACGACCACAACAACTTCTGGGGATCAAGCCCCATTCACTCCGCCTTCGATGCTGCGTACGACATCGAGGGGTTTGGTCTGGGTGCCATGTGTGATCACCAGGGCGGGCAAGGGCACTCGAGCGAGCTGCACGGGTCGCCGTCGCTGGCGAACTTGTTGAACGAACCCATGAACATCAAGAACGAGCACTGGGACGCCCAGTTCCACCCATAACATTATTGTTGTTTTCCGGGGTTGGGCTTGGTGAGGTTTTGTATACGTGTCGGTTCCAGGTCGGAAAAAAAGGTTGGGAAAGATTGCTCGCGTCGGCTTCTCTTCTTCTGTCGTCTCGTGCTGGTCACTCCGCTCCCCCATTTTGGATTGCCAGTTGTAATAATGTTGTTATGCACACCTGGACGGCGTCTGGTTGGTTTAGAATGTATGCCCTAGAGTAAGGGGGTTTTGGATCTTCTCAAGAAATATCACGATTCCCACGACCGTCTGCTTCTTCATACTGCTTGCTGCCGATCGAGAATATGCAAGAGACCTTTTGATCTTCAAAGCCATCCTGGCCAGCTAGTTTGTGGTATTAAGCAGCAACATCGTATGCACGCAAGATCGAGAGCCCGAGTATTGAAGAAGGCGTCAGGGAGCGATTAACCGTGTAAGATGTTGTTTAGTTATCCCACTGCCACACTCGACACGAGATGAGCAAGTGTGATCGAACACCTGCGTTCTGATCAGCCAGTTCAGACCAGACTGGTTTGAGTGGAGATGTTGTTTCCAACGGCGAGTGATGATAGTTAGTATTACCTGGGCTTCCCCGTCAACGACGGTCATGGCAGATAACGTTCTGAGTTACGATTCTCGTCGAGGATCTGGAGGTAGACCCTCCCTCGCCAGCAACTTGTCATTTGCGAACTTCTATTTTCTTTGACAACTCATCAGCCTCATGTTTCTTCCGGGGTCAGGATAAATGAATATTGCATTGTGGTTTTGCAAATTCAGGTCACCAGTTTCACGCTCTCGTGGACCACGTCTTTGGGCTCCTTCTCAAATCATCATTCTCTTGTATTTTTCTCGTCTCTACCTGCCTCGATATCAGAAAAGTCGCAGCTGCCTTGCCAATTTTTCCTCTCAGGCTTGAAGCTATTTAATCCATCTCCTTCTTCCCACAAGTTGCTCTTTTCCTTTTCTTCTCACCATCCGCCTACTCCGCGTTCAACTCAACCATTACTTTTCCACACCTACCCATCACCTTCAACAACATAAAAGGTCAGTCAACATGTCTTCACATGAATCTGATTGAAGCATCAATTATTTTTGCTGAAATAAATTTCCAGACTTCTGCATCCTGCAACTACTCGCCTCCACATTTTCACCCAAGGTATGTCTCGTCCCTCAGGACTGTTTCGAGTGTTCTTACTCAACGGCACATCAGACACGCTCAGTACGCAACCATGGCCGATTCCAGCTCTACCCCCGCCAAGGAGCCGTCTGCCGGTGACATCGCCTTCATGGTCCTCGTCTTCAAGCATATGAAGGAGAAACCCGCCCTCGACTGGAACGTCCTTGCGACCGCTGGTGGCTTCAAGAACCAGAACGTCGCCATGGTATTTCCCCCTCAAAACTTACCTGCCCAATCTCCATTTTTCGGTGCCTTTTCTAATTGTACCATTGCTAATTCTTTCGTTCAGACTCGCTACTCTCAGATCAGAAAGAAGCTGGGTACGACCGAGGCCGCCGCCCCCAAGACCCCGACGAAGAAGAAGGCCGGTGACAGTCCCGCCTCCGCCTCGAAGGTCACGAAGTCGGGTGGTCGCGTTGGCACCAAGGGTAAGAAGGGAAAGGCAGTCATCAAGGCTGAGGAGGCTGAGGACGACGAGGAGCCTATCGTCAAGCCGGAGGTTGATGACCGCGAGGCTACCATCAAGCCAGAGTCCGACAACTAAGCTTACTCAACCATCAACTCTGGATTTCTACTTGGCATACTGTCGTCATCTGACTGGAGAGAGGGATGAGGCAAATTCTGGCTTGCTTTGTATGGACCGGATACAGAGACATAACTTGGTACATCTCGCGTTAACCGAATACAGCTTTTGAGCAACACATGATTTGGACCCGCGTGACCTTGAACCTGACTTGGCCCCGCGGAACTTTGAAAAGGATGCTCAGCGCCGACTTCTTCCCTGGCATCTTGTTGGTTTCTAAGCCTCGTATCCGTTGCCTTCCTGATGTGGCCTATTTCTTGTCTGTTCCATGCAGCTACTCGGTCCCTCCAACTGGTGCTGTCTAAATCATTCCACATCACAGAGATTTCATCTCATTGTCTATGCCGCACCATGTTCGATGTTGATGAAACGGACTTGATGGTCGAACCGATATACAAAGATCTAGACTCGACTCTAATAGTCTCTCATCTTCTAGTCAACGTTTTTGTCTCCATTTTGCCCTGAGAGACATCCCCCATTGCCTTGATTTGTATCAGAACAAAGCATCTGATCTTCTGCATTTCACAATGTTGAGAACTTGCCCACTGCCCTGTTGGTCTGGATAGCTCTCGCCTCAATGGATTTTCAGCAGAAGGCGGGTACCATCCAGGAACCTGAGCACTTCTCTTAATGAGGCGAGTGCAGTCCACGACAATCAAGCGGGGCGAGATCAAGCAAACCCCATCATATAAAATCTCCTTCCCATTGCCTGGCCTCTCAAATTTTCTTCTCCCCTCCTTCTCTCCAGATCAGCCTCTGAGTACTCGTCTCACACAAACTCTCAGTTCAAGCTTCACCTTCAGAGCTTAGCTCAAGACACAACATATCAGACTCAACAACCATCATCTTCGGTAACACAAACTTGTGTCTTATGATGTTCGACTGTATGCTAATTACATTGCTCAACAGACAAGACAACCGCCATGCCTCCCAAGAAGAACACCGACGGAGAGTCCTCCTCCTCCTCCTCTCTCAACGAGGGCGACTCCCGCTTCATCAAGGCCATGTTCGACAACATGAACTCGCGCCCCGACATCGACTGGGACAAGCTCGGCAAGGACATGAGCATGACTCCCAAGTCCGCCAAGGAGCGCCTCCGCAAGATGAGCAAGCGCTACAACTGGAACACTGACAGCGGCGGCAGCTCCGGTGGCTCCCCTGCCAAGACCAAGGGCCCCCTCGCTCCGAAGAACACCGGCAAGGTCGCGAAGACTGGCACTCCCAAGAAGGGAACCGCACAAAAGAAGGTATGCTTTCCTGTTCCTTAGAAAGTGACGCGGTTGCTAATCTGTTGTTTGCAGGGCAAGTCGAAGAAGGATGAGTCCGACGACGACGAGGACATCTCCTCCAAGCTCGGATCTGACTCTGACGGAAAGGCTGTCGCTCAGGATGAGTTCATGGCTAGCACCAGTGAATCTGACGAGTAGAACATCGTGGCTTCGTTCAAGATAGAGGTTTCAGGTTCTGAATGAGAGACAACTATCGCGACAGATGGATACAAACTTGGGCAGATTAAATCCAGGATTTAGAAGTAGTTGGTGAGCCGAATAGAAGTCCTGGTCTCCGAAATTATTCCCATTGAAATAATGTGATTTGTTGTCTTGATTCTCCATGTCATTTTTCTGTATGGTTCTAGACGTGACGATGCTTCATTTGCTCCGACTGGGGGTTTTCGGAAGGCACCAAATATCTCGACGGGGGCTTTCACCCACAAAGGCACAATCTCCTTTGGCTCATACTATTGATTTTTCTTGCAGATGTTTGAGAACATGACTGCCATTTAAAACCCATCTTTTGTTCGCCTTCTTGTTAAAGTGTGATGGAGCAGAAAAGGAGACATGTCTTTGAGCATACATGTCCTGTCTTCTCCTTGAACAGATGAGGCTGCCTTCATCCCCTCTTTTGCTGGGCAGCTTAAATATCTGAGTCCATATGCGCCATGCTGCTGAGAGTTCTGAGACTTGAAAATTCTGTGAGGTTGGTGCCTCCATGACTTGAGCTCCAGCCAGGGTCAACATCTCATATTTCTTAGGACGCCTAGGGAAGGAATACCAGCTCCAAATTCGACTAGCGCGTATACACACCACCTTCCAACTTCAAGTCTCATGATGACCTGAGATTTCGAGAGCACCTTCGAGTTCCAGGTAGCCTAAAAAAAACTTCCCACACCCTCGTCAATGCCAGTGTCTCACGACTCTGATACCACAAGTTCTGGTAAGTACTTTCAGCTTTATGAACCGTTGCCAGCCTTTTCTGAGAACACTTCACATCAAAATATTTTTTCCACTTTGCTACCAGAAGGTGCTTCATACTAACATTCCTCGAAGCTGTCGCTTGCTGCCTTCCGTGGTTGCCTTCCCTTCACAGGTACTGCTCGTCACGCCGTTCTCTCCCAGGCTGTTCCTTCCTCTTCCCCAAGTGTCTGCTTTAGCCTGAGCCCCTGCACCCGCTCTCATCATCCCACCTTCCTTCTATTGCTCGCTTGTCCATTGGTTCTTGCCTCTGAGGACCTACGCGACGTCAATTTCGCGCCAGCCCCCACTCTCAGGTATATCTCCCGTCTCACGCCTCTATCTTTTCCCTCCGTTCCTTCTCAACTTCAACCAATTCTCCTTTTCTACTATCCAGTCGCAGCATCTTGGCTTCGCGCTGACACTTTCCTCAACCAGGTCTTGGCACTTGTACACCTGCACATCCTCACCCAAACTTTCCTCGATACAAACAGCCATCATGTCCGCCCCCGCAACCGGAACCGGCACCGACAGTGAGGGTCAGGTCAAATTCCTGGTTAACTGCATCCGCTTTTCCAACCAAGGAAAGGTACGTACTTCATCTCAACGCCGAGATGTACTTTAGCTGACCTTCCTAGATTGATTACGATGCTGTCGCTAAGGAGTGTGGCATCGTCTCCAAGGCCGCTGCGTGAGTTGCCTCATCGTCCCGTCTCATCTGCGATGCATCAGCTAACCAAGTTTTCCTGACAGGGCTAAGCGGTTCTCCCGTATCCTCTTGAGCCACGGCATGAAGGCTGGTGACCTCGCCAAGGGAGGACCCGTTAGCACTGGTTCCCCCTCCCAGACTCCTACTGGTACTCCGAAGACGCCCGCCAAGAGTGCCGGCAAGTCGACTCCCAAGGCCAAGTCTACTGGAAAGCGTGCCGCCGCTGCTTCTCCTACCAGCAACACCAAGCGGGCCCGTGCTAAGCTTGCTTCTCACCCTGCTGTCGCGTCCTACCATGACGAAGATGACGAGGAGGAGCAGGACGAGTTCAAGGTCAAGAAGGAGGAGCCTGCGTCCGCCAACACCGGTTCGTACCACGAAAAGCCTCGAGACTGCGATCGCGATGACGACGACTTGCAACTTCTCTACGTTGTAGAGAAGACGAACGGTTGCCCCGTCCACGATACCGGCGAATACCGAGGTCCCCATTCCGTTTCCGTTTCGAGCGATACTGATACCGAATCTTCGATGCAGATGCTGCCGACGGCGATAAGCAATTCCAGGCCTGATTTTCCCCAAATACCTCTTTGTTATCAAGGTTGGGGTTTTACACCACATCCAGCCTTCCAAGTATGGCCAGATACTTGCATACACGAAGATATGGATGCTGCTCAGATGGTTGGATGTGAGTCTCACCCACGTTCTTCAGTATGAATCGAGCTAACAAAGCTACTTACAGGACGGAGGCTTTCTACGGCTTATACGATGGCGGCAGGATTATGGGGCCTTTGATTTCGACGAGAATACCTCTTTAGACTTGGAGGGCAGGAATAGAAGACATCAAAGGAATAAAAAGGCTTGACATACGATGCCGACCGCTCCTAAACATTGTGACACATGCAACTTCTGACGAGACATCTTGTCCACAGCCGTTGGAGATACTTCGAGTAGATGTACTGGCCAGATCGGGAAGGTGGGGGTGATCGTGGCTGCGGGGATGATCCAGGGGCAGGGGTGTGGCGTCTTGCTCCCAAGACAGCCCGATGATGCTAAATTAGACGACATCTTCTCGCTGTGTTCGAACTTGCTTCTTTGAGCCGTCATCTTTTACGACGTGCGTAGAGAAAAACCCTGATTTTCTAAGGCGTTAAGCAACAGATAGGAACCGCTCACAGAATGCTCCAAATGTAACAAAATCTCGCGACATGATGAGCTGGCTAGCTAGCTCAGTGTAAGTCATGGCGTCTGAGACGAATTCCTTCGAAAAACCCATCCACCATTTTTTTGTGACGGCATTGTGTGACTTCAGGCAATTTTATCAGCGCATTGTTATCTGCCACCTGATCTGTCCAGACTGCAAGCAATTCATCACTCCCACCTCATCTACGCTGTATGGGCCGTTTCTCAAAAGTACCACCAGACCTCTTAAAACGCCACCAGGAAAAAATAAAACATTGCCCGGCAAATTCTTCTCCAGATGTTGAGTTTTTGCAAGAACAAAGCCACGCGCCCTAGCTGAAAGGTCAGCTAGTCTGGCAGAGTGAGCTTAGGTTTGGTCCCAACTCATCTCTCCTCTCATACCTACCTTCCTCCAGAAAACTCTTCCATATTCACTCACACCAAGCCGCTTTTCTTCACAGACCGACAAGTTGGCCCCACATCACCTTCCCTCTCAACTTCCTTCCGTCCACACCTTCCCATCAGACTCGAGCTCTTCCTGCCTTTGTCCTTCCATCTCCCAACCATTCCATTGGCGAAGCCCAGCACCGAGGCGAGAAAACTTTTCCTAATTGGCCCCGGCACACACACCCGAGGACACACACATACACCGAAAACTTTTCGACCTCGACGAGCTCCGGAAAACTTCCCCCCTTCTTCCCATCTCGCGCTCTCTCCTTCCCTCCCAATCGCTGCCAGAAGCCAACCCGACCGAACCATCGCATCAACATCACGCCTCACCGTCGTTATCAACCTCTATTTTCTTCTCGAATTATCACGAATGTCCATTCGTACCGTTACAACTTTTCCCCGTTCAATAAATTGGTGAGTTATTTCGAAGTTCCTTCTCTCGTCTACGTATCTTTCCTTTGCTGTGCTGCTCTCCGAGTTTTGCATCGTGGCTGTCGAGCACGCGATTAACCATCCGAACAGATCCCCCGCGATCCCAACTTCTTCCTCCTCTACACCATCATATCGTCGACGCAGGTACACTGCCATCGCAATGGACGACTCCGGCTGCGCAAAGGTTCTCGACGTTGGGGTTGATTGGGAGCTCGAGTCGGGCGCTTCTACTCCTCGGTCCGATACTTCTTCGAGTTCGCAGGACAGCGTGTTTTCGAAGCCGAGGACGCCTGTGTCTCCTGCCGATACCGAGATGTCTTTTTCGAGTCTTGATCCCGATGACGAGAAACATCCCGACAGCTCAACTAAATCAAAGGCCATAAACATTCCCAACTACCCCAACCACATCGTCGCCGGATCAATGCTGTGCTCACCCGGACAGCTCAAAGTGTGGCGCGACACCCTCGAGCAAGCAAGAAAGACAGGAGAGTTTCCCAACACCACATCCTCAGTCGAAGATCCCAAAAACATCGTTGAAGACTATCAACACCTCCAGCGCCTTCGAGATGCCCGTGGCAACCCTTCCCTTCCACCACCCGAAAAGTACCTCATGGTGAAGGCCGACATCGCTTGTCGCATCAAGGCTCGCGATGAAGCCGAAGCAAGCTCACCCAACTTCGAACGTGTGGGTGGCCGAGTGCAAGGCTGGATGAACGCAATCAACCAAGAAACCCGCATGTTGGAGATCACGCAGGCGGCGCTCCAGAGAAGAGGTATCAGCAACCCGACGCAAGATGACTACGACACCATCGCGGATGAGTTCATGCAGATCGCGGAGCGGACGCTGCTTGACGTCGCCAATCCTCTGCGGATGAATGCTTCTCGGATGGAGGGCAGCATCAGTCGCTTTGATGGCCAGCTGAATGGAATGGGTGCTCAGCTGGATGGGCTGTCATCTCTGAACGACAGCATGAGCCATTCCATGAGTACTCAGCTGGATGGGCTGTCATCTCTGAACGACAGCATGAGCCATTCCATGAGTACTCAGCTGGATGGGCTGTCATCTCTGAACGACAGCATGAGCCATTCCATGACCACTCACCTGGATGCCCTCAACACTATGCTGTCTGCCCAGAGCAGCACCTTTAATGGCTCCGTCACCATGCTCAACACAGCTCTTGGTACAGTCACAAACGACCTACAACAAATCACATCCAGCCTGCCCGCGATGGTCGCAGCAGCGGTCCAGGCAGCGGTCCAACAACAGCTTGCAGCCACGTCATATCACCAAATACCTCTCTCTCCGCATCGACACACTACAGAGGCGCCGCCGAGCTACACCACGAATGCGGCTGCGATACCTTATCAGTCCATCAGCAGCGCGCCTCTTCCCGCATACGTTTACAACACGAATCACACATCGCAAGTCTTGAGGCACCAAGTCCAATGCGTACCAAAGCCAAAATCAAAACTGAGGAGATTCTTCGGAGGAATCAGCATCAGATGGCGTTCAACACGAGGGACAAGTCAAAAAGAAGGGATACCGGTATGAGACACAGCAATGGTAGCTCTGCTTGAGGTGGGACAGATACAGTCCATCTGATCGCCGCAGTTTGGAAAGATCGAAGACACGATGGGAGGAAGTCGGTTTTGTAGAATATTTGAAGTTTCTCTCTCTCAGTATGAGACTAATGATTACCATCACAAACAAGTTCAGCGCCCACCACAAATCAGTTCAATTCAAATTGTACCCATTACAGAGCAGAGCAGAGGGGCAAAAATAACGAATTGTGGACACGGCTGCGCGCCGCAGGCGCGCGATTTTTTTTCAATAAGTGGGGCACTTGCTTGACCGCTTAGTAAGCGGCAGGCACTCTAAGTGGCCAGGAGCTCCTTCCTCGTCAATTCCCAAAATAAACAACAGCCAGCCCTGAAGCGGGTCTCCTCCCAAACCCAGCGTGCCTTCCCAAAATCTCCCCCAAGCCTGCCTGCCCTCCTACTTCACCCCGGCGAGTCGTCGCTCTTCCTCTCTCGGAAACCGATCTCAACTTGCCAACATCAACCTCCTTTTCCACCCTTGACCTGGCAAGCCCGCAATCTTTCTAGAAGCCCAGCTTTACTACCCCCCGACAACTTACTCTTCCGCCTTCTTCACTGGGAAAGCTGTTACTTTTCTATTTTGCATTCATCGCGGTTTGCCAAAAACAGCTTCTACTTACATCGTCCTTACGTCTTTTCGCTTGCTCTTACGCCATTGTTGCTATCCACGACAGCGTGCCCTTGAAAGCTCTTTGCGAAGCAGAAGCGCTGGTCTTCTGTTTTCATACCAAATCATAATATTACCGTCAGCTTCAGTCGAAGTAAGTTTCCTTTTGTCTTCGTTTCCAGCACTTTAATCCCATCTTGGGACAATGGCTTTCATCTTGTCTCCTGATTTCTTCTGAGGCAAGCGTTGTGAAAGCAGCATGCGCTTGTGCTTGTGCGATGCTTTCGTCTATTCATCTTGCTTGTGGTGTCTTTGATGACTGACTGTTGTGCTTGATGTAGAAGATGGCTCCGGCTAAGAAGCAGACAAAGGCTGGCGCCAGCTCTGAGCGTCCCATTAGCGAGAAGGAAGCGCCGAAAGGTTGAGAAGAAGACGACTCTGGACACATTTAACGGCACGGACATCCCAGCTTCTAAACCTCGCAAACTCATGAGCACAACCATTCCGGAGGTGGCTGAAATGCCCTGGGCCCCGCCGGGCTCGGACGCTTCAGACTCCAAACCTCGCAAGCTCACCCAGGCAGCCATTCCGAAGGTGGCCGAAGTGCCCAAGGACTGGGCCCAGCCGTCTGAGACCTTCGAGGGGCAGATCCTTTGGAGCTCTGAGCTCCCGACCCAGGAGCAAATCGGAAAGCTCCACGGCCGCGGCACTGGCCATGATCTCACGAGCTGGAAAGGTATGGTTCTGTCACTAAGGTATAATCGAAATGCTCATATAGCTTACTCATGCTAGAACATCGTCTGCTCGAGAGGCTCCTAGTCTCCATTGACTTCGAGGCTAGGTCAGAGGGCCTCGAACTCCCATGGGCCAAGATTGCCCACCATCTGAACCCGGGCTCCGGGCCCCAGGCCGTCCAACAATTCCTGGACCGGACCTACAACAGCCTTCTTGACGAAGGTCATGTTGTCCCCCCACCGTATCGGAAATACCAGTCGTTCCCCCCCAAGATCCGGGGATACGCTCGGGATGATACGGTGGAGGGTGGGGTCCGGCCTGTTCCTTACTGGGAGGCCTATCAAAACCCGGCTGTGCCCAAGTAGAAAGTTTCACGGTCTAAGAGGAGCACGTCTACGGCCAAGCAGGGTGAAGAAAACTTTGGCGAAGACAGGAGTGAGGACAAGAGCGAGGCCCAGTACCTGCCCTCTTTCGCCAGAACAGCTCCTCCCATAACACAATTTCCAGTCGCCGACCAGTCTCCTTTCGTTGAGCCGTCCTCTGTCATTGAGTCTGATCCTTTCGCTGGGGCCTTTCCTTACGATGAGGCTTTTCCTCCTGCAGAGTCTTCTGCGCTGCCAATCATGCCCCCGTTCGACCAGTCTTACGGAATGCAGACAGGCCACTCAACCGCACTGCCCGTTCACAATTCATACGTCAACATGGGCCCGCCTCTTCCCAACAGCGGTTATATGGACCGTTCACAAATCGTGCCCAGCACTTACAATGGTGGCGGCATGCAAAACCAATTCTATTCGGCTCGGCCGTACCCTTCGACCTTCACACCCTCATCGGAACTGCAGTCACTTGATACTTCCCTCAACGTCGACCACGGAATGGAACGCCGTGGGGTTGGTCAAGGTGAATTTGGCCGCAGCGAAGGACGACATCATGACTGGAGACTGAATTTGACGACGTCTGGATCCAACAGCTGACTAACTGCGAGGACCTTCACCAAGAGGAGTATGAGGCTTGCATGAGACCTTGAGTCGTTCTGCGAGATACGCATGGATAAACGGAGAACAATAGAGATCTGACAGTGCCGATCACCTTCCAGGATCAGTGCGCAGCCAGCATCGAAGCCGTCGTGAGCACCTCGGCCGGCGCCGTCCTCGGAGTTGCTGTCCGTGGTTTCGAATGCAAAGTGCCCATTCAGGGTGAGAGCGGCTTGCTAGGAAACTTATCTGCTGATGAGGGACTGAGCATGAGAGCGAGAGCGATGGAATTGAACGGTGGCGGAAGACATGATACCCGTGCAGGCCCTTTACTTAAACTAAGCAAGGAGGTTTGCACAACACATGACACTTGTTGTTCTCTTCGTTTGCGATTGATCATTGATGAGGTGGTTTATTGAATCAGTAACATTCCGAAGCGATCTGTTAGTGTTCCTACTGCCCTGAAGGAACCTGCCACTGCGTCAAAAGTGCTACCAGTAGTTGTAATGAGTAAGGTGGTTACATATGTACGATATTAAATGTACATTTCGACCCGGTCAAGAAATATGTACAGTGTGATAAAATGCCGAAGAAGAGAACCCCACGCTTACCTGCCATGGGCGATCATGGCGTTGATGATTTCGACGTGGCGGTCCCCGTTCGTCTCACTCCATTCATTGTCGTAGTTGAGACCGTACGGCCAGGAACGAGAGCCGCCGCAGCTAATCTTGGCGTCGTCGCCGTCCCAAGACTTGAGCAGCGGTAAGGCCGTCTTCCAGTCGCCAGACGAGCACATGGAATCGAAGGCGGTAGTTTGGCCGACACCGAGCGTATGCGAAATTTCGTGGAGTGCTGTTCGCTCATTCATGAACGAGCGGTCCGAACCGAAGCGCAGGTCGCCGCTGACACCCGCTTCAGCTGTTGGTACGCCGGGTGTGTAGTAGACCTTGACGGCTTTGCTGGCCTTGCCTATCTTTGCGTGCCGTGCGACTGCGGCCTTCATTGCGGCCTCGATCTTTTTCAATGCTGATCGTCTAACAGAATCATAATTGCCGTTGCATTCTCAACCAAGTGACGAGGTGGCCAAGAGCTTAGGGGGCGCATCACGGCACTTCAGGTCCCAACGTTTCAAGTACAGTGAGTTGTAGCAATAATGAGGACACATAACCGTCCATGAAAAGAAAAAGCTGCAAGCAAAGCACGATTGAATAAACCTGTAACTCGGAGGTCAAAAATACACTGCCCGGTTATTAAGTAAGCTTAAGAAGTTGCTGGTGAGCCGTTGAGTCTCGGTTACTCTTAGAAAAGTCGCCGATCCCGCAGAGTCGACCAATGCAGCCATTACCAACCAACGGCCCATGTCAATAAATCGGCATTGTTCACTGGGAGACAATGGAAACCATGTGCGGATGTGAGAATGGGGACAGACGCCATTGGAAGACGGTAGAAATACACCATGTGGCGCTAGTCCACTTTCGTTCTGGCTCTCCAAAGGGCCCTCGTTTAGCCGAAGGTCCGAGATAAATTTTTGGAGCCGGCGCGATGGGAAGCTTCTCCAACTCTATCGTCACTGAACTTTTTCCCTCTCCTCCCCGAACTCCTTGTGAGCGAAACTCTGCGATTCAACTCGGCGAAACAATTCCAATCCTTAGTTCTGTATTTCTTTTTTCTCATCTAGATACCCTCATAATAAGATCCAAGATGCAGCGCGCACTTGCATCCCGCGCCAGAGCGTCCGCCGCTTCTGCTGCCGCTACTAAGTTCCGCCCCGGTGCCGGCCTGGGACAACAGCTCCGCTTCGCCCACAAGGTTCGTCGATATGCCTCGTAGCAATGCCAATGCCATCGGTGATAGTGTTCTGACTGGTTCTGTAGGAGCTGAAGTTCGGTGTTGAGGGCCGTGCGTCCCTGTTGGCTGGTGTTGAGACTCTTGCTAAGGCCGTTGCTACGACACTTGGTCCCAAGGGCCGTAACGTCCTCATTGAGTCCAGCTATGGTTCTCCCAAGATCACCAAGGGTATGTAAAAGCTATTGTTGAGCTTCAAGATGGACCCCGAAGCTAATATGACGCAGACGGTGTAACTGTCGCCAAGGCAATTACCCTCAAGGACAAGTTCGAGAACCTCGGTGCCAGACTCCTCCAGGATGTCGCCTCCAAGACCAACGAGACCGCCGGTGACGGTACCACGACTGCTACCGTCCTCGCCCGTGCCATCTTCTCCGAGACCGTCAAGAACGTTGCCGCTGGCTGCAACCCCATGGACCTGCGCCGTGGTATCCAGGCCGCCGTCGATGCCGTCGTCGAGTTCCTCCAGAAGAACAAGAGAGATATCACCACCAGCGAGGAGATTGCCCAGGTCGCCACCATCTCTGCTAACGGTGACGAGGCTCTCGGCCGCATGATAGCCAACGCCATGGAGAAGGTCGGCAAGGAGGGTGTCATTACCGTCAAGGAGGGCAAGACTCTGGTCGACGAGCTCGAGGTCACCGAGGGTATGCGCTTCGACCGTGGTTTCGTCTCCCCCTACTTCATCACCGACGCCAAGTCCCAGAAGGTCGAGTTCGAGAAGCCCCTGATCCTCCTCTCCGAGAAGAAGATCTCTGCCGTCCAGGACATCATCCCCGCTCTTGAGGCCTCCACCCAGATGCGCCGCCCTCTGGTCATCATCGCCGAGGACATCGAGGGTGAGGCTCTCGCCGTCTGCATTCTCAACAAGCTCCGTGGCCAGCTCCAGGTCGCCGCCGTCAAGGCTCCCGGCTTTGGTGACAACCGCAAGTCCATCCTCGGTGACTTGGCTGTCCTCACCAACGGTACCGTCTTCACCGACGAGCTCGACATCAAGCTCGAGAAGGCCACCCCCGACATGCTCGGCTCCACTGGCTCCATCACCATCACCAAGGAGGACACCATCTTCCTGAACGGTGAGGGCGCCAAGGACGCCATTGCTCAGCGCTGCGAGCAGATCCGTGGTGTCATGAACGACCCCACTACCTCCGAGTACGAGAAGGAAAAGCTCCAGGAGCGTCTGGCCAAGCTCTCTGGTGGTGTCGCCGTCATCAAGGTCGGTGGCTCCTCCGAGGTTGAGGTCGGTGAGAAGAAGGACCGCTTCGTCGATGCCCTGAACGCCACCCGCGCCGCCGTTGAGGAGGGTATCCTGCCCGGTGGTGGTACCGCTCTCATCAAGGCCTCTGCCCTGGCCCTGAAGGACGTCAAGACCGCCAACTTCGACCAGCAGCTCGGTGTCAGCATCGTCAAGAACGCCATCACCCGCCCTGCCCGCTCCATCGTCGAGAACGCCGGTCTTGAGGGCTCCGTCATCGTTGGCAAGCTCACCGACGAGTTCGCCTCCGAGTTCAACAAGGGCTTCGACAGCGCCAAGGGCGAGTACGTTGACATGATTGCTGCCGGTATCCTTGACCCCTTCAAGGTTGTCCGCACTGGTCTCGTTGACGCCAGCGGCGTTGCCTCTCTGCTTGGTACCACTGAGGTTGCCATCGTTGAGGCTCCTGAGGAGAAGGGCCCTGCTGCTCCCATGGGAGGCATGGGTGGCATGGGCGGTATGGGCGGCATGGGTGGTATGATGTAAAAAGAATGATATCACGACGTCTTGTATTAAAAAAAAGTCAATTGGGGGGCATGGCTATGGTGTTACTATTAAAAAGGATGGATAACTTCGGCCGTTTGTACTAATCTCCCCTCTTTACCCCTTTTTTACCAGCAGATTCCCCGAGGGGATATGAAGAGTTCTGTATTATACCATAGTCAAGCAAGTTATGTAAGATGAAAAGAACCAAACCAGTTAAAGAGCAAAAACAAAAGAAACCCAAGTCCAAGCGAGAAACAAAGACATTGATCTGAAGAGTGCACGGTGACGTCTGTCAACCCATATGGGGCTGCAGCTGCAGCTTTGGCGGGTGAAGAGCCCGCTGCCCACGGCCGCTACTTTAGTTGACTCGTCGGTAAAGCTTCCTTGGCCTGATGCTGACAACTAAGCACCTCAAGGCAGCCATTGTTAAAACTATCAAAGAGCCAGGCACCTATTGACTCCGTGACAATTTATCTGGCAGCCTGAGCAGTTGCACCAGTTGCATTGGACTGCCCAGAATTGAAGCTTACCCTGTCCAGGTTCCATTTGTTGACTGCCTGGGGTGATTCGTCAACCTGCTGTGGCTGACGCAGAGAGTCACGTGCTACAATCTCACCTGGACAACAACCCCACCATGCGGGTGTTTTTCTCGCCCGCTTCCCCTCCACGGTGACCCAACTCACTCCGGTTCTGTCCAAGATACCTCTCCTACCCGACGCAAGCTGTTGCCTCTCCTGCCACCACCACCCCAAGTGCAGCAAACCTTCTCCGGCCGGACCACTCCATCTCAAGTAGGCTCCCATTTCTCTCTTCTCCCTACCAATTTTATTTATTACCTATATTCAATTTCCCTTTCCTTTTCTCCTAGTTGCTAATCTGCTCTCAGCCCACTTTCCCGCCATTCTCTCCTAGCCACACCCCCGCCATACCAGCATCATGGTGAGTACTTAAAAGCTTCCAAGGATTAGCCGTCTTCGTGATCGCCATTCTAACCACCAGTGCAGTCTCAATCCGGGTTGGTATTCTCCCTTCCGCAGAGCCTCACCTCCCGCGCCGACGACATTTGATGGGCGACACAATCCCGCTCGTTCGATGACGATCCCTCGGCGGAGCAGGACAAGCTGGCTCCATCTCCATTCCCGCGAAACGCCCCAATGCTAACCCGCCTTTTCTCCCTCCAGAGCGACCGTCGCACAGGAGTGCATAACGGCCTACAACGACCTCAAGCTCTCCAAGAAGTACAAGTACATCATCTACAAGCTGTCGGATGACAACAAGGAGATCGTCGTCGAGGAGGCTTCGGAGGATAAGGACTGGGATAACTTCCGCCAGAAGCTGATCAACGCTACCTCCAAGACCAAGAGTGTATGCCATACCTCCGTAATATGTTGTGAAGATTGAGGACAATGCTGACATTGCAGCAGGGTGCCGTCGGCAAGGGTCCCCGTTACGCCGTCTACGACTTCGAGTACAGCCTTGCTTCTGGCGAGGGTGAGCGGTATGCAGCCCCGCACCAACCCGCCTTGGAAGCATCAGGAGCTAACCCGAGAACAGCAACAAGATCACCTTCCTTGCCTGGTCCCCCGATGATGCCGGTGTTATGGTCAGTCCTGCTTGCCTACTTTTCTTTCTGTTGTCACTAACAGCCATTCAGGCCAAGATGGTTTACGCTTCTTCCAAGGAGGCTCTCAAGCGCTCCCTGACCGGCATTGCGACCGAGCTCCAGGCCAACGATGCCGATGACATCGAGTACGACTCCATCCTCAAGACCGTCAGCAAGGGCATGGCTGGTTAAATTTTCTCGTTTTCTCTACTCAAATTCCCCTTCCTTACGCGAGACGGAGCATACACTTTGGCGGCCGCAGTCTTCCGGGACGATTGACGACGATCATGGAGAGTTTACGACGAAATATGGAAAGCCACCTTCATCCCTGACGATTCCGGGATCGAGAGCTTCCCACTCCGAACTTCTATTGGGGCGTGACACAAGTAAATTTCCAGATTTGGCTGCCCGCCTGGTTATACCAACCCATTGCCATAGGAAAAAGACATCTCATGCTGGAATGCAGAGCATTCTTGTTGTTGCCCGACGACAGAATCACTTCTTTATTAGACCATTATCTATGCTTTTTCGTCCTGCTTCCTGTGATGCTACGTCATGACTTGTTCGCCTGGCACGCCGAGCGCCACAGCGCCGACAATTCTTCTGCCTTCTTCTCGTCCTTGAGCCTCTGCAGCAAGAAACCGTTCAGATCGCTCCAGAATTCCGCCGTCTCCAATGCAGCCTCGCCGATATCTCCTTGTGCGGGGTCGCTTGCGACAGGTGCAGGCTCAGCATCAGCAGGCTTGACGGCTGCCGCTCCACCGATGACCATGACCGAGAACTCAACCGACGACTGAGTGTCTGTAATCAAGTCCTTCAGAACCTTGCTGTCGGGTACGGGCTTCTTGTTGTGCAACAGCTTCATCTTGTCCACAGGTATCCGTGACTGCGACTCGACTTGGGTCTTGATGTCGAGGATCGAGGTGTTGAGCGGCTGGGAGGACAGCTTGATGTCGAGAGGAGGGTTGCGGAGGGACTTGAGGGATACGGTGACGCTTCGTTCTTGTCCGGGTGCGAGGCTCGTGGGCTTGCTCATCGTCTTGGGCATCTTAGGCAGGATGTACTGCGCAACGGTCAGCTATAACCCCGCTGCGATGACACGGATGCAACTCACGGGAGGGCGTGCCGGGAAGTTCTTCGGGTCTTCAATATGGTCGGCCGACAGCTTAGCTGGGCGCGACTCCAGGGTCGACAGGAACTGCCTGGCAAAGATGACTTCGGCCATGTTGCGTTTGCGTGGGCTGCGGTAGAGGTGTCGGGGTTGCGTTGTCGTCGGTTTAGGTTTGGGTGGCTATAGCGCGTAGGTATAGCTCGTAGATATAGTGAACTTCGTCCGGTGTCGTCTGGCTTGGCTGATGCTCATGAATAAGTCAAGGACGACAAGGGCGGCAGGGACAATAAGGACGGCAAGGACGACACCAAGGAAGACACCAGGGGAAGAGGGATGGATGGATGGCGGGGCGGACGGGAGCTGGGGGTGTGGAGCACGAACGTTCTGGGCGGCGTGGCTTTGGCCCGATTGTCTTATCGGTACTTGGCCCGTGCTCGATAAAAAAAGTTTTGGAGGGGACCAGTCTTCTGCAGTAATTTTCTAGCGGCCAGTCCAGCCGGTGCTGTACATCCTACAATCACATTATACCCTCTTTTTCCCTTTCCCATTTTTCCCCAAGTTCGACTCGAATTGACCGGTCAAAATGGGTGTCGGACGTCGCATGAAGAAGCAGGGTCCTCCCGAACCCTTGTCGGAGGCGCACTTCGCAAAGTTGAAGCGCAAGGCCGGTATTCCAGTCGAACCCGTCGAGGCGCCCGAGACGAAGAAGAGGAGGACGACGAAGCAACCCGCGCCCAAGGCCAATGGCGCGGCAGCAAAGAAGCAGGATGCGAAGAAGCTCAAGGCCGCGGCACCGGCCAAGCCCGCGCCCAAGGCGAACGGAAAGAAGGGCAAGAAGCAGCCCGAGCCCGAGTCTGACGAGGAGATGTCCGACGACGACGACCTCGCCGACTTCAACGGCGCGCCTGGCGACAGCGATTCCGAGATGGACGACGAGGCCGACGAGTTCTCCGACCTGGAAGGTGGTGGTCTGCCCGACGACTTCTTGGGCTCAGATGACGACTCCGTCGTCGACTCGGACGAGGAGCAGGGCGGCGGCGGCGGAAAGCACATGTTCTCGGAGGACGAAGACGACTCGGACGGCGAGGAGCAGCTCACAAAGGCCAACATTGAGGGTCTGGCCAGGCGGCTTGACAAGCAGCTCGCTGACGAGGAGGCGGATGCGCAGGCCGAACTCGAGGAGATGGGTCTGCAGACCAACATCGACGGCGACAAGCCGCATATCCTGGACGATTCGGACGACGAGCTCAACGCCAAGACTAAGGGTCTGCTTGCGCCGGATCTGCAGCTCCTGAGAACCAGAATTACCGAGAACATCAGAGTACTTGACGACTTTGCGAAACTTCACGAGGAGGGCCGTTCGCGCGCCGAGTACACCAACCAGCTCATCAAGGACATCTGCGCCTACTACGGCTACTCCGAGTACCTTGCTGAGAAGCTTTTCAACCTCTTTTCTCCCCGTGAGGCCTTCGCCTTCTTCGAGGCTAATGAGTCTGCCCGTCCCGTCGTCCTGAGGACAAACACCCTCCGCACTCATCGTCGCGATCTCGCCCAGGCCCTGATCGGCCGCGGTGTCACCCTCGAGCCCGTCGGCAAGTGGTCCAAGGTCGGTCTGCAAGTCTTCGAGTCCAACGTCCCCCTCGGTGCCACCCCCGAGTACCTTGCCGGCCACTACATCCTCCAAGCCGCCTCTTCGTTCCTCCCCGTCATGGCCCTCGAGCCGCAGGAGAACGAGCGCGTGCTCGATATGGCCGCCGCTCCTGGTGGTAAGACAACGCACATGGCCGCGATGATGAAGAACACCGGTATCATCGTCGCCAACGATCCCAGCAAGCAGCGTGCCAAGGGTCTGATTGGTAACATTCACCGTCTGGGTGCCCGCAACGTCGTCGTTTCCAACTACGACGCTCGCGAGTTCCCCAAGCCCATGGGTGGTTTCGACCGTGTCTTGCTCGATGCCCCTTGCTCCGGTACTGGTGTTATTGCCAAGGATGCCAGCGTCAAGACAAACAAGACCGAGAGGGATTTCATGCTGCTCCCGCATACGCAGAAGCAGCTTATCCTGGCTGCCATTGACTCCGTCAACCACCACAGCAAGACCGGCGGTTACATTGTCTACTCTACGTGTTCCGTGACCGTCGAGGAGAAGTAAGTTCACTCATCCACAACTCACACCCTGATGGAAACACTCATACTAACATCACCCCCAGCGAGGCCGTCGTCCAATACGCCCTGTCTCGCCGCCCCAACGTCAAGCTCGTCGACACCAACCTCCCCTTCGGTCGCGAGGGCTTCACCAGCTTCATGGGCAAGAAGTTCGACCCCTCCATCAAGCTCACCCGCCGCTACTACCCGCACACCTACAACGTCGACGGCTTCTTCGTCGCGAAGTTCCAAAAGATCGGCCCCACCCCCGACAAGGTCCCCTCGGGCGACCGCTACTCTTCCTCCGCATCCGCCGCCGCCTCCGGCGAGGTCGTCGACAAGACGCCCATCACCGACGACGAGAGCGGCGCCGACAGCAAGAAGGACGACTTCGGCGGATTCGACGAGGACGAGGACGAGGAGTACATCGACAAGGCCAAGCGCAACGCCATGCGCAGGAGAGGTCTCGACCCCAACGCCCTCACCGCCGAGGCCAAGAAGGGCAAGGAGAAGAAGGCCAAGAAGGTCGCCGAGGCGTCCGAGTCCGAGTCCGAGCCCGAGGCCGAGAAGCCCGCGGAGAAGACCCCTGAGAAGAAGGAGAAGAAGGACAAGAAGAAGGCGGCCGTAGCCGAGAAGGCCGAGGAGAAGAAGACCGAGGAGAAGCCCACAACAACAGAAAAGAGCCCCAAGACCAAGAGCCCCAAGCAAAAGAAGGAGAAGAAGGGCGGAAAGTAAAACAAAAAAACCACACAGAGACACCTGGCGCGGGACTTTTTTTGCATGGGGAAACGGGATGATTTCTCAGGTGTATTTTTTTTTTGTTGTAGACGAGAGCATCATGGCGAGGTCGAGGATGATGTCGAACCTGTTGTCGTTGCATTATAATTACCTATTACTAGGGAGTCGGAGCTCAAAAAGGGATTCGGAAAATAAGAGAGTGTTACGGACAAGACATCGTCGCCGTCCCATCGTGTCGTGTAAGCTCATGCTGTGTTTCTGAGCGTCGTCCTGATGCTGCCGTCTGAATGTCGCCTCAACCATGCACCTTTTAGGTCACCAAATGCCCAACCGGCCCGAGAAGAATGTGAAAAAAATGGAATATTACTAGTCCAATACGCCAAAAACCCAAAAATGTCTAAGCAGAGCTTTTCATCAAGACGTCTCTCATCATCACCCGAGTAGAGGGTATATGCCCAATGGCCATCTTTGGAGGAAGGTTATACCCCACCTCCCAAGTGAAGACCCCAAAAGTAAAAAGCCATTGTACAAGCAGACGTAAAAGCATTCCATTCCTCAAGCGTCGTCATGAGTCTTCCTGTCCAGGTCATGTCTGGATGGTATGAGCCCTTCCCATGTGTATTTCCTGTTGTTCGTAGCGGTAGGCATTCCCTTGCCATTCCCTCTTTTCGTCGTCAATGCCGTATGTTATGAATCTTGTTCACAACTTTTGCGGAGTATGTTATACAGAGGAATCCAGAAAGTCGTCACCGGAATCGTCGTAAATGTTTGCTCGTCGTAACCCTTCTCCCAAAACGCCTCCGTCATAACTTGCCCGGTTCTTCGTCGCTAGAGGCCGGGGGTAATTAAAGTAATAATGTAAAAAAGCATGAAATGCCTCCCGAAGTAGAATGCTGTTCGTGAGATGAGGTCTACTGGGCAGCCCTCTGGTATAGTAGAATGTCGCGAATCGCCCATCGCCAAGCGTCGCGATCTCGGTCGCCGACACCAAGCCACTTCTCGCACTTTTTCCTCCACCGGTCTTCTTCTTCCCGCTGTCTGCGGATAAACTCTGGGCCGACGTCAAACTCTTCGCCGACCAGCCACTCGTCCTTAACTTCGCTGACGCGGCCGGTATCTTTTGAGTCGCCCTGGTTATTTTCCTCGAGGTCTGGGATGTCCTTGAAGACATCTTCGTCATCATCTAGGGCATTGAAGCCGTCCATGGGATCGGAGATTTCAGACTTGGGATTTGTCTGTGGACCAAGCTTCAGCCAGCACATGTTCTGAGGGTCGAAGACCATTCCCCCCACAACCTGCACGCCCTTCGTGTGGCTGATGTTCGTAATTAAAGCCGGTCGGGGAGTGGTGGACGTTTCCTTATCTCGCATCATGTGAGGTGGTAATGATGCTGTCGATGGCGACGAAGCCGAAGGTGGGTCGAACGCGTTCAGAACATTTTCGTTGCCTTCCCAACGGTACGTGTCGGGGTTGTAAAACATGCCCTGAAGATCTGCGGCGCCGTTAGCTTTACGGTTTGCAGGGGGGTTAGCTGATGGACTTACGCTGTGGTGTCTTCTCTTTGTTCATGTTCGAAATGAGATGAGGTTTCAATTGAGGAGGATTCCTCTTCTTCTTTGATCGTACCGAAGGCTGCGGCATCCCGGGGCTGAAATTGTTTCTCGACGACGACAGTTGCGAGACGCGTGACGAAGTGAGAGGCGCCAGTGGGCCTGATGGAGCTCGCTGGGCAAGCGAGGTCTCCCGAGCGATTCGGCTAGCCTGGGTATCACGGGCAAAATGGGGCGTGTAATCCGATTTCGCAGGGGAGGAAAACGATGCTGGGGCCGGGGACGGTGTGCTAGTCCGATCGGCCTGCAAAGTTTGGTAAATTTTGTTGCGAATCGGCGCCTTGACAGGATGTCGGATAAATTTGGCCTCTGACTGAGCCGACGTGGGCAAGTCATCAAATCCGTCCAGTTCATGACCATCACCGAAATTTCGGCTCCGGTGAGGCTTGGTCATGTTCCGGAAAGACAGGCTGGAAAAAGCATCGCCGGTAATATGATCCGAATGGCGATTGAGTCTCTTAGGACTAGGCGAACGGATCGTCGATCTGGAGAAGGCTCTCGACGTCGGCCGCAAGTCCAGAGCATTCTCGGAATCATGGCGCCGGAACGTGCGAGAAGTTTTCGTAGTCACGTGCTGCGACTGGGATTGTGAAGCCCCAGCAGGGAGGAACGGCCGTCGTTGCTGAGCAGCATAGCTCTCTGTCGTGGAAGGGCGGGTCCTCTCGACTGGTGTTTTCGGGCGCACACCTGATTGCTGGCGGTTGCCCTCAGTTCTCGAAGGCGGCCTGTCAAATCGCGACACGCCGGGCTTAGCGGGTGAATGAGACGGCTTCATGGCTGGGAGGGACCGCTTAAACCTCAACAGCTGCGAGTTCGTCGTTGTAGGCTCATTGCGTAGTGATGTAGCCGATGTCTTTGAGCCAAGCTCTCTTCTCCGAGGAGTAGCAGGGAGCAGAGGAGAAGGCGTAGTAGGAGTCGGCATGCTGTGGACGCTGGTGACCGAGGACTGAGACTGGTGACCGAGGCGAGACTGAGACCTTCGCGAGCGGGAGAGGATGGGCCCACCGCTTTCAGATACGGGTTCCAGTGCAGACATGGTCCGCTCATGACTTGGCCGCGGGAGCCGCGATGGTGCCGCTTTGTTTGAAAAGGTAAGAGATACAGCGGTCTTGGGACGTGCCGGACTGGGAGGGCGGTTGTTGTTGAGTCGAATGTTGCGGTGCAGCGTAAGCTTGCCTGGGTTGAACACGTCGCCGTCGCCGACGTCGAGACCGTCCAATAGATCTTCTGCCTCGATTTCGGCTTTGGGTGTCTTCAGGTTGGGCGGCTCTTCCTCAACCAGTCGTACAGGTGACCGACTGAGCTTTCTTCTGTTGAGTCTCTCATTGAAGTTGACGGGGCCGCTGGGCAGGATGAGACCATCAAAAGTCTCATCCTCACTCTCTGCCGTGAATGAGCTCGACACGCTGGGGCTCATGGCAGATACAGACGAGCTTCTGTTAGAGCGAGCGTCTCTGCGAGTGCCTCCATAGCGTGTTCCAAGGCTTCCCTCCCCCCAATCCAGGTCATCGGCCTGTGTTGATGGGGTCTTCGGAATGTCTTTGCGAGTTGAGAGCCTCAACTTGCCATCCATAGGCAGCTCAAAGTCATTTTCAAAGTCGTCATCCAACGGCTTGTCGTTGCTTCTTGAAGGGGTTGGGGGAGTGATGAGTGAAATGGGTTTGGGTGGACGAGTCTTGGAAACTTTAATAGTCTCCGATCCATCACCGAAGAAGTCATCGTCATCGTCGTTGTCGCGGAATCGGTCCAAGTTGATAGCACCCGACAACGTGCTCGTCCTCGACTCCATCGACTCTCTCCGGTCTGTCGACTCTCTCCTGTCCAGTAGCGAAACAGCCGGAGGGGTCTTCATGGGCTTTGTAGGGCTGGTTTGGTTAGAGCCGCTACTAACTTGCCTCAGCATATCAGGGAACTTGGAGGCGTCCTGAGGCTTAATGCGAAGTCCCTGTGTCGAATCTGGCAGCACCAAGTCGTCCTCCCAGTCATCCTGAATAATCTTCTTGATCTTCCGTCCGCCTAGTCGTTTAATAGTGCCGCCCATGAGGGCGGATGATGGTACGTTCTTTGGTATCGGAATGCCAGCCTGTGTGGCTGCGGCGATAGCGTCCATGGTTGACTTTTCGTCGTCGCCCGGGACGTGTACGTGCGTCTCCTCGTCCATGATGGATTCAAGTTCGGAACGAAGAGACATATGCGATGATGCGGAATCACGGCGTGCCGGGGCTACATTGGTGGAGGCGGAGGTGTTCCGAAAGGTGAGGTCGTCGGACTCAATCTGGAAGTCGTCATCGTCCCAGTTCTCGATGTCGGGCTCCGCCGCCGGCAGGCGTGGCTTAAGGCGTAAAGGTTCCATGTTGTGGTTAAGTTGAGTTGTTTTGGCGGGCGCAGAGTGCAATTGGGTTCAAGGGCGTGATCGGTGGCGGCGTCGTCCGTCGTCGTTCCTTTCCGTTGTCGTCCAACAGCGCTGTTCTGCTTGTCAATGAAGCAAGATCATATCGTCAACAATGACAGCAGCTCCGGCCAGTCGTCATAATCTTGATAAGAGTCGTCGCAAGAGAGGTGGGTGGTTCGAGGAAAGTCGCGGCGTGCGCAAAAGATTTTCGTTCCGGGGGAGGGTAGAGTAGAAATGGCGGCGTGGATTGTTATGTGTTGGTATCGTCGTTTTCGGGAATGTGCGATGTGTCGGCTACTGGTAGTATGTTTTGCCAGAGATGCAAACAGATGCAAAGGGGAGCAAGTGGAGGTGATCCAAGAGGCGACGAGATCGTAGGGCCAGTTTGCGTCAGGGTGCAATATCGCAAAGGGTGACGTTGGACCAAACTGGAGTAAGTCGAGTCGAGATCAGGGCAGTCGTGAGGTCGGGGGGACGACTGGATTTGCGTCGTTGTTGGACGGTGGAAGCAGAAATGGCTGGGAAGCTGGGGGGGATGGATTTGGCCAGCCAAACAAAGCGAGGTGGGTGGGTGGTCCCAGGGCAGCCCCGTGGTGTACAGGATGCAGGAGCACCTGTGGGTGGTGTGGTGGGTGGCTGGTGTTGCTTGCCGGGAACCCACTAGAACTCCAGAATGCCTCCATAAGGAGATACTTGCGTGGCATGCAGTGCACTGCGATGTGCAAAATGACGCTTAATTAATTATTTTCATCCCACTTAACAGGAGTTTTGCTGTTGATCTCTACGTTGTCTTGTTTGTTTATCTCGTACTATGTTCCTACTTTGTATCCGTACCTGCGTAAGTGTTCGGTTGGAAGAGTTCATTCTTCGACAAGTACATGCAGATCCGGCTCATCCTGGACACCCTATGACCTGCACAGAATGGATGAGGTGGGCAGAAGGAGAACAGGTGGGAGGGAGACCACCGGGACCTGGCCCCGGTCCCAGGGCTCTCTCACCGTGATCATGAAAATTTCCAGTGCGCCACGTGATTCAGCGGGGACATCAGATGGTGGCCTCCCTTGATTGGGCGACAGAGTTTGGATGCGGGGACGGTTGCACTTGCACGATTCTGACGCGTGCGAGGCGCGACTTCCCTTTCCTCCCGTCGTCCCAAGATGCAGAACGGGAGTGCCTGGCACCTGCAGCTTGGAGCGGACGAGGGCATCAAATCATGGATTGCGAATGACCCCATTTGTTTCACGATGAACAATAACACTTGCGATATAAACCTTAAATTTTGAAGTTGACCTTTTTTCTGCATCGTTATGATGAAATAAACTTGGCTGTCATTTCGGAGCAAAGGGTTGTCCTGTTTATTGTGATTGACACTTTTCACACCAAAACAGTAGCTTGTTTACATTGCACACCCTCCAGCGTTCCGTCCTCCGTGCCCTCCGTCGTCCCGTTCCTGGCCCAGACATACACACTACTCCACGGTTATTATTCCTGGTCGAATACTTGGGTAGTAACAACGACAACCGAAAACAAGACAGCTACCAGCAGCGAGGGCAATGCTAGAGGTAGCGAGGAGTAGTTGCAAGCACAGAGAAGGTTTGGTGCCTGCACCTGCACTCGCACTTTCGGCTGCCTGAGGCTGGTTGTCGTTAGAGGAGCTGCCTGCCATTCGACGGGACGCACCACCAGCCATCATAATCCCTCCCAGTGCCGCTGCCTGTCTGACCGCCGCAGCTGCCTAGAGGCTAGCTCACCAGCTTCGGACCCTCAAAATTCCCAATGACATGAGAGCCTTCATTTTGGGGCAGATTAAATCACAACCATCCCCATCCTCACCATCAACTCCATCATTATCGCCGTCCTTTTTACTGCCCACCGATCAAAACAAGCAACCACTTCGGAAGGAGTCTCAGCCTGGTTTCCCCCGCTTGTCTTGAGGCAGGTACCTACCACGGCACGAGCAAAATTCCAAGTATTATAACGATCGCAGACCCTGAGACCTTTCGCGAGGAACTCGGCACTTACGGGAAACTACCAGACCAGACTAACGATTCAATACGACCACTCCTCACACCATCACTTCATTTCGGAAGCCCAATCTATCTCCCTCATCAACAGCCATGGCATCCGGCCACGTTCTCCGCTTTCCCCGGTCGGATAGGGAAGGCGCTTTTGTCATCGTCCAGGCTACGCCAACTCGTTCCAAGGCTCTGGATGTCAAGTTGGTGGGAACCGATGGCGTGGAGCCGTATGCTGTCTCATGTGAGTTGAACGCTCGTCATCCCGCCTCCCTGGCCGACGATCACCACGGCCCGGTCGTGTGGGTCTTGGCAGACGTTGTTTCAAGCGGCGAACTCGTGCCTTCCTTGATACTCTGTATTCACACGGCAACGGTGCTAACAGACGACTTCCCTCTGTAGTGCGTCATGATAAGATCGCGTCTCTTCGTGTTAAGAACAGTCCCTGTTCGGAGGAAGAATGGGTCTCAATTTTGACTTCCGTCATCAGCCAAGATCCAGCCAACGACGTTGAGGTTGTCGCCTCTGTCGAGGACGAATCATCCATCACCCTTACTGTTAGAAAAAAGGGGAAGGAATTTTCGGTAAGTGCCAATAGTTCAAACCCCTTGCCAGCCTTGCTTCCGAGGAGCTGGACTAATGGTTGAACATTAGCAACGTCTCGGCGCCATCGAGTTGAGCCACAGCCCGCGTGAACTGATTGAGCTGTACGACTGGTGTGGCCTGTCGGTACAAACCGCCAACGAGGCGAAGGAAGCTCTAGCTTCAGCGACCGCCAAAGCCAGTCAGCTCGAGGAAACCGTGCGCGACCTCCAAGCACACCTCGAGGAGCTAGTTGCTGCCAAGGAGGCCAATGAGACGGAATTGCTAGAGAAGTTCTGTCTCTTGTTAAACGAGAAAAAGCTCAAGATCCGCCAGCAACAACTACTTTTGGCATCTGTGTCCGCCAACCCGGGGAGATTAGCGTCGCCCGCCGTCAAGGAGGAGAACCCAACGCAGGAACCAAACCTGCCCCGCCAAAGGGCCAAGCGTGCTCCCGCCAAGTCACGACAATCGAAGAGAAAGGAAGCACCCGCGCCAATTGAAGAAGATGACTCCGACGATGGGTTTGAGAGAATGAACGTTGACTCTGCCGCAAAATCAGCCACGAATGCGTCTGACCAGGAACGGGATACTACCGAGGATGAGGACGCAACCGCCAGTGAAGATGAGGACGACGAGCCGGTAGTAGCATCTTCATCATCTACAACAGCACCGGCCAGGCAGCCTTTGCCAGCTAGGGAGAAGCCCAAGCCAGCAAATGTTGAAGCACCCCCGCCGAAACGCGAGTTGCCTTTTGCGAAAAAGAAGCAGGCTCCAGCCAAACCGCCTCCGCCACCTGCAGGCAGCGAAACTGAATCTGATGATGAGCTGTGATGGTTCCAGGATCGGTGGCAAGAGATCTTCGTTATTGAAGTCCATGCAATTAGAGTTATAGCAGCGAAGCATTTGCTACAAGAGCGGTGGATCGACTCATCGGTTCCTCGTCAGCGCTTACAATGCAGAGCCATTAATGCTTGTTCATTAAGTTTATTAGGCCTACTACTACAGGGCTTCCCGTCCAGGATTTTACCAATAGGATAGAAATCAACACATTCAACGAGTGTCTTCCGGATCAAACTTGTTCTTCCAGAACCCTCGGAAGTGCTTCGACTTGCCAGCCTCAGCAATCTCGCTCACCTCACGAGGCGTCAGCTTGATGGCGGGAAGATGGTTCAGGTAGCTTTGCAATCTTTCCTCCTTGGACGAGGTAGTGATGGTCACGAGACCTTGGTCGATGCACCACCGGAGTCCAATGACGGACTCGCTGACACCGTACTTCTTGGACAGGTTCGCCCAGATGGTCCGGACAGGGCTGTCGATGTCGGAGGTGATTGGAGTCAGCGGAGCGTAGACCGAGACAGCGATTTTGTTCTCGCGGTGGAAATCCAGCAGGTCTCCGTGCTGCAGATGAGGGTGGTACTCGATCTGGTTAATGGCGGGAGGAATCTTGGCGGTCTTCATGATGGCCTCAAGCTGCGGTTGCAGGAAGTTCGAGACACCAATCGACTTGGCTCTGCCCGACTCCTTGATGGCCTCGAAGTCGGCCCACTTCTGCTGAAGCTCCTCGTCGGAATCGGCGAAGAAGGGAGCGTGGATCAGGTAGAGGTCGACGTATTCGAGACCCAATTTCTTCAACGTGCGGGCAAACGCCTCCTCGGTGTCTTGCTTTTTGTTCCCCGCGATCTTGGCAGTGATGTACAGCTTATCTCTGGGGACGCCCTCCTTCTCAGCTTTCTTGATGGCGGCACCGAGCTCTTCCTCGTTCCCGTAGACTGGTACCACCGTCAGAGCGTTTTTCGTTGATGACCAGGATACCTCACATACCTTCCGCGCCATCGAGATGGCGGTAGCCGAGCTTGACAGCCATGACGGTGTTGTCGACAATCTTCTCGTCGAATCCAGCACCGCCAGACTTGTAATTGGCCGTGCCCAAACCGTACGCGAGCTACGGCAATAACGTCAGTGTTCATTCGTGAACGCGCGGTATTATCACCAGCGTAACAGTAGATCGACCGGCTGTTGGATTAGCTCGATCCCACGCGGCAGTCACGGTGCTGACACGCGCATGCCAATCCGCGGATCCTCCCGCTAGGATGGTGGCATTGGATCCTTCAAAAGGAACAACAACAAGAAGGCATATAACTTACCATCGGGATCTTATTCCCGTCATTGAGTTCGAGCCAAGGAATGTAGGGAACCTGCTTCGGGGGCGTGCCCGAAGCATCAGGCTTGAAAGTCGACAGGATTGAGTTCATCTTGCGTGGATGAAGCTGTGGGTTGAGGGGTTGTGGAATGGAGTGATGACGAAGCCAAGATGAGGTCGTAGCAGGTAGTCTCGAACCTGCTCTCGTGAACTTCCGGATTGTGAAAAGACGAGTACGAGAGGGGGTTTGAAGGTGTAGCTAAGGGTTTATATTTCTAATCAGATGGAGGTATGGTTCGTTTTTCAGACGAGCCTGTGGAATTCTTACTATCGTAATACCCAGGGACGAAAAGACAAGACGAAATTGGATACAGCAATGTTGCCCAGTGTGGCCCTTTTTCCTCGTTTCGACAACATGCAGCAAGCCGGGTCACCACTTGCCGCTGGGCTGGCCATTGACATCATCTCTACATGACCAGCTCGGTACATCTGCACAGGGCGCTTTCGTACAACCCACGCCCTGTTTATCAGTTAAAGTTATCGGATCTATCGGCAGGGGAGCCTTTGTACGACTTCGAAATCCTCAATAATGAGCTTTTGTTTCGAAAGCTCTGGCGAACTTCAGCACAGGGCACTGTCCCAAACCCCCACCTGCCCCATTGGAGCTCTCAAGTGCCCTGTAAACCCGATCGCGGGGCTTTTTGTACTGGGTGACGCTTGCGACTCGATGACGACACCCCCGGAGCTCTTGCGTGACCGCCGGTCGGCCGGCACACGGACCGAACTCTTACAGACGGCGACACGGCACCGTCGGACCTGAGCCGGTGACCGAGCAGAAGGCATCACGAAATTTGGAATTGGCATTATTCATACAAGCTATAACTCCGTGATCGGAACCGGAGTTGACGCCGGAGACCGTTCCAGGTTGAGCTGGGTAGAGAGAGGTCTGTCGCCGAGGTTCTATCCGGGTGCGCATTTCCCCCAGCTTAGGTCAGCATGGGAAATTTCCCCCCAAATCGCCACTGAGCAAAGCTCCGAGGGGTCGCAGCGACCCTCCATCACCGACGGCCCTGGGACGGCTTACACCACCTATCATCATCATTAGCAAATACCGTCCTCCTTCTCCGAGGCCCTCGATTTCTTTGTCATTTCACTACATCAAAAATATACCCCGTTGCTTGTAATCTCTCATCTACAATAGACGTCGCTTTGCCTTCCCGATATTCGCATCGCGCTTTTGACCTCAATCCGCGTATATGCTCTCGAGACTACTTTCCAGACGAGCCGTCCCGAAAGTCTTCGCAAAACCCCTTATGGCCGCCCAAATGTCAAACGGGACCGGCCCGTCACCGAAGCGCCTCCCGCTAGCCGAACTGCCAAAGACATGGCACTACACATCCTCTCTCCCCGCCGATTCCCTCTTCCCCACGCCGGCCGATTCTCACAAGACGCCCCGCGACCAAATCGGTCCGCGCCAGGTCCGCGAAGCAGCCTTCACGTGGGTGCGCCCAGCTCAAGCTGAAAACCCGGAACTCCTTGCCGTCAGCCCCGCCGCGCTGCGCGATATTGGTATCAAAGAAGGCGATGAGGAGACAGAAGAGTTCAAGCAGACTGTTGCTGGAAACAGGTTACATGGGTGGGACGAGGAGAAGCTGGAGGGCGGGTACCCTTGGGCGCAGTGCTACGGTGGATTCCAGTTTGGACAATGGGCCGGTCAGCTCGGTGACGGGCGAGCTATCTCTCTGTTCGAGATTATGAATCCCGAGACCAAGGTGCGGTACGAGTTGCAGCTGAAGGGCGCGGGTATCACACCCTACTCGCGCTTCGCAGACGGCAAGGCCGTTCTGCGATCCAGCATCCGCGAGTTCGTCGTCTCGGAAGCACTTAACGCCCTCGGTATCCCTACCACGCGCGCCCTTTCCCTTACACTCCTCCCAAATTCCAGGGTCCGCCGCGAGACACTCGAGCCGGGCGCCATTGTCCTGCGCTTCGCGCAATCCTGGATCCGCCTCGGCAACTTCGACCTCCCCCGCGCAAGAGGCGACCGCGCGCTTCTCCGCACGCTGGCAACTTACGTCGCCGAGGACGTCCTCGGCGGCTGGGAAGCTCTTCCGGCACGCCTGGAGAATCCGGATGAGCCGGCCAAGTCAGCGGAACCCAAGCGGGGCGTTCCGGCGACTGAGATTCAAGGGCCGGATGACTCGGCCGAGAACCGCTTCACCCGGCTCTTCCGCGAGGTTGCGCGGCGCAATGCGCTGACGGTGGCCAAGTGGCAGGCCTACGGCTTCATGAACGGCGTACTGAACACGGATAACACCTCTATCATGGGTTTGAGCATCGACTTTGGTCCATTCGCATTCATGGACAACTTTGACCCGGCGTACACACCGAACCATGATGATTACATGTTGAGATACGCCTACCGCAACCAGCCGACCATTATCTGGTGGAACCTGGTGCGCTTTGGCGAGGCGCTGGGTGAGCTCATCGGCGCGGGAGCTGGTGTGGATGAGGATGTCTTCGTCAACCAGGGCGTCGAGGAGAGCCAGGCCGAGGTTCTCGTTGGACGCGCGGAGAAGTTGATCATGCAGGTCGGCGAGGAGTACAAGGCGCTTTTCCTAGCGGAGTACAAGCGCCTCATGACTCTGCGTCTGGGCCTGAAGAACTTCAAGGACAGCGACTTTGACGAGCTGTTCAGCGGGATCCTCGATACGATGGAGACGCACGAGCTGGACTTCAACCACTTCTTCCGCCGCCTCAGCTCCGTCAAGCTTTCCGAGATCGCGGACGAAGAGGGGCGTCGCGAGGTCGCCGGCCGCTTCTTCCATGCTGAGGGCGTGACTGACAAGGGACGCTCTGATGTCGGGGAGTGGCTCGGCAAGTGGCGCGCCCGCATCGTTGAGGACTGGGGCGAGGATAAGGACGAGGAGAGAGTGAAGGCCATGAAGGCCGTCAACCCCAACTTCGTTCCCCGCGGCTGGGTTCTCGATGAGATTATCAAGAGGGTTGAGAAGGATGACGAGAGGGATGTGTTGAGGAGGGTTATGCATATGGCTCTGAATCCGTTCGCGGATAGCTGGGATAGCCAGGAGTTCGAGGGTAAGGCGTACAAGGGTGATAAGCAAGAGGAGGAGAGGTGGATTGGGGATGTGCCCAAGCTGAAGCGGGCTATCCAGTGCAGTTGCAGTTCTTAGACGAACGTTTGGCGTACTGTATAATTAAAGCCTGGCATTGGTTGAATTGGGAAGAATCAGTGACTTGTGTGTTCGTTCTCTCGCCGTCGTCTACCTGATGGGAAATATCTGACCAGCTTGCGTGGAGACCCCTTTCACATAAGATGATTACGCTTTTGTTTATTGCGACCACGTCTTCTTGATGATTTCAGCTTGCAATGTACATCCAGAATATCCAGACTAATGTAAGCCACGGTGAAATAACCCCCGAAGTTCTGGCTGTATTCCTGGTCACATTCGGGCTCGCGCTTCACCAAGTGCTCTATCTACAACTATTCTCTTCAACCCGAGTTAGTAGCTGTTGAGTACACTTGAATGCTCCCTCGAATTGAAGTATGCCTAGTCGAGATGGCCGGATACGCTCAAATTTCCGTCAGGCTCGATACAAGATCTGGCAAGTATCTTGAGAGCCGCCACTATATCAACATCAGGGAGGACAGAGTTACGGCTTTGATTTGTAACCCAGAAGTCGCAAGATTTGCGGCATCTGTCGACAATTGCCACCAAAGCTTTCTTGTAATGAGTGAGCGAATATCGCTGAAGTTGAAAGAGCGGGATGGTTGGTCGCCGTTTGGACGTATCTAGAAGAGTCCTGACGTCGTCGTATTTGATGGCAATACACTGGAGATATTGACAAGGGATGGTGTGATAGGTTTGGTCGTGCCAGTGGCTCACAAGAATTAAAGAACTCAGAAGTACACTCAGATCTTATGGACAGTCTAACCACGCCAGATGCGGCTTCAGATGCGCCGGAGAAAAGCAACTCAAGAAGTTTATGGCCGTGGGAGAGGGAGAAAGGGCAGTCTTTTGAAGCCCGTAGTCATGTTTTATAGCATACCGTCGACCCGTCACTGCGTAGAGGGAACCCGATTCGATCTTGAGATCGCATACTAGTAACTCCGACTCAAAATCAGGGGTGCTGTCGTCAGCGTGTTCTGATGGTTCTCATAGATGCCTGTCCTCGACAGCTTACCCTCTCGACTGCCCTCATCGTCACTGCTACACGGGATTCCCAACCCCAGCTATTTAGACCGAGGATTCATGATGAAATCAGTAGACAAGCAGACATGCGGGGGCGGAATCGGATAGACTTGCGCCGCTTGGCAGTCCGGAGATGCAAACCCTCTCTCTTGGGTCTGTCGGTGTTTGATGGACAAGTGCTCTTAATGGCAGCCTTGAACAACGTATGAAACAGTTTCTTAGTCCTTCTTCACTGCTGTTGCCGAATGATTCGATCTGCGATAATCCGGCGACACAAATCATCATGAAGCGATCCTCTGGCTACATCGTACAGAGACTATGATATACCATTCTACCAGACTTTCGGAAAATAACACCGACAGCCACCGAGCGTTGCTTGTCGCTTTCACCGTGAACAATCAACAACTGCTTATTGCCTGGTACTCTGGCTTATGTATTCGCGATTCCAAGGAATGTCAAACGTCGACCAGGTCTGATGACTAGCTTATATTATATATTCACGTTCCACTCACAGCTATTCGCTTCTCACCGAAAGATGAATTGTCGGTCTTTTGTCGTGATTAGGCACCAAGTCATTATATTCCAACTGTCTCACTCGAGATCGTACTTTGCTCGTCAAATACGAAGGAAAAAGACACCAACCCAGTTCCTCAAGAGAATTTGCAGCAGATAATCACATGAAGACCAAGGGCGACAATGATGGGCTGATAGGAGGGCAACGTACTCGCTGGTCGAGCAAGTCGCCATTTACACTTGGACGAAGCTCTGCTCGCCATGTGATGCATTGGTAAAGCGCCTGGATAGAGTCTGGTGAGTGACAAGCACCCGTGCCGAGAGATTTCCAAGACTCATTACGCCCTTTTATCGGTCTGTTCCTCCTGCGGCCGAGTATTGCCACAGCATCGAAGACGTGAAATATTATTCGTACTTCTCCCATGATGGAATCAAGCACGTCGTCATCAAACAATAAGTCAAGGTAGACGTCATAGTCCAGAACTAATCATCAATTGCTTTGCTTTCACAACAAAAGGAACAACAGGTTGAAGTAATTTACTTTCTTCAACTTCCACCCCGCTCTACCCTCGCGCGTCCTATTATGTACAAGCAATGCACCCAACCCTGACAAAAGAACCTTCTTTTAATTCTCTTCTCTTGCGATCGTACAGCCCGTCTCTCATGCTCCGTACGCAACCTGGCCCATCGGCCTATCCTCCTCCATGCCTGGTGCCATGAAGTTGGTCTTGGGGTTGCCAGTAGCCTTGGCCGCAGAGCAGCGGGCCATTGTCGGTGAACTAATAGGAGAGTTAGTAATGATTTTGTGTCGCTGGGGGCTGCGGTTGACATACCTTCTTGAGATAACGTCTGTGAAGTAAAAGTTCTCAATAACCTTCCTCAAGGGCGAGCCGGAGGCCTTCGAGCCCTTGTTCTGGTCAACAAGCTGAACCTTGCTCAACTGCTTAAGAGCGACGGGCTCAACGACGTCGTAGGCCGCTAGGGCCGGGCTGACCTCGGCCATTCTGTCGCGAAGCTGAGCAACGTCATCAAATGGCAGGGGAGCGCCGAAGAACTCGCTGATGGCACGGATAATCTTCCAGTCTGTCCTGGCAGCGCCGGGGAGGGAGGTGGCAGCGCGGGTCATCTGGACACGACCCTCGGTGTTGATGTAGGTACCGGCCTTCTCGGTGTAAGCGGCACCGGGAAGAACGACGTCGGCGATCTGGGCACCGCGGTCACCGTGGTGGCCCTGGTAGACGACGAAAGCGTTCTTAGGGATGTCCTTCTCGGAGATCTCGTCGGCACCAAGGAGCCAGACGAACTTGGGGGTGGTCTCGGCAACCTCGGCAGAGGGAGTGGTGAAACCAACCTCGAAGGCACCGGCGCGGGAAGCGGCTCTCTGGAGAACGTTGTATCCGTTCCACTCCTCAGTGAGGAAGTTGGCGGCGTTCTTCTCGACGAAAGCACCGACGGTCTCGTAGAAGGCCTTGGCGTCCTCGTGGTCAGTGACACCAGAGCCCACGATAATCATGGGGCGCTTGGCGGCCTGGAGCTTCTTGCCGAAAGGACCAGCGAGGGCAGACTTCAGGGCGGCGTGGTCGGTACCGAGGTGCTCGAACTCAAAGGTTGAGTCCCAGGTCTCGCCAACAACACCGATCTCAAGGTCGGAGCGAAGCCATTGCTTACGGATACGGGCGTTCAGGACGGCCGCCTCGTGGCGGGGGTTGCTGCCGATAATGAGGATAGCATCGGCCTCCTCAATACCGAAGATCTGGGAGTTGAACAGGTAGTTGGAGCGGACGTCGACACCGTGAGCAACAGGCTTGCTTCCGTTGGGCATGTCAAGGGCCAGGTTCTCGGATCCAAGCTTGTTGGCCAGGTCCTTCATGGCAACCAGAGACTCAACCTCGGTAAGCTCACCAGCGATAACCTTGAACTCGTTGCCCTTGGGCTGGATGTGGTGGTAGGCGTTGGCAACCTCCATGAGGGCCTGCTCCCAGTCGGCGGGCTCAAACTTGCCCTCGCGGCGGATCAAAGGCATGGTCAGTCTCTGGGTCTTCAAACCGTCACAGGCGAAACGGGTCTTGTCGTTGATCCACTCCTCGTTGACATCGTCGTTGAGTCTGGGAAGAATACGCATAACCTCGAGGCCACGGGAGTCGACACGGATGTTGGAACCGAGACCGTCGAGGACGTCGATGGACTCAGAGTGCTTCAGCTCCCACGGCCTCGCGCGGAAAGCGTAGGGCTTTGAGGTAAGGGCACCGACGGGGCAGAGGTCGATAACGTTGCCGGAAAGTTCGGAGTCGAGGTTCTTCTCAAGGTAGGTACCGATCTGGATGTCGTTGCCACGGCCGAAGGAGCCCATCTCGGGGGCACCGGCAATATCGTTGGAGAAACGGACGCATCGTGTGCAGTGGATACATCTGTTCATGGAGGTCTTAATGAGGGGGCCGATGTTCTTATCCTCGACGGCACGCTTGCCGCCGATTTCGTGAAAACGGCCTCGGTCGCCGCCGTAACGCATCGACTGGTCCTGGAGATCACACTCACCACCCTGATCGCAAATGGGGCAGTCGAGGGGGTGGTTGGCGAGAAGGAATTCCATGACACCCTCGCGGGCTTTGTGTGTAATCGGGGAGTTGGTCTTCACGACCATACCGGGCTGGACGGGCCATGCGCAGGAGGCGATGGGCTTCGGGGCTTTCTCGACTTCGACGAGGCACATACGGCAGTTACCGGCAATCGCAAGCTTTCTATTCGGATTTGTCAGTCGAGGCTCTCCCCCGCAACCGCAAGGGTCATCGATTCGATCGAAAGGATTCGTACTCATGGTAGCAATATCTGTCCGGTGGTCAGCAAATGGCATTTTGTGCATTTTCAAAGAGGCCGGACGAACCTGGGAACTGTTACGCCTGCCTTTTCGCAAGCTTGAATCAGGGCAGAGCCGGCTAGAAAGTCGTGAGCAGGAGTCCTCGGACACGACCACGTCTCTCCTCACCTTCAACAGAAACCTTCTTTCCGTCTGGATATCATGTTAGCATACTCTCTCTCTATCAATTGGGTCGCCGCCAGGGCGAGACGAGCGTACCAATCGTCAACTCGACTTCGGCATTCCTGCGGGCAGTGGTTGCAAAAGTTCGCGAGGCATTGGCGGCCTGCTTGCCAGTCCGCCAAGCCGAACGTGCTAGAGAGTGCCGCAGCATCGTGTCGCCTTGACGGATTGAGACAGAGACGAGACGGGGGAGGGCGGATAGGTGGGAGGCGGGTTGAATCTCAATCGTTGACGTCGGGAGGGAACTGCTCTTCTGTCCCGGGCCATGGGGATTTGGTGGCGCTAGTGCGTAAATCGCGATTAATTTACATCGGCCGTGATTGGCTGAGCCGGCTGAGAGCTGTTCGGGGCCTGAGGCACCAATAGACCCACCATCGACCTTTTATGTCTTTGGAAATTTTCGTAGCGAAGCGACTTCTCTTCCTTTTCTCTTCATCAATTGTACACGGGCACTTATCGTAGGTGAGCTTGAGCGCCGCAAGGCTGCTTCCGTCGGGCCTTCCTCTATCTAGTGACTCAAGATGAACATTTTTGACGCCGTTTATGGAAGCATGGGAGAATTTCTCAATGACCGTTGCCTCTTACCGCCGGTCGTTACATATCATGGTGACGATGAAGATTTGATGTAGACTGTACGTGCATTTGCTTCTATCTGACTGTAACTGAGCAAAGCGCCTGTGCAACATAATCGAAGGCATCCTGTATCGCCGTCACTAAGCAAGTCTGTGACGAGTGCATTGCGGTGCTAGACTCCGGAGACCGGTCTGCTCCGTTCTGTCCGTACTCGCGACCTCGTCCATAATCGACATCCGTCTACTCTTCACTCAACCGGTAGCGTCACTGTCTCCGAGAACATGCCTTCCTAGCCGGTCCACGCCACCTTCTGGGCTTCCAGTGCCGCAGTCTCCTCCTCGATCTCTTTGTGGTACTCGTCGAGGAACTTCTGGGCGAGGTCCATGTAACCGCACATCTGGATGAGCGCCTGTCCCGTGTTATAGAGAGACCACAATATGGCACCCTGCCTGGGCGGGAGGCCTGTTGTCGGCGGCTTTTCTGGTATTGTGTACGTGGACTGCGTTCGGGTACTGAAGTCGGCTCCCGGCGGGAATGCTGCTTCGACGTATGCCATCATAATTGCTCTGTCGTCAGGAGCAATGCCGAGATCGGTCTCGACAAGACCGTTCGCTGCCTCCAACTTGTTTGCGAGCCGCACTATGCGGCGGCGTTCTCGCTCGTAGATGTATCTTATGTTTTCTTGAACCCCAGCGGCCTGCTTATCGACGTTCTCCACTGATGCTTTGAGGCGGTCGAGTTTTGTCTTGGGTTCTTCGAAGGGCTCGAAGAGGGATTCCTCTAGGGGGACGAACATGGCCATGGACTGACAGCCCGCCTGAAATGTCGGGATGTCTTCTTCCTCTTCTTGGCTGTTCTTCGCGGTCGGCGTCAATGATCCTGACTTGTTCATTGGCGCATCGCTTCCGGTAGCTCCGTTGCCGTCCTGCATCTTGCCGAAACCTGAGGTATCCGTCTTCCTCAATCCACCGGACAATTTTTATGTTTGAATTTCATGGGTGCCATGTGGCGGAAGAACTGGACTTCGCTCTTCGCCGCGGTTTGGAGGAATTTGGGTGGTTGTTGAGGAGTGAATCAAGGTTCGCGTTCGCAGAGTTTATTTCCCAGGTGGGAAATCGGGCCTGGGTTCCACGATCGACAAGGTCTCTGAAGCTAAGCCTTAGGCTAGGTAAGGATAGGAGGCATGTCTTCGGCCCCTACAACTGTGGGAATGTAGCCAGATGAAACCCCTCAACATCAGTGCACCTCATAACCTGATCTTTTCGATTTTGCATCACTCTTCTCAATGAGCGTGTGTAGGCCAGCTGCAGATCAGGATTGGGTGCACGAAAAGGAAGGAGCCTTTGACAATTTTTTTTCTTCTGTTATTTGACAATTGAGTTCTTATTATACAAGATGGATCTTGAAGTTGCCATGTGCCTGCAGTATGCCAACAAAGCCCCCGGACCGTTGAGGGATCGGATATTTGCTGTTGCCCCCTTTCAGCGTTCAATAGCGTCCCCAGCTTAGCGGTTGGCTCGGCATTTGAACCCTTGCGGCGCTGTATCGTAATTATGTTGTACAGCGTATCCGTACAAGTCCCCGGCTGTAGGGCTGGGTTGTCTTCGAAAGCGTGATGGCTAAGTAGGATGATCTACTCAGAAACGTAGGGATGCTCCGAAATACGGTGAATACGAGCCCGATCTAGCCTAGATGAAGCTGAGTATCATGGCGTTGACGTTCAAGCGAGCCTGTCAGCGTCGCTAACTGACGTGGTTATCTTGCCCATACCGGCCTCCGCATCCCGGTGGCGCGAGGTGGATGTGACATTGACATGTAGTTGTTGAACGTCTCGAAACGAGGTAGGCAGGCATCTTTCGCCCCGCGAAAACGCCCCGTGACGGCGGTGTCATCTGGACGGCAAGACTTTCCTCACGTACTCCCTCATCAACTTCACGCCGGCTCTTACCAAGTCCTCTAACCTCCTGTCTTTCCGCTTGCGCATCCAGAGCAAAATAAAGGCCAGTAGAACGGTATCGATGGCCAAATGCTTCATCACAATCCAGACGAACCATCGAACCCACGCCATGAAGCTGCGCTGCTTTCTAGACTTCCACTCCCTCCCAGTCGTTATTTGCTCTCGTAATGCGGCGACCTCGGCTGACATCTTCTCTAACGCACGTTCCACACTCCGTGACCAGTTGCTGTTCGGTACGAGCGCGTCTTCTTCGACGCCTTCGTTATATCCTAGTCTTCTGTCCGAGTCCCGTTCGGCAGCGTCATCTTCGCTCATCGGGCTGAGTATCTTCATGGGCCCTTCCGAGCCGCTCAAGGGTTGTGTAAACCGGCGCGGTTCGCTGTTGTATCCCGTTCCTTTCGGCGACGAATCGGTCGAGCTCGGGCTGTTGTTCTTGATCTGGTTCCATACGAATTCGAGTTCCGCGACAAGTTCTTTGGCATCTCTGCAGAAGACGAGTCAGCGGTGGCCTTATCGCCATAAAGGGAGAGGCACTAGAGTCTTACGGCGTCGTCGCGTATTTGTGCATCGTTTCAATCAATGCCTCGATATATCTCCTCTTGGCCTCCGTCCGAGTCAACCCTGTTTGCGAGTTCCACGCATCCCACTTGTCCTTTTCGCGTTGAAGCTCGTCGGCAGGCATTCCGGAAGCCGAGGTTGGGCGCTCCATGACGCCATCGACGTCCCCCTCCATCGCTTGCTTGTAGAGGCCATAGAGTCGCAGCCTGTCGGACGACGGGGGGCGCGACGCCCCCGTCTTGGGGATCTTCTTGACGGTATTTAAGGCATGAACGAACACGCGATCTGTGGGCGGAGGAAGAGCATAACGATACAATTAGCCGGGGAATTGCACTCCCCACAACGGGGGAAAACCACTAGAAGTAAGGTTTTGGGGTCGACGAAAACTCACCCACGGAGTCAGCCATCTAGACGGCTGTCCTGGAAAGACAAACGGCCGAAGAGGTTTTGTTCAGGTGAGTGGAAAAGGTGGGAGCGAAAGTCGCGTTTACGTAGTAATGTCCGAGGTTTGGATCTGAGTCGGCGGCAGGGTCGGGGGTTGGGTTCGGCTCAACAACCGGTCAAAGATAACTTAGATAAGTTGCCCCTTCAGCTTCACCTCGGGGGAACCTTGGCAACGGGAGCTGAAACAAGAAACGAGAAAAACAAGTGCTGGCAGAGTGACAGAGTTAAGAATCCAGCACGCTGACATGCATGATGTGAGAGCTCCGCCATGGGGTTGTTCCTCAGGTCGTTCGTCCACGAGGAAGGGGTCTATCAGGTCTGGTGTGGACGGCCGCGGGAAAGGTGAGTTGGGCAAGTTACAGCGGTGGGCGGGTACTGGCAGATTGAGTAGTTCGGTACCGGCAATCAGCTGCTGGGGAATGACAGCGTGTAAAGCAGTTCGCGCCGATATTGCCTCTAGCAGCAGCCGCACAGCTGGAGCAAAGGTGGTGTGCGAGTGCGAATGAGTTGCCGGTAATTCTTTTGCCTCGGCCGGGTCACGCAACTACGCAACGCAATTCAACGCAACCAACCTCTCTCCACAGCAGCACGAGGAGAACCAGCCGGGGGTGGGCGCGCGGGCCTGACGCGGGCTTGTCAGGGGTCTGCTTCTCCGAGATCCCGACTAGCAATTAATCCTGTCCACCCCGCGTCTTTTCTGCCCGTAGTGCGATGCAGGATTATTGTCGTCGGCCGAGACAAGAGGCACGTGAAATGCGGGCAGCCGGCTCAAGGTCGAACGGTACACTGTAAGGTATTTAGGGTTCGGGATGATCCATTGATTTTTATCCTCTTCTCCTTCTGGTTTGTTTTCGTCAATTAGAGTTCTGTCAATTGACGCTGAGCCGAGGAACGTCTGAGCAGAGCGAGTCCACTCCGGCCGAACGTCGTTTTTCGGCATTGTTGGCCTAGACCCTGGCATGGACATGCGCTCAGTTCATCTCCCTTCCGATCACCTGACAAGTCTGAACGGTTTTTAGATGTAATCACCGTTTCTTCGTTAACGTTTTGCTATCACACATCTTACAATATTTGGACTCCCGTCACCTATGCATTCCCGAGAGCTGCGTACAGTGCGGCCTTCTTCGCCGCATACGTCTTCATCAGCTTCTTGTTCTCTAGCGCCGCCGTTGCTGCCTTCTGTCCCGCCTCTTTCTTGTTGCGATCGTTACCAATGCCCAAGAGCTTGTTCTTCTCGCCCCAACCATCCAAGTACACACCGACCGAGAAGAGCGACAACTTCTTGTTGTACTTGTCTGGCTTGCTGGGCAAGTCTTCGTAGCGTATCTGAACCCCCTTGGCTCCTATAAGCTGCAAGAGTTGAACCTTCGGGAGCAATTGGGACTCTGATGATTCCACCGTCGTGCCCAGTTCCTTGACCATTCGTATATCGGGCTTGTTGTCTGCTGTTCGGATCTGATCTTGGATGGTCATAGCCCAGAGCGATCGCAACCACTCTACAGCCCTGGAAAGTCCGTCCGCATCGGAAAGCACAACAGCTGCAACGTACGCTTCGAAAAGGTCGCCTTTGACTTTTTGGATTTCTTGCGGCTTTGACTTCGACGTCGTGTGGTTATTTGGGTCATACTCAGGAGGGAGTATTGCTCTCTCGAAGAGCTGGTATTTGACAGAATACTCTCCGAGGTTGGCGTTCTTGATGAGTAGCTCTCGCATTTGTGAGCATCTTCCTGTTGAAAGACCTCCAAACGTCTGGAAGATAAGACACGTTGAGAAAAGCTCCACATAGGCATCTCCTAGCCACTCCAGGCGGTCGTAGCTGAGATCGCCCCTGTTCTTGACCCTGCCGACATGGGTGAATGCTGCTGTCTCCAAAACATGGTTGGTGATCTTGGGAAGCGGAGGAATCACTTTCGGGATGTCTGCTGATGTCCATGGCTTGAAGATGCTGAAGGATGGGACAGGTACTCCGGCAAGAGAGGGCTCACGGGGTATTTCCTGTTGCTTTGTTAGCGATGTCGACACACATGGCCCCAAAGCGCCAAGGACACGCCAGTTGATGTGAGTAAGAGAATATTCGCGGTGACGGCGAATGACATGGCGATGGCGAAGATTTTCTTACCTTTGGTTCGGGCTTCTCTAGCTCATCTCGAGGGTCTCCATCGCGGGCAAGATATTGGAATGAAGGCAGAAGAGTTTTGCTGAGACCGCGAAGTTTCTGCAGCGCATCGTCTTTGGTGGAGGATCCAGATTTGGATGATCCGGTGAGTGCTTGCAGACACTCAATGAGTTCCTTGCTATGAGACACCAGCGACTCGACTGCGTCGTTGTCTGTATGTCTCCGCTTGCTTGGAGGCAAGACTCCCGAGTTCGACCGTTTGCTCATTGTAGTTCAAGAATTCGACAAAAATACCGTATCTTCCGGTCGTCCTTTGTATAAAATTGCTTTGGTCCAGTGATATTGCAAGAGGAAAAAAATGAGAATGTGCTGCGTCGCTCATAGCACATCAAAGATGGCTGCAGAGAATCTTAGATGGCAATCGCAGGGAAGTCCAGCAGCATTTCTGCACCCCTGTTGCAGGGTCCCGTGCCGTTGAACTTGAGCCCCACAGGATACCTACCTGCACCTGCCTAGGTAGGTACCTAGCAGCCACCTGGAGTTACTATAGCCTTAGGTAAGCCGGTGATCTGGTTGGTTTCGCGGTTCATCGATGATCCGGATCGCACGCCAATTGGATGGTATCAGGCATGCGTGGGGCGGAATTTAACCTCACTGCTGGTTTAGCTCGCTGGCGTCGCGACAAAATTCCCGATCGTCATTGTGCTCCCAAAGACGATGCGAAGATGAGTGTCCCACGCGCGAGGTTGCTGGACCTCATGAAGGTGATTTTCCGCTGCTATTGATTGATGTTATGCGTTGGCTAATCAAACTAGGTCCAATGTCAAGTTTTTGCGACAACATTCAACCCCGAGGGAGTCCGTACCGGTAACAAGATCCTGCGCCAGCGCCTGAAGGGACCTGCTCTCGCCTCGTACTACCCGCGCAAGGTTCTCACCGTCCGAGATGTTCAGAAGGAGTTTGGCCCTGAGCTCACGACCATCGATCTTGACGAGATGGACCGATTGGACCACATTGCTGCACTGAAGTCGAGAGGAAAGAGCGCGCCGAAGAAGTTGAAGGCCAAGGGTAAGACCCGTCGCTTCGGCAACGGTTGACACATAAACTGACACTTTCACAGTCGAGAAAAAGAAGCGATAGATTCTGCACTCGAGATCGAATTATCTGTACAATACGCCGCGCAACTGCCGAACGAAATGTCGGAAATCTGGCCGCCGAGATACCCAACACCAAAACAACTCGATTCTTCGGCAGATTCCCCTGTAGAGACTTTCGTGAAGCATCCGAAATACTTGATCCGCCGAAGTCATGGCTTGCGGCGCATGAAGAAAATGGATGTCAAGAAAAGACGTCCAGTGTATGATATTACGCTGTGTATGGGGTTTTTCGTAGCAAGAGCTACCAAGCAAGACCAATCTACATGTTTCCAAACATTGCTTTCGAGGTCGTGCTTGCTGATTTCTCCCGTTCCAAGACTCAAAGCTTTCCCTCGTTGATGCCCTTTGGTGTCAGCAGCCTAGAACAAAGCACAAAGGCGAGGATGAAAGATACGGGAATGCTCCTGTTGAGGTAGCAGCGAGGAGTCACCGACTCTTCCCACAAAAGTCCAATATTTATCATGAGATTGGTCTACTGGAGCTGGACTCGATCAAAATTGCCGGGAAACTTCACAGGTCACAAAGACCAAGATCGTCTGAAGTTGGGTAGTGCTGGCAGTGGTGAATGGCCAACCCGTCTTTTGGCATAGAAAGTGTGGAGGGCTGAATTCACTCTTACCTTCCTGCCTACCTAGGAAGCGAGGCATCATCTGCTTTTCGGGCCGAAGAAAGACCTAGCATCTGGTGACTGCCCACTGGTCCATCTGGATCTCCTTAAAGACTGGACGAGCCGTTGCTACGTCGACCGACTTTAAATAACCCTTCGATACCTGCGACGTCCCTTCCTCTCCGAGAAAAATACCCACAGTCGATCACCTCTACTGCCTCATATTCAGTCAAAATCTAAGGGCATCTTATTTTATACGGCCCGCCATTGCCAACTTAGCGCAACTTATCCCACCCAATCCACCCCCGAGAGAGGTGCCTTGCCCCCCAGAGCGGCTTCCTTCCCTGCGGTTGCCTCCGGTATCTCTTCCTTCCTACCTCGACTCGCTTCTTTTTCGACGAACCCCCCAAAACAAAAACCTTTTACCCTCCATCCTCCACTCTCCACCCTGCACCATCACAGACTTCTCTGCCAACTCCAGAGAGTGAAATCCCCCAAACCCTCTACCGTCGGCAATTCTTGCGAAGGAATCTTTCTCATCTTGTCTGCCACCTTTTGGCAATACCCTGACTTATTTTCTGCAAAGTATTGACTCCTCGACAAGACACGGTTCACAAGCTCGCCCGCCATGTCTACTCCTCCCTCGACGGGTGCTACCCCGAAGCGAGACTCTTCTACTATCACGATGCCCGTCTTCGGAGAGGAAAACATCAAGAAGTCGCCCGATTCGCTTGTCACCGTAAGTTGATTCATTCCCTGTGCTTACCGTGTCGTCCACCGCATCTGTATTTCCTTCTTCGCCCTGTGGACATGGACGACACTCGTCAACCCAAGCGATCCCCGGCATCAGCCCGTATGACAAAATTACTGACTAGAAGACAGAAGGACCACTCAGTTGTCCGTCAGCCTTCTGACGTTGCGGCTCTTGCTTCTTCTAAGCTCGTCAATCAGAATGCTCTTAAGGTTTGTTCTTCTACTCGCCGTCTGTTGCCTCGCTCACAGCGAGAACAGAAGAAGACAAATCAGGAGCCCGCCACTATTGCCGGCACGAACCCCATGGACATGCTTCTTGCCAAGCTTTCTGAGCAGCAGGCCGCTCTTGACCAGCAGAGCGAGGCGATCAAGAATTCTGACGACAAAATGTACACGCGTGGCTTTGATCAGCCTCCTTCTGCAAGCACTTCCGTTCCCATCACTCCGGCTACGGATTCCTTTCCCAGTACCGCTCCGACCACTCGCCCCGCCAGCGCTACCCTTAAGGAGAACCGCAGCAATGTGGATGAGCTTCTTCGGCTCAAGATGGAACTCGCCAAGGCGCAGAACAAGATCAACCGCCTTGACCACGAGCTTTCACAGACACGCTCGATCAAGCAGGAAGACGAAATCATGCAGCCAGTGCCCTCGGCCCGATCTGGCATGCTTGGACCCGAGAACGCTTGGGGTCCGAATGATGACAACAGCTCGGATGCAGGCGCGCCCTCTGTTGGAGGCTACAACCGCTCTCGCGGCATTTGGGGCAATTCGAGAACCCCCTTCTCCAACAGCGCTGCAGCTATGCCCGCCTCCGACTCGCAGTCTATGGCGGGAGATTGGTACGGAGGTGGTCGTGGTGGATTCAACCAGACCTACATTGATCCTGTTGGCCCCTACCCAGTGGGTGACAGCTACCGTGGAGACCGCATGAACCAGGACACTGAGATGTTCTCTCGTCCTCCGAGCAGCCGCCGCAACAATCGCTTCGACAACTCTCGCTGGCCATCCCCTCAGCCGTACGGGGGCTCCAACTTCGGATCGGGCTACGGCTTTGCTCCTACCCCTGGTCCTTTCGGCTCTATGGTCGGTGGCCCAGGTGTTCCCGGAAGCAACATGAGCTCCGATATGTATCAAGGCTACAATCAGCAGTCCATGGAAAGCCAGCTTTCCCCTCATGCCACTGAGTTCACTGCCAACTCTGGCTGGAAGAGTGAGGTACGTCGTGAGAGTCAGAAAAAGGGTGCTAGATCCAGCATGCTGACTTCTCGTCCCGAACAGGCCATCGCCACCGAGGGTCAGACGTATCTCCCTACCACCGAGCCCCTGAACTACCGTCGCCTGTTGGACCGCAACGTCAATTGCAACTGGAAGTATATCGTTGACAAGATCGTCTGCAACAATGATCAGCAAGCCTCTATTTTCCTCCAGCAGAAGCTGAAAGTCGGCACGCCCGACCAGAAGTATGAGATTGTTGAGGCCATCGTCGCTCAAGCCTACCCTCTCATGGTCAACCGCTTCGGGAACTTCTTGGTCCAGCGCTGCTTTGAGCATGGAACGCCCGAGCAGGTCGTCAAGATCGCAGAAGCCATTCGCGGCAACACCCTCAGTCTTTCCATGGACCCCTTCGGCTGCCACGTTGTTCAGAAGGCCTTTGACTCTGTCCCGGAGGACTACAAGGCCATCATGGTTCACGAGCTTCTTCGTCGTATCCCGGAGACAGTCATTCATCGCTACGCATGCCACGTTTGGCAGAAGCTCTTCGAGCTCAGATGGTCTGAATCCCCGCCTCAGATCATGAAGTTTGTCAACGAAGCCCTCCGTGGCATGTGGCACGAGGTTGCACTTGGCGAGACTGGAAGTCTTGTCGTCCAGAACATCTTCGAGAATTGCCTGGAGGAGGACAAGGTAAGACACTCTTTCCAATCATTCTCGGTCTGTTTCTAACATTTTCCAGCGCCCCTGCATCGAGGAGGTTCTTGCCAACATTGACATCGTTGCTCATGGTCAGTTCGGTAACTGGTGCATCCAGCACATCTGTGAGCACGGAGCCCCGGCCGACCGCTCCCGTGCCATTGACCACGTCATTCGCTACGCCGCAGAGTACAGTACCGATCAGTACGCCTCCAAGGTTGTCGAAAAGTGTCTCAAGATTGGCGGTGGAGAGTTCCTTGGCCGCTATCTCGACCGCGTCTGCGAGGGTCGAGTCGATCGCCCCCGCATCCCTCTCGTCGACATTGCCAGCGATCAATACGGCAACTATTTGATTCAGTACATCCTCACTCATGCTGGCATGCAGCACCGCGAGGTTGTGGCTGCCCATATCCGGAAGCACATGGTATCCCTTCGTGGATCCAAGTTCGGTTCCCGCGTTGGCATGCTCTGCACCAACCCCGCCGTCGCTACTCGCCCTGGCCCCGGAGTCGGTCCTGGCATAGGCCGCATGGTCGGCGGTGGCCCTCGCTTTGCTAGCGGCAGCAGCTACCGCTGAACTCTTTACCTCAACGTTCCATCCAGGCTTTTCACAACACTCTTGACACTGTTGCGAGCCACTCCTGTTCTCTTCCAACGTCGCTTTCACTTCTGTCCTCACCACTAATTCGTTACGCCCCTATCCTGATTTTCCCCAACTCTGACGAAGTCATCGCACCCGCAGCATTTGTCCGTGCTTACAAAACATCTTCCTTGGCCATTAATTTACAGATCAGCTGTCATCCTACGCTTGGCAAGTTATCACTTGTCCGAGTGCATTGGACACCACATGGTTATGGATTTTGCAATATGGAGGAGGTGCGTCAGTGTGACCTCGAAACCCCATCTAGGGGCATTGGAGTTACATGATGAAGCCCGGCCAAAGTGCTATCTATACATGGCGGTTCATCGCGACACAGGCACAAACTCCTGACGCATCCTCGGTTCCATTATTCAGCTGACATGACGACTCGGAGAACGGAGATGGAGAACTACGTCAGCATGGAATATCAAAACATGAAAGTCAATGATTGTATGTAGTATTTATCACATTCCAAATGGTTTGGAGTGTGCCTTGGTCCACATTGGACAGCATCTGCGGAGTCCTCAATCAACATTAGGTAGTTTCCCTAGAAAATGTCTTCTTACACTTGCTTCTTCTGGCTCACTCTCCTCGTGTTTCCTGAAATTTATCAAGTAACTATCACGAAAAAAAAAGAAAAAGATTCATTGGTGCCAGACGCCGTTCGGTCCGCAAAGTTCTTACAATACGCGCTTGGAGTATGCTCCATACCTGCCATGCTCCATATCTGCCCAACGCCATAAACAGAGTACATCGACCAATCAAATCAAAAGTCTTACGCCTCCTTAGTTGCTGTCGCGCTCTCAGGTGCCAGCGTTTCTTCAAGCGGCGGGAACTCCGCATCAACAACAGGGGGCTTCTCTGATGCTTCAGCCTCCAAGACTGGGGCATCCTTCTCCCATGGCTTCTTCGGCACAGCGCGTTTACCGAATGGCTTGACAGACTAGATGGATATCAGCGATGCATGCGACATGAACTCCCTGTAACAATTACCTACCGCGTCCCTGACCACAGTGTCGGGAATCTGTCTGATGCCCGGTATCGGGATGCCCTTCTGCAACATCTGCAACATCTCGGCGAAACCCACGGGGTAGGCGGGCTCGCCGCCCTCATCGGCTCCATCAACTTGCAAGGGAGCCTTGCGCTCAACCCATAAATCTGCTTTCGGTGCTGCGGCTTGCCACGACGGCATGTCTTCGGCGCCGGAATCAGTCTTAAGGTCGCTGAGCTTGGAGGCTAGATCTTCCGTCGATGACGGAGCGGCGGTGCCGGCTGTTGTGGTTTGCGACTTGTATTCTTCCGGGAGGATGTCGGGTGGTGTGTGGTCTGGGTGCCGCGCGAGCCAGTCCTTGTACTTGTTGAAGTCGATCGTGACGCCGACGCGGGAGGCGTAGTAGAAGATTCGGGCGTGGGTTGCGAGCTCGGAGGGGGTTCCTTTGGGGTTTTCTGTGTTCGGGTCGCCCAGGATTGCGGTCAGACCGGACTGGGTTCGGAATTGTCAGTTAACAATGGTCGAGATGTGTGTGATCGACCGGAGGACCGTTGGGTTGTCGGCAGCTCGGTTTGCGCCGGAGGGAGATGACGTACCTGGAACATCTTGTCCTTCTTCCACGGGTACGTGTCGAAGGCCTTGAACATGCCATCTTCATCGGTTATGGCGCGGATGCGGTCTGCGCCGGATAAAGTCGCCATTGTGCTTGTTTGAGGGTTCGTGGAGGGATGTCGGAGCCGTTGCCGAGGTGTAGTTGGAGAGGCGGGATGGGAGCTCTGGGTTTGGTGGGGTGAGAGCTTGGGAGGTGCGATAAGATAAGAGGGGGAACGCACCCCGCACCGGGTGCCGATCGATCGGGTTTTGTGGGTACCCGGGCTGATGCCGAGTGAGACGCCGGCGATGGACACTTACACGAACTTTTCGGATCAAGCCACTTTAGAATAAGATACGTATAGCCATGATTGATCTTCCAAGTAGATAGATTGGACTTCTGCAGCCGAGCATGAAGGGCTGCCTCAAGATACCCCTTTCTTCAGCCTGGGTGCTGGTTTCTGTTTACACCTGCCGTCTTCCATGTGACTTCTTCCAGCCGTGCTATCCCATTTTACCTCATACGCTGCAAAAGCCTTTGAAAGAGTCAGATCGAAAGCAATGGCTCGTCTACGTAATCTTCATAGGTTAATCTTGGACTTTGCCATTACCTTAGATCATGGGAGCCATTCAAGGTCAACTGATCGGGCGGCTCCGGAGAGTCAGGATATGTCTATGCGTCTTAAGAATACCTCGTACAGTCTGATGTTATCTTAGTAAAACTCAAGCCGACGGATATCCGCCGGGCAACTCCATGGAGTATGAGCCAAATGGACCTCACTTCGCTGCTCTCATCTCGGTTGTCACCTCTCGGGAAGCCGTTCGCAAGATCCTCTGTGAAGAATTCATACGTGCAACGATTGTATAGTGTCAAAAGCTTGTAGTTTCATACCGGCGAAACAAACATGCATCATTGTACTCACAAGACTACCAAGCTCCACAACCCAGAACAATCCGAGGAGAGGTAGCCGAACAGGTGCTTCAGGAACACTCCGGTATTCCCCGCAACATAAAGCCAAAGGTAGCAAGGTCACGAATCAATCGAAACAATATTAAGAGGCGCCTGCTGCGAAAACGTCTCGCATTGTCATTCGGCGGTCCTCGGAGGTTAGATACCTGGTCCTCCCGCCTTAGCAAAGACAGTTCTGCCGCACTGCACTCTCAAGCTCAAGAAGAAATCTCTCATAGTTCCAAGTGCCCAAACTAGATAGTTTACGAGAGGTTCATTGGTTGTTCGGTTCAAAGTTTTGAAGGCGTCAGGTGTCCATGGCGGAATGGAACCTGCTGGATAGAAAAACAGAGCTGCGTATCATTTGACCATGGAAATATTAACACGCAATTCTATGTAAGTCTTAAATTATCTCATTTTGCTCATCGTTTTCGATTCAAATTCTACGCATCCAACAGCACCATCAAGATCAAAAGACACCAGAATCAAGATCACGATTCCGAACCCCATCGTATTAGACAACATGTTCCGAACCAGCGTGAATCAGGCCAGTATTCTCTTCCAGACTAAAACTACTTTTCTCCGCCTAACCATCCCCAGGCACTGCGCGTGGCCAATCCCATCAGCCGACCATCGCCAGTGCGCCTTCCCGCTACGACGAGAGCCTTCAGAGCCACCCAGAGGTTCTTGACAACAGAAGGTGACCCCATAAATAGCGTACGGACGAAGGAGACTATCGTTTGGAAGAAGAATCGACTTTCGTATTACCTTCAACGATACGACGCACCACCGAAGGATACCACAATCGTAATTGAGGGCGAAGACCTAAATCAACTGTACGAAAATATATTGGATTTGAGGCGGCGTCGTCCTAGCCGGTGGAAGTTGAGGGGAAATTGGCGGAATTTGCTCGTCATCATATGCCAGATATGCATTTCGGCTGTTCTGATACCATGCACCACGGTTCTGTGGCTATGGAACCTTCGGATGCTGCTCCGTTTTGTATGTGTTGATAAGAAGCACAATGTAAAGGAAGGCTAAGAAAGCTGGCTGAGTCTGTGGTGTAACATAAGGCGAAGCGGGTTAGAATCTTCGGGAAATAGGACATCTTCTCTCAATCTTTCAAAGAACAACAAGGCAGACCAAGTCACTTCTACAACGGGGCAAGTCAGGACCGAATTAACGTCATTATGAGGATTTTTGATGTTTGTAGTGTCGTTGTTGTCGCTATCGACGCTATTGTCATTACTATCGCTTTCATCGCTGCTGTCGCTGTCATCTTTGCCGTTACCATCGTCCTTGTCGTCGTTGAAGTATTTGGTATATATACTGACTTGTGTGATCTCCCAAATACTGAACTTGTGTCAGTAATGACACTAACCTCAATGGCTTCCGTTGGCCGTATTCTCCAGTTGCCACATGTTCTTATATCGCTGCAGAGAATTTTACAATCAGTGATGTTACGACCTGCGCAATTGCGTAGGATAATTTGGTAGGCAAATGTGAAGCTGAGGGGCCTGCAACGGAAACATTGTTAGAAAAGCTTGTCGACCGCTTCGGCCAAACATCCGCAAAGGCTTGAAAATGTGCGAGAGGTAGCGCATGGGAAAGCGTCGCCTTCAGTCTCGATTGCAGGCCCGCACCCAATCTGACTAGCTGATCGAAGTTGCCCTTTGAAACTTTCTGCCCAAACCATGGTGCTCTCAGATATGTTTGTTCGCCTCAAGAGCGTGTAGTTTGAACCCTTGCTGCATTTACATACTTGGTCCAAACAATATACGCGGCCATACACTATATCCAACCTCAAATGATCATGAAGCGCCGCAGATGTGGCACTACTTATATATTCTCCAGTAATTCAACAACAATATCCCTACCCTCTTATCGTGCAAGGCACAAAATTTGGATTCTGTAGCTCACCACCAGGGTTCAGAGAAACGGGACAAAACCTGCCTGGTGTAAGTGCCTTGCCAGCTTCTTGAAAATGCTTACATCGCACAACACACCTTTTCAAATTCGGTTTGGTCGGAATGAATTCCTCAGTTCATCGAGCCAGAATGAGAACCGTCGCATTAAAGAACATTATGAAGGCCAAGGGGGTGGTTTGCAAGGGGCCTCAATGGGACCCACGGCCAGGTTCGTCGTCGCGAACCGAGCTCTCAAGGAACTGGATCAACTCAAATGCACACTTCTGGGGCTGCAACAGACTGAAAAAACCCGAACATGGTTGCGTCGAGCGAGACAACATACGCTAGTCGACGGCACGATAGATTTCAAACTAACAGAGGTTTTGTACATCTTGATTGCTACTTGTCTAGTCTACTTTATATGTCACAGTATCTACGTTTACGCTCACTCACGGTGTCAAGGCAGCGGAACCTCTCCGTGACCTGCTCCAGCTGAGATCCTACAAATTCTCTTTTTATGTTAAGTGATCGATCGGGCTGCAGCAGGAAAGCTATTGAACTAGCATGCGTACTGCCTGAAACCGTTCGAATTCCCACGCGAAAAACGAACAAACACCCAAGATCGCAGACGACGGAGGAAAGATTTGATCCATGGGGCATAAGAGTGCGTGTGTGTGTATAGCAAGACCAGTATCAACCGCTAATCCGGCCACTGTGCAGAGAGCCTCCATCGTACCGATGAGGTCCTATGTGTGTTTTGTGTGTTGTGTGTAGCAAAATTGCCAGCCGTGCGAGGCTGCCAATGAGTGACTCTGCTTCCGAACGGAAACAGGCTGATGTGTCGTGGATATCCCGAGTAAAGGAGGAAAGAAAACGTCTAGAATGTCCATGGCGAAAATGAAACCACACTCAACCACCCCCCTGAGCTGAACGCCTTTAAAGCAGCAACAAATGTTGCCGAATCTCCCTAGAAATCATCGTGGAATCCAATATACCCTCCGATGCAAAGTCCAATGTTTTTTTTCAACGCCAAGTGATGATGCTTTAGTTGTGCTGGAAAAGGACGCTGATCGACTCGCCGTGGTGGACACGACGAATAGCCTCCGCGAAAACGGGGGAGACTGAGAAGTTTAGTCAGAAACGGGACGACACGAAGAAAACGAGACAACTCACCGTCCAGGTAGCCAAGCTTGGGGCACACCTTCATGTGCTCTCCCTGGGGAACGGTGTTGGTCACGATGATCTTGTCGATGGCAGAAGCGTTGATGCGCGGGATGGCGTCGCCGCTGAGAATGCCATGCGTCAAAAGAGCGTAGATGTGAGTAGCACCGTTCTTCTTGAGCAACTTGGCGGCTCTCGTAATGGTGTTGCCGGTGTCGACGAGATCGTCAACGAGGATGCAGACCTTGTCCTTGACATCACCGACCAGCATCATGCTGGCATTGCGCTGCTCGCTGTACTTGGTAGGCCGACGCTCCTGAAAAGATGTTATGAATCCTGCGCATCCCGCCAAAAGAAAAGGCGGCCTACCTTGTGGATCAGGGCAAAGGCCATGTCCAGCTCATCTGCGATGGCAGTAGCACGCTTGGCGCCACCAGCGTCGGGCGAGATGACAACGGCATCCTTGAAGTTGGGAATGTTCTGCTGGATGTATCTCTTCAGGAGGGGCTTGCCGTACAGGTTGTCCACTGGGACATCGAAGAAGCCCTGGTACTGAGGATCGTGAAGATCCATCCTGCGACCATTAGCAATTGCTTCGGAGAGAAGCAATGAATGGCAGATTTGTTTGAGCCTCAGAGGGATCTCGTTGGATTGGCAACAAGGCCCCATGGGCAGAGGGTTGTGCTTATGATTATGAGAGAACCTACGTGATCTGTCATGTGTTAGCTTGTGCTTGGTAAGATGCATCCTATCCTGTGCGCAAATCCTCTTCGTTGCACCCAGGATGACCTCGAGGGCGTACATACCACATGGTCCGCACCAGCGCAGGTCAGAAGGTCTGCGACCAGAGTGCCGGCTTGGGCAACCCATTGTTTGTATCCAGGCTTCGACTGGAAGCCGTTGATCTGGCTCTGGTTCTCGTAGTCGTGGGTGGTGAACTTGACCTGGGAGGAGATCGAATCGTGGTGGCCGCGGCCGTTGGTCTTGTTCTCGCCGTTGGGGGTCTTGAAGTAGTCGCCGTTGACTCCGTTGGTTCTCTCCTCGTTGAGCTTGCTCTTGGCGAGCTTGGAGGCAATGCCGTCGATGCCGTTGGGAAGGCCAGCAGTGCGCGCAATGCCAGGGCCGGGAGTGGCGGGAACACTCTCGAAGGTGTAGCCGTTCTGGGAGGTTTCTGAGGATTTCGAGAGAGGAGCGCCGGCCTTCTTGTAGGGAACATCGGGTTGTCTGGAGTAGGGGAACAAAGGCATGACAGCGGTAACTCTCTTAGCGGAACCAGTCTTGCAAGCCGAGATCATGATGCACAAGTCCATGAAGCCGTCGTTGACGGAGCCAGAGGCGGTCTGGATGATAAAGACATCCTTACCGCGCACTGAGTCCTTGATCTCACAGCGAGACTCGCCAACCGAGAACTTGCTGAGAACGCGCTCGCAGGCGTTGAGGCCAAGATTGTTGCAGACACTGTCAATCAGCTCTGGGTGGGTGTTTCCACCAAGGACAATGATGTTGCGAACCATTGTGACTGGTGCGCTGGTCTATAAAGAAGCGGTCGTAGGGAAGGAGGATAGGTAGCAGGCAGTCGGGCGAAACCGGCGGTTGTCTAAAGACGAGGGGGTGTAGGGTATAGCTCGTTGGTTGGAAATTGACCGGTAGAGTAGGGAGGCTGGAGGCCTAGCTATAGCAAATAGCTTTGCTTTCGGAGAAGGTATTGGTGGTGGAGGGAGGTCGTGTGCTGGATGGAGAATCGCGAAGGAGCAGTGCCGGTCTCGGGTTTGCTTGAGGCGTCCGTCAAAAATCTGCTAGTGGGGTGCAAGGCGACGTCACAGGGGACTTGGAATGTGCCGAGCCGAGGGTAGGCGAGAGTGAAATTGTGCAGAAGAATGATGCCAGGGCAGACGATGAAGAAGAGGAGGAAGGCCTCTGAGATGCGGTCACAACGGAAGCATGACGAACAAGCTTGGGGGGATGAAGGTGGGAGGAGGGAAGAGAGAAAAAAATAAATAAATGCTGGTTAGCGGGGGTACTTCCTCTGAAGCTGGGGTTGTCGAGAAGTTGTAAAGGAAAATCTCTGAGTGGATAAGTTTGTTTGGGACCTGGATAGGTTAGTTTTGGGGTCGGGTGCGGTCGCTGCCAGATGGATTGGAGGCGGGTGGAAATGCTTCTTTTGGTGGGGTAGAAAGGCGACTGACACAGGGCTGGACACAGAGTATTACAGCATGTCAAGATGCAGAGTAGACTCTTTCAGGTTAGGCCGTGTACGAAGTACTTGGGTGTCCTCCATGCACCGTGTGACTCCAAATCTTTGGCAACTCGTTGGAAAGATTTTGCTCCAGTGACGCCCTGGCCAAGTGTGACCTCGGTAGCTAGAACGAGGTCTTTCATTCTGCGGAAGAAAACTGGGGCCAGGTCGGGTATTTGCGCGTATCCTGGATCCGTACGGAACAGCTTCTGTTTTCGTTTTCCCCTTCTTTTCCAAGTCCTCACGACTACTCATATTCCCTTCCATCAAACCAAACCGCCGCCATGTTGCGTAGCTCTGTGTGTAGAGCTGGCACCCGGGTGCTTCATGCATCAAAACCTACCTCCACATCGGCCTTCTCGACCATTGCCTCGCGATCCTCGACGAGAAAGCTCGCTGCTGCCCGTCGCCCCTTGGCCCTGATCCAGACTACCCAACGTCACTATGCGACCGCGAACGAATCCGCCCCTAACCCCAACGACAACTTCTTGTCGGGGAACACTGCCAACTACATCGATGAGATGTACATGCAGTGGAAGCAAGACCCCAAGAGCGTCCACGTCTCATGGCAGGTCTACTTCAGGAACATGGAGAACGGCGACATGCCCATCTCCCAGGCCTTCACTCCTCCCCCTTCTCTGGTCCCCGGAGCCACCGGTGGTGTTCCCGCTCTCGGTGCGAGCCTCGGACAGGGCTCTGAGATCACCAACCACTTGAAGGTTCAGCTTCTCGTTCGCGCCTACCAGGCCCGAGGCCACCACAAGGCCAACATCGACCCTCTGGGCATCCGCAACGAGTCCCAGGGCTTCGGCAACATCAAGCCCAAGGAGCTGTCTCTCGAGCACTACCAGTTCACCGAGAAGGATCTCGACGCCGAATACGAACTCGGCCCTGGCATCCTCCCCCGTTTCAAGAGGGAGGGCCGCGAGAAGATGACCCTGCGTGAGATCATTGCTGCTTGCGAAAAGATCTACTGCGGTTCCTACGGTGTTGAGTTCATCCACATTCCCGACAGAGAGAAGTGCGACTGGCTGCGCGAGCGCATCGAGGTTCCTCAGCCCTTCAAGTACTCCATCGACGAGAAGCGCCGCATCCTCGACCGTCTTATTTGGAGTTCCAGCTTCGAGTCCTTCTTGGCCACGAAATATCCCAACGACAAGCGTTTCGGTCTCGAGGGCTGCGAGACCCTGGTTCCCGGTATGAAGGCCCTCATCGACCGCAGTGTCGACTACGGTGTCAAGGATATCGTCATCGGTATGCCTCACCGTGGCCGTCTCAACGTTCTCAGCAACGTCGTCAGAAAGCCCAACGAGTCCATCTTCAGCGAGTTCGCCGGAACCGCCGGTGGTGAGGACGAGGGCTCTGGTGACGTCAAGTACCATCTCGGCATGAACTTCGAGCGTCCCACGCCTTCTGGCAAGCGCGTGCAGCTCTCCCTGGTCGCCAACCCCTCTCACTTGGAGGCCGAGGACCCCGTCGTTCTCGGCAAGACCCGCGCCATTCAGCACTACAACAACGACGAGAAGACTCACCGCACCGCCATGGGTGTCCTCCTCCACGGTGATGCCGCCTTCGCCGCCCAGGGTGTCGTCTACGAGTGTCTCGGATTCCACTCCCTGCCCGCCTTCTCGACTGGTGGTACCATCCACCTGGTCGTTAACAACCAGATCGGTTTCACCACCGACCCCCGTTTCGCCCGCTCCACCCCCTACTGTACCGATATCGCCAAGGCTATCGATGCCCCCGTTTTCCACGTCAACGCCGACGATGTCGAGGCCGTTAACTTCGTCTGCCAGATCGCTGCCGACTGGCGCGCCGAGTTCCAGCAGGATGTTATCATCGACCTGGTCTGCTACCGCAAGCACGGCCACAACGAGACCGACCAGCCCTCTTTCACCCAACCTCTTATGTACAAGCGCATCCAGGACCACGAGTCCCAGATTGGCATCTACGTCAACAAGCTTCTGGAGGATGGCAGCTTCACCAAGGAGGACATCGACGAACACAAACAGTGGGTCTGGGGCATGCTCGAGGAGAGCTTCTCCAAGTCTAAGGACTACCAGCCTACCTCCAAGGAGTGGACCACCTCCGCCTGGAACGGCTTCAAGTCCCCCAAGGAGCTCGCCACCGAGGTCCTTCCTCACAACGAGACCAGCGTTGATGGCAAGACCCTCGAGCACATTGGTGAGGTCATTGGTAGCACGCCTGAGGGCTTCAACGCCCACCGCAACCTGAAGCGTATCCTTACGAACCGAACCAAGTCTGTTGTTGAGGGTAAGAACATTGACATGTCTACCGCCGAGGCTCTGGCTTTCGGTTCTCTCGTCACCGAGGGCCACCACGTCCGTGTTTCCGGTCAGGATGTTGAGCGTGGTACTTTCTCCCAGCGCCACGCCGTCTTCCACGACCAGGAGACCGAGGACACCCACACTCCTCTTCAGCACGTCAGCAAGGACCAGGGCAAGTTCGTCATCTCCAACTCCTCCCTGAGTGAGTTCGGCGCCCTTGGCTTCGAGTACGGCTACTCGTTGTCTTCCCCCAACGCCCTGGTCATGTGGGAGGCTCAGTTCGGTGACTTCGCCAACAACGCTCAGTGCATTATCGACCAGTTCATCGCCTCTGGTGAGGCCAAGTGGATGCAGAGAACCGGTCTTGTTGTCTCCCTCCCCCACGGTTACGATGGCCAGGGTCCCGAACACTCTTCTGGTCGTCTGGAGCGCTGGCTCCAGCTGTGCAACGAGGACCCCCGTGTCTTCCCCTCTCCCGAGAAGCTCGAGCGTCAGCACCAAGACTGCAACATCCAGATTGCCTACATGACCCAACCTGCCAACCTGTTCCACGCTCTCCGCAGACAGATGCACCGCCAATTCCGCAAGCGTAAGTCGGCCCCGAGTACACTCGAAACATTTATACTGACCATCACTAGCTCTCATCATCTTCTTCTCCAAGGCTCTTCTGCGTCACCCTCTGGCCCGTTCTAACATTGAGGATTTCACCGGTGACTCTCACTTCCAGTGGATCATCCCCGACCCCGAGCACGAGACGGGTGCCCTCAAGCCCAAGGAGGAGATTGAGCGTGTCATCCTCTGCTCTGGCCAGGTCTGGGCTACTCTGTCCAAGTACCGTGCGGACAACAAGATCGACAACGTCGCTTTCACCCGCATCGAGCAGCTGAACCCCTTCCCCTGGCAACAGCTGAAGGAGAACCTGGACCAGTACCCCAACGCCAAGACCATCGTCTGGTGCCAGGAGGAGCCCCTCAACGCCGGTGCATGGAGCTTCACGCAGCCTCGCCTTGAGACTCTGTTGAACCAGACTGAGCACCACGACCGCAAGCACGTCATGTACGCTGGCCGTGGACCCAGCGCCTCCGTTGCTGCTGGAAACAAGGGTCTCCACAACAAGGAAGAGCAGGAGTTCTTGGAGATGGCCTTCAGCGTCAAGCAGGACAAGCTGAAGGGTGAGTAGATTCGGAATAACACACAGGCATGATTACTGGAAGCGATGGGAATAAATAAATTCAAAAGACGGGCATGGAAGAGATTCAGGATTGCGGGAGCGTTTTCCTACCTTGTACAATTGTAAACTAACCTATGAGTAATAACCACACGCCCTCCTTAACGGAGAGACTGTGCACATTACAGCAAACGGGCGGACAGGAAAGCATCCTAGATATATCACCATCGAGGCGGGTCAAGAAGACACCGCGTCCAGCGATGTACCTACTACGTACTGAAATTCAATTTGTTTGATTTATGGCAGCCGCTTGAAGCTCTCTACAAGGGACAAGTGCTTTTAACCGTCAAGGATTCCAGTGGTTGTCCTGCGACAGCAAGTTCCGTTCCAAGAGTTAGCGATGTGCCTGTGCTGCACAGGAGCGGCTCAAAAACGCCACCGTGGTACTTGGAGCGACAGCGATGACGGCGGCCTCGCACGGTCCTTGACAATGTCGGAAGTGGACTCCGTACACGCAGACGCAGGGAAAGATTGGACGAGCATGAGATGCAAGATGGGATGCGCCTGTGACTGTTGCTCAGATAATTCGTAACTCGGATTTCTCCCAGCGGTGCCGGCACGCTCCGGTTGCCTCGTGATTGCACACTCCGCAGATGCAGGCATGACTGGAATTAAATGCCTCTCACTATTTCCATAGACCAATCTCAGACACAGAATGGAGGGAATGCGATAAATGGGAGGTGCAGAACTAATCCGATGCAGCGGCGCAGCGGCGCTCTCTAAATTCCCGCCAACGCTCTCTCCTCTCATTGCGCAATTCCTAATCGGTACGTATACGACAGCATTCACACAGGGAAGGAGTGGGGGCCTCTGCGGCATGATTGGGCGAGTCCGACGCAGCCTTTTTTTTTTGCTCTTCGACTCTTACGGTATCTCATGCAGGCGGCTGCAAACTGTGACGAGCTGGACAGTTGCAAAAGTATTCACGGCCACCTACATACGACAACTTATTTTACGGACCGTATTCTCCATAAGGTAGACGATACTCTAGGCACCCGCCTGTGTTTCGTTCGGGTTGGTATCACCGCCGCCAACGGCTGCCTTGAAGTTTGACCCGAATTTACCGTGTGTTTCTCTGGCTTTGTGCTCTCTGCTTGCCAAGGCCCTTCGACTTAGACGTCAGCTTGTCCGAGGCTGTGTGACTCGACCTGTCACTATCAGGCAATTCAGGTGCTCTTATCAGTTCCGTTTTGAGCAACAAGCCCAGCCTTACTTGTTTATTCACCCTACATCAAGTCTGGCTCATCTTATACGGCCTCATTCTTCATCGATTACCAATCAACCCATACTCTTCTCTCGAGAAACCCGGCATTTTCTTCGAGTATTTGATCACGATGAAGATCCTTGAGGCTCAAACAGCGGTCTTGACCAACTACGAGGTCTACCAGCACCTCACCGAGAAGAAGCTGGGTCAGAAGAAACGAGGCGAACGCCGTGGTCCTGGGAACCTGGAGACACTGGCCAAGGAGGTAAGCTGTGTGCCCGGTGACCAACACCGAGAATTTCTTCTCGGCTATTTCTGCAAAGAATGATTAACATTGGGTATCTTTCCTCTTCCTGCGCTCTTGACTGACTCATCCGGCCAGCTCCTCCAGTACCTGCGTACACCGCCCAACCCGCTGAGCCAGGAGCCCATCACATACCGCCCAGACTGTATCACTCGGCTTCTGGAGAAGCTCCGTCCCTACGACCTCGCCAAGGGTGAAGTCGTCATGATCCTCAACCTTCGCCCCGCCTCCGTCGCCGCGTTGAACACCGTCATTGAAGACATGACGGAGCGCTTCGACGAAACCCAGCAGGAGGACATTGTCCACATCATCGCGGAGGTGCTCGGCTCGTTCCCTCAGGAAGCCGCAGAGGAGGAGGGCGGCGAAGACCAAGCGAACGGTGCTGCTTAGAACGCCCCTCCGGATCACAATTTGGAGCGCGCCTCTGACCTTCGTTGTGCGAGGTCTATGGCTCCGTCCCCATCTCCACATACGCCTTCTCAAAGAATGTCCTTGAAGGAAACCCAAAGGCCTTCTACATGAGCACGCATCCGCCTTCGCTCTGCCCGCCCGCCGCAGTACGTGTTTGAACTGCCGTCTTGCAAATGTCTTCGAAGGCCAGCTTGATGAGCTCCCCGGTCATGGCAGAGCACTCCATATATCTGTCTACTCGCATAGACTGCGCCACCTGGTAGGCCTCGTTGGGTAGGATGATGCCATTGGGATCAGTTTCTGATCTGAGGTCTCTCTTGAGGCCCAGGATGAGGATGGGGAGACGGTCAGGTCTGCGGAAAGTCATCTTGACTTCCCTGAGCCACTGTTCGGAGAGTCAGTGTTTGAAGACGAATCAGGATACAGGATGAGATGAAAGAACATACTACTCTTTGCATGTTGATAAGACTGAGCCGCTGGCTTATGTCGTAGCAAATAATAACGAGATCCGGCTCAAGAAGACGCCAGTTCTCGGGGCTACTCGTATCATAGAATTCCATTCGATACGGCTTGCTTCCCAGTTTGATCTCAAATATGAAAGGCTGGTCGATGTCTTTGAGCAACGTGACGGGCCCATCGCCATCTTTGGCACTCAGTCTCCTGCTCAGGGGGCAAGCGGCTCACATTAGCGATAAGATCCGGCATGGGGAACGGACGACATTCATCAGGGGCATACGGACGAGAGAAAATACGTCTTTCCACATTGTTCATCTCCAACTAGCAATATCTTGATGGCATCTTTGTCCATGGCTGCGAACACCGTTCGATCCGGACTTTTGACTCGGATGTCGTTACTGATAACGGCAGACGGGGAACGGGACTGTCTGGGGAACAAATGGCGCAGCCCCAGAGGGCCTAGACACCCGCTGTTCCACGCACTGCCCGCCAAACGGCCCCGGTTCCTGTCAGATAGATTTGGGGACCTGGGCCAGCGCTCCAATCAAAGTGGGATTCAGCCACAGATAGACTGAACCCGAGCCACAGACAATTTTTCATAGGGCGATTTCACAGTGACAACCCAAGCGTACCCGCACCCGCATGATGCCGGTCTAAATCCCAGAAAAAGAGTCATATGGAAAGAAGTTGCGGGCTTGTGAGGCCCTTACATGGATTATTCTGGGGTTCACGTCTGCATTCTTCGCCGAGCTTGAGTCTGCTCGTACTGAGAAGTCAAGAAAGACTACTACACCACTCACGAAGGCCTCTTCCCGTTCACGCCAATCGCGAACATCAGCATCTTAGAATCCATCTCGCGACTCACCCCTCCACACGGCAACTGAGCACATCACAGCTCAGAGCCCGCAAAATGGCCGACGTGCGTGATAAATACGTCTCATGGGACAGGGACAGCCTCATCGCGCGCATCCAACAACTAGAGAACGAACTCGAGAACCAAAAACACATCGCGCAAGCACCCAAACCGGCGCCCGGCAAGACGGACAAGCCATGGAAGGCCGCCGACGCCCCGCCACCGCCGCCGCCCAAGAAGCGGAAGAAGCAGAAGGAGATCGACCCCTCGCAGTACTCCACGCGCCTCATCGCCCTGAAGCTCGCGTACCTCGGCAAGCAGTACGGCGGGTTCGAGTACGCCGAGTCGGCGTACCTGCCGACCATCGAGGGCGAGCTGTGGAAGGCCCTGACGAAAGCGTGTCTCATCTTCCCCGAGGACGCGAACGTGGTTAACTTTGACTGCTGTGAGTACTCCAAGTGCGGGCGCACGGATCGCGGCGTGAGTGCCTTCGGGCAGGTCATCGGGTTGAGGGTGCGGAGCAATAAGCCGCTTCCCAAGCCGGAGCCCGTGGTCGTAGAAGGGGAAAACGCGGATACCCCGATGGAGGGCACCGCCGAGACGACGACGACGGAACAGAAATCAGAGGAGAAGGAGAAGAAGCCGGTGCCGGAGTGGACGGATGACAGGGAAATCGACTACATCAGGACCCTCAACCGTCTCCTGCCGGACGACATCCGCATCCTGGCGTGGTGCCCGTCTCCGCCGCCCGACTTCTCGGCGCGCTTCTCGTGCGAGGAGAGGCAGTACCGCTACTTCTTCACGCAGCCGGCCTTCGCCCCGACCACGGGGACGTCGCCGGACGGGAAGCTCAAGGAGGGGTACCTCGACATCGAGGCGATGAACGACGCGGCGCAGCGGTTCGTGGGGAACCACGACTTCCGCAACTTCTGCAAGGTGGATGGTGGCAAGCAGATTTCCAACTTTGAGCGGAACATGTTCGAGGCGGGCGTCGAGGAGGTGCGGGACGTCGGGACGGTGCTGCCGTACCTCAGTCTTAACTCCGAGAACGGGGAGAAGCTGCCCAAGGTATACTCGTTCAACATCCGCGGGACGGCGTTCCTGTGGCACCAGATCCGGCACATCGTCTCGATTCTGTTCCTGATCGGGCAGAGGCTGGAGAAGCCGGAGCTGGTGACGGAGTTGTTGGACGTGGAGAAGACGCCGCGGAAGCCCAACTACGACCTCGCGTGCGACACGCCGCTGGTGCTGTGGAACTGCGTGTTCCCCGGCGATAAGGAGAGCAGGACGCAGAAAGAGGGCGCGAGTGCGCTGAAGTGGGTGTACGGCGGGGCGGATATCATGGAGAGCATGTGGAAGTCGTACCGGGTCAAGAAGATGGACGAGCTGCTCGCGAACCGGCTGCTCGATCTGGTCTCGGGCCAGGTCCTGGAGGTCGAGAGCCCGGCGAAGGGGACGAGGGTGTTTCAGGGCGGGCCGTCGGGCAAGTTGGCCGGGGAGTATGTTCCGATTATGAAGAAGCGGGTGACGGGGACGCCTGCGGAGATCAACGACAAGTTCGCGCAGAGGAAGGGGTTCAAGAACTCTGAGGAGATGAAGGAGACGAAGAATTGGAGGAAGGTCGTGAAAGATGCGAAGGAGGCGAAGAGGGCGGCCGCCGCAGATGATGCGGATGAATAGCCGGCGAATAAGATATCAAATGAAATAAAAATGAGGAAAATTTCATGAATTCATCAAGGAGCAGTTCAGCTCAACTCGACCATTTCTCGTCTATCCTACGACTGCCACCACCACCACCAACATACCCACCGCCTCCATCCGCCTCCCACAGACAGCCCCTCACACCCCTCCAGACCGTCTCGACAATCTTCTTGCGGGGCAAGATCCGTGGGAACACGACGATGAGGTCGTCCTCCCCCTCGACGACGACGACGAGGTAGTACCTGACCTCGAAGCCCCTGAACGCCTCGTTGACGAGCACGTCCTGTATCTTCTCGGTGGGGATAAAGCGCGTCGCCGCGGCGGAGAGGTAGCTCCCGCTGACCGAGCTCGTCTGAATACCGAGGCCGCGCAGGACGAGCAGGCTCTCGGTGGTGTGGGTGCGCAGGAGAGTGGCGTAGGCGGCGACGACGCAGGCGCCGATGAGCAGCGGGAGGGGGATGGTGTCGGAGGACGCGAGGCGCTGTGCGAGACGGCCCGGGATGGAGTCGTCGATCATTCGGATCGCTTGGGAGAGGGTTGCGGTTGAGAAGAAGGTGGGTTCTTGCTCTTCTGCGTAATCGTCGTCTGAGTCGTAAGGTGATGCTGTCGGTGTGGGCGAGGGCGTGAGGAAGGTGGATGTGGCGTAGGGCGATTGGACCCAGGCGGCGTGAACGAGGAGAATGGAGGAGAAGAAGACGACGATGCGCAGGGCTAGGAGGAACAGAGAGAGGAGGCGGATTGTGAGGGTCGGCGGTGGGCGTGTTGTTACTGTGAACTCGGCTGTCGTGGGCGAGGGGCGCCGGACGTGGAGGCGCGGGGAGGTGGTGAGCATCTTGAGGTTTGCGCCGCTGCGTCGCGAGGTTGGTGAAGGAGTGAGGTAAAGATTATCTGGCCATTGATGTGTATGTGGGAGCTCTTAAAAGCTGGGCGCCGGGGCAGAAGATTACCGCGAGGCCATCCGGGGACGCAATCGCAGCTTCAAGACGACGTGGTCAAAATGATGGAAAGCTCTCAAGCTCTCAAGCGCTGTCGGCGATCGGTGACATCTCCCCCGTCGCGCAAAGGCGCGCAGACAAGCTGACATAAGCGAGCATCCCACCACCCCAACGCACCAGGTGCACGGCCCCCGCACGCCCGAGGGTATATGAGCCCAAAGTTTGTCCGAAGTTACCGGCTGTAATGGTCAAGTGGTTGAAGGCTTTCATTATTCTTCTCCTGCTACCCCATCTCCATTGGAACCCCCTAGCGGCGCCCAGTGCGAATGCCGCGGTGGCCACTCACTCGCACGGGTAACCTGCGATGCTGTGGTGGCTCTAAGCAATGAAGATCACACTTGAGAGAGGTTTCACTCTGCAGAGGCATCTTCACCGTCGCATGGCGTGCTGGATTACGATCGCTAGGGGCTTGGGTTAGTGGTTGAAGATGGAGATGTCAACTCCAATTTTTTTGCCTTTTTTATGATTGATGTTTAGTAATGTCTATCTGCAGCGATCTGTGCGTGCATCTCGTATTGTTTTTTGTTCGCGATGCGCAACGATTCTGCTGGGCAACGTGGTGATTGAATGCGACTGTGTTGGGGACGGTGTTTTGCTGTGTCGTTGCGCTGAAGCTGATGGGAGAGCTCGCGATGCCTTCAGGTGGTGGATGTACACAGTATCCCGCACACATGGTTCGAGTTGGCCTCGCGACACTTCTTTTTCGGTTTTTGCACACTTCTCCTCGGTCGGGAATTGCAAGAGAAACATCTTCACGTTCAAATGTCACAAGAAAAGTGTTCAGAAATAGATAAAATCACATCCTTCTCAATATTCAGCCTGTACGTGGCCATCGTAAATCGAGCAACTACATACTGTTGTCATCCTCCCCTAAAAGAAAATCGACACTCCCGCGACAACGGGAGCAAGGAAAAAAGTAAGACGAAGAAAAATAAAACGCAGGTGGATGTCTCTCCTCTGCTTCAACTAGATGAACAAAGATGCCGTGAGGCAACATTGTAAGACGAACGTTTCCAGCACTTTTCGGTCCCCCTCTTCCATCTTTACCACATCTCGAAGAGGGCGAGACGGTCGGCGTCGACACGATCTTAGCCCTCCTCCTATTTTGTTTTCTGTAAGTAAGAAAAAAAGTAAAGTTTTCGTATCCCCAATCCCCCCGGCCTGTTTGTCCGTCTTCTCACGTACATCGCCGCTCACGGTATCATATTTGTCCTGTCTGTCCACCCTGCGTGTGCCTCGCGGCTTTGCCCAGTCCAAGATCCAGCCATCATCAGTCATCATTTGAGAAGGAAGAAATGCGAAATAAATAGATTGCAATGATAAGAAAAAAATGGTTGTGGGTAAATTCGCTCTGCGCTCTGAAGCAAAAGTAGTCATCAAGGATAGACTTGAAGTGTACAAAACGGCGCTTTCTAATCGGGGATTTTTCTGCTGTCGGCTTCATGGCATCAGAGATGTCTTGCCGCGAATGGTCGTGTTTCTTTGTCGTCGAAAAGTAGTGGTATCAAGGTTCATCGAAAAACGCCAGTCGCCATGCAACGAAGTGAATCGAAACATAAAGGGGGTAAGAAATAATTAAGGTGATGTTGTCGTTCTGAGCGCGACTTAAATCAGGTCGTTGGCGTTGAGGCCCGTGGGAAGGGCATGTTGTCGGTGTGCCATGATGGGAGACCTCAAAGTGTCACGTCCATAGTTGGTTGGCATCGGCACACTCTCGTAAGGCGCGACCTCGTAGTCGTCTTGTCTGGGACGCATGGCAATAGAGTCCTTGCGGTTACGGCTGCCCGACCTGAAGCGGTCGGTAGCCTTGGAAATCCGGCCGGCGAGGCTGTGTTCGCGCTCGGTGAAGCTGCGACCGCGGCTGTGGCCCTTGGAGGCCGGAGGTGCTGGCGCCGGGATGACTGGAACGGTCGTGTCCATGGGTGCGGCCGCCGGAGCAGGCTCATCGTCATCCATGACAATCTCAATCATGCCAGAGCCGAGAGCCCCGCCGCCATTGTGTACCGCGTAGGGCAGAGGCGCCGGGGGTGGTGGAGGAGGCATAGCCAAATGCTGCAACTCCTTCAACATTGGCGGAGGAGGAGGCGGCGGTGGGACGCTCATGTTGTCGTTGTCCTCTTGAGAGGCGCGCCTGGAGTGAAAGAAATGGTCAACGGTGCGGACTTCACCCGAGTTTCCTCTTCTCATGGATGGGCCGCGCGAAAGTGTCGGTCCACTGGGACCGGCGCTCTTGGGCGAGGGTACGTCGATCGGTGGAGCGGACATGCTGCGAGGAATCATACCGCGGACGGGAGGCTGGTAAGTTGTTTGCGGGAGAAGCGTAAGCAGCCCCTCGCCTCCGTTGTCTTTCTCGGGGGATCGCTGATCCGGTGAAGTCACCGGCGAATGTCGTTGCGCGAAGGTGGCGGGAATCGGAGGCACAGGGATGTTCTTGGCCTTCTCCTTGTCAGACTCAATGATGAGCCGCATTGCTTTTGGGGTTGCTGGTAATCCAATGTGGACGTTGGAACTGCGGGCGTACATGCTCCTGTGAGCTGAAGGAGAGTCGGCGGTATGGCTGCGAGGAGGCAGATCAATGCTGCTCGGCGACGACTCAATACCCACGCGGATCTGGTTGGGATGAGGGATAGGGGGCACCGAGGGGCGTTGAGCCAGTGACTTTCGGCGTTCCTCGAGCTCGCGTGCGGCTTCCTCCTTCTTGCGTTGTCTCTCGTCCTTCATAGCCTTGAGGTCTCCAGCATGCTCGGTAGACGGAGCACGCGACTTCGTCTGGATGTTGATAGCGTCGCGAGGTTGCTCAGTGGCTTCGATTGCCTTGCGGCGGCGACTCTCAGATCGGTCGCGTTGGGGGAAGTCTCTGACGAGCTCCGGCGAAAGGCCCTTGCGGGAGTCGGCCTGGCTGGTGCTTCTGTTGTGCCTGTTTCTGAAGTTTTCTTGAGCAATGACGGCCTTGGTGAAGTCTTCCTCGTCTTCCGATCCTTGGTAATGAATCACATTTGCCGAGAGTGGGAGAGGAGAAGAGGGTGATCTGATATGCGAGCCCTTGCGATCTTGGCTTCGACCACGCAGCTCAAGCGCAGGAGGGCGGTGTCTGCCTTCGGGGCTTTTGTGGCGGACCTGACTGCCTCGGCTAGACGTACGGCTAGTCACCTTTCTGCTGCTGCTTGCCTTCCTCACTGTGGCAGGTTCCACAAAGTCAGGCAACATCTTCGGAGTACCCAAGTTGATGAGATCTTCGGGCGACATTGGAATAGGCGAGGTGGGAGATCGCTTTGGCTTGGGCCAGGTACGATTGGCAGCGCGACCACGCTCCGCCGAGGCTTCACGCGAAGCGGCCTTACGGCTTCGGCTCCTCTCGCCATCGCGCCCGCTGGAGCCGTCTCTTCGACCCTCTCGGCTGCCGTGGCGGCTACGCTGCTTTCGTTGCTGGAGACGCTGGGCGGTGTCGAGACTGTGGATGTAATCCTGTCTTCCACCAGTGGTGTTGCTGCGATAGCTTCTGCCCGTGGTGGATTGGGAGTTGACGGAGCTTGTAACAGAACCAGGACCGCGTCGTCGGGAAGGCCAGTGGAAGCGAGTCGAGGAGGAGATGGACTGCTCAGGAGAGATCAACTCGTTGCCCATGTTGTCGAGACCCTCCAGTTCAAGGTGCAGGCCTACAGGCTTGCGGTCTCGGGAGCCATTGCGCTGGTGCAAGCTGCCTTCCATCTTGATGATCATTCTGGCGTCAGGGGACGGGGGTGGCGCCTCTCTCGATCGGGTAAGCATCTGATACTGGTCGCGCATCATCATGGGACTGGCAGTGGCCGCCCTCTGCAAAGTAAGTCCTGCAGCTAGATTGTCTTGTTCAGCGGAAGACATGCGCATGTGGGCAGCGCGGCGAGACTCTTCGCCTTCTCGGAGTTGCTCGCGCGACAAGTCGCCTGGGACCTCCCCAATGGAAGGAAGACGCTTACGGCTGAAGGCAGACGTGCCAGACCGTGCAGAGTTTGGCGTGTTGAACTGGCTGCGGTTGGGTGGGCGGATGAAGGCAGTGGTGACATCAAATCCACCCGGTGACACGGCGGAATCTGCGATGGGGGTAGGACCAGCAGCAATTGGAGTCTGCCCTCCATCAACCTGGGAGAAGAACTTGGACTTTCCGCCTTGGTCGCCAAACGAGGTGATGAGCTTCAGCGCTGAAGTCTTGGCAATGCTTCTTTGAGGCCCACGTTGAGCTCCAGGGGGCGAAAGAGGCGGGGAGAGTATTTCTGGAATGTTTTGGTTGACGTTCTGGTTGATACTCTGGAAGGTGACTTGAGCAGCAGACGGGGAGGTCCAAGGCTCATCGGACTCGGCACCGGTACAGGCGAAGCTGAAATCAGGTTAGCTAAATGATGTGGTGATACTCCAAGGAAACATACCATCGGACTGCGAGTTGCTGCTGTCCATGCATGACAGCCCACTCTCCCCACTTCTTGATGATGGCAGACTGTCGTTCCCAAACAGCAGGGAAGAAAAGACATGTCAGGATGAGAGCTTCCATGTACTTCTTGTGAGACACATAAATCTCGATGGCGTCGTTGTAGTCTCCCATGCCGATCAAAATTGTAACCGCGGCGTTGAGATCACCATGCTCAAGAAGTCTTTGAACATATGTCCGCCCAAGCTTGTGCTGTGATGCGTGGCCGCCAATGCCACTGAGAGCTAACAACATCCAGTCTGACGAAGTCATTGATGCAGAGCTGGCGGCCATAACATCGGCGTCAAGGTCGCCAAGCCATCGGAGCAGAAGGATTCGGGCAGGCGCGCCGGCCTGGTGCCGGCTGAGCTCCTCACGGATCAAGTCTTCGATCTCCTTGTGCCATCCAAAAATGGTGCTCAGCATCTGCTTGCGAAGGTCATCGTTGGTGAGCCGGCTGTTGTCAGCACCGGTGGGATGCTTGTAGGGGATGTCGCTCAGTCGGCTGCGGGTGTACTTGAAAAGGTCGGCAACCTTGCTGTCCACAGGGCTCGGGATGACTTCATTTCGCAGACGAGACGGTCTGGAACGGCGTGATCGGTATGAAGACATTGACGTGCCCGTCAGCATGGAGGTTCCGCTCATGGAGTACATGTCGCGTTCCTGATACGGCGCAGCTGACGAAGGCAGGGAGGATCCGATGGAGATGTAAGTGTTTTCGGTCCCTCGCGAGACGGCTGACGAAGGATAGACACCAGGTGTCCGCGAGCCGGATTCTGACTTGGATACCGCAGACAGTCCCATTGAATGTCCGCTGCGGCTCGACGCCGCGCTGGCTGAGTCGGCGTCATAGGGGTCCATCGACACCTTCGGCGGAGCGCTGCTTGTCTCCTTCCGGCCGACGATACGGTCAAACGGAGACATGTGGTCCTCATCGCTTTCGGAAATTCCCATCTCGATCGTGCCGGACGTGGCATCTGAATCAGTTGCAATGGTTGTGGATGTCTTCTGCGACTGCTGTTCCTCGATGGAGACAGGCGGAGATGGCGGCAACAGATTGGCTGGGTGCTGGACGTTGGCCACGATGATCGACGGGGTGTTGAGATCAAACTGTTGGACGGTGTTGTTGGCACCAAGGGTGAACAGGCTGGCACCTGGGCCGTATACGGCCAGGCCTCTGACATGCTCAAGGGTCGGGATGCTGTCCCAAGTGACATGTTTGGTACGGACATCCCATGATAGTGTTTCCCTGGTGTGAAGATCAGTGCATGTCCTAAGCGCGCGCCTAGGTAGAAGTGGCAAGTATGACGTACGAGTCAGAATATTGAATGATGCGGCCGTTCTTTGACCAACCCATCCAGTTGGGTCCAGACTGATAGTTCTCGGTGCGCTTGAGAATCCTGACGACTTTCGCGGGGTCGTCGCTGCTGTATGACTTTGATACGCTCCAGACGCGGAGGTCACCGTCATGTGTTTGGGCTGCCAGCATGTCCGACTTTTGCCGGGACGACGAGGCGTGCCAGTTGAGGGTAACAATTGGCGAAGGTGCTCTCGAAGTGCCCAGATTGTGTAAGATTGTAAACCGTGGCTGCAGGGTGGCGACCAGTAGAGAGCCATTCTGGTAACTTGAAGAGGTCAGTTCCATGCAGCCGGTTTCTGGGGTTTCTGCAAAGCTTACCCAATCGCAAATGTCCGACAATCCGCAGCCGGTGCAAGTGCTGTCACTGCTATTTGATCAATTGTCCTCGAGGAAATATGTTCTGATGTTGTTGGTTCAAACAGGATAATGTTGCCCTGCGTATTGCCTGAGCTGCTGTTAGCAAAGATCACAGCTCGACGTGAAGTGTATAAAGCGTACCAAACGCGACGTTGCCGTTACGCATCCATGCGGCTGTCGTCAAATGCTCATAAGAGGCAAATCGAGCCACCTCATCCCCCGTCATAAGATCCCATACGATGGCCGTTTGCCCTGCATCGTAACTCACAACCAGCCTTCCGGCGCCGACTTCGCTCTGGGTGTCGACGGCAAGCAACCTGACTTCATCGGAGTGTCTCGAAAACCTTCTCTCGATCGTGAGGGTATCGTGGTGGCAGCAGACAATAGAGCAACCTTGCGCGTACAGAAACATGGACGCCGTCGCGGCGCATGGCTCAAAGTATCGCACAATGTTGGGCTGCGACATGTTGAAGTCTTGCATTTCATTGCTCCGACCTCTTGCTGACGACCTCCCGGAGCTGACGGTGCCGGTTCGATTTCTGGCGGAGGCGGACATGATGGCACTATATCCTTTTTCGGATTTCGATCTGCGACCCGGTGCGATGTTAGCCGGCAAGCTGCATCAGAGGAGGACGACGTCTAGGAAACAACTGCAGGTCCTTGTCCGCCGGGGCCTGGAAGCCACCTCAACCCGAGAAGAGCTTGCATGACTTTTGTGAGACAGGTCTACTCACCAATCCGTGGCAATACAGCGCCCGTCCGGCTACTTCGTGGCGAACCAAGAACAGTCGGGAAGCTACACCTCTTCCACTTCAACCATCACATGAAGCACTTCCCAATGTCCGTTCCCGGACCGGCTGTCCTTCCACGTTTCAAGGTTCCAGACTTGCGGATACTCGGCGTAGGCTTCTAGTTCGAAAGAGCGGTATCGTTGGCTTGCCGTCGTGTTACAGTTACTGGTGGTGGTAGTGCTGCCGCCGTGCTCTGGTGATGTTCGTTCTTCAAGGCGCGGGGTTGTTCTCTTGGTCTCCGGCGGGTTACCTGACAAAGGTAGGACAGGAGAGGAAGAAGAAAAAAGGTCTGGGAGACGGGGTGTTAAAAGACGGTTACAGTCTGTCGGGATAGGTTGAGGGGGGGAACATGCTATAGACGCAGGCGAGGGGTGTGAAGCGATGAGGTTGTCTCTGGTCCAAGGCGGTTCTGTTGGTGGCAAAGAGAGATCTCACTGGATAAGGTGAGGTCGAGGGGGTGTGCCGGCGCTTGACTTGCAGGACGGTTTTGCCAGTTTCGCGACACAAAGTGTGTGTACACGAGAAAACTCCCTTTTTCTTGCAGCAGCAGCAGCAGCAGCAGAGAGTAAAAGGAAAAGGAAAGGATCGAAAAAAGGCCGATAAAAATGAGAGAGGTTGCGCTTGATGGGGGGGTGGACGGGGATGTGATGGAGCCAAATAGGACGAGAGTCAAGCAACATGGAGCATGGCGCCTAAGTCGTGGAAATGGCTTGTCACTGGACGATCAGCCCTTGACCATAAAATTAGAGCTTGTCGTTGAAAGGTCGAGGAATCTAGGAGCGGACACGGTCCGGCTCATCAGGTCGAGCCAAGACGATGCATGGCTCTGGAGACTTGACCGGGGTGGTTGTCGTCGAGAGACCCTGTCAGGCCAGTCGAGGGAACCGCACAAGGTGTGCAAGGTGCAAGCCACTGCGTGCCGAGGGGGCAGAATTGGGGGAAATGCAGCAAATCGAACAAGGGTGCGAAGGATGGTGGAGATGTTGGAGTGGGAGAGGCGGCCTGGTTGGGCAGCTCGTCAAAAGGTCGAGGCAAGCAGCGTGTGTCCGAACAGGGCAGTACATCAATATTTTGCCATAATTAGTTCTCTTGATGCTAGTTCGGCTCGCAAGTCGAGTTGATTCGAGTACGGATATTGGAGTCGAGTCTTCCGCTTCCGCTTCCTTTGCTGCTTGCTGCGATGCGATGCGCTGCGCGGCGATGCTGGCAATGCTTCTGCTACTACCACTGCCACTGCTACTGCCATTACGACTACCACTTGCTGCTTGCGATGTTGCCCGCGTGCGTGCGTGTGCGTGGAAGACAGGAATATCGGCCTATCAAGTTGAGCTGAGGCGGCGCTCAGCCGACTTGCTCTGATTGTTGTGACGGCCAAGCCATGTTGTCCAGATGTTCCTGGGACCCTGGCTTAGCGAAGCAAACAGCATAATGGATCAGCTCAGATGAAGAAGCGCATCGTCCCGTGTTTGGTTGGCAGTGACGTCTGGCCGGCGGCTGTTCTCCAACAGCTTGTCTCGTTCTGGGGCTCTCAGGGCCCATTTCCCCTGATAATTCGACTTTGCATTATCAAAAGCAGCGGTCGAGGACCAACAAAGTCGTTTGGGGGCGCCAGAGGTACCTTACAGACTGCTTTGCAATGCGCAATGCGCGGTATGTGCACGAGGGCATGCGTATTCCATATGGAGTAGGACTGCTAGTGGCATGACTCCTCTCCTCACGGCGGTGGTGAATCCTGGTACAAGCCGCCTTGATTCGCCTCCTCAGCCATGGCTAGTAGTTCTGGGACGGTCTCGTCGAAGGGTTCGAGAGCCTATCGAATGCGTAGAAAGAAGGCCGACGTAGAGCGGCGGGAATGATGAAAAGCGCGTGGTTGGGGAGAGACGAATAGAAGGCCAGCAAACAAGCAAGCAAGCAAAGCAGATGGAGAGCAGGAAGAGAGGTGAGGACACTGGAGTTGAGAGAGTGAGAGTGGGGACAGCTGTGAGCTCTCTGTGTCTCTGTGAGGTGATAACAGGGGACCGGGGTTGAACAATCTACGCGCCGAGGAAAGGGTGACGGCGCCTACGGAACTTGCATGGGGCCAATCCGGAGCCGCATGTGCCTTGTGTTCAGCAACTGCATTGCAGGGGTATCCATGAAAACGCGTTTAACTGGCTCTTTCCCTCTAACCTCCCGTTGGATGATCCACAATTCTCCACTTCTTAGTAGCCGGTACAAGCGCCGCCACCTTTTTTCCGGCTCAACGGCGGCAAAACTCGAGGTAGCCGCTACTTGGAGCTCTTTCCCCGTCTGTGCCACCTCACGAACTTCACCTCATCCAAAGTGACAACGGACGAACAGTTCTGCCTCTACTCTCATTGCTTCTTTTTCGCTGTCAACCACGGCACATCTGCGGGATGGTGTTCCTGATTCACACAATCTACCACTCGCCATCGACGCAACCCTACCAAGTGCCAGCCCTCCCGTCTTGCGACATTCTTCAATCAGCTTCAGAGGCATCGTTCTGCCCGCCCATCACCTATTCTATTCGCCAATTCCGTTCTTGAGCATTGCCCATTGAGAATATCAAACTCTTCATCTTACGCCTCCGATCAGCCCCTTTCTTCCGGAAGCTAGACTCGGACGCCACTTCGCATCCTTCGCCATCGGCTCTGCCGGCGCGGGTCTGGAATCACATCCCGCTGGCCGGCACACAAGCGGCCACCATCCACTACCAATATACATCCCCGCATCCGCTTGCAGTTCGGAGCTCTGTGTCGCCATCTCGCCCTGTCTGCGCACAAATGGAGCAATTCAACGTCAACGGCCTGGCAACGTGCAATGCCTGCCCACTTTGGTCGCTGCAGTCCCAAGAACGCATCAAGGATTGAGGCTGCAGCAACACCAGCATCGCTGCACCGCATTCGCCTACCACTGGCTCGCTTTGCCTACGGGCCGATCACTGCCATGAATGCTATGCACGACACAGACCCCCAAAACTGATCCGTATCAGATACAGGCCTGTGCCTTTCGGTTCCAGCAGCTCCTGTTCAGCTCAAGCATTGTCGTCTACCGGCGTCAATGCTGGTCTCGTTCAACGTGTCCGCCATTGTGGAGAATTGGCCATGATCTCGGTCCATCGCAATATACCACGGCTTCAATGGCTTCAATCGCACGAATTCTACTGCATCATCTTGATTCGATGGGCCGCAAGAGTTTGTCCATTGTCTCACTCGACACCACGTCGACCTCTATCTCTCTCTCTCTCTGTCTGCACCTTTGGACTTTCTCGCCAACCTGCCGCTCCAATTCGCCCTCATTCACACCCTTTCGATTACCATGGCCTGGCCGGGTCTGCTTCTTGGGTCCCCGGATATCAATCGCACTCCGCGACCCCTGGAAACCGTCTGATGGAAGCCCAATGATACGTGGAGATAGGGCAGCCTCGTTATGTCCTGCTTCCTCATCGGCCGCTAAGGACATTCCATACCGCACACACTCGCTCAGCATGCAACCTCACCGGCCACTTCCCCGTGCATGAACGAAGCACATAATAAGGTATGGCTGCAGCTTCGAACCAGGATTCAACCCACGGTCGCCTCATCGATGAAGCATTGCTTGAAGCGACGGCTGAGCTGATGCCACCTGCTGGGAGGTACGTAACGTGCCTCTCCCCTCTCCCACGTCCACAATACGACCCCGGAACGGGTGGTCAGTCCCCCCGCGGCAACCATCACGACTTTCATGCTACACCTCTCAGCCCGGGTAGCTGCTTCTTGGGTGAAGTCGCCTTTGGGTCGTCAGGCACCCAACTTGACAGTTCTGACGTGCAAGCCGTACCTTACGTCTCGTATGCTGTTGTCCTACACTCGATTCATTGAGGGGACCAATTGGTTTCAGCAAACTCTTCAATGGCGTAATTGAACAATGACGAGGTCCCCGAGCTCAGAAACCGAAATTTTCAACCGGTGAAGAGTCTACTCAGGTGATCTGCCTCCACGTCAAATCAACGTCTGGTGGCGTGGCCATGGCTTCAAAGTTATGTCTGAGCTGCAATACGCTCACATGGTCAATTGGCAACGGTTTTCGCCGCGAACAAGGACCCCTGGGCGATAGGTGCACCGATATTTTCTTGCGACATTATCGTCTTGTTGAGAAGCGATCGAGCCGGATCAACTGACAAATGCCCAGCCTCGACTGACGGATTATGCAGTTGACGGTTATCATTGACCAGCAGACAATCCAATCTGGGACCGAATTTTGATGAACTTCCCTCCCATTGAGAGATGCGTTGGCGGGCAGAGCTCCAAGCCCCTGTCATGTCGTACATGGCCTAGGCCCGGCAGCAGGGGTCAACTCTCTGCTTTGCCGTTGGGCTAACCTCTCTGGCCTTCAGACTTGGGAGCGTTCCTGGATGCCTTTCCGCCTTGTTGATGTTGGCCGCGGCCCTCGACTCAGTCGGACTCGGATTCTTCTGATTTGGTTTGTTGGGTAATTAACAGACAATCACTCACCAGCTAAGATTCCCTCGCTGTGGCTGCGAACCAGTTCGCCAACTCCGTTTGGCTCGCTCTGGGCCGCAATCACCAGCTAAAAACCGATGATCGACGCTCATCACAGATATCCAATATTCACGGCACTCCAATCCCTGACCATGTCTATAGGATCCTGTCACTCAGCTTTGTCGGATCTCAAGCATTGCACTCCTGGTTTGCACTTGAGCTTGATGCAACCGTGATGTTCATGCCCGGAAAACCACAATAGGCATGGTTAATCAGCTCGGAAT